CTACTAGCGTACACCTATACCCTAACCCTAGTACTACGAAATACTATCTAGACGTACTAGAAATAATACCGGATAGATAATCGAGTACTACGAGTAAGATATATCCTATTTTAGCGTATAGAACGGCGCCTATAGGTAGTTCTAGAAGTGCGGATCCTACTAAATAGGATCCTACTAAAATCTAGACTGTGTAGCTTCGCGCCTTACCGGATTTGGGGAGGATCCTATTAATGTTTAGTTGCCTCCTAGGCCTTATATTAGTTAGGGTAAGGAGGGCTAAGGTAAGTAGAGTTAAAGGGTTAAGGTAAGTAGAGTTAAAGACTACTACCGTAGTAGTCTTCGGAAGTAGCCAAACTTTACGGGGGCGGCTATACTTTACCCCGCGCTCCTATACGTACGGGCGTATATCCGCACGCCCTCGCGCGTCCGACGACTACTAGCGTACACCTATACCCTAACCCTAGTACTACGAAATACTATCTAGACGTACTAGAAATAATACTAGATAGATAATCGAGTACTACGAGTAAGATATATCCTATTTTAGCGTATAGAACGGCGCCTATAGGTAGTTCTAGAAGTACGGATCCTACTAAATAGGATCCTACTAAAATCTAGACTATATAGCTTCGCGCCTTACCGGATTTAGGGAGGATCCTATTAATATTTAGTTGCCTCCTAGGCCTTATATTAGTTAGGCGGTCTTTAACTATAGGTAAGGTATATATAATTCTATCTTAATAGGAGAATTACTAATTAAGAAGGAATATAGTATATTCTTAGTAGTTAAAGGTTACGTAATATATATTTCTAAGAGCTAATTAAAAGCTTATATAGGTAACTAATTAGCGCTTAGCTTAGTAAGACCCTATCTTTATATTTACTAATAGAATAGTACGAGATAAGCTCGTATAATAAATCCTTACTAGTCTCTATAATATTAAGGTCTACAAACTTCTTATAATAATTATATCGCGTCGTAAATAAGTAGGAAGATAAAAGGCCGTTTACTATATACCGCTATATATTGCGATAGTAAAGGCAGGGACCGCTACAAATACCTACAAGAGAAGGCACGACTATAACAGCGATACCGCAAACGAGAGAGACAGCATGATAGTAGGCGCAATGTAGCCCCTTCCCGCGTCTAAACAATATCATCTCGGAAATTCGGGTCAATGATGTTTAGGTTTGTGCATTTTTGGTGGCTACTGATTACGTCGCGTCCCCCTCTTCGGTTGACGAAGCATTGGATCGTCTGAGGACATCAATTCTTCCTTCCACACAACACTGTCGGCTACACGTTCAAGCTAACACGGAATGTAATGCTCTCGTGTACAGCTTAGCCACACAGCGCATAGAAGCTAGTCGACCGGAGGTACTGAGCTTGCGCAGCACATATATACAGACCGACAGCCCTTCAACAGTGTTTGAAGTTGATCATATCCTCTCAGATCTTGTTGCCAAAGGCAAAGAAAAAAAATTCAATCGAAGAGCCTATCTCGCAAATTGCCTTTGATCACCGCAGAAATGCTAATCTTTCCCTTCATCCTCCCGGTGTTCTTATCTTTCGCATTCGCCGTCCCCAAAGTCTACTTAGCTGGCGATAGCACGATGGTAGCGACCGGCAACAACGACGGCACTGCAGGCTGGGGTGCCTTCCTCCCCGAGTTCCTCACCTTACCCGTTATTAATGAAGCCGTCGCCGGCCGTAGCGCGCGGTCATTCACGCGAGAAGGGCGGTTTGGCGCGATCGCCAACAATGTGACGAACGGCGATTTCGTCGTCATCGAATTTGGTCACAACGACGGAAATCCCCTTGTCCCGGTCGACAACGGGCGATCGGACTGTTCGCCAATAAACGGGACAGGCTATGATACCACATGCACGACCACCTACAAGTGAGTACATCGCTCCTGTTCCATAGTATACGGTGAGGCGAGTGCTGATGCATGCAAAGTGGGACCGAATACGTCCTTACCTACACCCGCTACCTCACAAACGCCGCACTGCTGTACCGGGCCAGAGGCGTCAACGTCATCATCTCTACCGCAACTACTAACAATCTATGGGAGACTGGCAACTTCACATATTCCGCGAACCGCTTCGTCCAGTACGCGCGCGACGCAGCTCACGAATCTAGCTCAACGTTCGTAGACCATGGTCAGGCTATGGCTGATGCGTACAAAGCACTCGGGCCGAGTGCTGTGGACGCGTTCTACCCGCACGATCATACGCACACGAGTCCTGCAGGCGCAGAGGTCGTGGCAAAGGCGTTTGTTACGGCGCTTGAATACACGAAGAGTAAGTTGAAAAAATATATTGATAATTAACCTTGGTGGACTGGTCGGTAGAGCATGGGTGGGAGTGCTTGATCGCGTCAGAAGTACAGAGAGGCCGAACGCAACCTTGCAAAATACACCGCTGTGTCCCGTAGCTATCCTAATGGAATCAGACCACGTCCCTTACGCGCTCTACTATGCCCGTCCATGTCCTCTCAGCCATCTATGGAATTCAAACCGGCGTAACTCTGCCTATGTAAATCGTCCTTGAGTGTATAGTCTACAGAATGGCATAATACCCGCATAGACTTCTCAACCGCAGGCACGAGAAGATACCGACGAATTGCTACACCATCGTTGGCGACGGCTGAAGAGGAGAGTACGCAGTGATACCAAGACTGTTACTCTCCTGCAATACATCTCAGAACGACGTCTGCAATTGAACGACATTCAAACGCGTATCAGAAGCAATTGAGCGTTGCGCGGGGGCAGGCGATAGAGATAGCGTTGACAGTAGCGGAAGCGAGAGTGATGTTGAGATGCCGCAGCGACAGAGTGACATGTTATTCTTCAAGGCACGGAATGCATAGGTGTACACCTGCTTCGTACATGGACACGATTGAAACGCAGGATACTGCCACACAGAATATCGTGCGCTTTCTCCCAGAAAGCTGCAGCTTATTCGGGAACTCTTCTTCCAATTCTCTTCCAGAAATCGCACCGTGCCCCTCGTCCGCCCTCCCACGTATAAGCGTCTACCTGCCGGATTGAATTGCGTAAGCCCGGTCCCTTGTACTGCTCCACATTCGGCTCGGGATATGCGACTACATGGGCACTATACTCGATACCTCCAGTCTCGTTGAGATTGAGCATCTGGTAAGCGCCCTGTCCCTGCGTATAAAATAGCGGCCAGCGACTTGCTGCATTATAACTGGCGTTCGAATTACCATTGGCCAGAGAACTGGCGATAGACGGATTGCCATCAGTGATGAAATTGCCCCAGACAGTGGTGAAGGCCTTGTAGAAGTCTGGGCTGACATTGATTGTCTCAGCGCGAAGACCCTCAGCGGACAAATCAGCACCATGCTGAGCGGCAGGAACAGAGTACTGGTATTTGAATGCTTGCTTCCCATATTTGGGGTCAAAAGCTTCGGCAAGCCAGTATGATGGGCAGACGAAAGTCGTCTCAGAATAGAGATTGATAGCGCGCTGCCCAGGTCCAACAGCCTCAGACCCTACGTTTATCGCAGTGGCGCCATTGCAATCGCCACATGTCGCAAATGGTATGGTAGCATTAATACCTGGGGCGTAATACATGGTGTGAATATCATTGAGGTCAGCGGTGGACAACAAGGGATACTCCAAGCGTAGCCAGGCTTCAAATTCGGCGTCCGTAGTGATATTCGGGATTACAAAAGCAGCACCCTCCATAGCGTTGTTTCCGGACAGCACGCGAAGACCGTTGACAGCTCTCCTAGCCAGCTGTTCGCTAGGTCGATGATGAATGAATTGGAAGTCTGTAGTCGGAAGGAAAGCCCATGTCCCCCAAGTGCCTGATGCACCAACTTCGGCATTTGCTTGTTGCAACTTGTGCGATGGTGCAGCACGAAGACAAGCAATGATAGTCACACTCGAATTTCCATACGCACGGCCTAAATCGCATCCAACTGCACGTGCAAATGTGTAGTACGCCTGCGAAGGCTGCCAGCCGTAGAACGGGTACTGCAATGGCAGATATGGCGAAGCGGCGATAATGTTGTTGAATAGACTTGTGCCCAATGTTCCGTTATAAGCCATAGCCTGCAGCATGACGCTGCCAGCGCCTGCGCTCTCGCCAGCAATGGTGACTCGACGAGGATCGCCGTTAAAGAGATAGATATGCTCCTGCACCCATTGTAGGGCAGCGTGCTGATCCAGAAGTCCAGCGTTAACGTTACCGTCATTGTACACTTCATCGGACGCTAAGAAGCCAAAGGCGCCTAGTCGATATTGTATTACGACACTGACGAAACCGTCATGATTGATTGCACTGAGATTGCCGATGTCTTGATTTCCTTGACCCCCTCCATAGCCCCCGCCGTGAATCCAGACACTGATAATGTCATTACAGTAAGTATCGCGTATCACATTGGACCACCAGGGCCGACTTACAAGACAGGCAGCGGACCAGACGCATTGGCAGGACTATACACTGAGAGGAAGAGACAATCTTCGGAGCCAGTATAGTTGTAATTTGGTACGAGCGGTGCTTGTGGACCCTGAGGACATCGCGGCGGAAAGGCGGCAGCTTTAATGACCTTGTCGCGATTCCTAGCCGGTTTCTGTGGCGCTCGCCATCTCAAGCTCGCGACAGGCGGTGCAGCGTAGCGAATGCCAAGCCACGTGTTGAGATTGAAGGATGAATTGTGGTATCCTTGGTACTGCTCGTACCCTAGATCAACGATGAGGCTTGTAACAAGCTTAGATTGCGCAAGGACAGAAGGTGTATCAGAAATTGAGCCGTGTCCGTTGCATTTTATTAAAAAAAATCCCAGGAGGATGATGTGCAAGGAGGAAAGCATGCTTGTCTTACTGACATCGGCAACTGGCATTTGATGGGGTATTATGAGCTTATAAGTTGACCGCTCGGCCATAGATTCGCCGAGTATTAGAGCCTTGTCCGAGGAGGAATACCCCCGCTACAGTGATTTACGTAGGAACGACTCCGCATTCCGTCTAAATACTCGCTGCGGTCAAATGGAATCATCATTTTTTACGTTGGTACCGAGTGCAGACAATGAAGAGCCATGATATGACGTAATAAAAGTGATTACAGGAGAGTGTGAGATAGGAGAGAACGTAAGGGAAGCACACGATGCTTGCTTCCACGCACACTCCGATTCAACGTCGTATGAAACTTGGCACATCACCACCTGTCGCGAACAGAGGCGGACACTCAGTCATTGCGAGGCATGCATCCCTTTTGGCACCATCTCGGGCGAAAGCCTAGGTCAGACGAGAAAACGATACGAGCGTCCCGGAAATGGGACAGTAGGCGACAATAATGATGGCTGACTCTATAGCTGTAGTGGCGGGCTTCAATCCAGTGGCTTGGTAGAAGATCCCGATAAAAGGGTACCCGGTTGAAGGATTGAAGGCGGCATTGGCATTCCAACGCTATGAAGTACGGCAAGGAAGGCCAACGCAAGTGCTCCATTGATGCCGATGGTCAGCAGGAGAACTTCGCTATGGTGGTTGCAGCGTTCCGAGTTTCCTCGCTCGTATAGGTCGCGCCATCGAAGCGTAGCAATGTGAGCTATAGACGTTGTACATTAGTTTGGGCGAGGGAGGGACGAATCGACGAATTAGTACACGACAGTCAAGAGTCATATGCTGTAAGACACTTCGCCGTTTCCTTACCCTCCCGAACTGAGGGAAGTTCCTACAAACAAATTCGTTCGAGCTGCGCCGAGAGAGGAGGAGGGATCAGCGGGGCGAAAAAGAAGGCAGGGTGGGATATTCCACCTATAAGTTCGATCGCCGGCAGCAACCTGAGCCCCAGATATTGATCAGGAGCGTGAGAGCCATTTGCCCACATCAGCAGAGTCCCGTGCCATCGATGAGGGACATGAGTGTCATAGTTAAGTACAAGGAGGCCCAAGATCTGGGTCGTAGCGAGGAACGTGACATTGGTTAGCGTTGCTTGCCAGGCGAAGACTGTAATCCATCCTTGCATCCACGCCATAAGCGGAGCGATGCCAGGAGGAGGGAAAGTGTAGCTCCAGTAGTACTGTGCTCCATTGATCGGGCACAGGGGAAATATTCCTGCCAGACGTCGCGAGGGCAAGCGTCTCGCTTATTATAAGCATTACTATTATGCACCTGCGGTACACTAGGGTTAGAGCTCGTTAATTAGGCAAGTCCTTAAGCAAGTAATTGGGTAAGAGACCTTAGTAACCTTTTAGCGGGTTAGTAACTTAGGTTAAACATAAACTACCTATATAAGAAACGTCTATTCTATATATATAGAAGATTCGTATATAGTTGTAATTACTAATAGTAATTATAATCTAATTATAGTTACCTATAGTAATTATAATCCGGATTACTCGATCGCCTAGTAATAAAGTAATCCTATATCTAGCTCTAGAGTTAGTCTACTAGCCTTAGGCCTTAGTTCCTAACTCGTTACTAATAATTAAATTCTATATCTATAATAATAGCTCTTCTTAATCTATAGAAGATTAAGCTTAATATTATAGAGAAGTAATATATATATAGGAGCTTACGTAGTATTTAGTAAGTTCGCTAAGAGAGCGAGAATCTAGTCTAAGTCTACGTAAAAGGAGAAGGAGAGCAACTACTATAGGAGTAGCCGCTAGTACTAGCGTAGCTAGTACTTGATCTAAAGGCTCGCCCTTTTAACCTTAATAAAGCGATCTAGTATAAAAAAAATAGAGGGTTGCCTAGGTTTATATAAGAGGTTTTATAATTTAAGAAATCTTATATAAACCTCTACTTTTAGCTTATATAAACCTAGTTTATATAAGCTATATACTAGGAGGGTTACTAAGATAGCGTCTCTACTACGTGTCTTTAGGACCTAATATAGCGGGCTAGAGTAAGGAGGATCGTAATAGCTACTCTATCGGATAGTAGAGGGACTTGTCCTCTATCGAGTTTAGAACCTCTAACCCTACCCTAAAACCCTATACACGGTATGCTTGTAGAAGCGTCAAACAAGACCCTACCTAAGATCTATTGCTGTTTTGTATCTTCCCGATAGCCTCATTCACTGCAAGATAAGCGCATCGAACTCGATTGCGCAGCCTATACTGCCTCACAGTAATAGACAAAGACGGGCTATGTGAGACCGGAGGGGCGGAGCGCAGCGGCGCGGTCATGCATAACCTACAATTTGGGGGCCATGATGTCAATCGGAGCATCTTTCGTCCCGAGCGAAAGCAAGCATAAGCTGTACGAGAGCTCCAACTCGACGGCATTAATATGACATGTCCTCTGGCTCAAGTGGATTCTAGAAAGCAAGTAAGCACTTTATGGGATGATCACATCTGCCCACATCGCTCACTCCCACTATGGGCTACTTTTACCTTGCTACAGCCTTTGTAGCACTAACAGCATACATCGCTTATCGCAGCTTCTTTGACGGTCTACATACATATCCTGGCCCCTTCTTGGCTTCTCTGACCGACGCGTGGCGGATGCTTGACTCGGCGCTCGGCGCCCATCGACCAACCTCGCTCATTCAACTTCACAAACAGTACGGCGACGTCGTTCGGACGGGCCCGGAAACCCTTAGCTTTGCGCAACCAGAAGCGATCAGGGATATCTACGGTACCGACAAGCAGTTTACCAAGTCGGATTTCTACTGGACGGTGGCTGCTACCGCCCGAGGGAAGACGACGCCAAGTCTCTTCTCTAGTGTCGATGGGGAGTGGCATGATAATTTGAGGAAGGCTATCCAGCCTGCTTTCAACTTGAGCGCTTTGGTACAGTATGAGCCTTTCGTCGATAGTACAATCAGAAGCCTTCTCAGTCAGCTGGGGGATCGATATGCAGACCGTTCGGGAGGTGCTAGCGTTGTCAAGCTCCAGCAATGGATGCACTGGTACGCTTTCGATGTTGTGGGCGAGCTTACCTACAGCGAACCGTTTGGTTTCATGGAAACGGCCGGCGACGTTGACGGAATCATTCGCAAGGCACATTTTTATCTCACGTATAACCAGGTGGTTGGGAATATGCCTGTGCTGGACACACTGCTGCTGAAAAACCCGGTATTACTCTGATTTAACCGTAGAGGCTACTTCAGCGCTGAACCGAACCCAGTCGTCAGGTTTGCTATGAGTCGGCAAGCTGTGCGTGCCAAGGGCGAGGACACGGGAAACGGTCAAGACCGAGTGGACTTGCTAGATAAATTCCTCTCGACCAAAGCGAAGCATCCTGAGACTATTGGCGACCGAGAAGTCCTCGGGCTCGGGATAAGCATGGTCCTCGCCGGCTCGGAAAGTACGGCCGTCACGCTCAGCGCATGCTTCTACCATGTCCTTCGCTCGGTTGGCGTATATAAGAAGCTGCAAGTAGAGGTCGACCAAGCTTTTCCTACCTCCGTGATAAGCGAAGCTGTCAGCTTCCAGTCTTCGCAGAAGCTGCCATACCTGGACGCCTGCATCAAGGAGACATTTCGTATTCACCCTGCCGCACGTTTTACGCCGGAAAGGGTGCTCCCACCGCAAGGTGCAATGATCGCGGGCAAGCATGTCTCCGGCGGGAAGATCGTTGGTGTGAATGCTTGGGTGGTGCATCGTTGCAGCCGGGTCTTCGGTGCGGACCTGGAGGTCTTCCGACCGGAGCGGTGGCTAGTGGCCGATCCACAGGATCAGATGAGGGTCGATTTGATGGACCGGACATTATTTCAGTTTGGGGCAGGCAGGTTTGGATGTATCGGCAAGAACTTCAGCTTGCTGGAGATTTACAAGGTAGTGCCGACGCTGCTACGGGCTTTTGAGTTCAGGCTTGTAGAGCCGGCAAGGGAGTGGCGGTTCGAGAGCGGCAGTTTTGCTAACGTAAGCGGTGTCGATGTAATAATTACGAGGCGAAAGTAGAAGCTTAAAACGTCCTATCCTACGAATCAAAGCTATTAGGTTGTTTTATATTATGAACAACCTCTAGGAGCTCTCTAGGTAAGGTACTATCACAACAACTATAGTATCTGGTAGTATTATATAATGTTTTCTAGGATATATACTCTGCTATTCGAGGCTGCCTTACGGTATCGAATTTTAGCTTAGAAGTTTGGTCGTAGATTACCGATCGAAGACCAAACAGAACAAACGCTGACTCCACCCTGATCGTGTCCTGAAGTGGAATTTCTAGCTGCTTCTGAGCGATCCTAAAAGCTGGAATCGTCCTTGCCACGTAGATGAACCTGATGGGCCAGTGAGTACGTAGGGGCACCTGAGGCCTGAAAGTACCTAAGCATATTCCCTGGATCGGGAAGGGAAACGTTGGCAACAATGTTTTTGCTGAAGCCACCGAAGGCGCTGATGACTGCGGGATTAACGTCCTTGGCCAGCTGGCGAGGCTCCTGCCGGTCCACTGCATCGAGATAGTACAGTGCCAGAAGCGCTTGTTCTTCGCCCTGGTTTGCAGGAGCTTCGTGAACGAGTTGTTCATCGGCGAACATGGCGATAGTGGCAGCGAAATCGTTCAAGTTCCGGCCATCCGGTCTTACGATGTCCGATGTGTACTGGCTACCGAATACGCGACCTGTAGATTAGGGATCGGGTCAGCCACGCGATGTTGAAACGCGCCCGTTTGTGTTCACGCACCTATGTGAGCCTCGTCTTTGAAGTACAACTCAGCGGTATCATTGTGAGAGCTCCAAGCCGGCTGCGCATTCTCCCCGTTGTGTACGCCGAGTCAAAGAAATGAGTCTGGTAGTAGGCCTGCGGCGTCTCATCAGGCTTGTCCGGCTGTGACAAAGATCTATGGGCTTGGTAATGGTGGTCGAAGAATTCCTTGGCCGTTTGACCCGACAGCCGTCGAACGGCAACAAGCTGTCTGATTGAGTGTGCCATTTTTTATTGAACTTGACATCTTGGGTGGCTTGTTTCCGGGCCGATGCTCACTTGAAAGATTGCGGATGAAGACTTGGGGATAAGAGTGATGGGTGGAGGCTGTCAGTAGAAATAACGCTGGTCGTAGGCTGATTCGTTGTCATCTACAAGCTGCTTGCGATGGAGCAAGACGTAGAGGCAGACGTCGAATCTTTGTATGGTAAGAGTCCGGACGTCTCGGGTGCAACTTCGTACTTTGGTTTGGATAGATCCGTCGTCCCCGTTTGGCGGTCTACGGAAAAGGTGACGGGCCTGCGGAGAAGGTGGCGGCCTGAGAGGGTGCAATCCGGTGGTCTCGATGTCCTGGACATCTTGGTCATTATCGCGACCATAGTCACGTGGTTTCGCGTGGAACTGTGATAACCTTAAGCAGGGACTTGATCGGGACAGAACATGATGATAGAGCTGGAAGTGGGAAAGCTGACTGTCAGCACGGTAGTCATGCGCGATAGATGAAGGTGATGATCCGTGCTGACAAGGACTCCGAGAATGCACTGCCGCTTTCTCATTTGTCCCCAATGAGACGTAGAGCGCGACCATCGCAGTAGGAACACTTGTCAGCGTACACAATGGTTCGGACTGTAGCAGCTGAAGATGATGCGGTCCGAGGCACATTCCACTACTGGGCATCGGGGCGTTCACCCGACCCTTCTGAAGCCATGGACATCGTGAACGGTTCTATCGCCGACATGAGGACCTGTACATGTCTGGTCCATGACATGCGATCTACTCGGGAGGAGTACACTCTGGACGCTCATGGCTTCATGATCGTCCACCATGCTTCCGCACTTCTCCCGCCACGGCACTCACCAAAGCAATCATTCTGTTTCGATGACATACAGCAGCTTACGGAGCAGTACCTCCCTGAACTTCGTGCTCTTCTCAGGGGCAACATCAGTTCCCGGTCCATTGTACCCTTTCAACGCTGTGGTACGGCAGTCGAGTACTAGTGCCCCTTTTGGTCCCGGCTCGAACGAGCCTTTCTTCGTGGTGCACTGCGACTACAACCCTGCAGGAATACGAGAAGTCCTGCGGAACGTCGCGCCATCTTTCTTCGCAGACCATCATCGACATATCCTTGTCTCAGGTGCTAGTGCCGGCTTCTCGCATTAGACTCTCGAAGAACGCAGTATCGATACCTTGGAAGGCCCAGTCATCCAGACTCGGGTCGAAGTTGTGCTGATATTGCACCGGTAAGACGTCTGAATCGTATGCTGAGAAGGCAGCTCCGTCCGGAGGTACATTCGTGTCAACTTGCTTCACGGCCTGTGTAGTGGGCCGTACGATACGGACTGAACCAATGCCTCCGATATGTAGTCCCTCAGATTGACCGACTTCTTGCTCCGAGCCTGGCAGTGTTACGGATGCAATACCGCGCCCAGAAATCTTCACATTGCCATAAAATGGCATCCGCACAATCATCATGCTCCTTTCCTGTTCGCCGCTTGGGTTTAAATTGGCATGATTGTGGGCAGCGTCTTCCTCGATATACAGCAGATCCTTCAGCAATGCGATGCACCTCACAGCGGGCAAGTCCTGCTGCAGATCGGCCATGAATTCCAGGCACTCCAATACTCGTTCTACTAGCGCTCTGTCACGCAGACGTTGGTGAGATAATAAGTTCCCTGCTTGCTGGCTGCAGTGACTCGAGGCATGGGCGAGCATCAATGTAACTCCAGCGATCAAGGCCAAGAACTCGCTTAGCCGACAGAACGCGGTGATGGCGGTGAAAGATCGAAGTGCGACTTCGTGACTAAGAATCTCTCTACTAGCATTAACGCAAGCCATCCTCGAGTATGCGGTCTGCGTCGGATACGTAGGGCAGAGCATGTATGGGGTGTCTATTATACGAGACCGGGTTAGTGTAATCCTGCTAAAGCTTCTCATGCGAGATCAGTGTGCTGCACTTACGAAGCTGGATTATGAGGGTGTAGTAGCTCGCATGGCTGAATGCTCGCTGGACCTCACCAAATGCGTCCGCCGAGGCTTTATTGATGCCTGTGAAGTCCAGTGGGCGCCAATATGAAGATGGCATCTGCTCAGAGATCGAGATCATCTCTTTGTCGATACTTTTGGTTGTGTCGAGCGCCTGCTGTGGAGATTGGATTTGGTTTCTGTCCAGGATTCTTGCCGCCACATTGCCGAGCACTGTAGATAAGTATTTCTCATGCGGGATGTCTTTGGTGAGGTCCAGTCGTACGAGTACTGTCATGCCCGTGCTGGTGGGAAGACCAAGTAACAAAGAGCCGACCCGCTCCATGTATACAATTTCATGCCACATTGTCTCCGGCTCATATTCGCGGGCAGCATCCAAGACCGTAAAGCGGTGGTGGCCAGCGCGGTGGAGACCAAGTATCTGTGCACACATCACAGCCTGCCGCAACGTCATCCAAGACCGCTTCAAAAGGCCGCAGTTCATGTGGAACATTGACTGTAGCATCAGGTTGTCCAGCGCTTCTAATGATCCCATCAGAGCATCATTGACGTTGACCAGGCTGATCACAGCCTCCACGACCTCGTCCATGATCGTCACATGGTTCTTGGACAGTCCAAGGTCAACCACCGGCGGTAGACCCTGCAGGGCTGTTGCGAAGATAAGCATCCTTCTTGCCAATATGACGGGATGCTGGATCGGTTGTGAAAGACCAAATTCGGGCGGAAATCCCGCAGAGCTACTAGTACACGAGGAACGATGGTGGTAGTACGACAGGTGGTATTTCTCTGAGTCGGTCACTGCCTGCCATAGCCTATGGATCTCGTTCCTAGATGGCAGAGCAGAGAGCAGCAGTTTGATGATATGTGCATGGTACCGAGTCTCCGGTTCTTCATAACCAACGCCAGACATGGCGGCCCGCTCCAGACCCCTCAAAGCCGTTGCTTCCTGATGGGTTCTGCCAGTCGTAAATGGGTTGGACTTGTTTCCGGAGTCTGCCACACCATGCACCATGTTATTGCGCGGCCGTGGGCGAGGGATCTGGCCAAGAGTCGGGATGGAGTCCTCGCTGCTGTCCAAAACTTGGGGTGGATGATGAACTTGGAGTGATTGACTGGAACATGCGGTCCCACGGCGGTGGCACATCACGCATATGGTATTGCTTGACGATGCAAAGATACATCTCACCTTCCTCCGTCTACATTCACGGCAGCTGTGCGTTCCCTTACGCAACTTGGATGGTCGATCTTCGTCCATGGTGATGGCGTATGGGACGATTACAACAGCCTCTCCCAAGCGTCTGCCGGCAGCACTCACCATCAAAGGACGTGCCGGCTTGCTAGCATCTTGCTAAAAGATGGGACACGGAGAATGATTGTTGTCTCTCTGCATCCGGTATCCTCGTCCGAATCCGCTTATCAATCGCGGCTCCAGCGTTTCACCTTGCTTTTCGGCCGAATGTCTTGGCAAACGGTATCTAGGAAAGGAGACTTCGGACGAACAGGCTACAAGGCTTGAAGAATGTGTGTCCTTCTGTCTATAACAAACCTGACTTCGGAGATAATATGTGCACCGGATAAGTGTCATCATTGAATCGGGACTTGCGTTCACCCGCAGCCGTTGGCAAAGGTCATCCTCCTTATATGCTTGCAACTTCCTACTTTGAAGAGCAACCAGAGTGATACGTTCCACCACTTCCACGATTTGAAGAGCCCCGGCATTGCTGCCATTATCTACACAGTCCTTCGAAAGAATAATGTCGGAGTCAGAACACTCATCGTCACCGGTGGAGAAGAGCAACGGGAATGTTGCTGAGGTCGATGCAGATCAATATGCCCACGGCCTTGGGTTGGCTGCCCTGGTAGCGTCCTTGATGCTCGGGATGTTTCTCATTTCACTTGATCAGGTATGGGCTGCGGGCGACTCGACGCCTCGGATGTACGAGAAGCTGACAGTTCTGATGTATAGACTATTGTCGGGACGGCCATCCCCAAGATCACAGACGAGTTCCACGACCTCAACAAAGTAGCTTGGTATGGCGCAGCGTAAGTCACATCCAATTCCAAGATCATGAGAAATGGGAACGCTTGCTACATTAATAACCAGTGGCTGATGGGCTCTGCTATGGCCATCGTACACTGTTTCCTGATGCCAAGAGCGCAAGCTGATCAGTCTCCTAAGGTACTTCATGACATTCGGTGGCTTTCAATCGACATGGGGCAAGGTATACCGATACTTCCCACTAAAGCTCTGGTTCCTACTATCCATCTTGATATTTGAGATCGGAAGTCTTGTTTGCGGCGTCGCCAAAAACTCAGTTACGCTCATCGTTGGCCGGGCCATTGCAGGACTTGGTGCCTCGGGTGTTGCTGCAGGGGTATTCACTGTGGTTGGCTTCGCTGCTTCTCCGGAGACTCGTCCTAAACTCCTCGGGCTGGTCGGTGCGACATATGGTATCAGTGCAGTCCTCGGGCCCCTACTTGGCGGAGCCTTCACAGACAAAGTGTCCTGGCGATGGGTGAGAAAGGCAACGAGTATTGTTGAGGATTCCGACTGACAATTATCGCCAGTGCTTCTACATCAACCTCCCAGTCGGTGGCCTTGCAGCTGCGGTAATCTTCCTGTGCTTCAAGCCTCCTGGCAGCGCCAAACCCGCTGAAGCTCCATTGAGTGAGAAACTGCTGCAGCTGGACTTGGTTGGTGCGGCGCTCATGATGGGCCTGATCGTATGCTACATCCTTGCGCTGCAGTATGGCGGCCAAACGCACCTATGGAAGAGCAGCGAGGTGATAGGTAAGGCTGAACGCATTGCAATAATGCCCATAACTTCAGATCGGCCTCACTAACGCAACTAAGGTCTCATCGTCGGCTTTGTGCTCATACTCGCAGTGTTCGTTTGCTGGGAGATCTACCAGAAAGAGCGGGCCATGATTGTCGCTCGTCTGGTACTTTGACCCCGAGCCTTATTCATGCTCTCATGACACCTTCACTGATACCTGCATAGGTCACGAAGCGCTACGTCTCAGTCGGATCGATCTTCATGTTCTTCTTCGCAGATAGGCCGACTTCATTCCCAACGCAATCATGGTCTTATGCTGACCGTTTCTTCAAGCTCCTACTTCATCCTGCTCTTTTACCTCCCGATCTACTTCCAGAGTATCCACAACAGCAGTCCGATCGGCTCTGGTGTCAAGCTACTCGCTACGATCATCCCTTTGACCATAGGTGCCATCTTCCAAGGCTTCGCGTTTGCTAAGATCGGCAGAGCCCCGGTCTTCTGGGCAGTTGGAGGCATGCTTGGGACTGTTGCTTGCGGACTTCTCTATACTCTCGATCAACATACATCTTCGGGAAAGTGGATCGGGTACCAGATCCTGGCGGGCTCAACGATCGGCGGGACTTTTCAGGTCGCCATAGCGAACGCACAGGCTCAGGCGCAACCTGAAGACTTGTCGCAAGTCAGCGCGATCGTCACTTGTGAGTAACTGCGTTGGGCCTGCGCCTCCCACTGTAGACCTGACTACATTGTCATGGTGGGAAAGCCGCTGACAATGTCTAGTCTTCATCACCATTGGAGGATCCTTCTTCATCTCAGCCGCACAGTCTGCGTTCAACAATCAGCTTATAGCAGCGACAAGAAAGACCTTGCCAGAAGTTTCTCCCATGCAAATCTTGGGCACCGGGGCTAGCCAGATCCGACAATACTTTAGCCCATCAGAACTGCCTTTCATACTGGATGGCTACATGGTTGGTCTCAAAGCCGTCTTTGCTATTGCCATAGCGGCTTCTGGAATCGCGACCGTTGTGGGTGTACTGGGCGACTGGAAAAAGCTTGACGAGCAGGAGATGAAGAAAGCCACCGGTGGAGCTGTATAGTATCAAGACGCTAATCTTTGATGGCCTTCTAGGCTCGAACAAGAGGCGCGCACGCAGTAGTAGAGCGTAGACTTCATCACGATGTCCCATTGCGTCGTCACGATGTCTCATTGCGGAAGCGTGTCAGGACAGACTGTAGCGCTGTACGAAGGCCTAGAAATATGATGGGACGGTCTTAGTGGTCTACGTAAAACCATGTCTAACCGACAACGTAAGCACTGATGCTATTCAATATTGATGGTGCCGATGAGCGGCCTCCGACTGGCGAATAACAATGTAGCAGACCTCGGGTTTCAGTCGTGACAGAACCCTGCACGCTCAAGGAAGAGTCTTCCAATTCGTGGCGACCTGACATGAAGTGCAGATGCTTACACAATGCCGACCAGAGCTAGACCAGCGATGCCCATGACTAGATGAGGCAATGCGGCACCAACGGTACCACCCGCCGCGGAGGGAGTACTGGCTGCTGCTGCAGTCGAGGATCTGAACGTCGCCGATGGCCCAGTATTCGATACCAGAGACACCCCTGTTTGCGATGATGATGGCGACCCGTTGGGGCTACTCGCGGAAGACGCCGCGACGTTGGCGACAGACGTTCCAGTGGTAGTCGGAGTCACAGAAGTGCTCAAAGTCGTGGCTGCTGCGGCAATGGAGCTGCTCGAAGCGCTGGAGGCGGTCTTGCTTGTGGCGGACGCAGACGATACGGAGGCCGAAGCTGTAATGCCGAGGGCGCTGTCAACTGCGCTGTTGATGCTGCTGTACTGAGTCTCTAAGCTGCTTAGCTCTGAGCTGTAGCTACTGCCAGCACTTCCAGTAGCTGTCGCTGCGACACTCGATAGTGATGCGAGAGTCGAGCTCGCAGCGTCTTGGCGGGAGGACGCAATACTGCTGAAGAGTGCGGTGTTGGTTCCCAGACGTGACTTGAGCGCAGATATTGTGGCTGCTACATCTCCAGTACTTTGTCCGTTATTCTGGCCAGCTGCGCGAGCGACGAACGCGAGCCCGCCGACGATGGAAGCGCGCATGTCGGGTGGTGGTTTATGTCTGATGTGGTGTGTCTGTCAGATGAGAATCAGTTTGTTGGTGATGCTGTGTCAAAAAGGCCGGCGAGCAAGGAACAAACCTGTTTCTATGCCGCAACAACGGTTTTGCGCATCGTAATCATGCTGATGGGGTGAGCGACGAGCATATCTTCTTGCAACATCCACTTTGCGAATAGTCCGATAGCAACGTTTCTCATATCCGGGTCGGTTGTGGTATCAATTGGAAGGCTTCTTCGGCGAATGGGGACCCGAACTCCGGCTATCATGAACGCCGCGTGTGCTCGCCTTGGCGATCTTGGTAACCATCCTTCCTATCATCTTTACACAAGGCGAGGGTGAATTGAAGAATCGAGTGAGCTGTCTTGGACTTGAGCACACCGCCGTGGGCAACGCAGACATCCGCCCACCATGTCAGAATCACGTCGCAGTTGGTGTGCCCCAACCGGAGACCTCCAGCCTCTCGCGCTTGAGCTCAAAGTCATCTTCTGGCAGGACTTCAGCGGAAGCCAAGTCGTCGGGAAGCTGACGAGGGAAGAATCAGTTCCAAGATGCATTCAATCTCACAGGACCGGGCGAATGTTCCATTCCAGGCGCGACTTCGCCTTCGTGTGTTGCTGGGATCCCAATCGAGTGGACCACCTTAATCTTGTCGTCCGAAGAATGCACCGTGTTCTGGTTGGTAACGTGTCCGGTGAGCTGATGGCCGTAAGACGTGAGTCCAGTAATGTTAGAAAGTGTTCCCATCTTCATTGTCTTCGGGTGTTGCGGCACGCTCGGGAAGTTAGGTATGTGTTGTTCCGAGAATCCACCTACCACGAGGTCATATCGGCAAGCACATCAACCTCTCCATCGACTTCATCGTTGACTGCAAACGTGATATCTCATTCTATACCTATAGCATAGACTACAGCGTTGGCATGTTGGCTAAAAAGTAATTGCTCGGCTAGACATGCTATTTCCAGAAGGATACGGTGCCCTTGATGTACGCCATCATGCAGGTACAGTCTCGGCTTATCTCTCGTCTATTGGTACCTCTATCAGACACACTTGAGCAAAACCCAAGCTCGTTATACTTTCCACTGATCTCACAGCAGACAGGAGCATGGCGAGCCCTCATCGATCATGGCAGGAGATATCTGCTTCTATGGTCGAGCATCTAAACAGCACCATTGACAAGATACAACCACCGGTACCAGCATGTCCTCAAACCCTCCCAAACAACGTCATTGGTCTGGCAGGCGCTCTACTCGCGGAGAAGGTGGTTACGATAACCGAGATGCCTGTCGAGGTTTTGCTTCCAAAGCTGGCCAGCAGTGACCTTACTAGCACAGAAGTCACTACCGCTTTTCTCCAGCGAGCTGGTCTGGCGAGCAGAATGATTAACTGCGCGACTGAGATGCTGCCAGACCGTGCTCTGGTTCGAGCAAAGTACCTTGATGACTATCTTGCGGAGCACAAGAAGCCGATTGGACCAATGCATGGGCTTCCAATCAGTGTCAAGGAGCATATCGGCATGAAGGGTCTTGATCTGAATGCCGGATTCGTGTCCTGGGTCGGTAGGATCGCGGAAGATGATGCACTGATCTTGAAACTTCTTTGGAATGCCGGGTGTGTGTTCTACGTGCGTACTACCGAGCCACAGGCTTTGATGCATCTAGAGACCAGCAACAACCTCTGTGAGCTCATCGGTACTCTTGCAATCTTTTGATCGCTGACTTCTGAACAGATGGGGTCACTGTCAATCCATACAATCGTGCTCTTACCAGCGGAGGCAGTTCTGGTGGTGAAGGTGCCCTGATCGGGTCCCGTGGATCTTGCTTAGGCATCGGCACAGATATCGGCGGGTCTATCAGATCGCCTGCCGCCAACAACGGCGTATTTGGCCTTCGTCCTACAAGTCATCGTCTTCCAGTCAGTGGCTGGTCTGCGACAATGCTTGGATCGGAGCACATCATTCCTGTGATCGGACCCCTAAGCACAAGCCTTGAAGGCATAAAATTGTTCGCCAAGACGCTGATCGACCAGAAGCCATGGCTATATGAACCGGTATGTGTGAGTTTGCCATGGAAGGATACTTCGTCTGGCACTCTGCTACGCATAGCAGCGAGTGGACAGCGCAAACTTCGCATCGGCGTGCTTGCAGATGACGGCGTTGTGAAACCGCACCCGCCAATAATTCGCGGCATCAAAAGCGTGCTAAGCCGACTGAAAGACCACTCAGATATCGAGGTAGTCGACTTCCCACCTTACAAGCCCGAAGAGGCCTGGAGGATCATCAGCAGCCTCTACTTCGCAGATGGCGCCGAAGAAGGTTAGCGCATCATTTCAATCACTGAATGCTGGTGGATAGATACTGATGGCCTCGCAGAGAAAGCAGCCATAAATGCTTCGGGCGAACCCATGCTCCCACTGACTGACTTCATCATTACCGATAATCCAAATGTGAAGGCATTAACCATTCCAGAGCTCTGGATATTGACGCAAGACCGAGAGGCCTACAAAGCAGCCTTCACACAGCACTGGAACAGTACCAGCACTTCCCTACCCGGTCCGAATGATAGCAAGCTCGTCAAAGCGAATGCAATGTCTCAGCAAGATCTCATGGTCGATGTCATACTCACGCCCGCAGGACCGGGTTGCGCACCACCCCTCAACTGCTCTCGTTATTGGAATTATACCTCGCAGTGGAACTTGCTGGACTACCCTTGTCTGATTTTCCCAACGGGTCTGCAGGCAGGTCATGAAGATGCCGCCGACAAGGACTATGTCCCACGCAACGCACAAGACAAGTATAATCATGAGCTTTGTAAGCGCGAATCGTGCCGAAAACACGTTGCGGTAAACGCTAACTGCTGGACAGACAAGCCAGAGACATACATCGATGCACCCATATCCCTGCAATTGGTAGGCAGAAGATACGAAGAGGAGAAGCTGATCGAAGCGCTCGAGTTCATCACAGACGTGGCTGAGCTACCGCTTAGTCGATGAGTAATTACCGAACCACCCCAATACGACAGCACCTCTCCGTCATGCTTGCGTTTCCTGATACTACTGGCGTGCATCCACATGTGTCCTGATAGTGTAACCCTAGGGCGTCATGCTCGAAACATCGCATCATGCCTTACTATCTCTTTGGCTGCCAGCAACCAGGAAAGCTAGTTCTAGTGCCTGCTTTTCATTCAATCTAGGATCGCAGAATGTCTCGTAGCGAGTGTCCAGATCTTCATCCTGTAGACCCTGACTGCCACCAGTACACTCCGTCACATCATCTCCAGTCAATTCGAGGTGCACGCCGCCCAGATATGTGCCGCACTGCTTATGTATTTCGATAGCATTCGCGAGCTCGGAGAAGATGGAAGCGAAACTCCTCGTCTTGATGCCAGAGTTAGTGGAGCGAGTATTTCCATGCATAGGATCACACTGCCATACCACGGTGTGGCCATGACCACTACTCCGTACAGCTTCGATATGTTGGGGTAGGAGATCCTTGACTTTGCTCTCTCCGTAGCGTGTGATCAGGGTGACTTTTCCAATCTCCTTGCGTGGATTGATGATATCCAAAAGTTCTGTAAGGTCTGATACGGAAGTTGTGGGACCGACTTTGATGCCGATTGGGTTCTCGATGCCGCGAAGGTACTCAATATGGGCGTGATCAGGTTGTCTTGTGCGATCACCCACCCAGATAAAGTGACACGAGGTATTGTAGTGGCCCGTCGTTTCAGATGCTTCGAGTGTAGGATCTGTGAGTGCGCCGCCCGTCAGAGCAGAGACCTTGGGCGCAGGTGCCGTCTTCTTCGGCACGTTTCGATTTGATGGGTGTCGGAGTTTCCTCGTCAAAGCCTCCTCGTACTCGAGCAGCAGTCCTTCATGGCTGGTGAACAGATCAATAGTCTCCAGCTGGCCAGCCGTGTCTGCTCCGATAGTCCGCATAAAGCGCAGCGACTCCGAGATACTTTCAACTATGGTGGTGTACTTCTGCTGCAGCTCCGGATCACCCACATGACCGAGATTCCAGTCCAGTGGGTTGTGAAGATCTGCTATGCCCGAAGACAGCTGAGCTCGGACATAGTTCAAAGTCGCCGCGGAATGGAAGTAAGCCTGCACAAGCCGATCCGGGTCAATCTCTCGCTGTTCTAAAGGATACCCATTGAGTATGTCGCCACGAAAACTTGGGATCTGCTTGCCATCCACCGTCTCCATCGGCGAGCTTCTCGGCTTGGCGTACTGGCCAGCCATACGCGCTAATCGCACGACAGGTTTGTTGCTGCCCCAGATCAAGACCAGAGACATCTGCAGGAGGAGCTTGATCTTGGAGTCCACGGCATTTTCGCTGCAGTAGTCGAACAGCTCGGCGCAGTCGCCACCTTGAAGTAGAAAGGCCTTGCCCTGAGCGACATCTGCTAAGCTTCGTCTTAGTCTCCAGATTTCGTGAGGTGTGCATATGGGTGGTAGACGGCGTAGCTTCGACGTAGCTCGGTCAACAGCTGCCTGGTCTTCGTAGCTGACAGGTTGTTTAATGGGCTTAGCTCGCCACGACGAGGGTGACCATGTCTTGCTTCCCTTGTCGATGGACCCGTTCGTGGGCGTGTCGGACGACATGTCGAAGTTATCTGTGTATGATCTAGACAGGATCACTTTCGGAAGTCGAATCGCATTACATACAAGCACAAGAAGGTGTTTTGCGAGTCAGTGTTCGAAGTTTGCTTTGCAGCAACGCGGAACATTACCGAGCAATAGACAAGGCAATCAAAGGTGCAGCTGGTTTACTATGGACAAATGCAGAGCTCTCGGAGCAGCATGCAGCGACGAGGCAGTTGGTCATACTTCATTGTTGTTTTAGTAATACAGCCCTAGCATGTCTATAACCCGTGGCAGGCTACAATGCCATATAACATCCCCCACAACAGATCCGAATGTCGACTTCCTTATTTGTAGTGGCTCACAAAAACAAAATCCAGCCATGCTCCATGACCGAGGCAGCATTAGTCTATGTTGTAAAGAGAAGCGGTCGTAATGAGCGTACCTCAGCAGGCTCTGCGGCTTTTGCAAGCCGAGCTCGTTTCTTCGTGGCTAGATTGTGACGACATTATACCTTGCTCTGAGTCCGATCACACGAGCAGACATGCCTTCCATCGTCCCTTCGATCGATCATCGACCATCAGCCCTTAGAGTAACAATAACTCGGCGAGGCGCGTCAGAAGCGCGTGATCAAGACCAGATCTGGGTGATATGGTGGCCATGGCTGTTTCCTGGCCATGGTGTGTCCAGTACGTTGAGCATGCCACAGACAACGTCTTCACGGCCTGCCGTGGGCAGGATCAACTCATTTTTGCACCCTCGATTGCGTCTACACCGCAGCTGTGACCCAGGTCGTCATAGCCTTGACAGCGTCTGCGTCATGTGCTCGTAGCAACTCAGTCGCTTTGGTTTTCGATATGTCGAGCTGCTCTACCTGTAAACGGTCATTAGCCGCATACCGGAACGTGTTCACATTGTAAGCTTTACCAGCAAAGCGACATCCACCTGATCGACCTTTACCAACGGCTTCTTGGCAGCTTCAGTCTTCTTGGCCGCTCCAGCAGAGGACGATTTCTGTTCTTGTGCCACACCGAGGTTCTTCATAGCATCGTTCAAAGCCTTCAGATCGACCTCTTTCTTTGGTGCATCGCTCTCTGATGCTCTGTTATCTAGTGAGGACATGGCCTGCGCTGCCTTGCGATCTTCGGCATTGGCTGGGAGTACATCCGGCGCATCGGCACCTTCTTGTACGTTTGATGGCTGTGGTTCGGCCATGGCGACGATTGAGGATCGGCAGTGTAGGATGGTAGTTTCAAGGGCACATACTCCGCCGTCGGCTGGAACTCATATGCCGGGACCAGCCGCGATGGACGATGTGTCAGCTTCACGCCAAAAGAACCGTCTTCGATAACAGGACGGCAGGCGGTGTGCACTTGACACCCGACGCTGCATCACAACACTCAAGCCGGACTGTCGGAATCGAACACACGACCTGGTCATCCCACTCATGATATCAGGAGGATGCGAAGGTCATGTTTGCAGTGTTGATGATTGGCGGGTCAACACATCGGAACGTACTGTAAGCACCCCAGACCCAAGAGTCTGGGCCTCGCGACGCAAATCACGCAACTGTTTTGCTTGCGAGGTCAGCTTACCGGACTGCATGCGTCCATCACTTGGTACGTGATACCATCTTGGCGCCCAGGGTTGAGATATGGAGGTCTGATATATCTCGTCTATCTTCTGCCCTTCTCCATTCATCACATATGGCCCCTCTCGTTTCATAGCAAGCCGGGTAGACCTCACCAAAAGCAGAACTAGCGAGCATTTATACAGTATGGCGACCTCGACACACCTGGGCGTCGCCAGCATAGTGGCCGAAGCAGTCGCATCGGCCTCACCAAGCAGTACACACCGCGTGGCACCTCAAGGCGGCATCCTCGAGGGTGGTGACCCCAGCGTCTACAACTCAAGCAACCCGATTATACTGTTCATCATTCAGGTAAGAGACGCCATACCATGTCTAGCACTAGGTGGAGGCTGAACACTTCCAGGCCGGCATTATCATCCTCTTCTGTCGCCTACTACACTATCCACTATCGCTCCTCCGCCAGCCCCGAGTGATCGCAGAGGTCATCGGCGGCATCCTCCTTGGACCGTCCGTCATGGGACACGTACCAGGCTTCACCGCAACCATCTTCCCAAAAGAAGCCATGCCGAACCTCAACCTCGTTGCCAATCTGGGCTTGGTACTTTTCCTCTTTCTGGTCGGCCTAGAAGTAGACCTCCGCTACTTCGTGAGCAACTGGAAAGTCGCACTTAGCGTTGGAACAGCGAGCATGGCATTACCGTTCGGGCTCGGTTGTGCCATTGCTTGGGGCCTATACAACGAGTTCAGGAATGAGCCAGGCACGGTACCCATCCAATTCGGGACGTACATGCTGTTCATTGCTGTCGCCATGTCCATCACAGCTTTCCCTGTACTCTGCCGAATATTGACGGAGCTGAAGCTACTCCGCACTCCAGTGGGCATCATCGTACTATCTGCTGGGGTCGGTAACGATGTCATTGGCTGGATCCTACTGGCCCTTTGCGTCGCTTTAGTCAATGCAGGAAGCGGCTTGACGGCACTGTGGGTTCTCCTGACCTGTGTTGGCTATGTCCTGTTCTTGACCTTTGCGGTACGGCCAGCCTTCATGTGGGTACTGCGACGGAGTGGATCGCTCCAGGACGGACCCTCACAATCCATCGTTGCCTTGACCCTCATCATCACGCTGGCATCGGCCTTCTTCACAGGGGTCATTGGCGTTCACCCAATCTTCGGAGCTTTCTTGGCTGGTCTCATTTGTCCGCACGAAGGCGGGTTTGCAGTGAAGGTGACCGAGAAGATTGAAGATCTCATCTCCGCCCTGTTCCTGCCGCTGTATTTCGCATTATCTGGACTGAGCACAAACCTCGGTCTCCTCGACAGCGGCATCACCTGGGCTTATGTGATCGGTGTCATAGCTGTAGCCTTTTGCTCCAAATTCGGTGGTGCCATGTTCGCCGCCAAAGCAAGTGGTCTCGTCTGGCGAGAGTCGGCTGCCATTGGCTCTCTGATGTCTTGCAAAGGTCTGGTCGAACTGATCGTGCTGAATATCGGCCTGCAGGCCAAGATTTTGAGCTCGAGGACGTTCACTATCTTCGTCATCATGGCCCTGGTCACGACGTTTGCCACTACGCCGATGACAGCATGGCTATATCCTGCTTGGTACCAGAGGAAGTTGGAAGCCTGGAAACGAGGTGAGCTTGACTGGACCACCGGACATCCTTCGGAGGTCGACATCGTGGCTGTACAGAAGCTGGGATCGAAGAGAATCGAGAGCCTACTGGTGTACTTACGCCTTGACAATATGCCTACATTACTGGCGTTTGTGTCACTTCTTGGTGGGCCGCCTGGTGAGCTTGTGGCAAAGAAGCACCCCATGCACGAGAAGGAGTCTCCTGTCGAGAGTCGGGTACCAATCCTGCCTGGTGCCAAGTCGTCGATTCAAGTGCATGGTATGCGGCTGTTGGAGTTGACGGAGCGTACTTCGGCAGTCATGAAAGTGTCAGAAGTCGATGACCTCAGCCTGTTCGATCCGGTCTTGAACGCATTCCGAGTACTTGGCCAGCTATACAACCTCGCGGTGTCTGGCGAGACAAGTGTCGTGCCAGAAGCATCGTATGCGGAAACTCTAGTCAACAAGGCGGTGGAAGATGCCTGTGACCTCCTTGTGGTACCCTGGAGCGAGACAGGCAACATGAGCGAAGCGCAGGCTACACCCAAGGACAGCGTTCGACATAAGCTGGGTAGCGAAGCCTACTCGGCATTCGTAACCAAGACACTGGACAAAGCCGAGTGTACAACAGCAATCTTTGTCAACAACGGTTTTAGTGGGAGCTCGAAGCCACGAAAGATCACTCGCCAAAGGTTGATGAGCGTAATGAGCCTCCACGGTCCACGAGAGCACGCCGTACAACGACCGAACATCAATGGTCGCAGCCACCACATCTTCCTCCCATTCTTTGGAGGAGCAGATGGCCGTGCCGCACTTCGTCTCGTACTACAACTAGCAGAGAACCCAGAAGTCACAGCCACGATACTGCATCTACTCGATCCACAAGGAGGCCCAAATTTGCGAGACTCGTCAGTAGTCACTGAACACGCTACGTTTACAGCAAAGGGCACAGCGTCTAGACCTGCACAGTGGCCAGACGATGCCGCCTTCCTCAGCTCAATGCATCACGATTTACTACCCGAAGTACAAGACCGTGTGATCATGGAAACACTTTCGAGCGTGGCACCGATACAAGACGCCATCCAGCGAGCACAAATTGAAGTAGCGCAGGACACCAAAAACGGTGGCGATGTGATTGTGCTGGCACGAAGTAATGTCAATTCTGCCACGCCTTCAAGCGGACACTGTTTAGGCCAAGTGGCTGACAAGTTTGTCCATGCGGGTGTGAGGGCTAGTCTGCTTGTGATCCAGGCTAGAAAGGACAGTAACGAATAGATGTGCTAAGGACATGATTCGGGACATAAGATGTTCTACCAACTCTTGATGCTCCTGTGAAAGGATATCTTGCACTATTACTCATGCTCACTCGAGGTCAAAGCTATCACGAATTCTGGCGGACCCGCTACCGACAGGACCGACAAGAAGACACTAGCCCACTGCCGATACGCTCGCTTTTTGTGACACTCAAGATATTTACCGCTTCCGACGTCTGGACTTCCCACCAGCAACTAGATCGCTCAGCTAAAAGGCCGCAAGTCGTCCCGTCATCGTCTCCACTAGCATACGTCCAATACCGTCCGGTAGATCCGCGACGACCTCACGACGCATAAACCCACGCCGTTCGTCCGGCGCATATATCAGCGTCCAGGAGAATCGCGGCTGTGGCCACTGGGTGGCCGCCGGCTCGATTTCTTTCGCTTCGAACCAGCTGCCGTTCCGAGCCATCGTCTTGCAAGCGACTGGTGGATGCTACTTGAAGGATGAGTCACGGGCCACCTGGACCGACTGATTGACCTTCAAGTGGTAGACGTCGGACTTTCTAATGAGGTCTTGCATAGCTTGTGCACCACTATCTTGTGGACCGATAGCCGGATGGTATGGTAGTGCGCGCAGTGTCACGACCGGGCTCCACTTGGCGGGAATGTTCATGCGACTCATTTTAGAGACAAGGGGCTCCAGTAACGTGGTGTCGTCGAGGATGACGTGGGCATGGAGTATGTATTCCGCTACAAAGATGGATGTAATTTCTTTACAGATGGCGGAGTTCGTCGAGAGCATATCGAAGTATGGGCCGAGGTCGTAGAGGATGTTGTTGGACGTAGGAGTCCAAGGTTTGCACGGCTATAGTGGCCCAGATTTGTCCACGATATTGGACAGCAGGAAACGATAGATCATATTGCGCATTTCGGCCGGCAGCTTCTCCCACAGCTTAGGCTCATGGGGCTGTGCAGGAGATGCTGATATGGCGCCTGTCTGGCCCAAGACCGTCTTCTGGGCGTGTTGAATAGTATCGTCGGCTTATAGAGTGGTGCGCATATCGGATGCCATAGTTATGTTGTATAGTGAACAAATGCTGAAAACGAGCACAGCTGGGAATGTTTTGACTTAGTGCACCTGATATGCTGATTTGCTGCTTGTATCTGGATGTCTAAGCAGCAACCTCATTGCTCCCACGATGACACGAGTGTGGTCCATGACATTGAGTGTTATCAGATGGCGCCTCGAAGTGCGGCGAAGTGTACAGATAGCTGGAGTCGATACATAACGAACAGAACATATGCAAGATACATACCACAAAGTCATCATAACATCATCTTCGTCCCTCCCATAACGCCCGTACCGCCGCCATGATCGGGCCACTACCCCTCTCCTCACACACCTCCAACACACTCTTTACATCCCTGAAACCCTCCCTCGCACTCGCACTCCCCTGCCCACCATTCCTCTCCTGCACGCGACCCTGGATATACCTCTCCCTCACCCTCCTCATCTCATCCTCCTCCTCCTGCCGCGCCTCCAACTCCCTTAACCACGCCGAATGCTTCTCCTTCTTCTCCACATCCGACTTCAGCTCATTGAATTGATTCCGCTTCTGTCGATCGCTTTCCCAATACGCCGACCCGGCGACCATGGCCAAGATGGTGAAACCCTGGGCGTAGATTCGGCGGCGGAACATGCGGTTTGTGCGGTGTTTGTCGCCGGAGCGGATGGAGCGGGTGCTAATCATTAATCAGTACATTATACATGCATGTTATTGATGAAGATGAAAGATGCTTACGCTTCGAGTAAAGCCCAACAGGTGAGAGCACATCCTAACGGTATCAATGGTTCCTCGAAGAGTTTCCGCTGGAATTTCTGGTATCGCGATTCCTCGTAGAATTCCTCGTTGCCGTCGAAGGAGGAAGGCGGTGGCGCTGTGTTAATGTTGCCGGGGACGGACATGATTGTTATGATATAGCTGGGTGTGTTGCTGTTGTCGCGTGCCCGTCTCACATCGATCGCCAGAAGTCGATGACGGAAGTGCTACAGAGCTTCGATCCGGAGCACACACACCGCCCTGTACGGACATTTGGACGGCAGAAAAGTTGCCAACCCCAACCGCAACATAATAATGATGAATCGCGTGTGACACATATACACTTCTGTACACTCCTGCAAAGTTGATAGAAACAACATGGCCGATACCGTCATGTCTAACGGCACTCACACGCCCACCACACCCAAGCCAGCACATGCGAGTCTAGCACTGACCGAGTACACCGCCAACCCTTCGCCTCCATCAACAACACCAAAGGACAAGACTCACGATGCTGGTGTGCCGGAGGACTTTCTACTACCTAACGGGTATCCTGATGTGTGTCGAAAAATAAGTCACCACGTGATCTCATGCTGATATAGACTAGTATCTTCGCCTCATCCTCACGGCAAAAGTGTACGATGTAGTTGAAACGACACCCCTCACCCATGCCATCAATCTCAGCAACCGGCTAGAATGTAAAGTCCTGCTCAAGCGGGAGGACCTGCAGCCCGTCTTCTCGTTCAAGCTTCGGGGTGCTTACAACAAGATGGCTCATTTGACTGACGCGCAACGATGGAAAGGTGTAGTAGCGTCGTCAGCAGGTATGTACTAATATCATGACACAGTAGTGGATCTCGCTGAACGGGACGACAGGCTGAGCAATCACAGGCAACCATGCCCAAGGCGTAGCATACTCTGCCCGGAAACTCAAAATCCCAGCAACCATCACAATGCCAGTCGGAACACCAGCGATCAAACACACCAACGTCTCACGATTAGGAGGCAATGTTGTCCTTCACGGTGAGGACTTCGACGCAGCCAAAGCCGAGGGTGCACGTTTAGCGAAAGCTCATGGACTGACCAACATCCCACCCTTCGATGATCCATACGTGATTGCCGGCCAAGGAACCATCGGCGCCGAGATTCTTCGGCAGGCTGATTTGAGTAAACTTGAAGCCATCTTCTGCTGTGTAGGAGGCGGAGGCTTGATAGCAGGAACAGGTGTCTATGTCAAACGCATAGCGCCGCACGTCAAAGTCATCGGAGTCGAGACCTTCGATGCCAGCGCTCTCGTGCAGTCACTAAAATTAGGCAGACGAGTGACACTGAAAGAAGTCGGCCTCTTCGCCGATGGTGCTGCCGTGAAGACTGTTGGAGAGGAGACCTTCCGTGTCTGCCAAGACGTGGTAGACGATGTCATTCAAGTCGATACAGACGACATCTGCGCAGCAATCAAAGACGTCTTCGAAGATACTCGCTCCATTCTCGAACCCGCCGGCGCACTCTCCCTAGCCGGACTGAAGAAGTACGTCGAACGCAATCCCTCCTCCAACACAAATCGACAACTCGTCGCCATCGCCAGCGGCGCAAACATGAACTTCGACCGCCTGCGTTTCGTAGCCGAACGAGCAGCAATAGGTGAAAAGAAAGAAGCACTTCTCGCCGTCAGCATCCTGGAACAACCCGGCGCGTTCGCAAAACTAGTAGCGGCCGTGAGTCCCATGGCCGTGACAGAATTTAGCTATCGATATTCTTCTGGCAGTCGAGCAGATGTGCTTCTCGGAATCCAAATGACCGCTTCGAGCCGGAGTCGAGACTTGGCGAATTTGATTGAGCGGTTGGGGAATGAGAGTATGCAAGCTATCGACCTTTCAGGCGACGAAGTAGCTAAGTCGCATATCCGATACCTTGTCGGTGGACGAAGCGACGCAGCAAACGAACGCCTCTTCGCCTTCGAGTTCCCGGAGCGTAGTGGAGCACTGTACAAATTCTTGACGACGCTGCAGCCGGGGTTTAACATCAGTCTCTTCCACTACAGGAATTACGGCGGGGATATCGGGAAGGTGTTGGCGGGGATCCAGGTTCCGAAGGGTGAGGAGGAGGGACTGGGGAGGTTTCTGAGAGAGATCGGGTATGGGTATAGTGAGGAGACGGGGAGGGAGAGTTATAGGATGTTTATGCGGCCGTGAGTGGGATGATTCGTGGAGAGGTGTTGAGCAAATACTGTAGGAAGTCCTACTCGGTGGTGGAGGCGGGAGTGGGAAGCATATGCTGGGTAGCCTGTCAGCAGTACGAAGCCAGTGCTCATGCTCTTGCTAGACTCACTTATACTGGCATCTGCTACGCACTCCCAGCACTGTGGGCGCTACAGATGCGCTCATGATCTGCCATGATACGCTCGATTTGCTGGCCACGGGGTTAATGGAGGAACTTGGACAGGTTACACACGCAGATGTTATGTTCAGGAGCAGGTAAGCTTGCAACACTGCAGCAGACCGATTGGGGCTTGCCTTTCAGTAATGGTTTATCAATAAAAGAGATAGCTGACGCAAAGAGATAGCTGACGCCCACACATCATTGCGCAAACATGAGAGGCCGAAATCGCCGTGGCTCTTTCCTCCCATTGCTCTTTCTAGCGACTACTATCTTGCTTCACCTCACCGGAGCGCTGCCGTTGGGAGGGAACGAGCTACCCAGCTTAATAAGGCCAGTGAGCTCGATCACACTGTCGCCAGCCTCCGGAGACAGTCCTCATATAGGTCTCACTCATGACGATATCGCGGCAGGGAATACTGCCGGATCACGCTTAGGCTTTATCAAGGCCAAAGAGCCCAGTCACACCGCCACCGGCCTCAGGGGATGAGGCTCGCGCCGTCCTTACTGAAGAGGGTATTGTGATGCAGATAGCGGCGGGAAGAGGTGCAGAATTGCAAAAGCACTTGGTGAATCTCGATGTCCACGAGATTAGCGAGATTAAACGGATCACAAACGATAAAGCTGAGTGGCTGGGGTTCAAGGACATCAAGCAACATGGCTGGGTTTCACCAACTGGTCCTTCACTTCCGGAAATGATTAGAAGACCCGTTGATTCGACGAAGCTCCCTCATTACCTCCACGGTGCCATAGCCGCCTTGACGTTCGGCGAGACCAACAGCATCTGGTACTCCATAGACTGGATACTACCCGAGAAGCCGCAATGGTTGAAAAGAGAGAGGTACCAGACAGCTTTCAATGTTCAGAGTGGCGTGATAGTCAGCACGGTGAAGAAAGATCCCGAGGTCATCGTCGCTGCCAACGCGTGGGATGTTGAACACGATGAGACGTGGCGCGTGGAGGACGACTGGCATGATACTACTTATCTCACTTACAGCGCCGTCTCCAACTACGACTACCAACGAGGACGAAACAGAAAGCTGGAGAAGATCAACGAGATCTTGTTTGTAGTTGAACGGAGAAGTGAGACTGAGACTCTCGTGGATCGGGTACGATTTGGGCAATATCTTATCAAAACTCCATTCGCGCAAGCGGTGATATTCACTCCACAGCATTCACCTGCAAGCTTAGATATCCTCCTTGGATCGGGAGAAGGACAAGCAGTGGCTATGATGTTGTTGCGACGCAGGGCGGAGATGGGGTGGCGTGAAGTAGGCAGTATCAAGATTTGGGAGGACATGGGGTCTCAAGCTTGCTTGCTGTTTAGTATTGTTGATGGCAGTCCGGTGGCAGAGCACAAGAAGCAGGAGGGGCACGGCGGGCTTGAAGCGACCCAGCCTTTGCCCGCCGGACGGAACGCTTCTCCTGCCTCGTCGCTCGCTGCAAGAGGTCAGGCTAGCTCGACATTCTAAAGAGGACTAAAGGCAAACCGCAAATCAGAACAATCGGACGCAAACACATCAGGTGAGGAACTGTAGCAAACAATGGTGTCGCGCAAAGGTGGCGTGCCGAGCGACGGGACCCAATATGACTCTTTGGAGCAGCAAGGATGGAGAGACTTAGTGCACACTATCTGACAGGCCCCCCCGCCGAACGCTCACAGGCATTGGCGTCCACGCAAGGAAAGCAGAATATCAATGTGGCGCAGACGTAGACGCAAGTGGTCCAATAAACAAGATCTACGCCCCAAGTCAAGGTATCATCATCAACGTTGGGAATGTCCCTGCGAGAACCCAACAAAAGATCCCGACCCTAAAGCTTGCTACACTCGACTTGTGGTCAGACGTCACGTTCGTCAACTGGAAGCAGCTCTGTCTTCGGAGGAGAAAGAATGTAGATGGGCTGAAGTGCATCCTATTCACCATCCTCACCGAAGACGAGACGTTCAACATGCTGCAAACGGCTGTCCTACCAACGCGACCGACGTACTGGACTCGATACAAGCAAGCTGTCGAACTACGACCTTCAGACCGAGGAATCTTCGTCTTGCTAGACTGTGAAAAGTCCGTGTGAAGCGGCTCAGGGGTCTCGTGGGAGAGATACCTCCTGTTCAGGAATGCCAGCATCGATCTCAGAAGCACCAGCTCATGTTACGTACAGGACTCTTGTGTCATAGACTCGATGTGTTGGCGTCTTGTGGATGTGACGTACACTTGCCAGCTCATAAGGCAGATGCTGCAGGAGCCGTAAGATATAAGTTCGCCTCAGTCCACGCCATTGCTACTCCTTTCACAGCATCCTTGCCATCAGCGATCTATTGCTACGGGTAGAACATCTCTTCGAAAGTCTTCAGCTTGGGCTCTATCACACCGAGAGCTAGTGCCGGGCAAGCTCTCACCTTGACTGACTTCTCTGCAAACAGCACTGTGATTAAATCCTCAGCCACTCTACTGAGACATCATCCATTGCCTTGAGTGTTGGCCGTATAGCTGCATTCCGATGCTTGCTATCTCACTCGTTTGGACCATCGCCTGGGTCCATCAGATCTACGCTTCATCATTGCTCAGAGACGGCACAGATCATGGTATCATTCGTAGACTGGAGGATACGTACTTTACGGACCCGGTGGCCGAGGAAGGCGAAGAACTTCAGAAAGAGCTGAGGTCAACTACCCTCGCGACTCTTGAATCATTCGATTGGTTGAATGTGGATAACAGTGAATGGAAAGACTTCGATGCGATTGAAACTCACGGTTGGTCTGGCAAGCCAGGCTCCTCGGTCGCAGATATGATCCAGTGGAGGGTTGATGGCTCTGCGCTTCCCAATACACTCAGCGATGCCCTAACTACGCTGAGTCCGGGACATCTTGGCCATTGGTACAAGGTTACATGGGAGCTGCCCGCTCGTCCCAATCTGAATAGCAAGGGATTTTACGAGACCTTGTATTCTCCTGAACACGGCATCATCGTATCTATGCACATGTTCGATCCTCATGTTCATCAGCACCACTCCAGCTCTCTTGTCGAGGACCACTGGGCGCAGATCACCTACTTGACATATTCAGCGATCCAGAAAAATCTGAGATCACAAAAGCAAGCATACACCGGCATTACCAAGGTCCTCGTAGTCTTGCCCGCCAAATGTGCAACAACGACATTAATCGAGCATATCATACCCAGGTCGACCTGGGGCCACATCAAGGCCTACAGTTCTGCTCTCGTTTACCGGCCGTTGAGTCGACACTACAATGTCTTGCTAGGCTCAAGTGATGGTAGAACTATGGCCAAGATGCTTCTGGAGCGTAGACGCGAACTCGGCCATCTAGAGATTCCCGAAATCCGCGTCTGGGTACCCGAAGAAGGCAAGCCCTGCCTGCTGTTCTCATTCGCGGGGCGACCGACTCATAGCGTGGCTTCTAGTGCTGGGAGAAGAAGAGTGAATACAGTCACCAACGGCAAGGTGCTTGACTCGCCAGTGACTAGCTCGGCAAGTGCGACGTTCTACAAGACCAGGTCCGGCACAATCGTGTTAATCCAGGTGCTTCTGATAGCGATAGCCATACTGATCCAGCTTTCCGCCGCTCTACCTGTGGACTCCGATTTTACGGCTTTGAGTCTGAACGCCCCACTCAATGCACTTGATATCGCCGAGCATCAGGGCAGCCAGCTCCTGGACGATCTCCAGAGCTCTTTTGTCAACCCGCCTCCAGAGACAGAGGATGCTCGGGAACTCTTGGACGACTGGACATGCTATTCTAGCATTAGAGACCATGGATTCAGTGTCAAAGGGGAAATTGATATTTGTAAAGACCTCGCCTCCCCGACTGCTTTCGGGCCATATCTACGAGATCTTATGATAACTTTGACGGCTGACCAATCGGCTCCCTGGCACTTTGTGACGTGGCATATTGAGGCTAAAGAACATCTCCAGAGTAAGGGAGAATATAGCACTGCCTATAATCCCCGAGCCGGCATCATTATAACCATTACGAAAGAGGACCCATCGGTCCGCTATTCTCACGATGTTGAGAAACAAGAGGACCATTGGCCTTCCATAACCTTCCTCACGCAAGAGATGATAAGCAGGCGCACAGTAGCGATAACACCACAGAACTTTCGCACAAGTATCAAGCAAATCGTCATGGCTGATGTAAAGGGCCCAACTACGTCTCTCTTCGCCGACCTTCACGCGCGCTCGACCTGGAGTCGGCTGTCAAGATTTGCAGACGCTCTCGTGTACACGCCAGAGAGGGATCCGAAAGAATTCAAAGCTCTTCTTGGTTCAGCAGAAGGACTGTCGGTAGCCCTGATGCTGCTGGAGCGAAGAGCCGAGCTTGGCCGCCTTACGGTTTCGGAAATCAAAGTCTTCGTGCATAACGACCGGCCAATCCTGATATCCTGTGTTGCCGCACGCCCGGGTTTGAATGCAGCTTCCGGCGTTGCCAAGAAAGATCTCGATGCGGACTTGGGTATGGTGCCCACTGCTACCCGCTCGTTCAACAAGAGCTTGCGATATCGGAAGAGGTTCCGACAGGGTCGATCCCTCAACAGATGTGACCGAGAGTAGTTACAGGATCGCCGCAATGTATGGTGAGCAGTTGCAGAGCGTAATGGAGGACCCCAACGGCGGCGTACCCAGCCCTTGGACCAGTGACACTGCTCTCAAAGAGAACGACTGGCACGCGGAGGGAGGTAAGGAAATTGTGAGTATCAGCGGGTTATCTCAACCATCCACAGAGATCGTGCAAGCCATGGGCCTGCAGAAGGCAGGAGAAGTATGGACGCAGATAGCATGACGCCGGGGTAGAATTTGAACGAGGCCACCGTCCCACCGAGGCATCTATTTCAAGAGAACATATATGCTCCTTCCTTGGGAATGATCATAAAAGTAGGGGGCACTCTGAGTAACAGCTCCCTACTTGCATCAGATCAGGAGGGTGGTAATACGCTGGGTGCGTGGCCTGACATCTCGTTCTTATCAGGGATTCGCCTTTGCAAGCATCAAGATCAGCGCTCAGATGGGATCAAGTACGTGCTCTTCCCGAAGCGGCTGGGACCTGATACTCTAGGGTTGCTCAACGCCGCTCGAAGACCACTTTACGTGAAGACATGGCCGGTCTACCCAAGAGCAGTTGAACTCGATCCATGCGACGTCGCTTTTCCACGCTGTCTTGAACAGTACACAAGAGAGACGTCGCTCTTCTTCTAACAGGACACAAGCAGGTGCTGGGACGCGAGAGATGTATCAAGAACATCAAGATCTTCGTGCCCTGCAAGGAATGCGTCAATACCGCCTTACTTTTCTCCATCAGTCCAGACGGGCCACACAGTGCGGCGCGAGGGTGTGCCCTTGAGAAAGATTCGCGAAAAAGCACAAGTCGCTTCGAGAAGGCCAAGTCCTGGTTGACGGCGTCCAAGTCAAGTCTCTGAGCTCGTGTACAGTACCAGGAGAGTGCTGGTGCGGGCAATCACATGAGGGGTCTGTTCTTCTGTCATTCTGCAGTGGTCTGGATCCATATCGTAAAGTGACACTCAGAACGATACGATGACAGTAAATGGACGCCCCCGTCAGCCGCTGGCGAGGTGCTTGGTGTCCTTTCTTCTCCCGTTCTTTTACGTAGTCCATACACTGCTCCTGATCCTACCTCGAAGTGTAATCGGGACTTCGGAGGATATGTTGGCATACTTGAGAGTTTTGCTTGAAGTTATGCGTCACGGGCATTTTGTCTGCTTGGGATTGGTCTGCGCCTGTCTGCATTGCTTCTTTGGTATCGGACTACGAAGTTCTTTTCCAGCACATCTCGGTCTTACTATTTCAGCAGGAAGCAGATGGACGGCAAAAGCTAGTCTTTTAGCTTTTCTGATTAGCATTGATTGTGTGCGTATCAATTTCAGAACATCAGGGCCATGTAAATACATGTACTACTGTAATGAGACTTAGGTCGACTACTTCCTAGTGTCGTTAATGCAAATCTTTCGAAGCATATCCTGCTTGTAGAAACTTCTTGTTGGCATGGTTGCCACCTCAGGCACGATGTCCAAAATTTTCACCAATGCTCAATCGTTACCCAAGCTAAAAGTCTTGTACATGTTGAAACATCGATGCACGCGTCCTTCCGAACAGCCAGCACTACAATAGATCATGATGCCGGCGTCCACTGAAGAACAGACAGACCTTTGGCTTAGGCCAGGATCGTCGGTAATCCGACTGTCAGTCTGGCTTTCGATCTGACCGAGCTTGTCGGGCGACGTGGGAGATGGCCATGCTGCCAGCCAAAACGGACTTTTTCATAGAGTCTCGGTGCACAATGGCAACACTCTTGGACGCTGGGTCTGCAAAAATGAAAAGCACTGAAAAAGTGCCGCGCTCTTCGGTACTTACGCTATGTCTTTCCAGCTCTCCAGCTCATCCTGCAGACGCCTGCTCGAAATGGGTGTCAGCGGTATATCACAGCAGCTGAAGATATTGATGGCATCAGGTTCATCATCTGTCAGCACGATCTTCAGGTCTGTGAGCAAAACACGGCTCTCGCAGCTTCTGCAGTGCTGCGCTGTCATCATGCCCACGACAACGACATGACGACAGCCCATCGCTACATGTGTCGATACATGGCAAGGCATACAAAAGGCTGAATCCCCTTCTCTTCTTTCCTCTTTAGTCTCCACAAGTCCTCTTGCTATTGCTCTGAAGCCACTCATAATCATGGTAGCCATTGGGCCCTTTTGCCTGGCTCTGCAGATTCTAGGTTTTTTTGGGCTATCCTACCCTTCTCCACTAGTGTCCAACTCCTCGCAGCTCTCACGCAGAATAAATTCACTGGTGCCGACCAACAAGCGACCACAGGCAGATCCCTACAAGGTCGCAGAGCAGGAAGGGGCAGCTTTGAGTGCTCAGTTCTCACTTGGTCCACAGAATATCGGCCAAAGCTACTTCACGAACTACGGAGCTCTCAGGAGGCATGGCTGGACTCAACGTACTAATGTAGCCATTGAGGAGAATCAACTTCCAGAGCCTGCCAGAGTCATCCTGGGTCATCCACTCGACAGATCTGACACTCCGACCCCTCCGGGCTCACCTGCAGGCACCAATACCGGCAATGTCGAGCAGTTTCAGTGGCGCAGGATTCTATGGTCCCGCCGACAGCACTCTCAGCCTGCCGCAGCTTCTGGCGGAGGTAGCGTTATGACACCGATATATGGAGCCACTGGAGCCACGTACGACGTCTTCTACAGCATGAACTCAACCTACGGCGCCATCATTGATGGAACCCACGTCACTCCTCAGCAGGCTCATCCACAAAAGACCGAAGAAAACACTTTCGACTTCAACCCAGACGAGGCTCCAATGGTCCCTCTTAGCGAATGGCATGATGGTAAGTGACTCAGATAGACCCTGTGTATATACAATCCATGATCGCTCACTAGCTTAGTTATGGCCTTGTCTTGGCAGCACGTGTGTGAGAAGAACAACCAAAATCCGACGAAGCTCAAGTATGTCCTTCGGGTGAATCTCCAAGACAAGGAAAGTATGGAAGTGTTCATCGAACTACTCCCTTTCTTTGAAGACGATACGCAAGACGATGTCGTCATCTTCAAAGCTGGAACGCGCCAGTTCAACGCTATGTTGGGGAGCTCTACCGGCGTGGATGTTGCCCATCTGCTGCTCCAACATAAAGTGCTCTTTGGACAGCGTCGCGTGACAAAGATCGGCCTTTGGAGAGACCACAAGCAAGAAGTGAAGACGGTCAACATCTTGTTCTGCTTCGACGACTGTGCGGTCTTGCCGGATGAACTGGTGTCTTCACCAAGCTCGCCCAGGGTCGATCGATTCAGCCAGATCTGGGAGGCCATTACTCGCAAGGGCAAAGGCAAAAGTAGAGGCAAAGGCAAGGAGCGACAATGGTAGGCCTGTTGGGCCTGAGCTGTACTGGAACTTCCTGTAGGTGACGCGAGGAAGGGACGATGATCTAGATAGGTTGAAGTCTTGTTCCACTTGACTTTCTGAAGCAGCGGACGGTGAGATTATGGCTTCTGTCACTATTTCCCGTAGGAAGTGCGGGTCGGAAAAGTTGTGTCTTCTTTTATTTGATACCACAGGGCAAGGGGGTCGAAAAGTCCTGTATTCGATCATTCGACTCCCTAGGGGGCTGCGGATGGAGAGAGTCCTCTCTCCGGGGCCTTCAGGTCGAGTATTATCCATATTGCGGGCTTGGCCGAGGCAATGCGAAATTATTTGTTTACGATTAAATGTGTCTCGTCATGAGCCGTGTCTGCACAGATCGACGTGGCCCCCATAAAGTCACCGCAAATCGGCATCGTTTCGGCTTGGCAGAGTCCTGCACCTCAGCCTCAGATGCACTCGTAATGATCCTTCAATACAAACATGCATATCGTGTTCGCACGAACCAAACTCTGATAGTCGCCGTGCGTCGCCATGCGGTACCTCATGTCGCACAAGCAACGGTCGAACATATCCCACGTGCAAGTACCGAGACATCTTACTCATCCCATACGATGGCTTCTTTCAACGTCACTTTTGTTTAGGGGGAAAAAATCCATGGGCAAGGTGCCGGAATCGAAGGTAACCAGGTCACTAGTGTCGACTCGCGATCCTTCCGACTGTGCGCGTTTCCATCTTTCAGGCCAGGTCCTGCAAAAGCGGCTCAGCCTGCACGTAGACATTGCAGTAGCACGTGTTTGGTCATACACACAGGCATCAAGCCGCGACCACATGGCCCCCATGTGTTCGCTAGCTCGCATATCAGACCAGAAAAGGCAAGGCTTTCGCTGGCCAAGAGGCCAATATGTTGGTAAGATCCTAAAAGACAGAATCATTGGTTGTATTTCTGCAGGCACGCCGACACTAATCAGTCCTTTGCTGACGCTCTAATCTATACTGTTGCGAGTCTTTGGTCGCAAGAGGCACAGTCCCTTACCATTCGATGATTACGCCACAATTTACACACGGTTGACTGGGAACATGACATTGATTCTCGCCGGCAGGACCACAATGAGAGTTCCAGGCTAAACATCTATGGTGACCAAGGTGGCGGGCACACGATTTCTGTGTACCTGCCGCTTGCGAGCCGTAGGTTGGCAAAGATCAGAAATTAGCCTTTTGGGGCTGGCTTGTGCGGCTATGTTGATCAGTGAGGCAGGTCACAAGCGTGACGCAGTAGTCTAGCAGGCTTTCAGGTTGCTGGAGGCACAGTATAAGATGGGTAGTGCGGTCCCAAAATCTGCTAAGGAACTCGAGCGTACCGCCGGGCACTCTCACACCAAACCATTTCCTGTCTCACAGAGACAATTCTTCCCATACGCTTTCTGACCAGTATGTATTATTACATCGCACTATCGGCACTCGCTGTGCTTGCCACCGCAGCACCTCTCACCCGACGAACTCAAGACGGCCAGTCCGGCTGGCAAGGCGCCAATGGCACCACTGGCCGACCAAATCCCACCTACACCACAGAGCAGTTGAGCAATATCAAGCTAGCCATGTCGACCGCCGACCGGCTCAAATATATCCAAAGTCTAGGAGACACAGACCTTTACTTCAAGTTCGACTACAGCATTGCAGCCAACCCGAATCCGGTCGCTGGTGCAGGGCAGGGCGGACAAGGAGACCTCTCATACGTCGGTAACTGGCCGATCTTGCTTGATCTGGGCGTCGCCATGTCCATGGGCTTCATGAACCCATGCGGCATGAACACCCCTCACACGCACAACCGCGCCACCGAGCTCCTCATAGTGGTGCAGGGTAACAACGTGCACACGTCCTTCATCCAGGAAAGCGGATTGGTAACACCAATCACAACCACTCTCAACCAATACCAGGGCGCCGTCTTGCCCATTGGCTCCATCCACTACGAGTTTAACGATAGCTGCGAGCCTGCTGTATTCGTGGCCGCATTCTCCAACGAAGATCCCGGACTCAGTCGAACGGCGCAGAACTTCTTCGGTGAAGATGGCAGCATCGTCCAGGCTGATCTCGGCTTCCTCAAGGTCTTCGAGAACATCAATATACCGAAGTTCCAGTCCCAGATACCGAAGGCGTTTGCGCTGGGGGCACAGCAGTGCTTGGAAAGGTGTGGTATCAAGTACAATGCCACTGAGCACTAGTGGGGTGGACTTGATCGCGGCCATCGAAATCTCTCGTTGTACATAATTGCCACTTGTACATCGTCTGTAGCTTGTTGTACACGGCCTTGCTGATTGACTGGGTCCGCCTCCGCATCACTCCTCCGTTCCAGAAGCTCGTTCAGTATCTGTAGCTGCTTGTCAAAGCTTTGCATGAGCTCATCGATGTTGCCGAATTGACGTCTGTTTTGCCTGTTAGACAGAAGGGGCACTTCTTGACCACTGACGCGGATCATAAGCCGGCCTTGGTCATCGGTCGAAGTGCCACCCCAGCTCGGCGCTTGTGAGATAGACGCCTGCAATGATTGCCAGTGCGGACTGAGCGACGAAGCTACTTGGACAGTCTTGCCGTCAGACAACATATCCAGTATCACAATCCTCTCCTCCACTTCTGCCTGACCAGTCTGCTGCTCAATCGCATGCAGTAAGCCTGCTGTCAGGTCTTCCGGGTCGTCGTCCGTGAACACATACTGCACGGTAGGATGGTAGTGCTCGCCAGTCTCGTGATCCTCGACTAAAGTGAAGAACGGCTGAAAGCCTGGCGGAGGCAGGAGCTGTTCAGGCATAACTTCTTCGTACGTCGTCTCGTCTCCTTGTGTAACGTCCTCGGCCAGACCAGGTTGTGCTATCACCCTTTCCTCATCCTCTCGCTTTTCAACCATCTGACTAGCATGCGAGCCTCTGGCTGAGACACCATCAGGATCTTCCATGCTTGGGTTCCATATAACTCCAGCTGCGTGGTTACCTGTATCGGTCATGCTGGCGCAGGCAGCCATATGCTGCAAACGAGCTCCTCCATATCGCTCTTGCTGCCACTGTGCGGCCACTGCATTACTAGTACCAACAGCAGGCCCATCTGCTCGAGACACTGATGGATTGTGAAAGGGAACTGACATGGTTTCGTATTTCGCTCGAGACGATCGACAGCTCACTCCTCGGTCATAACAAACATAACGCCGTGCCAAGACATGTCAAAAGTCTATTCCATACCTTCCTATCTTGTCTACTCTCAGTCAGATCTCAAAAGATTCAACATTTCACCCCTGGCTTCGTAGATATTTGCCAATGTGCTCCCTGCCATTGCGCCCTAGAGATAATGGCTCAGAATTCCGGAGACCAGGCTAACGACCAGCCAACGGAGACATCATCGTTGATACCAAAGACTGGACCCACGCCAGCTGAGGAGAACAACGAACATCAGCAGCACGATGGCAGCGATCTCGAGCGTATGCCAAGCGCTGAGGACCGTCAGAAGCAGTATGAAGGCATGCCTCAAGTACGAAAGCAGATGAAGGTCATAGTCCCGGCCATCGCCATCGGTGTCTTCCTAGCGGCAGCAGACCAAACCATCATCGTCTCTTCTTATGCCAGGATCGGGTCTGACTTGGGCCAATTGAGTCTGGCAAGCTACATCGCGACTGCATACTTTTTGACACTAAGTGAGTTGACTACCCTATATTTGAACCATTGCGACCTTCTACGCCACCATATGTCGACCATCCGTACCAAAGCTGTTCCATGCTACGTTCACAATCAGCGCTCCATTTCACACTGTCGAGAAAGTCGACTTGGCTGACCTGTTCTTCCCCAAAATGCAGCATCTTTCCAACCACTCTATGGCAAACTTAGCGACATATTTGGACGCAAGGCCTGCTTATTGTTCGCCTACAGCGTGTTTGGCATTGGCTGCATCCTCTGTGGTCTGGCGCAGAACATGCAGCAACTGATCGCCGCCCGAGCTTTTGCTGGAATCGGCGCGGGTGGCATGAACACAGTGGTCAGCGTGCTCCTCAGCGACATCATCCCACTACGGGACCGTGGCACATGGCAAGGCTACATCAACATTGTCTTCTCCAGCGGCGCAGCAGCTGGCGCACCGCTTGGAGGCTTCTTATCGGATAGCGTTGGCTGGCGATGGGCCTTTTTGTGCCAAGCTCCACTATGTGCCGTGGCGTTCGTCGCTGTGACATTCGCACTCAAATTACCGAAGCAAGACGAAGTTGACTGGAAGAAGAAGCTGGCACGGATAGACTTCCTTGGCGCCATCGTCCTCCTTATCGCTGTATCTCTTCTTTGTCTGGCTCTAGATCGAGGCAGCAACGTGAGCTGGAAAGCAACCATCACCATCGTCTCCATCAGTGTGTCGATACCACTCTTCCTCCTCTTCGTCTTCGTCGAGACAAGGGTGGCCAAGGAGCCATTCGCACCAGGTCACATCATCTTTAACCGGTCAATGATCGCATGCTACCTATGCAACTTCTTCTCCATGGCAGGCTATCTAGCAGCGCTCTTCTACATACCGCTGTACTTCCAAGCGATCGACGGTCTCTCGGCGACAGGAGCTGGAATCAGGCTCATCCCAGGCATTTTCTGCTTGGTGAGCGGTAGTCTCTTCGGCGGCTTCTATATGAAAGCACGTGGAACGTATTATTGGCTTACGGTGGCCTCATATATTCTATTGACTCTTGGCACAACGGGAGTCTTCTTGTTCTCTGGTATCATTGTCAACAGTACAGCTGGAATCATCGCTGGCTTGATGGTGGCAGCTCTGGGAAATGGTACCGGAGTGACTACAACGCTCATCGGCCTCGTAAGTTCATCGTTATAGTCGACTCTCAACGCAGACGGAAAGTGTTGTATACGGTACAAGATTGCTGACAAGATCCCACCAGATCGCAAACGCTAGCCGCGAAGACCAAGCAGTGGCGACAGCATGCTCGTACCTCTTCCGTAGCCTGGTATGTATATACTCCGAGACTCCATGTATCGATGACTTGTGACTGACATAGATGAACAGGGCAGTGTGTTCGGCATCTCGATGTCAGCGACCGTCTCCAACCAAGCGCTACGGAGCAGCCTTGCAGAGCAACTTCCCGCCTTGGGTTTGCCCGAAGATAAGGCGTTGGAGATAGCCGAGAACGTGAGGCAGAGCTTGGTTTTCCTGAGACAATTAGAACCGCGTGTGAGAGAAGTGGTGACGAAATGCTATGCCAATTCTACCTCAGCAGCGTTTGGGCTACAAATCGCCTTGGTCGCCGGCGCAGCGGTCAGTGCATTCTTTATTAGAGAGAAAGCTTTGAGTAAATAGAAGCACAATAGCTATCAGTGCCTCTGCAAAAGGTACGATTTCATCAACAGGATATTATCAGTCACGCTGCAGACGAGTTGTGTCTATGTAGGATCAGTCTTTCGAACCGGAAGAATTATAAGAGGAAGGAAACAAGCTGCTGTTAAGTCGAATTTGAAGTTCTTGCTACTGCCCTACTACTACGCCTATCATTAATGGCGTATGTTGCCATTGAGGCTCCAAGGCCGAGCTACTTTGGTGTCTGTAGTGGTCACCGCCGTCTCACTCACTGCTTAGCATGCTTTCAATCGACGACCTGACCATCCACTGAACCCAGACTCGGGCATTATCTGGTCGAATAGGGCCAAGACATGCGTGTATGGCTGGTGACTAGGTCATGAAAGGTCAAAACGCCGGATGAAGTGAAGCTAAGAAGGGCTAGCCAGGTCTTGGCATATCTTCACTCCACGTGCTGCGGCGAAACCAGATTATTCGCCTCGTCCGCGCTCCAAGCGCACCTCTGGACTTTGGAAGTGATCACACAACTGTTAGAAATTCAGCAGAAGAACTTGCTACTTATGCAGGTCAAGACGGATGAGATGCCGTCCACATGAAATCCTTTTTCCAATGTTGCTTGGCCGCGGTGAGAGACATAAATATGCCTCCCTGCCGTCGAACCCCGACAGGCGGCCTATCACCACTCGTTTTCGGCTTCGAATTATATCAATCACGATTGTTATGATGGCAGCGGCTCTAGCAACACTTGCTGTGGTGACGCTGGTGTCGGCTTACCCAGCATGGCCAAGCTCTGGACCATCGACGACTTGTGACACTGTCCAGCATGGCTACCAGTGCAATTCGTTGATCAGCCATTTCTGGGGACAATGTGCGTCAATATCAGAGTGATTTTGTGGTTAGAAGCGGCGTTGCTGGTTAGGACGATGGCGGAAGGCCTCTGAAAGGGATCCCACTTATTGATCATCACCCAGCCCGCAATGTCAGCTTCTGGCCATAATGTGAGCTCGTCCTACTGAGAAAGAGTCAAGCTGACCCGAGCATGATAGATAGCCCATACTTTTCTGTCGAATCGCAAATACCAGACACCGTCCCGCCACAGTGCGATATCACATTTGCTCAGGTCCTGTCTCGTCATGGCGCCAGAGATCCCACCGCTTCCAAGACAGCAGCCTACAACAGCACTATCAACAAGATCCACGCCAATGTCCGAAAATATAGCGGTCCATACGCCTTTCTGTAAGCATCGTAGGGCTGAAACCATGTGGACGGTATCACTGACATTCCCTAACAGAGAACAATATCAGTACACTCTCGGGGCTGATCAGCTTACTCTTTTTGGCCAAGACGAGATGGTGAAGTCTGGTCAGAAGTTTTATGAGCGATACGAATGTCTTGCGGAAGAGTTCACTCCTTTCTTCCGATCTTCGAGTGAGGCGAGAGTGGTGGAATCTGCCCGAAACTTCACGCAAGGATTCCATGCCGCGAAGCTAGCTGACTGGAGGTCTCGACATATTGACTCCACATACCCTTATCCAATCACAGTCATCTCTGAGGCTGATGGTTCCAACAACACTTTGAACCATGGGCTCTGCAACGACTTCGAGAACGAGGCGCCCTATAACACCACCGCATCAGATGCACAAGCTGCTTGGACCAAGATCTTCATTTCGCCGATTCAAGCACGACTGAACGCTGGCCTTCCTGGTGCCAACTTGTCTGCGTCCGATACTATTGCAATGATGGACCTGTGTCCATTCAATACTGTGGCTTCTCCGAACGGGACATTTTCTTCTTTGTTTTGCTCGCTCTTCAGCGAGACCGAGTGGCACCAGTACAACTACTACGAGACGCTCAACAAATACTATGGCTATGGTCCAGGAAACAAGCTTGGGCCTACTCAGGGCGTTGGCTTCGGCAACGAACTCCTTGCTCGCCTTACTGCTCAACCCGTCAAGGATGAAACAAGCACCAATCACACCCTTGACAGCAGCAGTGTCACCTTCCCGCTCGGAAGACGCTTGTACGCCGACTTCTCGCACGACAATGATATGACTGCTATCTTCTCTGCTCTTGGCTTCTTCAACGGCACTGCACTACTTCCGAACACCACCATCCTCGAGGCACCTCAGGCAGACGGCTTCTCGGCAAGCTGGGCTGTGCCTTTCGCGAGTCGCGCTTACTTCGAGAAGATGGAATGTGGAGGCCAAACAGAGGAATTAGTCCGGGTCATTATCAACGATCGTGTTCTACCTCTGACCCAGTGTGGCGGCGATGGGCTTGGCCGCTGCACGCTCAGCTCCTTCATCAACAGTCTGGGGTTCGTGAGGTCTGGCGGCGACTGGGACCAGTGCTTTGTATGAGCAAAAATCCCAAAATTAGGTACATATGTTACTATACTTCTCCACGAAAAGCTGAATGCATAATGCCGTCGTACTACCCCCTCATGTGTTTGAACAGGATTTTGGACGTAGAGGCAGTGATAATGCGGCCTCCAACCTATCTCCGCCAGCCTTCCAGATTTGCTCTTCAACGACCACGAGCTCACCAGGGTGCCGAGAATAACATCGGCTCACCGGACGAGGTGGCTCGGCGATAAAGATCTAGGACATGCTGCCATACAAGCGGGGTTGTTTTGACTTTACCATTACAAAAGTGGGGTGCATGCCCGGGTCAACGACCTTCGTTTGACAGGTTTATATTGATTCTTCTCGCAAGAACGGTGCTCTTGATTAAACACATTGCGTGTGATCGCTGCAACAAACCTTGAAAGCTGTCAGAACAATCCAACAGGCATCCCTTGGAAATTCCGGCTCGAGTACAATCATTGTGACCTCGCAACGCCACGATGGTCAACCAAAAGGCCCAATCCGCCGTGGAGAAGTCTCTCGATGGCGTGACAGGTGATAAATCCACTGGTGTCGCCGGTCTGGTCTTCGTCGCCGTCGGCAAAGATGGTAAGAACATCGCCGCCCACGCATCTGGGAAGCTTGGCCTCGGGAGCAAAGAGCCCATGACCCTCGACACTGTCTTCTCGATCTTCAGCTGCACAAAAGCATTGGCCGGAATCGCTTGTATGCAGGCCGTTGAGCAAGGTAAACTCAGTCTGGACGACCACAAGCAAGTCTACAAGCTGTGTCCTGAGCTCGAGAAGGTCAAGGTTCTTCAGGATGATGGTACTCTTGTCGACAAGAAGAACGATATCACTCTCCGCATGTTGCTGTCTCACACCGCTGGATTTGGCTACGAGTTCTTCAACCCAAAATTGAGGGATTATGGTATGGTGTCGTCTGTGTGGTACTTGGTTGGATGTAGTACAAAAACGCTGACAACCACCCCAGGTCGACCAATCGGATTTGGTGTCCTAGATGCCGATATTCGTAGCATCCTTCGTATGCCGTTGGTGAATCAACCAGGCTCGAGATGGGAATACGGTAAGTGTCTCGGAATAACGAGCCATACTTCGGAGTGGCAACGGGTTTGCATTGACCCTCTGCAGGAATTAACATCGACTGGGCCGGCATCATGCTTGAACGAGCCACTGGTATGAAGTTGAACGACTGGATGCAACAATACATCATGCAGCCTCTCGGTCTGAAGAACATCAACATGCTGCCTACCGAGGATATGAAGAAGCGGCTCGCGTATACGCATCAACGCTGGCCCGGCGGGAAAGAAGCCGAGGTGCGCGACCATGTCTACCGCGAGCCGTTGCTGGCAGAAACCCAAGAGGAGAAGGACCGCATCTTCCATAGCGGTGGCGCGGGTTGTTTTGGGACGCCAGTAGAGTATGTCCAGGTTCTAGCGGCACTGTTGAATGATGGGACGAGTCCAACTACGGGTGCACAAATCCTGAAGCCAGAGACCGTGAAGGAGATGTTCGAGAACCAGGTGACTCAGTTTGTGAGTAATCCCATGATTGAGACAATATGCTAGTTGCTGCGAGGACTGACAAAGATCTCCTATCAGCCCGACTTTGCCCGTCAAGGTATGTGAATGAGATGTGTAGGCGGACAAGCGCAAAGCATGCTGATCGTTTCTGCAGGCATACCAGCAGCCAAACCCGAGCAGACGAACCCTGCCCCAGAGTGAGTTGACCGTGCTTATCTCGATGTGACCCTGCCATACTGACTGCACCAGACTTTATCCACAAGAAGGCAATCCGGCGCAAGGATGGGGCCTTACTTTCATGCTGACCCAAGAGGCCGGAGCAACCGGTCGTGGCCGCAACACTGCTTGGTGGGCCGGCATTGCCAATCTCTTCTGGTTCGTCCCCTGTTCATCGTGCATAGCCTTGATACTGACCTTTCACAGGTGGTGTGATCGCGAGAAGGGGGTAGCGGGAATGATATGCAGCCAGGTAAAGCATCCGAAAAGTCCTGTCACGCGAGCTCGGCTGACCACAAACAGATCTTCCCTTTCGGCGACGAGCATGTTATGGGCCAGTGGGGTGCTTGTGAAGCGGCCGTGTACCAAGCCCTTGGAGATTCTGGCGCAAGCGAGTCGATGTCAAAGCTGAGTGTACAGTAGTCCTGCCTTTTCTGAATGATCTTCGTGAAAAAGGTCTCACTAAACCCCTTGTGTGACTTCCTCGAAGACTGGCTTCAGTCCGCCCTTCTTGACGTCCAGTATCGCAGAATCGTGGTTTGTTCCGGGTAGATCGTGGAACTGAAGGTCAATCACATCTTGGACACCATCTCGAGCCCAGCACTGCTTGAAATAAGCTGCGCCCTCCTTCCCAATCATCACGTCCGACTCGGCGAAGAACACTCTTATGCTAAGCTTCGGTGCTAGATCTGTCGTGTTCCGCCTTGACTTCTCCAAACTTACGAGCGACTGCACATACTCCGGATACTCTTCACAAATCCCCCAAAGTCCTGTTCCACCCTTCTTCAAGCACAGCATAGCGTCCTCATTGCCCGCCGCCCAGCTTTCAGCAAGACAGTACTTCATCCTCAGCTTCTCGATATGCTGTGCAATCTCATCCGGCACACCATACTTCTCCTCCGGCGTCAGCTCCGCATCATCCTTCGCCACATCCTCCGTTCCTGATGAAGATTGAAACAAATTCCCAACAGCCGTCAAAGCACCACCGGACCAGGCCAGTGCACCACCAGACCACGCAGTAGCCGGCATGATCCGACCAGCAACGAATTTCGTGATGTTGCTCCAGCTGCCGAAAAGTGAGTTAGGGATCTTCGAGACGATGTTCATCAGCGTAGCGTTAGAATGGCTGTTATGTACCCAAGGGGCGAGCATGGCAATTTGTGGTCGGTCCGGGTACAGGATGTCTCGGTGATGATATAGAGTATTGAGCACGTAGATCGTGCCTGCGCTATGTGACTATCGAGATTGTCAACACCCTCCCTAGAGGTCTCACCGAGAAGCTCATCTTATCACACTTACGAGAAGGTGGACATGCTTGACGTTGAGCTCCTGAAGCAAGATAGGCACAGTCTCCAGCCAGACCTTTACGCGGATGCTGATATCGACAGACGTAGAGCCTCCCATCGACGGCCTGTTCGTTGTCAGTACATTGGAAGCTGATGGTCGTGAAATGGCAATGCTCTACCCACCTATCCACACATATCACTCTAACCTTGTTCTGTCGGAAGAAGTAGTCAAAGTCAAGGCAATTCCACCTACTTCCAAACATTGGACCACAGAATAGGAAAGCAGGCAAGCTGTCATCATCAAAGTTGCTCGAGGTCGAGTATATCACACGCAATCGTTCGTGCTCTGGCGTAGCAGGCACCCAAAGGCGTTGATGGAAGTTCTTCGCGCAGACGATCTTGATGGCTTCGTCCATGTTTACAGCGTTCTGAGGCGGAGCTGTTGTGAGACTGAAGTATCGAGTTTGGTAGCCTTTTCGAGCAAGCTACAGGTGGAGAAAGACTACATTTGGGAGGATATATATAGAGAAGTTGAAGCGTTGTCGCTACCTTGCTTTCATCTCGTACAGGATCTTCGATGTGATTGGTGAGCGCGTACCCAAAATTCGAGTCGAAGGATTGCGAGGAAAAAGGAAGGATACATCTCGGCTCCCTCCTTGATCACATCAGTGTTCTATGGCACGAAAGAAAGGTCACAGGAAGTGGAGACGGATGTCTGGAAAAAGGCAGCATGGTATGGGATCCAAGGTTTCATGTCTCGTATATTTGAATGTCATTTCTCATGTATCATGCGGCATCGTATCGACAGCCTGTACATCAAACCTCACAACAAAACGCTCAAGATGCCAATCTGTGCCGCCAAGTAGCCTTTGCATCAGCTCCGCCCTTAAATGACACTGCCTCGGCGTGGGAAAGAGACGCCCTCTGTGGCAGCCTGGTCGCAGAACCAGCTGACTTTCTCCCCTGCACCCTCATTCACCAACCCACAAGGAAGTTTACTACCCTCTTCCGTCTCAAAGATCTTCTTCAAAATTTCCTTCTTCCCACCTCCCGTCGCTACGAAGCCAATCTTCGCGCCGTGTATCACGACCGGCAGACTGAGCGTGATGCGCTTGGGTGGTGGCTTTGGCGAGTCGGCGATGGAGAGGACCCATGCATCCGACTCCCTAAGCAGAGGATGGTCTGGGAAAAGCGAGCAGGTGTGACCGTCAGGTCCACAGCCCAGCAGAAGTAGATCGAATAATGGCAGTTTGACAGAGTCGCGAGCAGCAAAGACCGACACCAACTGCTTCTCGTACTCGTCCGCCATCTCCTGCGCATCTTCCATGTGCTTCTCATCGATCGTGAAGACCTTGGGCTGCGCCATACCTTTCGGAATCTTGTTCAGCAGCTCTTCCTGCACTAGCTTATGGTTCGAGTCCTCGTGCGTGAGCGGTACACATCTTTCGTCCGCGTAGAAGATCTCCCACTTGCTGAAGTCGACTGTGTCGTCGTCGCCGCCACTGGAAGGCGCGAGGAGAGCGTTAGCAAGTGTTTTTGGTAGGGAGCCGCCGGAGATGGCGACGCGAAAGACATCGTGGCGCTTGAAGGCTTCGTTCTGTGCATCAAGGACGTATTTGCGAAGATTGGGAGCCAGCTCAGAGTCGGAGAAGGAGTAGAGGTTTGGTTGGCGGCCCATGTTGAAGATCTGGTAGGTGAGGATTGCTAGGAATGCGACAAGTGTTGCGACTACTATGTAGCTCCTTCGATGATGATCCGTGGTGGTTAGGCTGTCGACGAATATGCTTTAGTGAGATGAAGATGGGTGTTGACAAGTGCGAAGAGCAGACAGTATCTCGACTTATCATCACCTAATCGCTGACTAGCCAGGCATTGGCAGAAGCTACAGATACCTAGTCAAGGTATGACGTCCCGAATATTCTATTGACCCACCAGATGGGCGCCGAAGAAACACCTCCAGCACCTTCTATCGCGCCCCGTCTGCAGGTGGGGATGCTGGCTCTGCGTAAGAAATAGCCTGCACAGCCCGCCACCGCAATCCAGCTCGTCGCTGTGGAGTGAGATTATTACCAGATCCTCGAGCTCTTCGGCACTGCCTCTCGATGTACCTATGCAAGTGAGCGAAAGAGGGATCAAGAATCCAAGGAACAGGGCTGCGTCTGCCCAATCGGAAGCACTCGGACCACGGTTCTCGGCAAGACTGCCCGTGCTTGCGGCTAATCCCTCGAAGCTTTTTCTTTGAGGATGACAAGCAGTGACTCGAAAGAGAATAATCACGTGCCCTTCTCATCTGGACACGACAATGGGCAAGCCAAAGCAGTTCACGCGTCCGCCGAAGAAGCAGAAAGGCAAGGCCGAGCCACAGACTGCAGATGAGTTTCAAGGAGCCGCAGATCTTGAAGAAGAGACGGGCGGCAAGTGGCGTGCAGGCGATCCGGCGAAGTCTGGACGAGCATTCGTTCGAGCCCTTGATATATACGACAAGGGATTGCAGAGATATCCAAAGTCTTTCGACTTGGCATACAACAAAGCCCGGCTAGAATTGGAGATCACACAACGACCTGCCATCGTCTCACACATCGGACAACCACTTGTAGATCTACTCAAGCAGACTCTGGACTCTCATAGATATGCCCTGAAACTAAACGAGCAGAATCCAGATGTTCTCTTCAACACATCACAAGTCTTGACGAGTCTAGCCGAGCAGCTGTCTGAAGTGGACGACACGGCCGGTGCCATTGGATTGTTGCAGGAGGCGCTTGAGCTGTTATCAGCATGTCTATCGAGGCAGGAGATGTTGCTAGAGCAGCAGCAGATTGACCTTGAAGATATCGAAGGAGGCGGTGTCGCACTAGATCCCGACGAGAAGCCTGCATCTACAGCAGGATCAGACCAGTCCGAGCAGACTGTCACCATCGAGACCCCGATCACTGCCAGCGATCTGCTCGACGCTGTTGTTGCTTCCATGTCTGCTTTGACAACTTTGGTCGCACTTGTGGAGCATCATGCGTTGGATGCACTGGGTGAGATGGCACAGTCACTCACAGAACGCAAGGCTCCTATCTACCTTGCTGAAGTAGCCGAAGGTGAACGCATCAAGGCTCAATTCGCCATAGCATTGGCAAGAGCAAACTTTGTCGCCGCGTTCGCCAGCGCACAGTTCGATGCCTTCCTACTAGAAGCCGACACCTACCTCAATCGGCTGTCTGACGTCTTCAGCTTCGCAGGCAAAGATACAGACACGACCTCGTTGAGCTCCGAGGCCTCAGCAAGAACGGAGCTTGTACTGTCATTACTGCAGCGATATGAAGGCTCGCCGGACTTGCCAGCAGACTTGTGCTGGAAGCAACTCACACTAGCACAACAGCTCTACACGACCGCGACGAAACTGGATAGCAGTGCCGAAATCTATCTATCACGAGGCGATGTTGAAATGCTCCGCCATCGTGTCGCTAGTACATCTGCGAACAAGCTCTCACCTGTAGTGCAGAGAAGTGCTCCAACACTGGCACAAAACGCCCAAACGTACTATACCGGTGCAGTCAAGCTCGCTCCGAGTGATAACGCTGACGTTCGCGACAACGCACTTTCAAGGCTTTCTGTGGCCACGGCCCTCCGCGCTCTGCTGTACCAAGTCGATTCGCCAAGCGATGCACCAGGTCCACCTTCGCATGATATTCTCGAGACGTGCGTAGAGGATGGACTGCTGGACGCTGATGTGGCGAATGGGATGGCAAGCATGTCTTTCAAGTCGTGACGAGTACAGGGGTGAGTGCTTGGGCAACAATCAGCAGTCTGATGCCGCCCATTACCTCATCGTTTAGGGCAATGCTCGAGCCTAAAACTTCCGGCGAGAAAAAACGTCCTACAGTAATCGAAGGGTGTCCTGAACCAAGGACGAATGATGGATCTGGGTCATGTACCACAGCTTCGCCTTTAGTAGATATCGTCAACTCACGACCTGCACTAACGACCTACAGAATACAGCAACAGCGAAAGTGTATACAGCAACAGCATAGATATATACAGCCTTGGCACAGTGATGTCAGGCGAAGGATTTCTTGCGACGTCATGCTTCAGCCAATCAGCGTCTGCTCAGGCAATGCGTGTAACTACCACCGCTGATCTTTGCATACCAATTTTATGATGCTGTCAGGCACATCATCCGTAGCAGCAACAGCTATGCAGGTCCGAGGGTATCATGAAGGTAGTGTCCACGGCTCTAGAACTTCTCATCCCATCAGTGCAACCTGCACGTTTCCCTCTCTTACACCTCTCTGGCCGATTGCTTCAGCTCGCACATCATCAGCATGGCTATCTTCACTATCATATTGGCAGTCTTGACGACGGCCGCCAATGCTTTGCCTGGCAATAGTAGCTACAAAGACTATGTCAACCTCTTGTAAGACATTGATGTTGACTCACCGATCATGCTAACGATAACAGTCTCGGGACCGAAAATGGCGGCAACATGTTTCCAGGCGTATCTCAACCCTTCTCCATGGTCAAACTCGGTCCAGATGTCGAGAACGGCAAGACAGATGCGTATAGTGGCTACCTACCTTCCGGCCAAGTCTGGGGCTTCAGCATGATGCACGAAAGTGGTACGGGCGGAGCACCGAAGTATGGTGTCGTCAGCCAGATGCCGGTCGTAGGCAACCTTTCCAATCCTCTCGTGGACCTGGGCCAGAACAGGAGTGTGAACGATACTGCCGCAGTGGGCTACTACAAGTCCAGCCTAGTGAGCGGTGTAGATGTCGAGCTCGCTGCCACCGATCATGCTGGTTTCTACCAGTATTCGTTCCCTGGGAATGATAGCTCATCGATAGTAGTCGACGTTTCTCATGTCTTGCCGTCCTTCAGAGGTCTTGGTAGGTACAATTAGCTGGGTTCCTGCTCAAGGCTTTGAAAGGCCCTCTCTGACATACTTTTAGGCTGGGGACAGGGATATGCCGGCGGAAGCTTGAGTATCAGCGACAACGGCAGTAGCTACCAAGGGCATGGCATCTACAACAATGGCTGGAATTACTCCCCGAACTGGACCATATACTTCTGTGGCCACTTCGATCAAGCTCCTATATCCACCAAGACATTCACGGGTAACGGAAGCACGTTGTATAGATACGACAACTCCAGATCGACCAATGGGACCTATCGGCAAGGTGGCGTGTTCCATTTCGAGCAAGAACGGGTCACGTCACGAGTCGGCATATCATCAATCTCGGCTGCGCAGGCGTGTAGCAGTCTTCATGACGAGATGCCTGTGGGCACTACTGTAGACCATCTGGTCTCTCAGACGCAGAGTCGTTGGGATGAACAAGTGTTTGGCAGAGTGACGACGACCGAGACCAATACCACTGTCCTGACGCAGCTGTACTCGTACATGTACGGCATGATGTTGATTCCAAGCAACCGCACAAACGAGAACGCACTATGGAAGTCCTCCGAGCCACACTACGATGATATCTTCACGAACTGGGATTTAAGTAGATGTAGCACGGCGTTGATGCAAGTACTCCAACCGACTGCCTACGAAGAGCAGATCCGCAGTCTCATCGATATCTGGCGACACGAAGGCTGGCTCCCCGATGCTCGCTCGTCCGACTATACCGGCAGGACGCAAGGCGGATCTAACGCAGATAACGTCCTTGCAGATGCATATGTCAAGGGCGTACGAGGCGGCGTGGACTGGACAGATGGCTTCGCCGCCATGCAGACGGATGCAGAAGTAGTACCTCCGAACAACTTCGACCCGGTCGCCAACGACTCGTCGACGAAAGAAGGTCGTGGTGCGCTACCCGACTGGAAGCAGTATGGCTACATCACACCACGGTTTTCCCGTGCCGTGTCGAGGGGAGTTGAGTACGCCGTCAATGACTTCAGTTTGTACCAAGTCGCTAGCGGTCTCGACCTCGCCAGCGATGCATCTCGATATCTCAATCGTTCTCGCAATTGGCGTAATCATTGGAATCCGGCACAGAAGTCTTTCAATTCGTCTGGCTTTTTGGTTCCTCGTTATGCAAACAGTACGTACGATGGACTTACCTAGAGTCCTATATTAGGGTATCTGCATACTGACAACGTCTCCAGGCAGTTTCGAGTATCCGTACGATCCAACCCAATGTGATGGATGCTACTGGAGCGATCCCTACTACGAAGACACTCCATGGTCGTACTCCTTCAATGCCCAACACGACATCTACCGCTTGATCTCGCTTAGCGGCGGTCGTGAAGCGTTCATAGAGCGACTCGAGACGTTCTTCACACCAGGCCTGTACCCCGGGAACGCCGCATACGGCAGTACATTGTTCAACCCGGGAAATGAACCAGCATTCAATACGCCCTATCTTTTCAATTTCGTCGGCAGGCAAGACCTCTCAGTCAAGTACTCCCGACATGCAGCACTGGCATTCTACAATGCAGGTCGTGGCGGTATACCCGGCAACAGCGACGCTGGCGCCATGCAGACATGGATTCTCTGGAACATGATAGGTCTGTATCCCATGACGGGCCAGACGACCTTCTTGATCGGGTCTCCGTGGTTCAAGCACTTGTGTATCTCACTCGGAGAGGGCAAGTCCTTGACCATTACCTCCACTGGTGGTAACAAAGATGATGCGTATTTTGTGCAGAGTCTGAAGGTCAATGGGCAGAGCTGGGGTAAGGCTTGGGTGACTTGGAATGATGTATTTGCGAACGGCGGGACGCTGGACTTTGTACTGGGTGCCGAGCCGGTGTTTTGGGCGAATGGTACACTCCCACCTAGCCCTGCGTCTGGCGATACGTTGACGGGCTATACATGAGCATGTTGGGACTCGTCGTACATGTACACCACACCAGCTCAATCCATAGTGAGTACTACGAGGCCGTAACCAGCTCTGATGTATCTCCAAATCTTCGATTCCAGACGGACAGGGCAGATTGATACAGCAGCGAGTGAGAGACAGCTGCCAATCTCAAAGGTCATGTCCCTCGAGCTCGAGCTCATGCGAGGCGGCCAAGCTCGCTGTCATGCATATGCATACCCATTCGCTTAGTAGCGAGCCAGTAGGACCTCGTCTAAACGCAGTAAAATAGATGACCAATGACAGCGTATCACCACAGGCTATGATACCTCGAGTTCTAAACATTGCCATCTCTATCACCCAAATCTAGCACACACGGCAAAAAAAAAGCACCCGCCAGCCACCATGTCAGGCGTGAACGAAGACTATAACGCCATCTCATCAGTCTACTCTCAAATCAGCAAACTACCACTTATGGTACTAGAACGACAACTCGTCGCACACGCCCTCAGTTCCTGCAAAGGCCAAACCATCCTAGACCTTGGTGGCGGTAATGGCATTCACGCCCGCAAAGCTCTGGAACTTGGCGCAAGCAGCGTAGATGTCGTCGATATATCCTCCGGCATGCTTAAAGATGGGAAGACAATCACTGCTGCGTCCGGCGTAAACCCAGCAATGATCCGTTGGTTCGAAGGCGATATCTCATCCACACTGGCACATCTCCCGCTCCACAAAAGCTACGATGTGATTTTAGTAGGCTGGACATTCGACCATGCTGAAACGGAAGACCAGCTTCTGGGGATGTGGCGAAATGTGACGACCTATGCCGCTACTGGAGCAAAGCTAATCAATACACGCCTGGCCTATATCCCCAAGGCTGAAGAAACGGATGGTATAGAGAAGTATGGCTTCCTGTACCCTGACTACAAGGAGATTCCAGGAGGAATATCGTATACCTACGAAGCATTCACAGATCCACCCCTGAGATGTCCGGCCACGAGTCTAACGAACACCCTGGACTTTGATGAGTCAAAGAGTATAGCCCGCCAGCATGGGTTTCGAGATTACCAGGTGGTTGATTCAGAGCAGATGGATGTGGTCAAGGAAGACCCGGCCTTCTGGCGAAGATTCGTGGATCAGCCGTGAATTGTTGTAGCGGTGGCTACGAAAGAGTGAACTAGGATCCGTCAGCGAGCATCCATCCTCTGATGTCTAACGAGCCATCACACTTGTAGAAGACAATAATAATGTCCTAGTCACGGACGCTTAGTGACATACCTGCACGTGATGTTGCCCCGCAATGACGTCTCGTACCATTACTTTAGAACCGATATCGTTGCCACAGCGATTGTTCTCACCGTTCTAAAGAAGCTCAATTCATATAGCGAAGCGCGGTCAAGGCCCAGAAACAGAAACTTTTCTGTTGCTAAGTGTTACCGCGGGTGCGTCAAAGCACAAACAGATCGACGAGAATCAATACGGTAGCAGCGATCCCCGTCGATCCCGCCGCCTCCTTTCGTTGCACGAGCCGCTGTGGCACCTCTGCGCTTTCGAGGTGACGTAGCGACAAGCGCTGGAAAGGCCGCGGCCCTCCATCCACTTTATGTTCTCGTCGACGTAACAGTGCAACACAGCCACAAACATCTCTTCCTTCCCCTCACACCATCACAATACCATCTTTCTCTAATCAGAAGACTCACTTTTCAACACATCCCACCAGTGCAATCACTACACACCACCACCGCAATCATGCACCGCACATACTCCATGCGCCAGTCAAGGGCGCCGACGGCGTCGCAGATCCAGAACCCGCCGCCGCCATCCTCCTCGACCAAGTCCAACAGGCTCTTTGGTAGGGCCAATATCGGTGAGCATTCCCCATAGCATGTACAACGCCGTGCGTACTCATGATCTTCGCAGGCCACACATTCCGCAAGTCCGTCCACCCCGGCGCATTCGGACCAGACCTCGCCAAGAAGCTCTCATCATTGGTCAAGATGGAGAAGAACGTGATGCGCTCGATGGAGCTCGTAGGCCGCGAGCGTATGGAGGTCGCCCAGCAGCTCTCCATCTGGGGTGAGGCCTGTGACGACGATGTCTCGGATGTCACGGACAAGCTTGGCGTGCTCATCTACGAAATCGGTGAGCTCGAAGACCAATTTGTGGACCGCTACGACCAGTACCGTGTCACCATCAAGAGCATCCGCAACATCGAGGCTTCCGTCCAGCCCAGCCGTGACCGCAAGCAGAAGATCACCGACCAGATCGCTCAGCTCAAGTACAAGGAGCCAAACAGCCCCAAGATCGTCGTCCTTGAGCAGGAGCTTGTTCGTGCCGAGGCCGAGTCCCTTGTCGCTGAAGCACAACTGTCCAACATCACCCGCGAGAAGCTCAAGGCTGCTTTCACCTACCAGTTCGATGCTCTTCGCGAGCACAGCGAGAAAATGGCCATCGTCGCCGGCTTTGGCAAGCACTTGCTCGAGCTCGTCGACGACACTCCCGTCACTCCTGGCGAGACCCGCAATGCATATGACGGCTACGAGTCTTCCAAGGCCATCATCCAGGACTGCGAGGATGCGCTCACCAACTGGGTGGAGCAGAACGCCGCTGTCAAGTCTAGCCTGTCCACCCGCACGCGCACTCTGTCCCAGCGCCGTGCTCAGCGCCAGCAGCAGACAGGAGGGCATGATCTCTCCGGCCAGGACCAACACATGGACCGCGAGTCCGGCCTGTGGATCCCAGCCAGCGAGCACAAGGGCGAGTACGATGATGAGGATGAGATAGAGGAGGGCAGCATCGCCCGTGGACGCGAGGAGGAGCGTGTCGAGGCTGCTTAGGTGCCTGGCTTACCTTACAGTACTGGTGCAGGAGCGACTTGATGTTGTGCGATATACCCGGCGGTAAAGCCGTAGGGATGCCTTGGCTTTGCGGCATGAAGTTCACGTTTTCATGTTTGAGCGGTTTGGGTTGTGGTAGCATCACTTCTAGGTAATTGGCTGTATACGTAATGTTTCTTATATTCATTCGTACTTGAACAAAACACACTGCCCTTTCAGTGACTCCCACTCTTGCTAACCTCGCGCCGCAACAGCCGTTCTAAACACTCGGGGAAACTCCTACCGAACTCTCTTCCGTCGTACCTGCCGACTTCGGCTAGCTTGCAACATTCGAAAACATATTTGCCAAACTCAACAATCACCACCACATCTCATCAAGCATCACGTCCGAGCATCTTGACACCAGACAACATGAACGGGACGACTCCTCCTGTACCCGCCGCAGGGGTGTGGGCACCAGCAATAACCTTTTTCGACCCCAAAACCGACGAAATCGACGTCGCCTCCCAAGCAAAGTACTACAAATACCTCTCCCAACACCTAACGGGCCTTGTAATCCTCGGAACCAACGCCGAGACCTTCCTGCTGACCCGCGATGAACGCAAAACTCTCCTCAGGACTGCTCGTGAAGCCGTGGGACCGGACTATCCCATCATGGCGGGAGTAGGAGGCCACAGCACCAAGCAGGTTCTTGAATTCATCGATGATGCGAAAGATGCCAAAGCGGACTATGTTCTTGTTCTACCCTGTGCGTACTTCGGGAAGGCGACGACGGGGAAGGTGATTGAGAGGTTTTATGATGAGGTTGCTGAGAAGAGTCCTTTGCCGGTTGTGATTTACAAGTACGCTACGTTGCAATGATCGGACATGTAATATTTGCTGAATACCTACTGCAGCTTCCCAGGCGTCTGCAACGGCGTAGATATCGACTCAGATGTCATGCCCTCACTAGCCAAAAAACATAAGAACATCGTCGGCGTGAAGCTAACCTGTGCTTCTGTGGGCAAAATCACTCGTTTAGCCGCCTCATTTTCGCAATCAGAATTCGCAATCTTCGGAGGCCAGTCCGACTTCCTCCTCGGGGGCATGGCAGTCGGCTCAGCGGGTTGTATCGCTGCTTTCGCCAACGTCTTTCCGAAGACGATTCGGCGGATCTATGATCTCTACACCCAAGGCAAGCACGACGAAGCACTCAAGATCCACCGCGTAGCTGCTATGGCGGAGAGTCTGAGCAAATCTGGCATCGCGAATACGAAGTATGCTGCTGCTTTGACCAGTGCGAGAGCGGCTGGGATTGGGGATGCAGAGACGAAGTTACAGCCAAGACATCCTTATGAGGCGCCTAGTGATGCGACGAAGATGGAGATCAAGCAGAAGATGGAGGAGATGATCAAGATTGAGGACTCCTTATAAGTGCTCCATGTACACTAATATGCGATACACTGCCTTAGGGAACCTCTTTACCCGGTAGTTCTTGAACATGCTCAACCGTCGCCTCGACCCTCTCCGTCATCAGTGCACTAACGTCCTTGAGACATGCAACCGATATCAGTGCAACCACCACAAAAGGTAAGATCGACCACCATGCAAGTCGATAAGCGTGCGTATAAGCCCAGTGACTGGCATTAGCAGCCGCCCCAAGTATAGCAGGAGTGATACCAGGAATCTCATCGAAGCCCTTGCCCGTGCCAAACGCCGCCACTAGTGCCGGCACAGAAGAAGGCGGTAGTCCAGCTCCCTCAGCAGCAGCAGAGACTTGAGGCGCATACGTCTTCTTCAGCTTGCCATTCGAGATGGCATCGAGTACAGCTGATCCGAAAGCTCCACCGATAGCGCGGGCGGAGAAGCCAAGACCAGTAGCTGTACTGAGGTAGGCATGTGGTGCTGTGAATTGGATCAGTGCCACAAGAAGTGTCAGTGGTCCAGACTGTCCAAGGCCACTTAGCACGTTGATGCCGATTTGTGCATGGTTCCAGCTTGGTGTTATGCAGCCGTATAAGATGACCACGATTAGGAAGATGGTGAAGGTGACGATGAGCGGCCATTTGAGATCTTTCTGCCTTGTCGCGTACACTAAAGCCAAGCGTCAGCTTATGAGCAGTGTGCTTTGCGAAGGCCAATACACTTACGAGTAATAGGTATGCTCGCCAACAGAGTCGTCAAGTTATAAGCCAGCTGCCTCAAGCTGATGACCCAACTATTCGTCTCGAATCCTAGGTTCAGCACTATCTGCGGTGTGTAGCTATTGACGGCACTATAGAAGATCCAGCCTTCGACCGCGAAAGCGAAGCAAGATAGAGCGAAGTTTGGTGAGCCCTTGAAGAAGACGTGCGCGACCATGCCGTCGGTGCGACCCTTCCATTCGTAGAGACAGAAGGCAAGGAGGAGAGCGAAGCCGATGGCGAGAGGGGCTGCGACGTGAGCGTCTGACCATGCGTAGGCGCCTGGGTCAGATAGTCAGTTTCTCGTGTCTTGGTAAGTGATGGCCGGAGGGAAACATGGCACATACCACCTGCCCAGTCGAGAGCAAGCAATAGCATCGTAGCGGCGCCGATGAACAGAACACTTCCGATCGGGTCGATAGCCCACAGAATCTGTTTGAAGCTCATGCGCTCACGGTTCGGATTCTTCTTCGGCCAGTAGAAGGCGAAGAGGCCGGCGGTCGTGGCGAGGTGGAAAGCAGCTTGCATCTGCCGAATTCAGTCAGCACACTCGAAGCACACATTGAGCTAGAAGAGATCGATGCTGCTCACCCAGAAGATATTCCTCCACCCAGCCGGATTAGCATTCGTAACACCACCCGCTCCCAGACTACCAACAAGCCCCCCAACAGCCCCACCCACAAACGCAAACCCATTAGCCAAAGCCCTATACTTCAACGGAAGAACCTCCGCCGGGATCGCCTGCACAATGGAGATGGTGCTCAGCGTAGTCCCAATCAGCACCCCACCCACAATGAGCACCGTCATGCTCTCCGCGCGAGCAGAAACGCAAGCCCCGATGAAAGCGATGAGGGGAGGGATGATGGCGATGTACTTCCTATCCAGGACATCGGAGAGTCGGCCGACGACGGGAGATAGGACGGATTGCATGAGTAGTGGACCTTGGATGATCCAGCCGGCTAGACTGGCATCTCCAAGGTCGCGGATGATGAAGGCGATGACGGAGCCGGCGGCGACGACGACGAAGACCTGCCCAAAATCACCTATCAGCTTGTATATATATGAGATGGCGGACATTGTCTCGGGCAAGATGTTTACCTGTGCCATGATGGCAAAGCAAGACCAGAAGACCACTGCCCATGACCGCCACGTGAGGTTGATATGCGAAGCCTCTTGCAACTCGGCAATGTGCTCCATCGGCGGTGCCGTCTCGAGGGTATCAACATGGTGGAGTGAATGTTCCACACTCTGCGTATGGGACGCACCCATCTTCTCAGCCATGCTGACAGGCCCTTCGACTATTCTTCGTAGGGATGAGAGGATATCAAGGAGGAGGAGACACGATAACCTCATGCAAGAAAAAGGAATGGAGTCAGTGATCGACCAAACCCATACTGTACATATACCCCTACCTCTCTACCTCTACACCTTGGCAGCTTACCCTACAGCAATCTCACCATGTGGGTTCTCCCAAGGAATCAGAGAACTGCCGAAAAGCGAGATGTAGATGCATGGGCTGGATCGCCTGTACACACCCGTCTAGTAGCATCTCCATATCGCGGGGGTTCCCCACACAGCCCCGGCACACGGCTCCAAAGTGGATCCCAGAGGCGTCAAGGTATGCATGAGTCGAGTCAAGATATTAATCAGCTCCTGACAGCGGCAGTTCTGAAGCTAAAGCAAAGGTGAACAAGTGCCGGATGACGAGGAATCCGAAGAGCAGAGATCGGCTTCCCTTGCAAATTCCGGTGCAGAGGTAACGAATGATTCTTTGCCGCACGAGGGAATCCTCAACTACGACGAGGCTGGACCTTTTCTCTCCCTTTTGTCGTATGTATGGCTGCATGGCAGTTGTTGAATGGTCTCGTGTGGCCCAAGCCGGCTGCTATCTATACAGCCGCCAAGATATATGAACAACTTATATATGTATACAAGCTTCTTTCGCTCATCGCCCATTCCCAAGCACCGACAATCAACATATACATATACAGTCATCCATCCTCACTTTCCACCCTGCCCCTCCTTCTTCCCCCTCGCCCTCTCCTCCGCCACATCAACACTCCTCCGTCGAATCCTGTCCTGATCCCCAAAAACCCTCGGCACAAGCTCCTTCTTATTAACCTTCCCCATCGCATTCCTCGGGATCCCCTCCACGACCTTCAAGTCTTGCGGGATCTTATACGCCACCAACTTATCCTTAAGCGCACGCCTCATATCCATCGCGCCCCACTCCTTCCCATTCTTCCCCGCCGTTTTCCCGCGAGCGGAAAGGACGACGACGGCCGCGACTTTTTGGCCCCAGGCTTCGGACGGGAGGGCCACGACGGCACATTCCCTAATCTCAGGCAAGGAGAGGAGTTCGCGTTCGATTTCCAGCGCACTCACTTTCTCCCCTCCCGTCTTAATGATATCAGCGCTCTGTCTCCCAAGAATGAACCACGCAGGTCCCTTGGCCCACTCCCCACTCTTCCCCTTTCCAGCACCATGGACAAGACGTCTTACAGCGATATCCCCCGTTTTGAACCATCCATCCTGCGTAAATTCCTTCTTCGTCGCCTCCGGGTTCCGCCAGTACCCTTTGAAAATCGTCGGACCCCTCAATTGAATCTCCCCCTGCCGTTCTTTCCCGTCTGCTGTCATATCCTCGCCGTCCGCAATAACAAGCCCCGTATCCGTATCCACCAACCGCGCCTCCACACTCGGTAAAGGCCAGCCCACGGACCCATCAATCCTATCCTCGTCCGCCAAACCGCAGGATAACGCCATGCCGACTTCCGTCATCCCGAAACGTTCTAATAAAACATTATCAGCCGAGATCTCCGACCAGGCTTTCTTCGTCGGGGTGGGTAAAGCGGCCGAGCCAGAGATATTGAGGCGGAGATGCGGGCGTTTAATGGCTTCTTTGCTCGCGTGGAGTATTTCTGGTGGGAGTGCGGAGTGCGTCTGCAGCATTCGGGCCCAGACTGTCGGGACGACGGTGAAGAAGGTGATGGGTTTTTTCACTGCTTCACCCTCGCCTAGGCCCTCGGGAGTATGGCCGTTTTGTATACTCGTCATGAAGGGCGCGGCGAAGCGTTTCCAGACGGCGTCGACGTTGAAGGGGAAGAGGAATTCTATGGTGCTTCCCGCCAGGAGGGGGGTGAGCATGGCGTTGACTGTGCCGTGGATATGGTGGAGGGGGAGGACGTGCAGGAGGTGCTCGGCTGGAGTGTACTCCCATGCTTGGAGGAGACTTTGGGCCTGAGCTGCTAGGACAGCCGTGGGAAGGAGGACGCCTTTGGGGCGGGCGGTAGTGCCGGAAGTGTAGAGCATCATGCCGCCTTCTGCCAAATAAGACTCGCCAGTCAATTGCACAGCTTCAGTGTCCTCGGCACCTTTGGTGATTTTGTCCACGGATATGTTGACGGGTGGGTTGTCCAGTCCATCTGCTACTACCTCGTCTGCGAGCTTGGCGAACTTGGAGGAGGAGAGGAGCGCCAAGGCTTCGCTATGGTTGAGAATATACCTCAGCTCGCTAGCTGGGAAGGAAGGAGCGAGTGGGACAGCTATGGCGTTGCTGGCGAGGCAGGAGAGCAGTGTGACTGAGAGGGCACTACATCAGCGAATGCTTCAATAGACAATATAGAGTGGGATATAGAGAACTGCCTACCTACATAATCATAGCCATTCTCCACCAAGAACGCTATCCTCTCGCCCACAATACTACTCTCATCCTTGCCAGTCTTCCTCAGCAATCTATCCTTGGCCAGAGCCACATCTTGTAACAAAGACCCATATCTGAACGACCTCCCCGAAAGCGAATGTACTACCGCCGTACTCTCCGCATCATGCTTTGAGATGGCATCGATGAAAGGCGAGCGTTGTAGGGAAGCCATTGCGGGTATGGTTGTGGAGAGGGCACGCGACCTGAAGGATGATGAGAAAGTGGATGAGGCAGAGCGAATATCAGGGAAGAAACGAGAGATACGGAAGGCGGTCAGGCGACGACGAGTCAGCATGGCATTTCACGTTGCTGGAATAGGAAGGAGCGTGGTTTGGTCGGTGAATGGAAAGGTCATAGATGAACATTATTATGCACTGATTGTTCTCCATAAAATTATGCTTATGCTTCAGCCCTACGAGTTCTACAGTACAGTATCTCGAGCAAGGGCCAAGCGCGTCATTAGGGTTTTTTGCACGTGCGGATTGTTTCGACTGCTTGCGCCTATTGTACCACAAGGGAAGCGTCGCTATATCCATAAAATATCACCCACTGAATCATCCACTGAATCACCAAGGTTGGCATTAGATACGAACTGGAGACCTACCTGGACGAAGGAAAGTAGCGTGAGATAGTGGAGGAACAAGGCACTACCACCACGTTGGGAAATCGGCAAGATGGTCAAAGAAACGGCATACTACGACGCCCTGGGTGTAACACCCACAGCCACTGAAATCGAGATCAAAAAGGCCTACCGGAAACAAGCCATCAAACTCCACCCGGACAAGAACCCGGACGACCCGACCGCACATGAAAAGTTCCAGGCGGTGGGAGAAGCATACCAAGTCCTCAGCAACAACGACCTACGAAAGCAATATGACCAATTCGGCAAGGAAGGCGCGAAGCCAGACTCCGGTTTCGAGGACCCGGCCGAGTTCTTCACCATGATCTTCGGTGGGGAGGCGTTTACAGACTGGATTGGCGAGATCAGCATGATGAAGGACTTGACCAAGAGTATGGAGATTAGCATGCGGGAGATGGAGGAGCAGGATCTGACTGCTGCCGAGGCGGCGGCGAATGCGGAGACTAACGCTGCTGAGCAGACGGCGCAGTCGACGACGGGCGTGCCGCCTCCACCAACTTTTGCTGAGGCGGTGCCAGAGAAGTATGGGGCTGCTGCTGGTGGGAGTACCACTACCGAGATACCGGTGCGGGAGAAGGATACAGCACCCTCGTCCGGCACATCCACTCCTCGACCACAAGGCGTCTCAACACGGCTAGCCATCACCGATAAGACGGAAGAAGAAGCCGCGCAGATGGCCGCCGGCATGACGGAAGACGAGAAGAAGTTGCGTGAAAAGGAAAAGAAAAAAGGCGGTCTCACAAAGGAGCAGCGAGAAGAACTCGCCGCCTTCGAGCTGGAACGCAAAAAAGTCAGAGATGAACGCGTGGAGGCCTTGTCCAAGAAACTCATCGACCGCGTCTCCGTCTGGACCGAAACGGACAAAGGCGCCGACGTCACTGCGGCATTCCGAGAGAAGATGCGGCTGGAAGTGGAGAACCTCAAAATGGAATCCTTCGGCATCGAAATCATGCATGCGATCGGCCAGACCTACCTCACCAAAGCCACCACCTTCCTCAAATCCCAGAAACCGATTATCGGCGGCGTGTCCGGCTTCTTCTCCCGCCTGAAGGATAAGGGGAATACGATCAAAGATACCTGGGGTACTGTCTCCACCGCCATCAGCGCGCAGATGGAGATTGAGGAGATGGCGAAGATGGAGGAGAAGGGCGGGGAGGATTGGACGGATGAGAAGCGGGCGGAGTATGAGAAGAGGGTGACTGGGAAAATTCTGGCGGCGGCGTGGAGGGGCAGTAAGTTTGAGATTCAGAGTGTTTTGAGGGAGGTGTGCGATGGGGTGTTGTATGATAAGAGGGTGAAGATGGAGAAGCGGATGGAGAGGGCGCAGGCGCTGGTTATTGTCGGGGAGATATTCGCGAAGGTGAGTCTACCCACTATTGTTCATTACACCCTGATTTTGGATCATGATGTCCATTCATCGTGTGCTGTGACGCTAATCATGTTTTCATTGCCAGGCCGAGCGCGACCCAGAGGAAGAAGGCGATTACATGGCCTTCGAACAACTCATGGCCGAAGCGACGGCCAAACGGGAAAAGAAAGACGACAGTCATAAGGAGAAAGAGAAAAGGAAGGAAAAGGAGAAGGCGGAGAAGGCGGAGAAGAGGCATCATTTCGGCGGTGGCGGGCATGAGCATTCTTCGCCTTCGACCGCAGACGAGAAGACGGCGGCGCATTCGGGACTCTAGGGGGGGATGGATGAAAGGCCTCGCGAAGAAGCTGGGAGTGAGGGGGTCGAGAGAGAGAATAGAGGGAGGACGGTGGCGGTGAGTGGGAACGAGGGGTGGTCTGCGTTATCGTACTTGGGCTATCGGCTCTCGTGAGTGAAGCAGGGCGATTTGTGATGGACGGGCTTGTGGGCTGTGGGTGGGTATTCATAGCGATTGGCGTTCTTTGTATGCTTGGGTTTCTGGGCAGGCAGGCAGGCAGGCTTTTGCACTGCTGCCGGAGCCGCTGCTGATCATGGCTGAGCTTGTTTGGTCGTTCGGTTGGCGTGGGCTACGGCATATGTTATAGAGGGACTCACATCGCTAGGTCTAGGTCTAGGTGGAAGGATAATGATAGATACCCCGCTGGGTAAGAATGATGAGATTCGTTGCTTCTGAAGGCCGCTTTGGAGTGCGTACCTACCTGGTCTGGTCTGGGCTGCTTGGCCGGAATGGTCTCCAAAACACTTGGTTGTGAGCAAGTGTCCTCTTCGCTCATTCGTTATCGCAGCTGCTGCTCACTTGAATCATGTAGCTGCCGCCAGCCTTACAGCCTCGTCTGAGACTCCGCATACTGTGTCGCGCGTGTGCATCATCGGGCGCGTAGCTGGGACGAGGCTGCGAGTAGCGATTGGTCAACAGTGCATGATTACTGGATACTGAGGGCGCTGATCAGCGTTAATGAGGCTCTTGATGTACTTTATCGTTGGCTTTATAGCGGTCGCTGGTCGGGAACTCGAACAAGGTCACAGAAGCACCACAGTATCAGCACTTCATAGCAAGACTCATGCTCCACGACTTTGCGCAGGATCGAGGAGCTTCGGCCCACCTGAGCAGTAAGCAAAACAAGAGAGGCGGCGGCATGGGTTTTCTGCAGTCAGCAAGTGATGCCGAGTAGGAGATCTTGCCGTCCGGTACCTGCAGGTTCTGCAGACAACAGGTAAAGGACAAGCTGCAGCACGATCAAAGGACCCTGCTTGCATCGTCTCAGATCGCGAGCATAATGGAAGTCTCATTGGGCGGATGTGACCTAGAGTTCGGCAAGACAGACGCTTCATTGCCTGGATTTCGCGGGCTAAGGTATGCTTCCGCCACTAAGCAGTCTTGCAGCTATACCTCGTGGCCTATCCAGTCGTGGCCTACAGCCTTGGGCGATTTGAACACATGATAAGAGCCGTGAGCAGATCGAACCTCCTCCGCGCTCCTTCGCTAACACCCAGGCCCCATAGTGCTCGTGCAGCGTCGCTTTCTGCTTCGAACCGACGTAAACGCAAAACCAAGATGAGTGCCAGTCATGAACGTGATGCCGCAGGTATGTTGTTGCTTGCTAAGCATGCCGGGTGGTAGTGCTCCTACTAAGATTAAGCCTAGAGGCAGAAGCTAAACCACGCTTCCTCTTCCGCGCTTCTTCTGACCAGTCTCGTGGCGGCCCAGAAGGCAACACCTTGACCACCGTCGACCCTCTGGCCCATAGCCAAACTGTGGACTACCACTCCTGTCTGGCAGTCATTCCACGCAGCGTAGCCAGATCTATGCTCCAGCACCACTTCCTCTGGCATTACGAACACGCCTCGGAATTCAGCTCCTGGTCTACATCACTCCTTTGGGTTCTCGTCCACGCGATCCGGAAGCAAGTCATTCGCCACGATACGAACGTCCTGATCTACGTCCTGGACACGACACGAGTTGAAGACAACCGAATCCACAGTGCTGTGAAGCTTCTTGATGTTTTCGATCTGCGGCATCCTGAGCAGCTGTCAGAGTACTGCAAAGGCGAGTACCTAGTTCACGGGCTAATGAGAGCAACGATAGGTTTCAAGGCAGTCAAGCTGGAGACAGTAACTCATGCAGGGCTCTATGAAGTGTTTCCGGACCTGCGTATCAGCGCTGCAGATCATCGGCTGTATCTCAGGGTGAGAGACCATTTACGTCCAATCTACTTCGGCAGGATCTGGTCGCTCTCGTACGCGGAAATTCTTGGTCTGAAGAGGCTCGGCCGGTGTTTCGGTAGGAACTGGGAAGCTGTCATGACTGTTGCGTTCCTGAGCATGCGCAGACGCCAAGGAGAGTCGAACAGGGTCCAGGCGCTGTTCGCTGATTTGAATTATTTGCCTATTAGACCAGTACCGGTGTCGATGCGCGTCACAAGCGGCACATTGCGTGAGGGTGAACAAGGTGTCTTTGAAGCCCAAGAGTTCGACAAGCTCTTGAGCTCACTATACGGTGCCGTCGGTAGGAAGAAGGAGAGTACCGATGCACTCACGCAAATCAATGATCTAGTAATTGAGGTTGAGTCTTTGGGCAGTAAGTATCGGGGCAATTCATGGACAAATTCCAGCTAACTAGTAGTAGTCAGGGTGGAGTCAGCATCGCCATAAAGCTTAGCCTAGCGCAGAGACAAAGATTGCAAGCCTGCTTCGGGTAGCGTTGGCGCCTCTTCGTCCCCCTCGCCCAGATCATAGGACCAGGGACAGCCGACCGGCCTTTCTGGTCCCCGGCTTTGTTCGACAGACCAGCTTGCGCGGACATCATCGACGATGAGAGAAGCTTTAGGCAGGCTGTTAGGAGATGCTTTTTTCCAAGGGGTTATGTCGATACTTGACCATGCGTGTATCACAATTGCTGATGAGAAGACTCTTTTGTCGAGCAGCCTCATTTGTAATAACCAACGGCAAAGTAAACACCGGGCAATATGCATGTTTCAGCCTGAGAGGTGTATCTTGCTCTTGTTAAGGTTCGATCAGGGTATGGGTGGGAACAAAGTGACAGAGGAGAATGCCTGACATGGGCAGATAGGTCCATGTGGTCGGGCATGATCATGAACGAGTATTGCATACCAATCGTTGTGGTATGCAGCACCTCGAGACACATCATCTGGAAAGGTCGTTATGCTCACTATGGTTACGGATGTTCTGCATCTCGTCTATGCCCGACACTAGCCTTGCCGACGCAGAGCTTTGCCGTGGGCTGGAAAGGGGTGCATCTCGTTCTTGATTAACCCCTTACTTCAACACTGCGTAACCCTTTCGCTTAAAGTTCTGTAGTCAACTTCCACAGCAACGAACAACCCAATATTTGAGACATTATGATGTACTCGCGCCACGCTATCTCAGCTACACGGCGAAGCGGGATCGGAAGAAGGTCTGGTTGGACGAACGATGCGATCTTGAGACAACTACAGAGCCTACAGCAGCGACATTCCTTTCTGTTCAAGCAAAAGCCGTTGCACAGCATGCTAAAGAGGGCACTTCTTGGGAGATGATCACCAGCTATTTCGCCTTTGATCAATCATCAATGTCTGCCGTTTAACATGAACGTGGGTCGCAGATTAAGCAAGAACGAACGTACCTGGATGATTGGGCGGCTTGATCTGCTAGCCTGGTCACTCACAGTGATGGTGCTGGTGCCTCTGCTCTACGCTTCACACTATCATAGTATATGGCGCTGGCAGCAATGGTCCAAAGGGTTGGCGAAGGTTAGCGCTGGGTACCGCATGTTGACATCCATACCACACAACGTGGCAGACCTTTATCGAGACCCTATGGCGGGCGCTATGGCACACCCCATGGATATTCGTGGAACTTTGAATCGCAGCAGAGAGGCACCTACGGTAGGAGACGCAGCGGCAGGCACGAATACCGGAAAGCCGGGCCGGGTGAATAAGATGATCGGCAGGCAACACAGCTCTGCCGGAAAGCCATCGTCCGTAGAAGATGAGGATGAGGTGTACGGCGCCAATTGCAAGCGTAAGTCGATGGAAGGAAAAGGCGAAGCGGCCGCGAGATGATCTCCAGTGGAACCCAAGCAGTCGTGAGCTTGGAAGATTTGCCGCTCGATGTAGACAATAGACAACATCTCCACTTCATGCTCCTCCTTGCGTCGTCTATATGTGCTGTCAGGTATTCATTCTGCGGCAGTCGTGAGAAAGCCACGACATAAAGACTCCATCGCATTCACCGACTTAACAGCATCTGGAAAGGCTCATCGCACTGAATCACGGCAAATCATCACCACCCCCCGCTCCTCCCCTCCCTCTCCCTCCTCTCCACAAATCTCCGAACCAATCCCGCCGCTTTCTCAGTGGAAGTACTGGTAACATCAACCTCAACCTCATCCTCATCCCCAAACCACCAAATCCCATCACCATGCTCCCGATACCGTCTCAAACCCTCCACATCCGTCAACGTCTCATTCCTATCACCACCGCGTCCCGGAAGCTGCAGCCTGCGTTCGTTCTCAACTTGCTCGCAGTGGAGATTGACACTGTAGAATCTCCTCCCATCCTCACCGAGAGCCAGGTCCGTGTAGTCTCCCATGCAGTCGTTATGCTCTGTCTGGCTGTCCGTGAAGATGAAGACGGTGTCCTCCAATTCAGGGCTTCGACAACAGGACGTAAGCGTTGTTGCCGGTACTCGCTACGTTTCTGCTGGTACAGACCATGGCCACGTGGGTAACGTTTCTCGACTGGATCGATTAGGTCGTGGTTGTGAAGGATCTGTGAGCCTGGGATCAAGGGTTGCAGAGCTCGAGCGACGGCGAATTTGCCTACGCCTGGCCAGCCGTTGATGTAGATTACGTAGGCTGGAATGGTGGCGTTGTCTCTCATTCGTAGGTTGGTGCTGTGGATGGGTTTGACCTTCGGTATTGTACTTGGTGAGGAGACTGTTCTGAAGTCGTAGGTCTGGCAAGCTGTTTGCTTCTGCAGTGACGTTGAACAATGGAGAGGGCATCTGCATATCTGCCTCTGTGCTCCATCCTGACTATCTGCATGGGAATTGCTGGCCATAGGATAGCTTGCGAGCAGTCGTGAAGATTGAAGATAGCTTCACGATGCAGTCAGACCTCGCGAAGCGTTGTAGTGCGATTGTCAGCTCTGGAATCTTTCCATGCGCTTTTGCAGAATGCTCGTGACGCTGCTACTGGCCATTCCTATCTGATGTCAGTCTTTAACAAGAGCACAATGCAGCAAACTGTAGACAACCAGCATATCGACCGTGCCTGCCTCCCGGGTCCCTGTATGTGGCACACTGTTGAGGTCAATGATACACCAACATGATGGCTTCTTGGGAAGCTTCTGGCTCTACGGGCCTGTTGGAAGTGATGGAATGATGACTTGAAGCATAATTGGTTCGATCTTCGGATGGAGTTGTGTTGAGTGTAGCTTGAGCCTACATATGTAGCGACCTTGATATCCGGCCAAGGTCATAGCATATGTGCCATTGTCATTGTGCTCGCGTCACTGGGCCCATTGAGACCTCGTGGCTCAGAAGTATCTTCTCAAGCAGTCCTTGCCTTCTTACTGCTAAGCGCCCTCTTCAAATCCCTCTCATCGCTCTTATCATGCATCCCAGCCATTCGATCGCGTAGGTGCCTCTTCCATCGTGGTGGCATCCATTCCTGTCGTACATCTCCATGAACGTCCTGCCGGCAAACCCCATCACGGCGCACATAATATACATCCCATCGTCATGGGCTCACTCATCCTTGCCTACATCCAAGTCAGCACCCACACCCAACTACGAATCGCATACTAAACCACTCACCTCTGCTTATGCTTCGCATTCTTCGAACAAATAATATACACATACTTCCCACCCTTCCTCCTTACACTCTTACAGCCATCGCAGAGCTTCTTCACACTACTCCGCACCTTCATGCCTCGGGTTTGCTGTCGCGGGACCGGTCCACCACCTCCTAACACCGGTCTACTTATGCTCAAGCTCCGGAATGCTGTGTTGAGAGTGTTTGTTGGTCGTGATGACATGAAGGTGGATGTGGTTAATTGTCTCTGTGATGATCGCAATGCTGCTGTGGTGGTGGACGGACACGAGGCTGCTTGTGTCGCAGGTCGGAAGGCGAGAGGGCAGTGGAGCGCGGATCGGGTGCTTCGTATGGCAAACATGATGGCGGTAGGTGGTTGGTGAGTGATGTGAAGAGATAGTAGAGCATGTGAAGATGTCCATATCGGAGGTCTACGGCGGACCAGAAGTGGAGGCCTTATAGTTTCAGGCAAACAAGCATAAAGTTTATGCGACTTGCACAAAACACCGCTGGCATACATCAAGGACAACAAACTGTACATGTGGGAAGCCTGAACGTCACACAAGATAGTAGCGAGTACGCTGACGAGGACACTAGTCTCATGAGCTCGGTAGTGGTGATCAGTAGGGCTTCACCATTGACATATCTACTCTACACTGCTAGTGATGCTAATCGAACCGATCCTCAAACACTCGATTTATGGCCGCCGCGACCTGACTGTAAGTAATGATCTGATTATGACCGCCATACTGCACAATCTCAAAGCTCGTCCTCGGCCTACCCTTCGCCTTGACATCCAGCACAGCCGGCCCCTGACTCCCATCGATACACTTCACCGGTCCAGCTTCATCTTTATCCTCATACACACCCGGCTCGGCACCCTCACCGAAGATACGCCGGCAGATCATCTCAGTTTGATGATATGGAATATCCATGTCCCGGATCGAATGTACGAGCTGCAATGCGCCCATTTGTCTACCCTCCTGCGACTTGAGAAGGGGGCTGTTGTGTAGAGTATTGTAGTATGCCTCCAACCGCTCAGCAGAAAGCCACTTATCCACCATTGTGCTCGTGAGCAGACCTGCCAGGTACGGGAATGGTCTCAGTGGGAGCAAGATTGGTAGGAGTCCGCCGATGCGATATGTGAGCATTAAGCTTGGCAAGCTCGAGAACGGTGCCACTAGGATCACCCCGGCGAAAGTCGTTGGCTTGACGCGTTGCAGTTCCCGTGAAGAAGCGGGTGTGAGCTCACTGCTGGGATCGGCGAAATTGAGTGCTACTGCGCTACTGACAGCCGTTCCAAGACTCTGGCCGAGGATCAAGACACGCTCTGCAGGTATGCCGATGACGTTCAGTACATAATTGACCAAAGTCGTGCCATCCGTAACCAGACCAGCTTCTGTAGGCGAGCCAGTAGAGTAGCCAAAGCCTCGATAGTCGATCGTCAGGACATGAGTGTTAGGCTGGAGAGATAGTTGACGATATGTCTGCATCCGTAATGCTTGAGCAAGGTGGCCAGCATTGCCGTGGACTTCTTGATGGATCATGATTAGCTCGATAGCATGAGTGATATTGTGACGAAATCATACATGTCACCACCACCTTCGCCGCGGGATCTTCAGTGAGCAATCTAAACGCACTAGTCGTGGTGAAATCGTCAACAGGCGCATGTGGTCGGTCCTCAGCTTTCAGTGCTTTTTCGTGGCGAGTATAGGTGTCAATAGGTAGAACATGCCAAGCATACAAGGTTTCGCCATCGGGAGTCCTCAGATTGAACGGTGTGACCTGATGATGGGCGAATCCAAAGGCCTCTGGTTCGTTTAGGTCATCGCCAAGCCAGAGAGTGTTTATCTTGTTCGCGTACAAGGCGAAGCGTTGGATCTGTGGCGTTAGGAGAGCTCCAAGGACGATAGCGTAGATGCCCACTGCTGCGCTGACACCGAGAGCCAGGCGCTGCGATACGCCGGCCACGATTGGCATCTCTGCCTGACGATGTAGGTTGGGTGGTGCTATTGAAGTTGGATGTCATTGACATTGATATTGACATGTGAGCGTGGCTGAAACGCCACAGCTCGCTGTGATTGGCAAGCGTATTCGACATCTCTCGCGTGCTGTGCTTCACGGCGTATCATTTCATCACATGATCGACATCAACACGTGAAGGGCTGTAGAGAGAGATAAGACTGGGGCAGGCGATGTGACGAGTATGGTACAAACAGCAGAGGTGGCCAGTGGGCAGAAGCGAGGAGTAGGAAGGCCGCCAAAGAACGCGACACCGATCACGAAGAAGCCTAGACTTTCTATATCGACACCACTGCAAGTCTCATCGACGCTACATTCCCCTTCGAATGATACACCGACCAAGAGAAAGCGAGAAATCAAGCTACCAACAAGGATATCCGAGAGCAAGCCCATACCTACTCTTCCACACCCACAGCGATCAAGCCTCCCGGACGATGAGTATCAAAGCATCGCAGCTAGTGCTGTTCTCTCGGCAGCTCTCGCACGATCCCAGCATCGATGGACACACGAATGCATATTCGAACGCTACTGGACGAAGCCGGAGACGGGGAAGGGTGCTCGTCCACCTCCACCGAACAATCCGGATTTGAAGTCTATGAAGCTAAAGGGCGAGTGTCGGATCAGGATAGAGCCACATATATTCGAGTGTCAAATGTATGTGGCCGATATACCGAAGCCTCCACCGCCTCCAAAGCAGCAGCAGCAGTACAACCAGCCGGTACAGAGTGCATATGGACAGCCATATAGGACACAGCAAGCAGGATATGGGCAGCAGAATGCATATCAGGGGCAAACACTGGCACCAATGACCCAGCAGAATGGGCAAGGGAGGACGCTGCCACCCCTCAATCCGAGTGGTCCGCGCTCGTTCTCGCTTGCACAGTCATCGCCTTCAGCCACTCAAGACAAGAAGCCTGGTCCCGACCCCGTCATCACCAAGCTCGCTGCACGTGCCTCTTCTGATCCCGAGCTCAAGACGCTCATGAAGGAAGTGGCGACTGGCAATGCGACGCAAGATCAACTGAAGGTCTTCCAGAAGCACATCGACGAGCTACAAAGACAGATCAAAGTGGAAAAGGAGCGCGAGGAAGCAGAGAAGAGGGCGAAAATGGAATCAATTGCTGCATCGCCGCCTGGAAAGGAGGATGTGATTCGCTATGACGGAGCGCTAGACAACAAGCCGAAACACGATTCACCGCAGCAATCTACACCAAGTTATCAGACGCCGTGGCGACCTCCCGTACCAACACAAGCACCCGTGATCCTTGCCTTCACCATCCCCGGAGCATCAGAAGACCGCTTCCTCTTCCCGCAAAATAGCATCCTGGAACGCCTGAGTCCACACCACTACCTCGCCTCCTTCATCGTCGTCAGGGCTGGCAAAGAAAGTGCAGATCCTCATATCCCAAATCTGAATCCCAAAAAGGACTACTGGCAGCCCGTCACATTGATGCTCGAAGTCAAAGTTGGGCTGGAAGAGCTACCTGGACATGTGCAGAAATGGGTGAGACCTCCGGAAGAAGTGAGAAAGGGTATGGAGGAGATTATGACGAGATGCGAGCGGGCGCCGGAGGGGTGGGTGGCGATGCGATTACCCGTCAAGGGTCTCGTGGACGTGGAGGAAGGAAGTGCCAGTGCAAGTGGAGTCAGTAAGGAGGCTACTCCGGTTGTAGAGCAGAGCGGTAAGGCAAAGGCGAAGAGCAATATCAAGTACGTCAAGCGAGCGTCTACCGGGTCGGCCGCGACCAAAGCAGGTCCGGGTGACACGGCAGAAGGCAAGAAAGTAGAGCGCAAAGCTTCGATCGGCAAAGTCAAGACGGAAGCACCGATCGAAGCTGCTGCGGATGCGAGGACCTCTAGTGATGTACCAGCGATAGATGGAGCTGCCGATACCCTAACAACTACAACGGAGACAGGACGACCAAGGAGGACAGCAAGGAAAAGTGTACGAATCAGTGAAGCATAAGTATGTGCATCATATTAAATCGAATGATCAAACTCAACAAAGTCATCAACACCACCTGGCTCATTAACACAGTGTCCTCCGCTTCCATAGCACTTCCACTGCACCACCATCTCCATCCCCAGCAAGCTCCGCCGCAACTCCTTACCATAACCCACCTTGTCCGTAGCGTCATCCTCACAATGCTCAAGGAGAACAGGAGTCCTTACAGCTTCTGTAGCAATCCCCGCCATCTCAAAAACATGTGTCGGACACGGTAGCCAGCTTGCGAAACCGACGAAGCCGGCGAGTTGGTTGTTAGATGCAAGTAGTGCGTAGATGGCTAGAGTGCATCCCTGACTTATACCGCCTAGGACGATATTTTGGTTGTGCTCGGCTGGGGGATTGATTATGTGGCATGTGTCAATTGTGGTTAGACGATCATTCACTCTTTGACAGAGGCTCTTGTGATGGCTTTTGGTATAAAAGGGGGTCACGGGAGCTTACGCTGCTTGTCTCTCTAGCTGAGATATCATCGAAAAGCTTCCACGTTCTTGTGAGGCAAGGGGAAAGCTGTTCATAGCAGGTGCTCGCACGGTAATGCCGTCGGAATGGATGGCTATTAGCATCGTGAAGACCTGCAGATACGTCTGATGTGTTGTATATCTTATGCACACAAGTGTGAGGTGGTTTGGCAGTCGAGCTGCTTACTAAGGCAACATTCACCGAGACGGTAACCTCACGCGTTGCTCTTGACTTCGACATGTGCAAGTACCCCATCCCGTCTTCTATCAATCTTGAGACAAGAGTGTCGATTCGATACAACGCGCATACCCCCTTATTGTATAAAGTCTTCGGAGCTCGAAACGGAGAATGTCAGGCCAGCAACCGAAGTGAGTAGAGCCAATGGCTGAATCCTTGCTTAGACTAACACCCCATAGCGCCTGGCAAACCGCCGGCCGACCACGACACTCCCACTCTGCCTCACGCACACCTCAAAGCCGCTCTGGCACAGCCTCACCCAGCCAGCAGAACCAGAACCAGAACCAGCCTTCGCAGCAGCCACGGCAAGATAGTGGACGGCCGCAGCAAGCAAACAGTGTATGGACGCAGCGCAGTAGTAGCACGAGTGGAAGCAACGGGCAAGCGACTACTGGCTCAGCGTCGGCGGCGGTGGTGCAGGACGAGGCGTATGTGCCTGCCAATGGCTTCAACGCAGTGGAAGTGAAGGCGGCATTGGGTAGGGAAGCTGGCCCTGCGGTGTACAAGGTCAACGAGACGGCAAGAGGGAATGGTAATAGTGCTTGGGGCGCCAAATCAAGCCATATGGCCAACAATCAGCCGTTCTTCACGCAGCTGGCTAAGCAAATCGCTACTTTAGAAGGCGGTGGCTGAGTGTAAAAGTATGCGGAACGCATGAAAGGACTGTTGCACACGAGAGCACAGCTCAAGGCAGCAATCTTGTGTACGGTGTGACAGAGTTCCTCCCAACCTTGATTTGGCGTGGAGTGCAGGTGAAATATCAGATAGTACTCGGACGACTAGTTCAATTGTGATTCTCAACTCACTCGATGGCGAGAAAGAGCGCCGTGGGTTTACAGTTAATACGCTGAAATACAACACACTCGGGAATCTAGGAGCATCGATCGGAGCACGACTGAAATTTCTGGTGCCTGGCCAATATGCGCATCACGAATTCTATCATGCTGGAGTGCGCTCGCTTGCTCGACCACCTGAACAAAGTCTAGTCTGTGCGTTCTTCCCGCAAGATGCAGGTGCAAACACGCGCCGTTCATCTTCAAACCCGATGTCCTTCACAAAGTTTCCGTAATCCCGGAATACCTTCAGAGTCTAGGCGCCATGGACGATACCACGTCGTCGCGAGGTACCGTTTCAGAAAAGGATGGGACCGAAGATGATCTGCGGTGCTGGGCTTATATGGCTGCTTCATGACTTGCTGAAAAAGTTGACACCAAAGAGCTACTCGACCATGAAAAGAAGTCAACACAAATGTGTCGTTGCTATTTGTGACATGGTGACGGCCATCTGCGAGAAACCTGCTGGACTCGACAGTGTGGTGGAGCCCGGGCTGTACCAACAATTCTTCGCTGCGCATCCCGATCTGGCGAAGACGTATGGTTATGAAGCATAGATAGTAGTATGTGAGGGGCTCCTGGCCGTGGCATGGGTTGGAGAACGATGGTACTGCTGGTCCTGCTGGCAGTGAGCCCCCGAGCAGTCTAGGAAAGGTGGGCCGCAGGTCTGGGGGCTCAAGGACGAACATGTGCGTGGTTGATGCTGAGTATGCAGGGGTCTGACGGGTGAATGCATGAGCAGACATATGCGCCGGCCCGTGCGCAAACAACTGCAAGCATTTTTCCTATAAGATGCTCACATTCTTTTTATATATCCTCTGCATCCTGAGCCCCAATCACAACAACAACGTCCACAATCCTCGAAAGCCCCCACCGCCAGACCTTCACACAAGCACACCGACATGGAGCGATTGAAGGACGCCGCCACTCAGCCTGACACTCTAGCCATGAAGAACATGACACTGCGGAACAAGCGAAGCATCTTCCCACTGCCGCGTGAGCTACGAGATCATATTTACGGCTATCTGCTCCACCACGACTACGTACAGGAAGCACCCTTTCGCGACCGAGCACGGCTGCCACCGCACGGACAGACCAGTGGCGAAAGCTTCACGTGGCAGATGCATCGCTCACACCTACCGCTACCACACGGACATCCTTCAGGTCAACCACCAGATTCATACTGAAGCCAAGCAAGTCCTCGCGCTGAACCGCTTCGTGATCATCTCTTTCAGATGGGACGGCCTCCATCGTGCGGTCCACCAACATGACGTGCCGATCGTATCCGAGACTCCAAAAGCTATCGCCAAATTCTCGCACCATGTGGCGCGGGTGCACATCCAGCTCTCCAAAGTAGACAAGGTCATTGACAGACTTCGAAGCTTCATCATCGTAGCCGGAGACCTGCCCACGTTCTGTGGCCACTTCATGCAGTGGTTGTTCTTCTTGACGGAGTCGCCGGCTCCGGTCCTCTTCGACAACGTCACTGATCCGAACGGCAGGATTTCTGATGTCCGAGTGGGAGAAAGCGCGAGGACCGTTCGCACTAAGATCCAAAATGGTTACTCCCAGCACGACACCAGCGGAGCAGACTCAAGAGGCGGAGCTCCTGGCTCCATTCAATGATATGGTCATGGGATGTCAGAAGGTGACATTCCTCAACAGCTCCTGTTCCCAATACACTGCACTACTAGGATCAACCATGGGCCCGAAATGTCTCTCAGCAGTCTCCCTGATGTGGAAAATGGTCGACGTGGCTCGTCGTATCAGAAGCCAAGCCGACGGGTTGGTCAAGAAGTGCGAACTCTCTCTTGCTCTACATCAGTACGACCTTATCACTTCGATGGGAGGCTCGGACTTCTGGACATTCCCACCCGAGGCTTTCGATGACGAGACCGAAAAGGCGGCAACGCTATTGCTGCGCATCATGCTGGACACGACCTCCACGAGCGGCTTCCTCAGGCTTCGTCTTGGCGACATGAAAGCAGTCCAGAAGACCTGGGAAGAGTCTGACAAGATCAAGACACCTATCTGGGAGATGCGCACCTAGATTACTGTGAATCCTGACCGTGGTCGCGCTCTGGCCTGCTTACATGGATCAGCCTGGCTGGATATACTGCTCGTATTTCTGCTGGATGGGCACTCTGGTAACCTGTCTAGGTATGTACCAGGCCTGGAGAGCCTTTGCGAGGACGTTGACGTATCAGCGGACTATACTCGCCTGCTGTGCTCTCACATGGTGAAAATGAAGCTCATACTATCCGACATCCAGGTGAGTAATTACTGTCCCAACTATCTGGCACATTAGCTGACTGTGCTTAGTCCTTGTCGTATAGTGATACGGACGTTATGCCGACCGAGGATATTCTCGAGCTTCTTGATCTAGCTAATTACCCAACACCGATCTTCAACACCCCAGCTCCAGCAGAGTGGAAGAAGCCTGTGGCTGGTGAGGGGCTGCTCCTGGACAGACACAAGAAGTACGTTCAGGAATAGGCAGAGGCGTGGGAGCCCGCGCCAGGTGAGGAGCAAACATTCGCTTGTTGTCACCCAACCATGACAAAGAAGCATCATTTGGAGAGCATGAGAATATGGCGAGATGAGAGGGGCTTGGGAAGGCGTCCACCTCTGGCTGAGGCAGAGGCGACTTGTCTTCCATGGCGAGTATGCAAGCGAAGAGATGATCGTGCAATGCTGGGACAGTAGTGAACCGCATGAGTACTGCACACAAGGTTGATAGCTAGCCCATGCTCACAAACGCATCGGTCCTAACTGCATTGCAACTACCTTCGTGCCATAGTCTCCATATCGTACCTGCTCACTAGCATAGCTGCTGTTAAAATGCATTACACTACGTGCCCCAAAAGTCTAGCCGGTCGAGCTTCTTGACGATACCTCACCGCCACCTCCGACTCCTAGCCTTCTTTCTCGCACTAGCCTTCTTCTTACCCGCCTCCACCTCCCCATCCGCCTCACCACCATTCGCAGCCTTACCCAAGGGAGTAGAATCACCCATCCCACTACCCGCCAGCTCGGTCAAAGTATCCTCATCCATATCAGACAGCTCTTCCGACATATCACGCAACACAGCACGACCAGTATACCGCTCCTCATGCACGGTCGTGCCCACAGGATCGAAAGGTTCAAGATACCATGGCACGCCACCTTGCGCGAAGACATCTGAGGCGTCTGCGTTGGCGGAGGAGACGCTGATGGCGGTAGTGGGACGAAGGCCATGTCCACTTGCTGAGTTCGACGGTAGGTCTGTAGAAATGGGTGGGGAGATTGGTTCCGTGGGCTTCCCGCTCGTCCCATCCTTCAGCACATGATCGTCATTGTTCGAGCTCGCGCGACTGCCAGCCTTGGATCGAGGAGTCTGGTCCCGCGGAGCAGGAAGGATGGCGACAGTGTCAACTTGACCACCAACATCGAGATGGATGACCGCTTCGTCCGTACGGCCGTCAGCATCCACCATGTCCACGTCCCCACGACTAGACGACGCATCTGCGACAGCAGACAGATCCGAGTCAGAGCGGCGCTTACCAGCCACGTTGCCGTTCTCCGCCCCACCATCTTCAAGCGCTCTAGTGGAGGCAAAGATACCCATGGAATCAAGTTTGCGCAAAGCTTCCTCGTGCTCACGGCCCTTGAGAGCAGCTTCCTTCTTCAGGGCTTCCTCCAACGGCTCCTTGACAGCTTTCACAATCCGCTTAGCCAGCTTCTTGATCTCCTTCTGCTCTTGGGAGAGAGCGTGATGCTCGGCCGTGCCAGGTTTGACTTCGTGCAGTGCGGTGTGTATAGCTTCGATATCTGCATCTGCTGTCCCTTCATGGTCGGTGGTACTGATCACGACTCTGCTGACGATGTGCGAGAAGTCGCGGGAGAAGTCTTGGACGGAGGTGTAATAGCGTTCGCGAAGTCGATGAGCCATCTCCTCGAAGCCGTCGGTGAACATGCGTGTCTTTTCGTCGAGTCTAAATCTTATCAGCATCATGTCAAGAATATAGTAAAATGGACTCCACTTACTTCTGAGCACGTGCAAGTATCGGCACGAGCATGGCAGATATAGGAAAGTACAACGTGTCCAACAATTGTCTCAAGATCTCGACCTCCTTCAGGCGAAGCTCCTCTCGCTCTTTGACTTGCGCTGTCAATGTGGTAAGATTCTTCATATCCCTCTGCAGCATCTCAGCGAACTCGATACGGCGAATCAGTCTCGGTCGGCCAACAGCACCCATACTAGCAAAGTTGCGGCGAGTGACCTCCATAGTCGAGAAGCCCTCCAGCTGCAACTGCAAGCGCTTCAGCAGTGCCGCACCTCTCCTAGCCTCTCGCTTCAAGGTCCAGTACTTTGCCGCCTTCTCCACGAACTCTTTGCGCTTGCGGATCGTGAAGCGAGTCATGCTGTTGTCTACGCTATTGAAGACGACAGCAGGGACCACAGGCGCACCAGACGGCAGTCGCCAACTAAGCTTTTGCGGTTGGGTACGTCGTCGCTTCGTCACTGCAATAGTGTCTTCCGGCACACTACCGTCGCCAATCAGTCCTCCGTCGGGAAGAGGAGGTGCGCCTAGCTCGAGTGCCGCAGTTTGACTGTCTGCCCACTTTCTATCCTTGAAGGCGTGTCTATACCAGCGTTTCGCCTCCACGATGGCATTGTCGGTATCGTGTGTACGTCGCCATTCCGGGGGAACATGCTTGTCGCAGAAAGCCTTCAACGCAGAAGTATCCAGACCCTGCTGGTTCTGCGATTTCATCTTCAAGAATAGCTTGGCTCGGCGAGCACAAGTGACATGAAACGCGGAATAGCAGTTCTTGTTGCCACATTGAATGCAAGCGCCCATCTTCTGATTGCAAATGTAGCAATTGAGCTTCCAGCGACCTTTGGGCACTTTGTCGACATCCGAGATCGGCTCCATGAAGGTCATGTTCGCAATATTGACCTCGGGAATCCATATCGCGCACAGCAGATGACTCCAGCGTAGGGTACTGGTCTGCTTGAACGCGCCATCCACATTCGGACAGAAGATGCATGTTGGGGTACCACGACCTATCTCCTTACACTTCCGGCAGAACCACTGACCTTCGGGAATGAAAGGAACACCGTAGCATTCTTGATGGACTGCGAGATCGCAGCCGTCGCAGAATATTATCGCGTTGGCATTCTCACAGTCTCCATCGTCGCAGATCGAGCATTTACTATCTGGCTCGTCTCCGGGAGGGTTGGGATCGCCGTTCACTGCCGCTTGTGAGCTCGAACGAGGCCTATGCGTTTGAGCGTGCCGCGGCTGTGGTTTCGGGATCCTCTTCTCCAGGGCATGATACTCCTTCTCGATCTGGGTCATGGTGATTTCGAGTATCGCAGGCTTGATAGCATCTACACCTTCAGCTTTACGCTGCTCGTTGATCTCCTCGAGCCATGCGACATCCTGCTCGTCCATATCGTACTCAACTCTGCCGACTACTGGTGCCGTGGACGCATTTTCGACAACACCATCGCTTTCCAGTCGCAAGCTCACTTCTGCTTCATCCTCGACCTGTTGACCTTCGGAAAGTCGTATCAAGACATCCAGTGGCAGTACATAGCGGTCAGTCTCCTGGAAGCCGATGTGTGACATGGTCCGGTCGACGTAATTGACCTTGTTCTCTTTCGCGTCGTCTTCGTATTGCAAGAAGTGGTTGAACTGTCTAAAAGATGGCTTGGGAAGATTCAGACGTTCCTTCGGGTTGTGGGTTGGCAATGGCAGGATTCGTGGCGCTGGTGGTGAACCTAGACCAGAAAGCATAGATTCCAGTCTCCTTGGAGGTCTACCAGGCTTCCGCTTGACAGGTGTCACTACAATACCATGCGGATCTTGCTCCAACTCATCTTCTCCTGGAGCATCCTTCATTTCCACATCACCATTCAGAATAGGCTTCTCCTCTTCAAGCATGCTTGCGGTTCTGAGCAATGAAGACTTGATCTCTTGCCTTGGCGTTCGCCCATCCACCTCATCTGCCGTGAAGACGAACAGATTCGCCTCAATGTCCAGATCCGGGTGAAAGTCGTCCCAGCTCCGCTCTTCTCTTGGCTTGTACCCATCGCTCTGTTGGCTGGCCGCTGCCGCCGCCGCAGCACTACTGTATCGTGGCCGCGGCGTCGCAACAGGCGGCACATAGCGCTCTTGTAAAGTTCTCTCACGTCTCGGTCTGTTCTGTACCGCCAGCCTGTTGCTCGATGGCGTCTCCCCTTCAATATGCTCCATATCATCATCCTCATCTGCATCATGCGGCTCTCGAGCTTGCCGGGGTCGCCGCCTTGATCTCTGCACTGATCTCACCGGAGGCGGAATGAGTGAAGGGTCTGTAATGTCGTTGCCATCGGCGTCTACCCATCGTCCTCCCCCTCCTGGCCCGCCCGCGATGTATTTCATGAATTTGCGTTTCTTGCTAGGAGGTTCGCTGGTCGTTTCCGTCGATGGACGTGCAATGCTCGGCCTTGCGGGAGTACGCGCTGGTGGCCTTGGTGTGGTTGCGAGAGTAGCCATGACTGATGTTGCTGTCGTTGTGATAGCGGTGGGAGGTCGGCCTTGTCACAGCGGCCCGATGTTTGTCTCACGCTGTCGGCTACTCACAAGCCTGATATTTGCGCATTTGATGTGAATGGATCACGCGACTCATTTGCTTAACAATGAACGCGATTTGACTGAGGCTTGACCATCCATCGTAGTCATCGTAGCGTCGCGCCCTCCCTCAATCACCAAGCCCACGCGTGCATAGAACTAGCGCAGGAAAGAGCCGCGCTTTCCCCGGGATGCAGGAACTCCTCACTTCATCCCACGAAACACACCCACGCTTTAGTGATCCTAAGGTTTTGCTTTGTTCCACACGAGCGGGCTGCGTGTGAGACCGGGCACAGTAGTGTCACGAGGGCTTCTATTACGTAGCATGCGAGATGGAGAATCCTTCAACGGACTCGCGCCGGATCAGGCAGCTGGCTGAGGCTGAGGTACAGTACTTCCTGTTCTTTCTCAAGGCTGATGTCCTTTCCAGTCACTACTGCTACTCACCAGCTCAACGAGCCTTGTTCTTCCCCTCAGCGCCCCTCCTGCCGAATGTCACTGTGTTGACGGCGACTGGATCACTACTGTCTCCCACGGCGCGACGGAGTCTTCCTTCTATGCCTAATTCATCATGCTCGACTCTCAACATCAGCATACAGCTAAGGCGATCTCACGTCTCTGCGGCTGGCTCTACTTCGCTGCCTGGAGTCTTTCTTTCTATCCACAACCGATTCTGAACTGCCAACGAAGGACCACTGACGGCCTCACTCCCGACTTTCCTTTGCTGAACGTCTTCGGGTTCACGTGCTACACCATCAGCACAGCTATCTTCCTATACTCGCCTGTGGTCAGAGAGCAATATGCCGCACGCCACCCAGTCTCTCCGGAGCCGACCGTACGTTTCAACGATCTTGCGTTCGGCCTACATGCTATGATCATGTGCATCGTTGTGTATTCACAGTTCTGGCCGAAGCTATGGGGTTGGAAGCAGACGCTTGACGTGAGACGACACGCGAACAGGCTCACGCTGGGCCTGCTCTGGGGAGGTCTGGTCGCCATCGGAGTCACCGTCACCATCGTACTTGCACAGAGCAAACACGGCAGCAGCCTCGATGCCAAATCATGGGCCTGGATCGATGTGGTATACAGCCTTACTTACGTCAAACTCCTACTCACCGTGTTCAAATACGTACCGCAAGCTGTGGCGAATTACCGACGAAAAAGCACAAGCGGCTGGTCAATCACACAACAGCTACTGGATCTGACCGGAGGCGTATTGAGTCTGACACAGCTAGTCATCGACAGCGCGATGCAGGACGACTGGTCGGGACTGTTCGGTAATCCTGTGAAGCTAGGGTTGGCGAACATCAGCATGTTGTTCGATATTGTGTTCATAATACAGCATTATGTGCTATACGGTCCTGTCGAGGACGTGGCGAAGGAGACGAAGTATGAAGAGCCATCGCATGGTATGCGCGACGAGAGACGGCCGCTTTTGGTAGGAAGAGGAAGCGCAGCATGAGGATTAATCCAGTCGGAAGTCTGCGAACGTCTCAGCCAGAAGCGCATACCAGGATTTTCGAGATCGAGCACTGTTGTAGTTGCGGAGCTTGTCGGCGAGTCAGTGAAAAAGGCTAGCATGAGGATCTTCTTGCAGATCTTATAGTTCACTCCGACACGAACGCCCACCAAATCTGCCACATGCGCCTCCCTCCGCTCCAGGCGTAGCAGGAAGTCTCGGTTCGGCATTTCTTGCACAGCTTCGGCTTGCCATGCGGCGCGGCAATGTGAACACAGGGCACACGAGGGATGCACGATCATTGGTGCAGGCGATAACTCGCTGTGATGTAGGCTAGATTCGCGATACTGTGCATATACCCAAATCGTATCGCACCTTTCTATACGTGCATGTTCTTGACTCTGCATTGCTCAATCTCCTCCAAATGTCATGTTGCTCACGATCGTATAGTTGATTGGACATTGTGCATATGAAGCACTTTCCCAAACCCGGTTTGACAAGCACCATGGTCCCGGGCCCGAGTCGCGATCGACGCGGCCCGTGATAATTTTGGTGGATCAGCATCGGATCTCCAGCGGATCTCTCTCTTCCACTCTACAGTACAATTTAGTCATGCTTCCGATACCACAGTCCATACCACATTGCTGCATCTCTAGTCGCATCAATGTGTCTCCATGTCACAATGCAAACATTCACGCAAAACCCCAGAACCACGATTTTGGGAATCATCGACCGCGTAGTGGCGCATCCCCCGTCCACACGCCAGCGAAAGTCAAACCCAGCTCGGGCGTGCAGTCAACGTCTACGGTAACGGCCGCGATTCGCTGAGACAGTTTTGATCGCACAGGCGCATAGCCGGGGACGCAGGGGATCATGCACGCACGATGGAAAGGAAGGACGAAGTGGAGGATGTGATGGTAAGCGTGTTGGTAGTCGGCCGCGGCGAGTAAGTGTGGTGTAAGTATAGGGAGACGAAAATCCGGGAAGTTGAAGCCGACGATAATGAGGTTCTGTGTGTCTATGTCTGCTATTAGATGGCGGCGTTCCCCCTGTCAGTCTTCAGAAAGTGTTTGCATTCAATGTCTCTGCTATTGTCCGAATGCCCTCGACACCCGCCCACGCCTTCGCACCTGCTGCTGTGTCAAGATTGATTACTGCTGTCATAGCCGATGCCCGAGACGCAATCACGCCGGTCGTCAGTACAGAATCAATTCACGCACCAACCTCTCATCCTCGCCGCTGGATCCCGGCCGACCTCCATGGTGTTTCTGGACCGGCAGAGTTCGACGCGCAGCAACTCGAGGACCCAAAAACGAGATTCTGCCATTTTCAGCCGGCTTTCCCTGCGCCGGCGCTCGAGCAAGACGGCGTTTGACGCGCACGCGAGCAACTCCGATCCCTCTCCCACATCAGGAGGACCTGAGGTTATAATGCCGGTCTATAGGCTGGTGAGTCCGAACCTACTTCTTCCTTCTGCTTCTCGCTTTAGCATCGTGATTCGACAACGGTGCTTTTCGGACGTGCCTACCGCGAAATGCTATTCTCGACCCTTCGCCCACGTCTTCTGAGACACGCTGATGTCATCATTTGGCCTTCGCGCGGCCACCATGTTCAACATTTTACTTCTCGTCACCCGTACCGAACTTACTTAGGCAAGACTCAAACCCAAACACATGCCTATCGCGTGGGCATGATCCGCTAGATTATGCTTATGTTCCGGCCCTTTGCTGTCTGTTCCAGACTCATTCGCTCCTTCCATCTACTACATCTTAACTTGTCACACCATCCTGCTTGAACATGGAGGCACCTGATGTCCCTCGCTCGCGCGATGGGAAGATCAAGAAGAAGTTTGGCAGTACTCTGACCTCCTTCGTCAAACAGTATCCGCATCAGACCAACGGCAGACGCGAGCTCCGCTTGGAAGACAGAGGCGTCAATCGACCATCCACAGGCGCATCTACCACCAGACAGAAGCCGACGTCTGTCGACACCACAATTCACACTGGAAACCCTACTCATCGCTCGATACCTCAGAATGGATCGACGGAAGCACTTCATGAGCCCCTGATCCATGACTTTGGTGGTGGTGGTGGCGATCAGTACACTTCGAAACCTCAGTATAGCTTTGCCGAGCCTGGCGCATATCATGCACGAGTCTCCGGGCCACACCACAGCGATGGGCCCGATTTCTCCAATCTCGACGACCAAGACAATGTCTCTGACCGCCCGCATGAATACTCGAGGCATAGCGTGCACGTGCCCACCCGGAACAGCAGCATCACGCATACCCAGCCATCGTCGAACATGCACTCCCGGGTCCAGTCACGGTCACGCTCGAGACAGCCAACGGGCAGCAGGAAGCAATCTGTGGCAGATGTTGGTGATTACGCCCCAGGCTCACCAGAGGACGCCACCCCAACTGTGAGCAGGTACGGAGCAGGCGATAGAAGCAGTGCTGAATCCATCGTCTCTGAATCGCGGACCTCAGTGACATCCATTCACACTCTGCCCGCACTCCAGACGAAAGGCCCAGACAACAGCGATGCTCAGTACCTCGAGCCTGTGATCGAAGACGACCCGCGATCGTTCGACCTGGTCGCACCGCATCAGGAGGACGCACATGTTGGTATCTACGAGCTCGAGAGGAGAGGTGAACAGATGTTCGCCCCGGAGCATTTGCAGATAGTGTTCGACGACCCCAAGCTGCTACTGAAATTCACTGGATACCTCAACGTACATCGACCGAAGAGCATACCAATGCTGATATACTATCTCGACGCGCTGAAAGCAATCCGAGCCATCAACTATGCAAACGCGATCGCAGAAGCGCTAGATCCGATACGCGGCCAACAGTTCACCCAGGAATCCGCACGGCCGACTGCAAACAAAGCTCTGGAAGAGAAAGCGAAGCGCGCATTTGACATCCTGGTACGGGACGATCTGCCAGCATATGTCGCGCATACATGGATCCAACTAGTCAGCGTCAGCATCCAGCGTCGCATTACTGGCACCTTAGCACCGCATTTGCGAGAGGCCTCCGAAGGTCTGGCCGAAGTGTTCTGCTTGACCGATCCCAGTCGCCCGGACAACCCCATCGTCTTCGCATCCGAGGAGTTTGTGCGGACGACACAGTACGGGATGAACTACGTGATCGGACGTAATTGTCGATTCCTGCAAGGTCCGAAGACGAACCCGAATTCTGTGAGACGGTTCGCGGAAGCTTGTCAGGCGGGCAAAGAGCATATTGAGGTGTTTGTGAATTATCGACGAGATGGTAGTCCCTTTATGAATCTTCTCATGATCGCACCCTTGATGGACAGCCGGGGTAATATCAGGTACTACATCGGCGCGCAAGTCGACGTTTCAGGACTGGTAAAAGACTGTAGCGATTTAGAGGGCTTGGTACGACTAGTGGAGAGAGAGGAGGATCCTGAAGCTGCAGCCGAGGATTTCAAACGCAAAGATGAGTTCCAGGAGCTGAGCGAGATGTTCAATGGGGCTGAGCTGGACACGGTCAGGAAGTTTGGCGGGCAGATGCATAAGGAGTATGTGGAGGATAATAGCGATTCCCAGAGTTTGCAGGGCGGGAGGAGGTTATTACTTACGGATCCGACGCAGGATGCTGCTGATAGGTATCGGGATAGTATGGCCAGTAGTCTCGGCAGCACGATTAAAGACGAGCGCGTCAATGGCAAGTTGGAGGGCGTGTATCAGCACGTAAGTTTCTCCACTCAATATCCAACAACGTCCTCGCTAGTCCAGCATACTGACCTTTTATATGCTCGAACAGTACCTCCTCGTCCGCCCCGCCCCCTCCCTCCGCATCCTTTTCACCTCCCCCTCCCTCCGCGTCCCCGGAATCCTGCAATCCCCCTTCCTCCACCGAATCGGCGGCAGTAGTCGCGTCCGCTCCGATCTCGCCACCGCTCTATCCGAAGGCCGGGGCGTAACAGCCAAAATCCGCTGGTTGACTCGCGCCGACGAGAGTGGGGACGGTGAGGGGAGGCCGCGATGGATCCATTGTACGCCTTTGCTCGGACATAGTGGGGCGGTCGGGGTGTGGATGATTGTGCTGGTTGAGGAGGAGGGGTATGGCCCGCCTGGACAAGGAGGGGTTGTGGGGGGATCGGGGAGGAGGTTCAGACCCGCTCCCGCCGTGGCGAATAATATTGGCGGGAAGGAGTGGGACTCTAGAATGCAGAATTCGCAGTCGAGATCGAGGTCCAGGCCGGCGGCGAATGGGACTGGGAGCAGGAGGGCTGGAGCGGACGAGTATGATGCCAGGTCTTTGCCTCCGGAAGTTCCTTCCACTGCTGCTACTGCTGCTGTTGTTGCTGTGCAGAGGCGGCCCGGTGTTAGTAGAGGTGATACGGGCTTGAGTCGGCATAGTGCGTATGGACATGGACATATTATTGCCCAGCAGGCTGAACGGGGGAGGACGCCGGGTGGTGGGGGTAGTGGTGGTGGTGGTGGCGGTGGTAGTAGCGGTGGGGCGGCTGGGGAAGCAGGAGGGTATAGACCGACGACGTCGAGTGTGGGTGGGCAGAGTGGGCATGAGAGTGATTTCTCCTTTCATGTTGGTGGGCGGTAGGTGGGTGGGATGAGAAGCAAAGGCTGGGTGTGAGGCGATTATGCTATGGTGTGGTGTGGTGTGGTGTGGTGCGGGACTGGGACTGGGACTGGGACTGAGACCTGCTGTGGGATCTGATGTGCGAGAGCGAGAATGCTCTGGTGAGCGACTGAAGTCCAGATCGACCCTTACGGCTATGATGATAAGATAATTTGAGCGCTTAGAGAAGCCTCTTTGTCGGCGTTGAGCTCTCCTCGAGCTTCACCACTAGAGATACTCTGTTGTCCCTATATACATTCCAATGTACACTTTTATTAGACGCAAAGGTTTCTAGGAATAGGCAGTTTCTAATCCATACATACACCGCAGCATATGGTCCCCATGCCAGAAGCCTCGTGGCTAATCTGCCGGGTATATATTATGAATCCTGACGCTTCTTCCTGAAGACGCCCAGGAAGCCACCACCGACTATCATCTCGCCGACTTTGGGCCTGCAGACCATTTTCAAGCCGGGGGCGGCGACGTCTGTGGTAGTACTGGTGGTAGGAGGGGTGGAAGGAGTAGTGCTCTTTGTATCAATACCCTCACTGACATCCACCCCACTATCCCCTTCACCCCTCCCAACCTCGCCCTCGGTCACCTCACCACCACCAACAACCCCAGCCTCCCGAACAACCTTCTTTCCCCCCGCAGAAGCCGCCCCCCTAGGTCGCACGAGCCTAACGTCCCACTCCCTCCCCCCACTCCCACCATTAACGCCAAGCTCAACCACTTTGTCCAGATCCAGGGGTATCTTCCCCGCCTTCACAGTCTCGAAACACGTCATTATCTGCGTGATACTCGGACAAAACACGACTAATGCTCCATCGACCCTTAGCGCTTTCGCTACCGTGGCGAGATGGTCTTCTGTACCCGGTAAGTCGAGGAAGGCGTGGGAGAGGAAGGGTTCGCCCTTTCGGTTTTGGTTTCGGTCTGGGGAGGCGAGGGCGGAAGTGATCCACTCGCTTACGGATCCTATGTGGAAGTCGATGTTGTGGGCATACATTCCATGCCGGAAACCACGCACGATTTTCTGCGCGTGGGTCGAGTATTTGGGGTTGAGTTCTATAGTGTGGATGATGGCGTTGCGGGTGGATTTCCAGGCTGAGAGTGCTATGTTGTGGTCTTCCTCCTCGTTGGAGGAGTTCTTTTGGATATGGCGAGGGAGAGGCGGGTTAGCGGCATGGATTGCTCGGCTGAGATGGAGGGTTAGGGCTCCGTGGCCTGTGCCTGCTTCTAGGATTTCTAGTCTGTCTTCCTTTCCATTTCCGGTAGATCCGCCGTATCGGGGTGGTTCGGGATGGAGGTCCAGGAGATTCACTATGAGTTGGGCATCCTGTGGATATAATGGCGTAACGAGCCGTCGAGTCAAACGGACGTATTCCTCCAATTTCACCTCATGGAGTCGATATTCTGCCGCTGCCAGTTTTCCCGCGGTGGTGGAAACGACATCTCGGACTGTCTTGCCAAGTATATCGTTGTGGGAGATTGGCCCACGATGGGTATCGTGTTTGTGGCCTGGAGTCAATGGTTTCGTGAGTAAGGGAGCGGCGGTGCGGTCTTTCACCGAGCGGAGCAGGACGTGGTCGCCTGGAGCAAAATGGCGGGAATTAGAGATGTGGCGATGGGGTTGGTATGATATCTGCCGGGATGGTAGACGGCATGTTCGTAGCATGGAGATGTTGCTTTATTGTGGGGGATATATATACTATATAGGATAGCTACAGTATACACAGATATATTTATGTCAAGCCTCGGCCAGACCCTGAGATCGGCAGGGCAGGGCAGGGCAGCTTCATGCAGGTCGAGAGTTGGTTGTAGCTTGGTATGAAAGCTGGACAGTACATGTAGTAGTAAGAGTGAGCATGCGACCAAGTTAGGAAGTGTCTATACAATTCTACTGTACTGCGATGAGATAGTATTCACGACGACAATAATGGAGAGCAAAAGGATACATGCACGATGAACCGCCGCATCACCCGCACCCTCAGCCAAGCCGGCGCCCTCCTCCTCCTCATCCTAGTAGTCGTCTTCCTCGCCGACTACCAATACAAAGTCCTCCCCACCTCCATCCACTCCGCCCTGCCCTCCCACCACGCCGGCACCGTCATCACCGACATCACCGTCGCCTTCTGCTCCACCACCAACCCTTTCAGCCAATGCCGCTTGGACGCGGAGAAATGGCATCGGGTAGAGAAAGATCTGTACTTGCGGTCGGGATGGGTGCAGAGTGCGTATTTGCATGTCACGCGGCGGAAGGAGGAGGAGTTGACGGCGGGGGATAAGGTGGTCATGGCTGTGAGGGTGGGGAGGTTGGATCCGGGGATGGGGGAGAAGGGACAAGGGGAGGAGAAGTGGGAGAGTCGTCCCGGTGGGATCTGGTTGTTAAGGAGTAACAAGCGGCATGACAGCGACTCGGAGAAGGCGATCACAGCAGTGGATGTCCTCTTCGGCGCCGACGCCGTAGATCCTCGGACTGGCTGGTCCCTCGCACAAACACCACTCCTACTCGACACGGACAGCAACACCCCCAGCGCCCGCCTCAGCGTCCGCCGCGGCCACCTCAACCCCAAAGCCGAGGAGAAAACCCGCGACACCCCCTTGCGAATCCGCAAGGACGGCAAATTCAAGATCCTCCAGATCAGCGACGCCCACCTCAGCACAGGCACAGGCAAATGCCGCGACGCCATCGGTGCAGATCATCAACCCATCACAAACTGCGAAGCCGACCCCCACACCCTCGACTTCCTCGACCGCATCCTGGACGACGAGAAGCCGGATCTTGTAATTCTATCCGGCGACCAAGTCGAAGGCCCTAGCGCACCAGACACCCAAACCACCATCTACAAATTCGCCGCCCCGCTAATCGAGCGGCAGATCCCCTTCGCCTGTATCTTCGGCAACCACGATGATGAAGGCCCCGTAGCTCTAAGCAGGAAAGCGCAGATGGATCTCTTGCAAACACTACCCTACTCCCTCTCCCGTCCTGGACCGGAAGAAGTAGACGGGGTGGGGAATTACCACCTCGAGATCCTCGCCCCTTCACCATCTCAACACAGCGCGTTGACCTTGTATCTACTCGATACCCACAGCGGCAGTCCCGACGAAAAAAAGTACAAAGGCTACGACTGGCTCAAACCCTCGCAAATCGCCTGGTTCAAGCGCACGGCCCAATCTTTACGGAAAGAACACGCCAAGTACTCGCATTTCCACCTCGATATGGCTTTCATCCACATCCCCCTCCCGGAATACGGATTGCGGGAAGAAGGAGCCCTGACGGTGCAAGGAGGGGAGTGGCGCGAGGGCGTGACGGCTCCCGGGTATAATTCCGGGTTTTATGATGCCCTGGTTGAGGAGGGCGTGGTGGCGGTCGGGTGCGGACACGATCATGTGAATGATTATTGCGCGTTGAAAAACCACGTCAGCACTATGCCAGCCGCCGGGGATGCCTCGCCGTCGTCGCTCGGTAGGCGAGAAGATCTCCCGCCTTCCACGTCGACTTCGCACCACGGTCATACCTCCTCCTTCTCCCACGAGAACAAACTAGGACCCTGGCTCTGCTACGCCGGCGGCTCCGGCTTCGGCGGGTATGCCGGTTATGGGGGTTTCCACCGCCGGGTCAGGGTGTGGGAGGTCGATGCTAATGCGGGCCAGATTGTTACGTGGAAGCGGGTGGAGTGTTGTTCGGCGGGGGAGAGGAGGGAACGGGAGGGGGAGTTGATGGTTGTGGATGGGGGGAGGGTGGTTGTTGGATGAGATGAGATGTGGTAAGATAGCAGTGGTGAAGGGGGCGGGGAGACCGGGTGTAGAGTGTGGGAAAATTTAGCGAAGGCGTTATGATGGGGGGCGTTGGTACGCCGGGCAAAAAGGACGAGAGAGAGATGGGGGGATGGTAGTGTACGCTTCTACTCTTTATTTTGTTTAGACTGGGCTTTCGGATGAATTATGTATGAGCTCGAGTTTTTGGAGCAGTAAGCTATTTGCCCTATATGTACTTGGCATATCATATCATGCATATAGCATTTACAAATGCTTCACTCCGAGCTCCCCCATTCTTCCTACTGTCGCTTGCTTTCCATTTGCCCCTACCCAACCTTGCAGGCCCTCCCGTGTCATATCACACTTCGTTAGATGGTAAAGATACTCTTCACGGTAGCACACTTCCATATCGTCGAGTGCAGTGCAGAGCCGTAACGCCACCGTCCCGTATGCGCTTCCAATTCGCCCACAAAAATTCCCCATGCCATATCGTCAAAAGTCATCATAATCTTCTCCTCAACCCTCGGCAAGCACATCAAGCTCCTCACTCAACCTGACTATTCTTCCGCGAAAACGCCCTCCTCAGCCTCCCCGTGAACGAGCCTCCACTCTCCGTCCTCTCCCTCTTGATCTGATACCCGAACCCTTCAACTTTCGAATCCCAACTAGCAGTTCCAATCGCAGTCGCACTACTCCTCACTCCCCCACCATGCTTCGAGGGGCTGTTATCAACGCTCGGCCTGGCACTCACAGGAGGAGTCGCCACAGGCATCTTGCCTGCGGCCTCCTCACCGAAATTTGCCCGCACGAAGTCCGGATCATTGAGCATCTCGAATAACTGATCCTTCGGGATGGGTCGAACGCCGCTGTTGCGTGAAGAGATCGTGGCGCTCATGGCGGGACCGGAAATCTCTTCGCGGTCGGAGAGTTTGGTGTTGCCGCCGGCGGAGACGTAGCGTTGTTTTAGTGCTGGGCGAGGACGGATGAAGTCGGGTTCTGGGAGGAGGGTGGTTGGGGGAAGGGGTGGGCAGGGTTTGTTGAGTGAGGAGGTGGCTGAAGAGGGGCTGCCGTTGGCTTCTTGGTTGCTCTTGGTTGTGTTGGGGATTGTGACTGGTGCTGTTGGTGTTGTGTGCAAGGCTGGACGAAATGGTTCGTGGGCGGGCAGGTAGAAGTCTGGCTCGTCGGAGAAGGGACGGATGGCGTTGTGGGCTTCTTCTGCTAGGTCGGCGTAGGATTGCGCATCCTCGTGTGCTGCTCCAAAGATGGGCTGGCGTGGATTCCAGTGAGCTGGGACCGGGAAGCTCTGGGTGTAAAGGCCTTTGCTTTCGGACTCTGCCACGGATCTGTTGATCTCCGTTGAATCGCAGCCTAAGATTTGCTCCTCGGCCTTGCTAGCGGCACGAGGTACAGGCTTTCGTGCTGGAATCTGCGAGCTGTAGGAAGAGCCATATACAGGCGGTGGTGCGCTATCGGGCGTCGCGCGGAAAGTTGGATAGCGGTGGCCTGAGTAGTCGCCATAGAAGCCCAGTGGGTACGCATCCTTTTTGCCACGAGTCGGTGTGCGAGGCGGCGGCACATAGGCCAGCTCGCTGTTATTGGTGTTGGCACGTTTGCGCTGCTTCTGTAAGATTCCTGCTTCGGCTTTCTCGCTAGCTTGATAGGCTGTCATGCTTGTCTGTACGGCATGCGGCTCTGAGTGCGCCGTATCCGTAACCTGCATTTGTGCGATATTGTTGGTCGCGGCGCCGAGTATGTGATTGTGAGTCTGCACATTCCCGGTCAAAGCGCGGGTGAGGACTTCTTGCACGGCATTGTGAACGTCGTGCTGCTTCTCCATCATCTCGCAAATTTGTCCTCGCATGTGAGTACATTCGCATTCATTCGGCTGCAGGCCGCAGACTTTTCGACATCTGCAGCCGGAGCTACATCGGCATTGAGTGGATGGGCTGTGTTTGCTGTTCTTGCGGCGAGGAGGTGAATGAGACAGCTCGCGCACCTCTGCACGAGCTCTGGCTAGAAGTGTTTCGTCATCACTACGCCTGGTGGTCGCTTTGGGGAGATCGTTGAAGACCATCTCGGTGATCTCCTCAGGATCCATGCCGTCAGTGTTGATTAGTCGACCAGCTAATGCTGCATTCAATGGCCCCCTCAAGCGTTCGTCGGTGACCGCTATCCACGTGTCTTCCAATATGCGAGCTAGTCGAAGGCCACTGATTAGGTGGCGAGGAGAGCCGCTGATACCCTCTGGTCCAGCGTTATGCAAGATCGTCGCTCCGCCCTCAAAGTCCTTGCCGAACGCTTCTTCGAGCGCACTGTACATGGACCGTATCTCAGCGCAAACGACGTAGTACAGGCGGTCCCACTGAGCGAGCGGTAAAGGAGTACAGTTGCGCAACCTCAATCGACCATTCGACTCAGGTGATGAAGATGGACTTGATTCGTACGAGGCACACAGAAGATATGCGAGGGTGTTTCTGCCGTCCGTGACCTGTGAATGGATCAGTAGTGCTTCCGTCAGTGTCAGTGACGGCTGTCGTACCTTGCTAGCAAACATTGGTGTCATCTTCTGATGGTTATAAAGCCTCACAGCGATGGCCTTGAGCTCATGCTGTATCTTGCTGTCTGGATACTGCTCAGCCATTCCGTGGTCGGACGGAGGAGAATGCTGAAGGCCGTAGAGGAGTCGAGTGCTCATGTCCCAGTCTTCAACCTCCATGTTGTCGGTGTGATGGCGGTGTGGTGTGTGAGTGATCTGCTTATGTTGCCGATGATGATTTGGTTGTCGCTGAAGGAAGGAGAAATCCATGGTGTGAGCTGTGGGCGATCGCATTGGCCATCGTGTAGTGACGTTGATCTTCACCGACATTGCGGTGGCTGGTTCGTGCGAGCTTCGCATGAGCAACACGAACGCTCAGCTTTCTATGCTGATATTTTTCCTTAGAGAAGTGATGCCATCATAACTCACTTTCACTACCGCGCGTGTCTTCATTGCGTATCATCCATATGCGAGAAGGATGTCGTGATGGGTCACCTGGCTGCGATGGCACTGTCACGTGATATCGACCACATCAAACTTGTCAAGTCGCTGGACGTCTCCTGCATCTTCTCGCTTCACACGAAAGATGTTGGAGGACTGGTGTCGGTGGATGACGCGTTAGTACCACAGGTGTCCACATTGCTGGCAATATCTGACGGCCAGGCAATTGTGTCGGAACCTGCTCGGTCCATGCAACCCAGCAAGCAGTGCTGCCTGCTAAAGTCCTTGAGAATGAATCTTCGTGAGCTTCATCTGCTTCGGGTGACGGATGAGGCAAAAGTACCATCTACATAAGAGCTGATATGCCCGACGGAGTTGCAGACTCCGGCTAGTGGTTCAAAGTCAGCAGATAGACATCACAATAGCATTTCGCCTAACAATGTATTCCGATCCGTGTGAAACACTGGGTACATGGCGAGTGGTCGGGAACATGTCAAGTTCACTGACTTGTCATGGTGTATTCTGCCTAGTCGAATTTCAGGTCAGATCATAGGCAACAGCAAGGATCGTTACCATTTATACTCCTTGCAGCTGGCCTCCTCGCAACAGACTTCAAAGCTCAGCGGCCGGGTTGGCATTCCGGTACTCAGCGGAGCTTTTCACCATACTCCTCGTACATATTGTGCGAACCGCAAGGTCGGTGACCCTCCCATCCCCAAGGGCTCGACCCTTGTAGGCATAGCTCGAGGACCTCAAGGTTGTGCCAGCACGCCTTGATCTAGCTTTTAGCAGTATCGAGGTTATTCTGTGAAGACACCGGGGTTCTTATCATTCATCTATACAGGCCTAGGGGTGAAGTGAATGTCGTGAAAGCTCACTTCGGAAGTTGTGTGGGCTCGCCGAAACTGGACCGTGCATATATTCACGTTTACGATACGCGTTCATTTCCATTGCGGCAGACAGATTCGTCCCGTCAATGGACCAGGACTTGTGATAGAGCATTTAGATGATTCGATAGACCCATTGCAGCTGCGTGTCGCTGGACGACCGCCTTTCTACCGCACCTACTCGAGGATCGATCAATTGAATGAACAGTTCGGGACGTGGCATGCGGCTGTGTTTCTCACGCGCTCGGCCATGTAAGAACACATCGCCTTTACTCTCCCTACGACGAAGTATACCAGGCTCCCGATCCAGCCAGTACAGAGTGCTTTTGACAGCGGCATCGACCATCGCATCGACCTTGGGCTCGAGACCAGCTCCGTCTACAAGATCACCACACCAGTGGTCCCACATCGTTCATCTCATACGCACCCCTTTGAGCCGTAGCACATCGCCTGCCATGGCTGCAGTACAGAATGGACCGCAAGTTAGAACGCACGCAGGACACTCTCATGGCGGCCATCACCATCACCATGACAATACTTTCTTGACAAGTGCGAACAAGAGCGATCCTGGAGTAAGAATAACAAGAATTGGATTGTACGTGAATCTGGGCATGGCAATAGCAAAGGGTGCCGGAGGATATGTTTTCAACTCACAGGCGTAAGGCTCACGAATAAGTCAAGGGCATTGGTCACGCGACCTTCTGACATGGATAGACGGTTGTGCTGACTTCATCCAGACTAATCGCAGATGGCGTGCATGCACTGACAGATCTGGTCTCGGACATTACGACACTCGCAACGATCTCATACTCTCTCAAACCACCTACATCAAGATTTCCACTTGGATACGGCAAAGTCGAATCGCTGGGCGCGCTAGGAGTGTCTGGATTACTTCTCACTGGTGGGATCATGATTGGTCTACAAGCTGTGTTGGCTCTATGTCAACAATTCTTCCCTGGGATCGCACATGTTCTATCTGATCTTGGCATCTTCGAGCACATACACGACCATGGTCACCACCACGGCGCAGCGAGCGTGGGACCGAACATAAACGCTGCATGGGTCGCAGCAGGCAGTATCATTGTCAAGGAGTGGCTTTACAGAGCGACGATCAAGATCGCAAGGCAGAAGCGGAGTAGTGTGCTGGCGAGCAATGCATACCATCATCGGGTGGACAGTTTGACGTCAATCGTTGCTCTTGTGACCATCGTTGCCAGCAACTTTCTTACCAGTGCACAATGGCTCGATCCAGTTGGTGGACTGGCGATCAGTGGCATGATCGTGCAAGCAGGATGGGGAAATACAAAAGCTGCACTGCTCGAGCTATCAGATGTAGCAATGGATGAGGAGGTGAGAGACAAGGTCGACCAGACAGCACGAGCAGCACTACAAGAATACTTCGGCTCCGATGCCGAGCTTCGCGGCGTACAAGGTGTCAAGAGCGGACAGAACTTCTTGGTCGATCTGGAAGTGTTTGTGGCGGAAGACATGTCGATCGGCCGAGCAGAGGAGGTCGAGGGTGAGATCCGACAGCGAGTTACGTCGAAGGTGCGAGGGGTGCGAAGGCTCGCGGTGCGGTTCACATCGAAGGACAAGGGCAGGGAGGCTTTTTCAAACGAGTACGTGGCTGGCAGGTTGGGAGACACCGTGGAGGAGCACAGCCACGACGATCACGACCATGCTAATGGCCATACTGAGAGTAAGGACAAGAACGAAGCGAAACGGCGATGAGAGTGTCGCTCCGTACACGGCCATCGCCGCGCTCTCGTAACCTGCATATATCCAAGTCACACCAGCAGATGATACGCCAACGCCGACAAGCACAGCCACTGTGGCACTTCTGGAGCTATCAAGCTTTTTGTGGGGAGCTTGCTGGACGCTAAGAAGCTTGTGCCTTGTAAGCGCAAACCAAAACTTGGCCAAATGGTATCGGCCTGAGATACACTGTACAACATTGTGCGAAAGTACACGCAAGCACGCGCAGTCACGACGCATACTAGACGCTTTGATTGGCTTGAGCGCTCACATTTCTGTTCCCTTCCCTTTGTCGAATGATCTCCGACACTTGGGGAGATCTTGGAAAATGATCTAGACTTCAATGCATATTGCTCTGCATGCCGTTAGCCGCTGAAACACGTGGCTGTGCAGCGATAGTGCACGGCGACCCCGCCGACGTCACGGCCATTGCACAGTTTGTAGTCACAGAAGCTCTGCCATATAAAGTCAAGTACGCTGTCCATGTCCTTATACCTGTACGTCCTCCTCGATACTCTTGATTTACCAGCATCTCTCTCTCTCCCAACTAACCAAATAACTACCTATCCCATTACTCAAACATGTCTGGCTTGATGAGAGACATCGAAGGTGCCATGGGGGGCAACAGCAGTAAGCTAAAAAGGCTGGTCCGTTGCTGTGGATGGCTGTATCTGATCAATCGCAGACAATCAAGGCGGCAACAACTACGATAACCAGCAAGGTGGCGGTATGGGCGGCGGGATGGGCGGTGGCATGGACAATCAGCAGGGCGGCGGCTACGACAACCAGCAGCAGGGCGGCGGCTACGATAACCAACAGCAAAGTGGTATGGGTGGCGGTATGAACGATCGTATGGATAACCAGCAAGGCGGTATGGGCGGTGGCAGCAACGACCGAACGGATAATCAACAGGGCGGAATGGGTGGCAACATGGACGGCCAGCAGCAAGGTGGTCAGCAGAAGAGCGGAGGCTTCATGAGCGGTCTGGAGAACACTGGCAAGAATGCCATGGTCGACCAGGAGGTGAACGGCTTCATGAACAAGGAAGGTGTTCCTGCAGGTGCTGATGGGTTGTGAGTTGGCTTTATGATTGGTTCATCATGCTCTTGCAGTGGCTGACATTCTTCCTAGTGTCGACAACTTCGTCAACAAGGAGGCTGATAAGTTCTAAATAACGACGAGCTCGCCAAGATTGTTGTTGGACAGACGTGGCTGGTGAACTATAGATGACCTTCGAACAGCACGACGGGATGTATGGACTCTGCAGGTAGTCTTGAACCCGATCGATATCAAGCGTCCATCTTCAAGCCATGGCACTGGTGTCGACTGCAGGTGCATAGCACCATATCTTTCTCGTATAAGTGTCCTCCCGGTAGGGTGGGCAGTCGCCCTTGATGTGCATGGCCGATCGGGTTATCGAGTAGCGAGCAAGTCCACTTTGACCATCGGTCCGAACGGGCAGGTAGAATATGAGTCAAGTCGCAGGCGTGCCTCGCAGATGGCTCCACCAAAATCCACTGTCCTTGACGCACTTTTGACTCATGTTTTCCGGGAATATGGCGGGCTTTCGCCCACATACCGTGGAAAAGTTCAGGCTGAACCGGGAGAATGCCACACTCGGTCAAATATCACATTGTCTCACAGCAGCTCGCCGAGTAAGGTCCGTATAGGTGATGCCGAAGTATATATCCTGTGCTGCCTTCCACCTAGTACTTGATTTGTCTTGCGATTTCATGCTGAAGGACGAGGACGACAGCACCGGGAGATGATGACAACACTGCTCCATCACGGCGTTCCCAACGTCGCCAGAATTCCGGGCATCAGCGTCGCAGCAGATCCACACCTAGCCCACTGAGCGAATACGTGCAAAACCCCATTCTGGACCTCTGGACATTGTCTGGATGAGCTGCGAGAGCGCTTGAACAACGCGATGAGCTGAAAGACGCAGTCGTGGCTTGCCATTCTAGACCACCACTGCAGGCGGGATATCATCTATGCAGCCGTGGTGCAAGAACGATATTGTGGCGGTTCTCACGACGGCGAGAATGATGCCGAAGTCCTAGGGCTCCGCTTGACACCGGCGTTTTGTGGAAGATGATCGGCCCTTCTGCTGCTGCGACTACTGCAGCCCTACCGAGCCTATCTTCCGTTGACGACATTAGCGTCGGTCCCGAACGCGTGCTACTTCTCAAAGAAGTCTAGCAAGCACGATGATTGGTCGACTGTGCCACCAGCTTGCCAAGGAAGTTTCTTTCCCTTGCCCTTCCCTTGCCCGTCGTTAAACGACGGCATCTCAAAGCCTCACCATCAGATGGTGCTGTGCGAAACGCACTGCTATTGCGTGTTTTCCACCAGCCTCGTCACGCCGCCCCGGTCTTTGCCAAGCCACCATATGTCAAACTTCGTATGGCTTCTCGTTGGCCCGCAGGTTTGCGAACGTTGGGCCATGCATTCTGCGACAGTGTCGTCAAGGCGCACCGTCCTCACGACGGCCCAGGCAATCTACTGCAGGCCATGCGCAAAGGCGAAGTATCTTCACTTCATCCTCTCTCATACTCGTACATATGCTTCAGTAACTTCAGATCAACGCTTGCTTATCGAACATCCAGGCACAAAACCGTTGGACCAGATCATCTTCAACATACTCTCGGGGCCGGGGCCGATGCCCATGTGGCGGTCTATTACTATACCCTCTCTATGTTGATCAAGTCACTGTCTGGTCTCACGGAGGCCACTATCTTGGTTGGACCATCCTTCTCCAACGGGACCATGTCCGAGGCTGGCCCGTCGACACCATCAATCAAGAGAGCTTGCGATGCTTGCCATCGTAGGAAGGTTAAATGCATTGGAGATGGAACGAAGCCATGCAAGAACTGCACATCCGCCGGCTTGACATGCACCTATAATGCCATCCCACAAAAGAAAGGACCCAAGGGCTCCCGAGCAAAGGTCATCTCGGAGCTTCGCGAGAACCAGCGCCAGTCCCAGCTTGCTGCTGCACAACTGCAAGACGTCCCAGCACAATCAGCAGGATATCTACCACGGAGCAGACTGGTCTCTTTCGACATGATCACAGCATGTGTTGACTACTACTTCGCCAACCTCTATCCGACGCAGCCTATCCTTCACAGGGTTCGTGTGGGTGAGACGATTGGTCAGATGGACAACAATGTTGAGGCATACTGTTTGGTCATGTCACTGTGTGCGTACATGATGATCCAGCCGAACATGGTTCTTCCACCTGGAGCATTCGAAGGGCTGGATGTCACTCCACAATCAAGTCTGTCGCTGGGTATAACGCTCCTACAAGAGACGATTCGGGTACGAAAGGCATACGACTATGTTGACAGCCCGACTGTATGGACCGTCATCACATCGTTCTTCCTGTTCGGCAGCAATTTCTGCCTTGACAAGCATAATACGGCATGGTTCCACCTCCGCGAGGCCACGACTCTGGCGGAGCTGATGGGCATGAATAGCGAGGAGCACTATCAAATGATGGACCTGGCTGAAAGTTCGAGAAGGCGAAGGCTATACTGGCTCTTGTTCGTCACAGAACGTGCATACGCCCTACAACGACATCGACCGCTGACCTTGCATGCCACTATCAATCTACCGACCCATGACGAAGATCCCGCCGAGACTGTCGAGCTCAACGGCTTTATCCACCTTGTCAATCTGTTTCGTCCTTTCGACGATACATTTGTGGGAATCTGGAACAAGGCTAAGAGTGGATGTACTACCCACTTCCTGGAGCAAGTCCAACAGCAACTCTGTGATGCATTACCGGCCTACCTATCATGCACCGAGAGTCAAGCCGTCGATCTTCGATGCTCTCAACAATGGTTACGGACTATGGTGTGGCAGCTATCCATCAGCCAGGGCTTCCTCTCATCAGCTGCCGGTGAATCGGCAATGTCTTTCAAATTCCCCATTGAAGTCTCTCGAGATCTTGTGGCATCAACTAATCAGTTCACACAGCAGGCTATGGAGGTGCATGGCATTGGACTAGTAAGTTCCGCTGTCTGAGATGTACTTGCAAGGCTTCGTCACTAACAAACATCAGATCGAGAAATTGTTCGACATTGCCTGCACATTGACGGACGTCATGTCCTGCGTCCCACTCGAACAGCATACATTCGAGTACGGTCCACGAGACTACCTGAGCCAACTTATGGCTTTGATATCGAGCTTGCGGGGTGGCCAGCAAAAATACATGCCGCTACTACTCAGCAAGATCAATGAGAGCATGCCTGCGATGCCAACACACGGCTACGCACTCCCTCCACGGGTAGAGGACATCTACGACAGCAGTCAAACACATAGCAGCGGCCCGAACAGTGGCGTATCCTCGCCCTTCGGGAGTCCACCACTCGGTGTACCAGGCTTTGGTCCGAGTCCGAACTTCCCATTTCCAGACATGGCAGGCCCGCCCACGTCTGCCGGATTCGCTTCTACCATGGCCACGAGTAGTATGCCGTATTCTGACCTGGCAAACACACCGCCCGTGCATATGTATCAGGATCAATCTATGTTAGGATATCCAGGAACTCCTGGACATATGAAATACGAGAGTGGATGATGATCGCACTCAGGCACTCCTTCTCCTGGCATAAGCGCCAACGAATACTACTGCAAACTGCAGTGGCGCAAGCTGCAGCTGCCGAAAGACTAGGCGACCGGCGTCGTGTGGCATGGCTGGGAGCGCCAGTTTTGGTCACGGCCTATGGTCTGGAAGGTGCACCCAAATCATCACTAGTGACGATACATTTCGTGGGACGCAGGACTCACACCCGAGACACCTCAGCGGTAGCTGTGCACGGGGTTCAGGATGGCAGTGGCAATCGACTGCGCTTGCACACGCCCGCAATTCACGATAAGGGTAGCGCGTGGCCCTCAAGATGTTCGCGACGCGAAAGAGGCATAATGGCCTAGAGTTCAGGATGACCAATATGCGCTGGAGAATGCGCGAAGCGCAGCATTTATGCTGCTTCAGATGGCAGTAGTGAGGATGAGTCTGGTACTGATTCGCTATTGTACATACGCCCTAAGCCTCGTCTATCTGAGGCCACTATCACGAATAATGGTACAAATGAAAAATTGATCATGCGTCGGTTGTCATCGTCGTCTCCTGCTGCGAACCAAGTCGCAATGTTCAATGACTCAAGAGCCTCGTATGGCGCTGGTATAAGGTCCATAAGTCTTATGCACGGCATACACAGTCGGAGGATCCGTTGGTGAGAGCACAGACTCGATGCTGATGCCACCTCGTCCATTCGAGTTGGGAGAGTAGCGGGAGAAGCATGTAGTGATTCGTGGAAAGACGGTATCTTCCGGGCTGGTCGTCATCTCAATTCCATTCTCGATCGTGCGCTTGGGTCGTGAGACTGGAGGAGGCGGTTGATATAACGGCAGGAGCTGGGGTAGGCTGCGGGAGCGGACGTGCTCGTTTGCCATGTTGAGTTGTTGGTGAGCGTCATTTGCATGCCAAGAAGAAGATTTCGTGTGTTGTACTGTCGTGGTGCCGGCTAGTCCGCTGTCCATCTCGGTGTCGGAAGCTCCAAGGTAGACTCCAGAGTCACTGTTATTCTCTGATGTTCCTCGATCGGTCACAGATGAGCGGCGTTGGGCTGTACGCGCTGTAGACTGCAAGCCTCGCAGTCCTTTCTCCATACACTAACGCATGATCAGCTTTGTTTCACGACGCAGATGTGTAGCTCATACCTTGGCTTCTACAACACTCCAGCGCTCGCCTATACGGGCGGCCAACATCTCCCACATCTCCTTTCGTAAGGCAACATACTCCTGTGCCAGCAACTCGAGCTTCTGGGCATCCCAGTCCTCGACTTGACGGCGCTCGATGAGTCGTTCGTGACGTTTGCGGCATGCGTTGGCAGTTTTGTTCGGGAAATGGCGGTTGGCAATCGGTTGCCAGTTGAGTCCAGAGGCTCGAGCATGCAAGAGCTTTTCGTCGTCTGGGGCACTCCAGATGGCTGCGTTTCGCTGCGCTGAAGCACTCTGGATTGAATATGGCAGATTCATCGCCGACGCTGAACGCGCGGTGAAAGGCCGAATCTCTTTCGGCATGATCGGTACGACGTTGAGTAGCGGCATATAAGGCAGGTCGTGAGTCGTATCTCGTCTATCGTGATGGTGTAATGGTGTAGTTCGTCAGAGAATGACCTGGAATTGCTGGAAGGATGCGCAGTGCGTCAAGCACGCAGCAGAATAATGATAAAGCAAAGAGAAACGTATTACAAGTATGCGAGGAAGGAATGCTGCGCCGATGCCAGACCAGACAAGATACTAATGAAAGACAAAGGAGACAAGGAAATAAGAAGCAAAGGAAAGAACTGGTAAGGAAGTGCGGTCTGCTAGTCAATGGTCTTTCGAGGGTGACCTGAGGTGGCGAGGAGGCGACCTTATACCTACCCTCTCCTGAGTCGGCCGCATACTCATGGCCTCACATCAGTCCACAGACGATGATGCTGTTTGCAAACACCCTGAAACACGACAGTGTATTCCCCGCGCCTCTGTCGAGCACGGAGTAGCTCATACCCAATGCATCTCCGTAAGGCTGATACTGAGCGCTGGCCGCTATGGCCAGCGTCTGTGTGCTGCGCCGCAGAGTGGTGAGGTCAGGTCAAGGCCATGAACCTGTATGGCTTCTGGTAGAAGCTCGGACGGCATGGTCATCTTCTCAAACGCATGCCCTGAGCGTCGCGCCTGTTTGAGGGGCTCGAAACGGCGTTCCTGCATAAGATTGCCCTAGAAAATGGAGTGGCAGACGGCGGCTAGATGGGTTGCGTCAGGGCGGCGGCAATGTGGTCCTTTCCTCGTGGTACCTATATTTGGCTGATCATGCCGGTGTACCAACAGAGTGGGTCGCTATACGTCAAAGGAGAGTCTTGTTTGTGGTTGCGGCCTTCGCATCGGCCTTGAGGTTGTCGATTGGAGGTTGCTGGGCTAAGCGCCGACCAGGACTGATCTTCTGCCGAGCGGTTGCACGCGTTCGTTCGCGACAGGTCTTGTCACGTGCTACTTGGTCGTACGCTTCGATCCACACCTATATTGCTTATCGTGGCTGTACGCTCTCTGCGCGTATATGCTAGGAGTATAAGTCAAGGGGAGTAGTGGAAGTCATGCTTTGTCCCTAGGCATCGAGCAGTGGGGCCGAGATTCTCGATGTGGGGCGATTGCTGTTAGGGTTAGGGTTTGGGTTGGTCGTACATTGACGACGACGACGACGACACTGTGGACATACAATCTACTCTCCCATCGTAGCTTCCATTAACCCTAGAGACACAATTTCGAAAATACGCTGTGATCTCAAGGGCCTTCTGTGCATTGCCGACTGTCGGGTCGCGTTTCCTAGATCCAGAAGCGTTATGGTTGAAGAAATTACGTGCGAAAGGTCGTCTCTCGAGGGCGACGAAATCTCTTCCGACCCGGCACTATCTACCAATCGGCTATCACAGAGATGCTCACAGCCTCGACCGCTCACCACTAGCAGCTGTCTGTCCTTGCACATCTTCACCACACCTATCAAAAATCCATTTCGTCATATCTCCCAGGAACTTGACCTTATCCTCGCCAGGCTCAGCATGCAAACGATGATACCACCCCTCATAAACCCTCATTTCCTTGTCTTCTATCTCAACACCGTCGTACCACTTCCGACAAGTCTCATAATCACAGATCATGTCCGACGTGCCATGCCCACACCACAACCGAGTCTTGCCACATTCACCCATGCCCTCCTTCACCACAGCTCTACCATGCTGCAGTTCGTCTGCGCGATCCAACATACCCGCCAGACCCTCCAAAGTGCCAGTATCATGACAGAGCGGATCATCGGCGTAAGCTTGGCAGGCGACGGGGTCACGACATATCTTCTTTGGGTCAAGTTTATTAACCATTTGTCTGTGGGGCAGGATCCTCCCCGCTAGCCGACCCAGCGTGACGGTAATGCTAGACGGTCTAGTGGAGGGATGAACAGAGATGAAAGGGCTTTCGAGCAAGAACCCACGAATGGAGCTGAGAATCTCCGTTGGTCCCGAGGCGATATAATGCACCACCTCGGCACCACCCATACTATGACCCATAAGGAACAAGGGGGATTGCGAGTCGTCTATGGGGAGCTGCTTGATAAAGTCCGTGATGTCGCTCAGCACGAGTGATGTTGGGCCGGTAAGGCCCTTTTTCGCGGGCTTGTCGACGCTACGGCCCCAGCCTCGTTGGTCGAAGGAGTAGACTGTGATGCCATTCTCGGCGACCGCGGAGAACAAGTCTTCGTAGTTATTGCAGTGATCCGAGAAGCCGTGGATGAACACGAGACGTGCTTTGACGGCTTCAGGTATGGCGCGCCATGTTTTCGTGTAGAGCTTCTCGCCGTCTGTGGTAGTAAAAGAGCCTTCTTCAGGTGGCGGGGCGGCCATCTTCCTGCTTGAGTCTGCGTACCCGCGCGAGCTGTAAGAGCTATTGATAGGTTGGGTCTTGTGTTCAGAGGATGACGATGGCCACGCGACTTTGATGTAAGATGATGTTGACGAGGATGAGTGCGGGTATGGACGGAGCTGACGGCTGTTCAAAGGCCTCGGTACATGGGAACCAAGGCAGCGAGAATGTTGGCGGAAGTAAATGAAGTTGCGCAGACAGTAATACAGACGTGTGCACATGTGATGCGTAGTGCTAATCAAATTCATACTGAGGGACATGACATGTGAAGCTGACGTGTGGCCACAGCAAGACGCAGCAGAACAACTCGTGGTACGGAAGGTACGTGATCATCAAAATACCTATCAACCACCATATTGGCTCGACTGGACCGCCTACACACCACCAGCGCCAACGCTGAACCCTCGCTAAAAGACAGCAGTCATCGAGATCGTAAGCTTCTCATCTAATCACCCCCCATTCGCCAACCACACCTCTCCGGCTATCCTTCTCGCGTTTCCCAAATACATCCCAGAACCTCAGCGTCTCGTCTCCGGCACCTGTCACGATCACAGCGCCGTCAGGGCTCATGGAGAGGTACAGCACACGAAAGGTGTGACCTGTCAAGCTGACGACCTGATTCATGGAAGGGTACTTCCATATATTGATGGCGTGCTGGCTGTACCCATGCGTCGACACGATTTCGTTCGTGAGAGTGCTGAAGAGTAGATTACACACTTGACTGCCGGTGTCGTGGGATCGAATGAGATGAGGATTGGGCTGGGTAGGGCTTAGAGGCGTCTCAATCATAGGCGAATTAGCTGTGAGTCCGAGGCCTAAGGAAGTCGTGTCCGGTGGAAAGCCACTTATCGTGCTAGAACCATTGCTGTTGTTTTGAGCCTGGCCGACAGTATTCCAGAACTTTATGCAGCGATCTGCAGTACCGCCTCCAGAAGCCAGCAGGCCTCGTTGGTGGGGACTCCATGCGATGGCCTTTACGGCTGCCTTATGACCGCCTTCCTGCTCACCCCATCGATGCTGCCACCGTTCTTCCATCTTATCCCAGACGAAGATCTTGTTATCGTTGCCACCCGAAGCCAGCTGCTCGGTGTCCGGATTCCATTTAAGACCGCATACCTCCTGCTTATGGCCTGTGAGACGCCGCAGATACTGTGCAGCCATACGAACATCTCGATGGAGTATCGTTCGATCTCGCGAGCCGGTCGAGAGAATGTGAGCATTCCACGCCAAGCTACTAATTCGTGCGGAGTGGCCAGTCATGGTCCGTAGCCGCCGCTCGGCTATTGTGTCGTAGATCAGGAGTAATCCTTTCGTCGTGCCAATAGCAAGATGTGAGCCTCGCTGTATCCAGCTTACGCTGGTGACCGTATCGCCTTCGAGCTGACACAGCTGATTGACCTTACCAGTCTCGCGGCTCCACAAATAGACACTCGGTCCTAGTCCTACAGCTAACACATCGCCACTGCCCCAGTCTACCAGGTTTAGGTAGAAGTCATCCTGCAAATCTGGTGCATCGAGTACTTTATAAGGCACTTTGCTGACCGCTCGAGGTGTCTTTCGAGGAGATAGAAGCATAGTCTGTGATGAATGCTTGACTGGTGACAAACTGTATATTTCAGATCTCGCGTTGATGTTCGGACCTCGCTCACTTCGTGATGTCGATCGTGGCGTAAGTGAAGGAGTCGGGTTTGCAGCATATGAGAAAAGGTTCTTGTGCGGCGTTGACGGGGTCAGATGCTGGCCAGATACCATTACGCCGTTTGTTGGTGGTGTCTTCGCTCGTGATGTGGAGCTTTCGTGCTGCTGTGGTATGGCTTGCGGAACTTCACTATCGAACATCTCCGACCGTAGCAAATTCGAATATGTCCGGTTCGCTTCCCGCTTCTGAAAATGTATGTCACTCGGTGCTCTCCTGTGACCTTTCGAGGGTGTGGCGGGCGAGCCATCTGCATGGAGCAAGCTGTAGCTGGCTTGCAAGTCCTGCCCAGCTCGGTTCGGAATGAACCTATCGCCACCTACTTGCACCTTCTGCCTTTTCCTGCTGGGACTACCACTCGGTGTAGGGCTCCTTGGCCGTGCAGCTTCTTCAACCTGTTGTAATGCCTTGTTCAAAGCCAGCGCAGACACCGGCTCACTACCGCTCCTATGTGATCCATCTGCCAGTCGCTCGCTGTGCGATCGCTTCCCAATGACTGTCGGTGGTGTTTTGCTACGAGGTGGCGACAATAACGTTGGGGTCTGGACGTCTTGCTGCATATCGTCGTTTGCGCCGGAGGCGGCTGGCGCGACCTCGCTGCTCCGATAATCCATCGCGACAAGGTCCAGACGTGAAGATATGAACGAAGGGAGTCGAAACGAGTGCCAATATCCTAGACACAGGGTGATGCCGTCGCACAATGGCCTGGCGTGGCCTCGCCTTGCTGGTTGCTATGGGGTATCCACTACACACCTCGCTTCATTCACCGATCGCAAGGTCCGTAGCTCTTGCGCAATGCCACAAAGCCACCATACATGTCCTTAATCTCCTCCAGCGATCGTCGTGTGTTTTGTAGTGATGCGCCGCGGCAATAATGACCGGTAGTGGCGAGATGTGCTGATGTGTGATATGTTGTTGTCCAAGCTATGTCTCGCCTGCAGATGACAAGCGCGACCGAAGGGCGGGAGGAGCCGCAGGGTCCGAGATAATCTGATATCTACCTTACTATTGAAGAGAACAACAATGGCTTCGACTGACATCAATGGATGACCTTGAGCTTCTGGCAAATAACAACACAATCGTACTAATGATGGGATAGATTGACAGTCACGAGCTCAACTACCACTAGCTGGAATGTTTTGACCCAGGCCGACTTCTCGCGACCCACAGACACGTCCTACATTTTCAGCGATGCCGGAACAAAACAATCTGCAACATAACATCACTCGCAGTGCCTACCGCCGGATAGCCGTCCAGATACCGTCAGCCAGTGTTTTGGCTGCTCTAAAGTAGTCGGGACTCGCGACATGAAGACCGCTGGCTGATAGGCCATCGCGGCGCTGCTGCTGCTCATGGCACGGACCATGTGTTTCATCTCGTTTCCACATGGGCTCATCTGGAGAGCACGAACTGACCTGGACACGCCTAGGGGTGTTGGCTCACTGTGAGCGAGGGTTGCTCACACGTGACTTACACTCACGTGAGAGCACCACTATAAGTAAGGCCTTACAGAATCCCTAGCGCTAAGCCCAAATAGGAAGTTATCGCGGGACTATCCTCGTCCAGTAGCCTATTAGTAGTAGCGCCAAGATTAGCCATTAAGTACACCAATTTGCCAGCTCTGTCCGGACTTGCCGGCGCCTTCCCCTTTGAGCCTAGTGCTATTTAGCTCACAGTGAGCCAGATGGAAACTTTTGTGACTCACGTGGCCGTGAGTGACAACCAACGGCCGTAGACATGCCCGCTCATCTGTGCAGTCCACTCGAGCCTGAGGCATCACATGACGACCTCACTATATCGGCTGGCCTCGCTCACCACATTATAATCATTGCTGGCCAGCCTACCTGTCCGAGGAAGTACTGGCTGCAGGCCATATGTTTTATTGAGTTCTCAATCATGCCGTACCTATCTCAGGGTCGTGTGAAAATTGCAGTCTAGCATTGAGCCCCAGAGAGAGACGTGCAAGAGATGACAGTGGTAGGCACTATACCGTCTGTTGAAGCATCCAGCACGTTCGAGATTGATGTCCTTCACCTCTGCAACAAGCTCAACTCGGAATCGAGCTCCCAAGCATCATCGGGCATTCCTGTCATCAGCAAGATCCTTTGCTTTCGCTGCAGCTTGTCTAGCGCGCAGGAAGTGAAGCTCTCTTTACCTCAAGCTTGAATGCTACGTATGCAAAGCCGCGCCTAACGCGTGCATTTCGCGCTTCACTAGGGCCGATAATGCTCGTCACAATAGAGTTCTTTATAGACTTTGACAGCACATTAGCCGCAAGGTGTCAGAAGTCAAATTAATACATTTAGTACCGCAGATGTCTTACCTCTAGAGCGTATAAGAGAGGTGATGTGAAGGTCAAGCTGTAGACGTTAATTAGTCTCTACCATCCCAATGATGCTACCAAGGTTCGGGCATTCCGCCACGGAGGAGAGCAACTCTCACGACCAGACCTTAGTAGATATAATTTCTCGCTCAAGAGCCCTGCATGGAGCTTGAGTCTACCTACCGAGTAGGATCGGCTCTTGCAACGAAGTCAAGATGATCTCCAGACTCCGAGCTGTCCGACTCGCAGGCGTGGGGGTCTCGCTCGCTACAATAGCATAAACGCCACCACTTGCGCGGTGCATGAATAGTGCCCGCTTGGCATCGCGCAATGGCATGTCTGTGCTACTCATTGGCTGTACGGCACCTCGTGCTGTTGGCTTTGTATTTCCTCCTCCACTCGCCGATGCATCGTGCCTGCGCTTCACGCAATCGACTTGCGCAATGCGACTGCTGCTTGCGCCGTGAAGGCGAGCCAAACATCGTCGAGAGAAGCTCGATCACTCCACCGTACGCCTGCGCGCGAGCCTTGCCATGCAGTGACGTCCAGCTTGTGCAAAGATGATTGGCGACGAACATAAATGAAGTTTGGCGCGCGTGGAAACGCTCTGGGGATGTAATCTAGCTTTCGACACCATAACGTCCGTGCCATTAAATGCCCCACCACTATCGCCGACGCGAACAGTCTAGTCTGGAGCAAGTCATTGCGACCTTTTTCGCCCTCAAGGTGACTTCTCTCCACCTCCTTCACACCACACCGTTCATACAGGTGGATCTCAGCTGCACCTACACCGCTATATACTCTGGTCACCGGACGTCAAGGTACCGCCGGTCGTGGTACCGAATTTGTGGAGAGGTCGGCCCATCAAAAGCCTGCAGGCGACTCGAAGAGCTCGAGACTAGTGCTGCAAGTGTTCGATAGGTGCAGGAAGGGCCAATCCGACCATTGGAAAGCTTGAGAAAAGGCATCCCGCTCGAATTTTTGCTATTGCGCGCCTCACCTCGAACAAATATACCATCGGAGCCGGGTCCTCGTTTCTACGCTGTTCTTACTGACCTTTATCTTTGCGAAGCGGGCTGTGTGCCAGGCAGCCTTCAGGAAGAAGTTGGAGGGTGGGCTGACGTGTATCTGGGCTATTTCTTTGCAAGCGAAGAGGGCGTGACCTGCTGCTCAGTCACTGGTAAGACATCCCCCTCCATGATTCCACGAGTACGGGCGGCTCGGCGCCTGCTATATGTGCCCTCCGGAAGTCACTTCACTGCACTCTCCGGTCGGCAGCAGAAACCGTTATCAAACGCACTGCATGCGCACTCAGTGTTGCGTTTTCACCGGGTATGTTGGCAGAGACTGACTTTGGGCATTTGCAGGCGTTTAGGAACAGCGGTCGGTGAGCGCATCGCATGGTGCTTGTGACTCGACCTTCTAGGAGCCTTGTCTACCCGGCCACGCATAATCGCTTTGCTGTCCACTGTACGTGTTCACGACTTGTTAAGGCAGCTTGTTCTGCGCCTCAATGCATTTGTTACAGGCGATATAGTTGACGATGGAATCGGAGGATGGGCAGACTTTCATCAAGGTGGGTCGCCGAACCTCACCAGTGCCAGGCAGTACATTGACTGATAAGTATGAATGCAGAACCTAGCATACTTCGTCCGAACACATGAGAGAGCACTTGCGAACGCTCTACAACTACAACATAAGCGCAATGGCAGCCAGCAGGCCTCCACAGGCGCGACATCCGCATCCTCCTCGTCTACCTCGATAACCCTCGCCGAGGCACTATCACGACCCTACGTTGCCTTCTCATCGCAGCAAATCAAGCCTTCAAAGCTCACTTTGACACCACATCACCTTTTCTATCTTCTCAGCAAGTTCGAAGACCTTGGCGTCGATGTGGGACCAACGACCGTCCGACTCGAAAACCTTCAGAGCACTGCTGCGCCCTCGAACTATGTATCCTTCCTCGGGCATGCACCAAAGTCGAAGGGCAAACAATCCGATGCCGACTCTCTTCGATCAGTCTCCAGCGTCCGAAGTGTCATGTCAAGCGTGTCCTCGTTATGGTCGACTTTCTCGTTGACGAATAGCGTTGCGAAAGAGGAGAAGCGAATGGCACAGCATCGGGATGATATCAAATACTTGTATTCCTGTTTCACGAAGATACCGGCGTTGAAGTTGGCGCCAGACCATCGTGCACGAATGGTTGCTGGGTTTGAGGAGTTCCCTTTCGACACGGCGGTGCCGCTGTTCGCATTCAAGAATCTGAGTGCGTTGGAGGTATCCGACCTGGACTTCAGGCAGTTTCATGGTTGGGATAGGTTGTCGGAGCAACTGCGGAGTTTGACTGTGAAGCGAGCATATTTGGAGGATCCAATTGATCTATTGCAGAACATTGTGCTGGACGACATGGAGCGGAGGCGAAAGCGTTCTTCCATGTTACAGAACATTCCCACTACACCATCCACACCTGGCGGCATCCCATGGCCTGGAAGCAGTCCAAAATTCAGGCAGATTGAGCTTGCGCGGTCGTTCTCCAGCCCGAATTCTCCGATGGTCGATCAGAGGCGTAGCTCGTTGTACGGATCTTTGGCAAGAGCTGGGTCTTCGGATGGGACGAAAACGCCGGCCCAACCAATACGGCAGCGAAGCAATTCACCTGTACGACCACCGAGCTCTAGACATGGGTCGTTACGGAAAGCTCGACAGATTGCTGCCGCTCAAGTGTACAGGAGATCTTCCGGCAGCTCAGGGTCAAGTACACAAGATGTGGAGCACCGACATGGCACATCCGACCTTCTAGCGTTCAACATCCTGCCACCATCGAAGTGGCGAATGCTCCGACACCTGTGTATTGCGGAGAATGGCTTGACGTCTTTGTTTGTGGAGAGCTTGAGACCAATTGCTGGAAGCCTACAGTCGCTCGACCTGTCAGGTAATCTTTTCACGGAGATCCCGGATGCTTTGGCCAGTCTCACCCACCTTCGTGCTCTCAACATGAGTAACTGCATGGTCGACAGCCTGAAGTCATTGGCGCGATATCCCCTACCAGCCATTACGACCCTGAATTTGAGGTCCAACAGACTTCTCTCCCTTGCCGGCATTGAGAAGATACGAACACTTGAAAGGGTGGATCTGCGTGACAATAAGCTATACGACCCAACCGAAGTTCGAAGACTTACGAGTGCTCTTGACTTAGTCGACGTTTACGTGGTGAAGAACCCATTCACGCGGACACACGGCGACTATCGCATCACGATCTTCAATGCTTTCCACGACACGCCTGGCTATACTGCCGAGCTTACCATCGACACTCTAGGTCCTACGTATAACGAGAAGAAGCTGCTACATGGTAGAGCGCCTGAGCCAGCGCCAGTGGTAGTCGTGCAGCCACAACCGGAGGACGAGTCGGAGCCGACCACGGAAGCATCTCAGGAGCTGCGACCAGAGCTGTCCGTGTTCGAGCAGGAGCAGACTCCCGAGCGAGTCCGCAGTCATCGGCGATCAAACAGCGATATCGGTCCGCAGAGCATGCGCCGAAGGAAGAAAGGTCCACGTAGGAGGATAGTCGAGCTCTCGCAAGCCGAAATATTAGCCTCACCCCCTTCCATGGCTCAACCACCTACATCCGCTTCCGAGCTACCACCAATGTCGCCTCCATCGACAGATGAACCAACCACACCTGAAGCGACACCAGCGGCATACCATACTGCACCCTCCACACAAGCCCATCTCGAAGGGCCAACAGGTCTCCCGCCGCGGCCGACTTTAGATACAGCATTCACCTCCCCCGACCCACCACCTCGCATCATCACAGCCGATGACTCAGACGACTCCCCACTCAAGTCTCCCGAAGAAGTAGACTCGCATAGCGATCTCTACAGACAGAAGATCGAGGCGTTGAAAAGCGAGCTGGGCCCGAACTGGTTGACTGCACTGAATGAAGACAGGTTTTCCGAGCAGCAGCGCACCGTGAGATATCGGAGTTATAGTCCTGGCTCCCGCACACCCACTCGGACTGGACAGACTGGCCGGGGTGTCAGTGTCGGTGGCAGGACGCTGGGTTGATTTGGGCGAAAGAGTACGATTTTTTTGGCACTTAGCGATGGCGTTCATGGGTCATTTCTTCTCCTGCTGAGCATGCTGTTCGCTCATGGTTTATCCAATTCTGTTTTCACGAAAGCATGGCGCCGGCGGGCTTGCTAGAGTTCCTCGACTTCAGCGATACTGTTCTCTTTGGCATTTTCTGTTGATGTGCCGCTTTTAGATTTGGCTTATATTTTAGATCGCGGATTTGCTTGGCTTGGGATCTCTGCCGGACATATCTTTTGAAGTTCATGTTAGCGAGGCGTTCGGTGGTGGGCTGGCTGCCGGACATTTTTGAAGCGTTCGAGCGGGCTTTGGTGAGCGTTTTGGACATGGATATATATGAAAAAATACTTCTCTCTGCCAGACAGATATGACCTCGGTCCTTAACTATCGAGACATCTTCCCAGCCAGTTCGAGGCCCAAGCGCGTAGATGATGAAGTCCTCTAACTACATGAGCATTTCAGGAGTCCATTTACCAGCTGTGAGCAGTGAGCAGTGAGCGGCTAGGTAATCAGAAATAGCTGTCGTAGTGAGCTTGCGTACCACTAGCATGAAACTCTCCCAACGATTTAGACCCCTCCTATAGACGCGTGTTTCCCTGCTATACTCTAGCTACACCATTGGGATCGAGACCGTCATCCGTACAACAGCACGTTATCGCGTGGCGACTCAATGGTCTTCTAGGAACTGTTCTCACATAGTCCAGATTTAGCTTAGCACTCCCGCCGATACCCGCGCATCTGAAAGAGCAGGTTCGCGAAGTCCTTTCCAAATACCACTCACAACTCACACATCGCTGTGTTATATCGACAACTCGCAACGCACGCCACGAACTGGTTGCCGTCGACGACGCCGATACATCGAAATTTGAATACGATATCACTGTCGTAGCCGTATCGAACAAGGCTGCTAATAACCAAGCTGAACTTTTGAGAAGCCCCACCAAAACCCCCAAGTCGGTGAAAAACAACACAGCGCCTACGACGAACAAACAGCAACGAACCACGCGATAGCACACCGCCACTTACGAAGAGCGAAAGAGGAAGGCACACTCTCGTGACGTCCGAGCTTCACACGGCATAGGCAGTCGCGTGACCCCAGAGCCACGGAGCATACACAAACAGCCTTGGGTGGCACATACAGCGCATCAAACATTGGCGGCGAATCCCAACAGAAGTCCCAGTAAGCGCACCATACGGTCTTTCAGAGCCCTTGTGCTCGTTACACACGTTCGGTAGGTCATCACTTCCCTTCACTGGCATGAGAAGGAGGCTGCAGGGCACAGGGGCGATGACTTTGGAGCTATGGGATGTGGAGCTGGCGGGGCGGCGGAGTACAAGACAGACTTACATGACAGATCGATATTCACGTGCACGACACGGCCGGCCGGTCGACGAGAATGCACCATTCTTCCAGCAAGCCTTTAACTAATGAAAGCGAGCACAATCAGCTGACCGAACATATTAGCTTTACCATACCCGAGACACCAAAGTCTGCCAAGAGAGCGCAGCACTAGCGAACACAGCCTATTCTCACCCCGCCGCCGGCTATGGCGGACACGAACGATGTCGATTTGGACTCTATCATAGACAGACTGTTGGAGGTGCGCGGAAGCAGACCAGGAAAGCAGGTGCAGCTGCTGGAGACGGAGATCAGATACCTTTGCACTAAGAGCCGCGAGATCTTCATCTCCCAGCCTATCCTGCTCGAGCTCGAAGCTCCTATCAAGGTACGCTTTTGTCGGTAGTACATGGCAAGCTAAGCTGACCCGTACGTCGAGATCTGCGGTGATATTCACGGCCAGTACTACGACCTCCTGCGCCTGTTCGAGTATGGCGGCTTTCCGCCAGAGGCCAACTATCTCTTCCTCGGCGACTATGTAGACCGTGGTAAGCAGTCCCTGGAGACGATCTGCTTGCTTTTGGCCTACAAGATCAAGTATCCGGAGAACTTCTTCGTTCTCCGCGGTAACCACGAGTGCGCATCCATCAACCGCATTTACGGCTTCTACGATGAGTGCAAGAGGAGGTACAACATCAAGCTATGGAAGACATTCACGGATTGCTTCAACTGCCTGCCTATCGCGGCTATTATCGACGAGAAGATCTTCACGATGCACGGTGGGTTGAGCCCGGATCTCAACTCGATGGAGCAGATCAGGCGCGTGATGAGGCCGACAGATGTAAGTTCACATAAACTTCAGCCTTGTCTTGGCATGTCTGGCTGACAAACATTACAGATCCCTGATTGCGGTCTCCTCTGCGATCTGCTGTGGTCCGATCCGGACAAGGATATCACCGGGTGGAGCGAGAACGATCGTGGTGTGTCGTTCACCTTCGGTCCGGATGTCGTCTCTCGCTTCTTGCAAAAGCACGACATGGACTTGATTTGCCGTGCGCATCAAGTCGTTGAGGACGGTTACGAGTTCTTCTCTAAGAGGCAGCTTGTGACACTCTTCTCCGCACCGAACTACTGCGGCGAGTTCGACAATGCTGGTGCGATGATGTCGGTGGACGAGAGCTTGCTCTGCAGTTTCCAGATTCTCAAGCCGGCTGAGAAGAAGCAGAAGTAAGTGCAGCTGTGCTCATGATCAGTCTTGATATAGGAAGCTGACCAATGTCTACAGCAGGTTCACTCGCCGTTAAGTTCACGGTCACAGGACTACAAGGTCTTCACGCTTTTGTAGGAAGGAGAGATCTCGGAGGGAATGTTGCAGAGCAAGACGCGGCTTCGACTTGTTGTCAGGGGTCGCTGCGGTACGCAAGGCCGTGCGGCTGTAGTATCAGGCAGCTTGGAGTGGGCATGGGAAGGACGACGGCTGTACGATTGATGCAATGTGTTTAGCTGGAATGTCATACTTGCGCAACATGAGGTTGAGTTGCGCGTGTTACGTACTGATGTCGATGCATGGGTTGACAGTTCTGTTACGTGTCATCCATTCATCTCGTCTGTGCTGTCTTCCGATCCCTGTCCGCTCATGATGGTCACTGGCTGTGAGCTATTGGCTCGTGCGTGCCACATGGGTACGGAACTTCCTTCTCCAACCACGAGTCAACAAAGTAAACCATTGCACTGATACGGTATATGACATGACAGTAATCATCGAGGTCGGGCAGCTCAGCGAAGTATAATGCATGTATAAGCGATCTCGAAAGCAACGCTTCTGAATTGCGATCTGCAGCGTCCTCCTCAACAGCTCGATCAAGGCGGAAGGCTGGAAAAGAGATCCAACACAAGATCCCGAGCAAATTATCTCAACACCCATCAGCGACCATGGAGCCCAAGACAGTGCTCATCACAGGCACAAGCAGTGGCATAGGCTATTCGCTTGCTCTTGCCTTCAAAGCAAATGGCTGCCGCGTCTTTGCCACCGCCCGCAAGACGACCTCGATTGCGGACCTCGAACTAAAAGGCATCGAGACGCTGGCCTTGGAGGTGACGGACAGTGCCAGTATTCGAGACCTCAAAGCAGCAGTCGAATCAAAGACTAACGGAAAACTGGATATACTAATCAATAACGCGGGCCGCAATTACACAGTCCCAGCCCTGGATGCTGAGATGGACGAGATACGAGATGTCTTCGAGACGAACGTCTTCGCCGTCATGAACATGTGCCAGGCCTTTGCACCTCTGCTCATAGCCTCGAAAGGCACGATCGTCCAGATCGGGTCACTGGCGGCCGTGATGCCGTACGTCTTCGGCTCCGTCTATAATGCGTCCAAAGGCGCCTTGCACAGCTATACCGATACTCTGCGAGTCGAGCTCGCACCTTTCGGGGTGAGAGTGCTTAATGTAGTGACTGGAGGCGTGAAGAGCGATCTTAGTCGGGTAGATAGGAAGTTACCTTCAGATTCGTTCTACTTGCCAATTGTTGAGGAGTATGAGAGGAGGCAGATGTATAGTCAGGTCATAGCTGTTCATAGTGAAGAGTATGCCGAGAGGGTGGTCAAGCACGTGTTGTATTCGAACAAGGATACGGCGTGGGAGGGTGGTAAGGCGTGGCTGGTTTGGTTCTTGACGACGTTTTTGCCACGGCAGGTATTGGTGAGTCTTTGGCATGTCAGGGAGTGGTGTTGTTGTGGTAAGCTGACTGTGCAGCAGGATTTCTACATGACACGGACGTTCAAGCTCTGGAAGCTCAGTCAAGCGAGTATGAAGAAGCTGGACTAGCGGTGATACTAAACACCCAAACGCGAGCCTCAAGCTTGTAGCCACATCAACAAGATGTATGATGGCTGACTCAATCATACTTAGAGGAACGCGATTCTGCAATATGACCCGGCTAGACTCCGACAAACAGTACAACGCAATGCTTTATGGTGGTCAACAGAAGCTGTAGCTCAGAGCTTTGCAGGTCGCCTTTGCTGGCTGACATGATGGGGCTCGAAACTGAAGTCGTAGTTCTTGTACAGACCTTCCATCTCGTTGGGCCCGAGAAACTCTGCTCGCACCTCGACCGGTTGGCCTCCGTGCCGCATGAAGAAGTCGACGTGCTCCAAGGGTAGGTATAGTCTCTGTTTGTGGTTCGGATACCATGGGGCCTACGGTCGTCAGCTTGCAACTCCATCATCTGGCACATCTGGAAAGTAGATATACCTGGTAGCCTATTGCTATCATGATTCGATCGGTTTCGCTGCTGTTAGGCATGCCTGCATGCCACGTCCGCAGATCTCTGAATCTCTCGTTAGGTCGCTCTAACGATGCTAGTGGCCAGGGGCTAGCCTACCGAATGACAACGTCGCCTTTCTTGCAGAGGGCCTGTATCGGTGGCCTCACTTTCCTTCGCTCCTCGACAACTTCCGGGCGCACGTTACACGACGGCTCGCCGACATTTTGATCGCGAACTCGGGTCGACACTGTGCACGGCACCTGGTCGTCGGCAACGGTATGTGCATGAGTACCAAGCCAGAACTCCGTGGCCCCGTTCTCAACCGAGAAGTCAGAAAGAACGATATTAGCGATGAAGTAGAAAGGACACGTCGGGTGGTTGAAGGTTATGTCTTTATGTACAGGCTGCCGGAGACCAGAAGTTTCAGCCAAAGCGTTATTGGCGGTCATGAAATTCGTAGTGGGTGTGGAACCCAAGTATCTGACAAGCAATCAGTGTCCAGTCGTGTCGCAGAATGATGGTAATATGCGCACGCGTTGGCTATTTGGACGACGTAGGGGTTGAAGAACACATCATCGTACAGGCAGTCTCGTTGGGCCACGGGCGGATTCTGCAAGATATTGGACTTGACTCCCTGGTTATAAAGACCGGCGCGCTGCTCACTACGCAGGATCTCCTGTCCTTCAGCAGTCATGACGTGCCTGAGATGGTCGACATGAGCAATATCGACGACTCCTTTCAGGACAAGCAAGCCGTCTTGGTGCAAGCCTTCGAGAGCTGATTGTACGGCTCCATCGCCATATCTGCCATTCAGCTTGTCTTGGGAGTGTAGGAAGACAGCTCTTGGTGCATCGTAGGACGCCATTCTACCAATATCTGATCAACATGTGTAATGTCATATACCACATCGAAATGGAGAGCTCATGGTCCTCGGTATCGCCAATGCACGGACTGACCGATAGATCTGCAAGCGCTTATCCTTATCGCGAACTAAGACCGACGCTAACCCGCACTTATGCAAACCTTGCACATATGATGCAGATGGTCGCACGCGACAGCAGCTGAATTGTTCTGCCGTCTCTGCCGTTATCAGTGTAAAGCACAGCAGCCTAGACAATCTTCGGCTGGTCCTCACAGGTTGATATCTTGATCCTCAACTTGCTTATACAAGAGTCTTGTCCATACTACACATTATTCGTCGCTTGTCGAAGGACGAGTATACAGCTACAGGCAGAGCTAAATAGGACTGCTTTTCCGAACCCAGATAGGAATTCTGCCTACCACCTGCTGGCCGTGGCTAACAATCGATCTATCTGGCCAAAGTCTCGGTTTCCGCCTCACGCTCGCAGCCATGCGATTTGGTGACAATGATGCGAAAGCCACGATGGCCGAGAAGACATCGAACTTGAAGCACGCCTTCAGCAGTTGGGACGCTTTCAAAGACTGGATCCAGGTCCCTGACACAGCCCTGGACCAGCATGGTCAAAGGCAAGAAGGTCGTACATGGTCGAATGAAGACCTTGACCCAACGCCGCCCGAGAAGCGCACCTGGCGATGGTGGAACTATGTCATCTTCTATTGGGGACTCTCTTTCGGCAACTGGACGTTGGGCGCAACCATGGTTGGGATCGGGTTGAACTGGTGGCAGGCTATCTTGACTATCTTCCTGTCTCAAACGATCTCGTCGATTGCGATGTTCTTCAACTCGAGATGTGCTTCGGTCTACCATATTGGATATCCTGTGGTTGGACGATCTGTATTCGGCATGTATGGCGCATATTATTTGTACATCTTTAATTTACACTCCGCTTGATATGGTCGTCGCTGATCAACCTACAGTGTCGGAGTCCGAGCTGCACTGGCTATCATCTGGTATGGAGTACAACTATACTCAGGCTCAGCACTGCTGGCAAACATGCTGCGAGCAGTCTTCGGACACAACTACACCAACATACCGAATCACCTTTCGTCTTCAGCTGGCATCACAACAGCCGGCATGTTGGCTTTCTTCTTATTCTGGCTCATCCATATGCCATTCACCTTCTTCCGACCATATCAGCTTAGACCGTTCTTCTGGGCTAAGGCGATTATTATGCTCCCAGCGATCTGGGGTCTCTTCATCTATTGTATGGTTGAGACAAAGGGCAACATTGGTCTAGGCCACCTCAAGGACACGTCCAGTGTTTCAGGCTCTGATGGCTGGGGTAAGTTGTGCTACCACAGACTTATACCAGACCCTCTGCTTACAGATTTCATCCAGGGTGGTTCTTCATCTGGTCCATCAATGCGGGGATGGGTAACACCGTGCGTACCGATCATTTCCAATTTCAGGCGCCTTCTCAGGCATGCTAATCGTGACCCACTGCAGGCTACCTTGATCACAAACCAGCCAGATATCGCTCGATGGTCGAAGACGAGGAGTGGCGCCATGTGGTCTCAGCTACTGACGAACCCGATCGCGGTGACCCTGTCAGCATCACTTGGCATCTTGTCTACGGCAGCCATTAATAACAAGTGGGACCTAACACTTTGGAACCAATGGGATCTACTCGATGCTATCTTGACACACCATTGGTCTGCTGGGGCAAGGACTGCCATCTTCTTATGCGCAGGCTGCTGGCTAATCAGTATCCTCGGCACAAACATTGCAGTGAGTAGACCTCTAGCATGATGATACAGGAAGACATTGTACTGACATTCATCACAGGCAAACATGATTCCATTCGGCTCCGACTGTACACTCCTCTTTCCTCGCTACCTGACAATTCCCCGTGGTCAATTCTTGGTTGAGTGCCTAGGCTATGCGATCTGCCCATGGAAGATCCTTGCTTCCGCATCCACCTTCACCACCTTCTTGGCAGGCTACGGTCTCTTCATGGCCAGTGTCGTGGCGATCATGATCTGTGACTACTTCCTGCTCACACGCGGTAACGTCTTCATCTCACATGCCTACGATGGCTCTCGTGACAATAAGCACTACCACTACACTTTCGGCGTCAACATACAAGCCGTCATCGCCTACATCGCCGGCATAGCTCTACCATTTCCTGGCTTCGTCGGGACGTTGGGACCTCATGTCAGCACGGCTGCTGAGAATTTGGGACACATTGGCTGGCTACTGTCTTTCTTTGTGTCCTTTGTGGCGTATTACGTGCTATGCCTGGTATGGCCGACGCAGAACCAGAGGCTAGTTCGACAGATGGGTCTTCGATGGGAGGAAATCAGTCATCGGGAATTGATCGCGGCTGATGGGACCGTGATTACGGAGTCGCAGGAAGGTTATCCTGATCAAATGAGCTCGGGCACCGGGTATGAGAAGGACGCTAGGATGGTGCAAGATGATGTGTCAAAAGGCCACTTCTAAGAACGAGCTAGGTAGTCGTTGGTGAAGGCCTAGTCTTGCCACGCCTTGTACTGTGCTCACTTCACTATCACTATCAGGTGCATCAGCGTGCTGATCTACACGTCGTCGCTTGGCGGTCACGTAGTCTTCTCACTTCTGATCGGAAGTGGCAGTCGCAGTGCCAGCTTGTATTGCGTACTCTAGAATCCAGGCGATGTGAGAGTCTGTCGTTGGTCTTGCACGACCCGCCGCGACATCTCCGTTCTTATCCACGACATTGCTAGTAATGCTGAGCTGCGCAGTATGCATAGACCTATGATGTGAAGTTCAGTCTACGACACGAGACGTCCTTGCGCCACACAGCCCAAGACGGCTAGCACGAAAGCTTGAGCTGCCATGGCAACCATCAACAAATAGTCGCACGCACACTTTTGGCAAGACATCCCTGCTCTGCATGCACAAGTTAGGTTCGCTCTAATAGCAAGTCGCACAATAATATAGTTGATTGCAGCACCAATACCAGCACGCCCAGCTGGACTTACGAAGAAGATGTCGACCTCCAGCATGCGCCCACCCATGGCACGACCCGGCGCCAGTAGAGCACGAACCGCGACGCCGACACTCATGAATGGAAGAACATCGCCTACAGACAGCATTGCCTCGTCGAAACCGCGCACACCGAAGCGCAAGCTGGCAGCAAATATAGAAGATGCGGCAGAAGAGACCAACATCAACGTTGTCGTGCGATGTCGAGGTCGCAACGATCGCGAAGTGCGCGAGAACAGCGGTGTTGTGGTATCAACAGAGGGCGTCAAGGGCAAGAAGGTCGAGCTATCGATGGGTCCTAGCGCGCTTAGCAACAAGACATACCAGTTCGACAAGGTCTTCTCGCCTGCCGCAGACCAAGGAATGGTATTTGACGAGGTCGTGGCGCCAATTCTGGACGAAGTCCTTGCCGGCTTCAATTGTACCATCTTCGCATACGGACAGACTGGAACTGGCAAGACATACACCATGTCTGGAGACATCACGGATATGCTTCCGATACCAGACGCAGCTGGCATAATCCCACGAGCGCTTCAATCCTTATTCGCCAGGTTGAATGAAGATGATGTGGAGAAGTGCGAGCACAGCGTGAAGTGCTCCTTCATTGAGCTATACAACGAAGAACTACGGGATCTACTCTCTAGGGACGACACGACCAAGCTCAAGATCTTTGACGAAGCCAACAAGACTGGACGATCTACCACTCTTGTACAAGGTATGGAGGAGAGCCATATCAAGAGTGCGGCCAAGGGCATACAGCTGTTGAGGGAAGGTAGTCACAAGAGGCAGGTGGCGGCTACAAAGTGCAACGATCTGTCGTCGAGATCACACACAGTCTTCACGGTTACTGTCTACACAAAGCGCACGTCAGAGACAGGCGAGGACTTTGTGTCTGCTGGCAAGCTCAATTTGGTGGATCTAGCTGGCTCTGAGAATATCCAGCGATCTGGAGCTGAGAACAAGCGTGCTGCTGAGGCTGGCCTGATCAACAAGTCGCTTCTCACTCTTGGACGTGTCATTAATGCACTAGTGGACAAGAGCAGCCATATCCCATACCGAGAGTCGAAGCTTACGCGCCTCTTGCAAGACTCGCTCGGCGGAAAGACGAAGACTTGCATCATTGCGACTCTTTCGCCGGCGAAAAGCAATCTCGAGGAGACAATCAGCACTCTGGACTACGCCTTCCGCGCGAAGAACATTCGCAATAAGCCACAAGTCAATCAGATGGTGTCGAAGAAGACGCTACTTCGAGAGTTCACTGCAGAAATCGAGAAGCTCAAGTCAGAGCTCATCGCCACACGTCAAAGAAATGGCGTTTATCTCACCAGCGAGTCCTACGAAGAAATCACGACCGAATCTGAGAGTCGCAGGATCCTCGCCGAAGAACAAAAGGACAGGATTGAGACAATGGAGGCGAACCTGCGCAACAAGGTGCAGGAGCTCTTTGCTCTCACGACGAACTTCCAAAGCCTCAAGCGCGACAACGAGCAGACTCGGATGATGCTTGATGGCACGAAAAGTGTACTGGACAAGACTGAGATTGTGCTGTCGCACACGAAGCAGAATCTTTCCGAGGAGACCGGGCTGAGGAGAGCACATGAGCAGACCGAGGAGCAGCTTGCAGCTGTTGGACAAGGTCTTTTGGGTACGCTTGGAACCACTACAGACCACATCGATCGCCTACACTCGAAGTTGAGGCGTCGCTCGGAGCTGCAGTCTGACAACCGGACGAGGTGGGCAGATTCCCAATCGCATGTTGCAGAGGCCACCGCTGCTGTCGAGGATCGAATCGAGAGCTTGCGAGGTCAACAGGAGGTCCTCATGGGCTCTCTGACCAGCCGAATGCAGATCTTTGTAGCAGATGAACTCCGCGAGCTACAGACGTCGCAATCTTTCTTGAGTGGACAAGCCTCAGCATTCGAGAAGTCGCAGGCTGAAGTGAACGGGCAGACTGGTGCAGCTCGTGATGAGATGAACCATGTGCTAGAGGAGATCAGTACACTGCGAGAGGATATCAAGCAGAAAGTTGGAGCTGGCCTGAACGACTTGTCTGGAGCCGCGCAACGGATCAGTGCAGGGATCGCCACGGAGCTGGATGTCTTTCACAGCCAACTCCATGACTCGTATGTGTCACTTGGAAAGGAGTTCAAGAGCATATTCGACGGGTTGATCAAGCGTATGAATGAGCAGCAGGCAGAAGCTGAGCGCCTTCGACAGCAGATCTCACTGGCGAATACCAGCTTCCTTGAAGCCGGTCAAGCATCGCAGCACGAGCTTGAACGGGCCGTCCAGGAGGAGCGCTCCACTGCTGCTTCGGATCGCGCAACACTACTGGAAAAGATCACACGCCTGGTCAACGTATCGGCGGCTCAACAGGATGCGCGCTTGTCAAGCCATCTCAACAACGCCAATAAGCGCATCAAGACCTCGGAAGAGGCTTACACTGTTGCACAGCAAGCCTATGGTGATGGCATGCAATCCTGGAACACCAACAGTCAATCACTTATTAGCTTTTCGACACAATCGCGTGACGCTATCAAGGCGAAACTGAAGGGCGATTGGAGCAAAGCAAACGACCAGACTTCCCGCTTGCAGGAGACCACGAAAGCGGTGCATGGCGAGACCGTGCGCATTGTCGATGGCCAGATGGTCCAGATGGACAGTCAGCTCGTGGCACTCGACGACATCCTTGCCAGAGTGCGAGCACAGAATGTGGAGCATCATGTAGCTCACACTCAGACGCTGGATCGTCTTGCCAGCGGAGTCCAGAAGAGCTACGGCAGTGTTGGTCGCCATTTCGAGACCTCCTACGACCGTATTAAGGCTTTGGACACGGACATGATACAACGTGCTGGTGAGCTCGGCAGCACGCTCACAGACCTGACATCAGAGGGCGATGTGCGTCAAGCGCTCGACCTACTGCGTACAGAGACTTCAGCTGCTCAGATCACCGAGTACTCTGTGACTGGCGAGACTCCGCTCAAGACCCAGTATACCTACCCAACAGCACTGCCACGAACAGAAGCCCATCAGACCTTGCTCAACCGGATGCGAGGCATACCTGAAGCACCCTCGTCACCGATGAAGTCGCCAAACAAGCGCTCGCCGTCCAAAATGCCACGGAGCAGCCCAACCAAAACCTCCTCCAGTCCAAGCAAAACAACAATCTTCACCGACAAACCACCGACCCTCCACCTCCCAACCCACCAACAACCCGCCTCAGCACCAACAAGCCGTCCAGCAACCGCAAGTTCGGACCCCAAGCTCCGCGAACTAGACTCTAATGCCGCGCTCTCAGGGCTCGCCTCTATGCCAGGAATTCCCATCGCTCTCGCTCTCGCCCTTGGCCCAGAAGGTCTTGAAAGCAAGGTGACTGTCCCTTCCCTGAAGAGACAGAACACTAATCCGTTGGAACGCGTGCAGAGCGATGGGAGCAAGTTGCCCATGAAACGGAGTATGCGGATGACTGTTGCTGGGACGGCGGAGGGGAGGGAGAATTTGGTACCTGGTGCTGGTAATTTTGGTGCTAGTGTTGGACCTGGTGGGCGGAGGCTGAGGAGTCGGGGGAGTGATTGAGTGCGAAGCACAAGGTGGTGGTGGAGGGGTTAGGATAATGTTGGGAGTTCAGGAAGATTATATAGCTCTGCATACTAAACGCTTTTTGCATTGTTACAAATATGCCAGTTGTGTACGCGTACGATATCGTGACCCTTTTGTTACTCAGCAGCTTGTGCCGTCTCTCTTCCAGGAGACGAGGTAGACAGGACATGATATCAATCGACGACTTCGCCAGCTATGTCTGTAGCCAATATCGATGCCATGACGTGTAGTCGTTCCTTCCTGACAGAACGGCTCCACTTTTAAAGGCCTCGGTCGCTGAAGAAAGCTGACCCAAACGTCTCGAGCAGGCGGCCAACAGAAACCTGCCATTCGACTCGGCCAACACCGTAACCATTCTGGCCACGACAATGCAGACAAATGCGTCGACGATCCTGAAGCACGTTCGAGGCGGAAATAGCGATGCAAAGCAATGCGTGGTATTCACACATGGCTGGGGCTGCCACGCAGCCGACTACCACCACTTGTTCGATGTGCTCAAGCAGCATTCACCCGACTTCCAATATCTTGCCGTCGACCTACCTGGCCATGGCAGTCCGAAGGACATTTGTCCAGAAGCAAATGTCACGAGTTTCGCAATAAGCATACTGGAGACCGTTCGACAATTAAACTTACGGGAAGTCTACCTCGCCGGCCACAGTATGGGATGCAGACTCATTTCGAAGGCATGGCAACAAGCTAGACAGACTCATGGTGTGGAGATCAAAGGACTCATCTTTCTCGACGGAAGCAGCTTCAAGCTCAGGCCGAAATCAGAGATATCAGAGGACAGCCTCACACAGCAGGAGAAATCTTTGAGACGGATCCAGCTCTTCCAGACTATGTTTTCGGACAACACGCCTGAAGACTTCGAGCTTGACTTCCTGCAGCATCTGGGATCGCTGGACAAGACATATATCGACGGACTAAGGAAATCTTACATGGGCTTTGATCAAGATGGATTGGAGGACGTTCTTGCTAAGATTGGCAGGGCTGATGTGCCGTTACTGAGCTTGCAATCCACGGATATCAGCGCTGATAACGAGCGTGTCCAGCTCAAGGCTGGTGAGTCGAGCAAGTGGATTGAGTTGGTACAAGAGAAGGTGCCCTACGCAGAGCAACGTGTGATTTCTCGGAGTGGCCACTTCCCACATGTGGATCAGCCGGAGGAAGTTGCTGCGCTCATCATCGAGTTCGTCGCAAAACATGGGTCGCCTTAAAATGCCTGACGGAGTACCTATGGAAGAAGTCTTCGTCGGCTCGAGCTACGAGCCCGTCGTAGACGAGTCGTCCAATGCTACAGCATGTTATGGTGGCAATAGAAATAGATCATGCACGAATAAAGTGCTAAGCCGATATGGGAGCAGTAATTTGGTTGCCTATCTCAAAGCTCGCCAAAATCCGAGGCTTGGACAATGCTGAGCACGAGCCATAGCGCTGCTACAGCCCTCTTCCCCTACCCACATCATCTTCACATCTTACTTCTCGATTCATATATCAATCGGGTCACAAGTGCATCAGCCTTTATGAGCCACAAGGCCGTGGGTCGCATTCGCGCTCTGGCCGAAAAGTCATACTTTGACATGGGGCCGACCCACAAATTAGTCGAGCGGGCGAATCATGGTATTGTTCTCGGAAACAAAGCATTGGCTCTGCAGACGCAATGGTTGACCCGAGCCTAGGAGTGCTATACCAAACACCTTTAGCTGCCATTGACCTCTCCATGTATGTTGTTGCCTGGCAAAGATGCGTTGATGGCGCAGTACGTGATATGGCGACGAGACGAAAGGGCTGGGCATGTATATATTGACAATCTCCTCGCGCTCATGTTGCTCTGACATATCACATCGCAACAACCTTCACACTACAGAACCAGACCTCCGACACATCGACCATCGACGTCCACCAAGAACCACAAGATGACACAACAATGTGCAGCCCTCACGGCGGACAACACGAACTGGGGATTCTGCCCAAACCTACCAGCAGCCTACCTCTTTGCGATCCTGTTTGGCTTGACTCTGATCGCACACATCGTTCAGATGATATGGCAGAGGAAATGGTACTGCTGGGTCGTGTGCCTGAGCGCCGCAATGCAGGTGGCGACTTATGTCTTACGGATCTTGAGCATCAAGAGTCCAGCCAACGAGGGCTACTATTCTGAGTGGTTCGTGCTGATACTGGTAAGACCAATCCATGATATCTGGCGATGTCCCGAGTCGAGCTAATAGTTGCCAACAGGTCGCTCCAGTCTTCGCGAATGCCTTCGTGTACATGGCTATGGGTCGCATGGTCTACAACTTCACCATCAAAGGCTCCGTATACGGCATCCGAGCATGGCATTTCGGCCTCATCTTCGTCTGTCTTGACGTTCTCGCCCTGTTCGTCCAGATTGGAGGTGCAGCGATCGCCAGTTCCACTCAGACGGACACAAAGACCATCATGCTCGGCTTGCATGTATACATGGGCGGCATTGGATTCCAACAACTCTGTATCTTCGCCTTCCTCGGACTGTCTGCACGCCTGCACATGCAGCTTCGATCACAGCCGGTGTCGCCCCAAAGAAGGACAGCCTTTCGATTGTTGTACGTCATGTACGCTGTGGTCGGCCTCATCACACTTCGCATCATCTTCCGCTTGATTGAGTACAGCAGGGGCTTGCAGTCCACCATACCGCTACACGAGGCGTATCAGTATACCCTGGACTCATTACCGATGCTCATCGCACTGGTACTTCTTAACATTGCACACCCTGGTACACTGATGCCTGGCAAAGAGTGCAACATGCCAGGGCGAAAGCAGCGAAAGCTCATGAAGAAAGAAGGCAGACAGGCCAAGGGCCGCGCAGAGGAGTACTTTTTAACAAGAGAGAGTCCGTATCGGCCAGTCTCGAGGACGAACACATATATGCGCATGGCTCAAGTGTAGAGCAGGAAAGTCGACAGGGGTTTGGTGACTACGGCGGTCTAATAGGACATATTAATAGAGAGAGGCTGGCGCTTGTCTTCGCTCGGTACAGGATTAGCTCATCATACATGCTTCATTGGTAGGCGTTTGGGAAGGAGGCGACTCAACGACTCATCAATAGGTTAGAATGATGATTAAGACATGCTCACCGGTATTGCTTTCTCCAAGATAGATCTCAGTCTTTCATCCCGACCACATACCCGAGCCTTGTTGGTCTTTGTATCAATGGAATGCCTCGGCGCTCTTCCCGACGTCGTCGACAGGCTTCACACTCTTGACGACTTTCGCAGGCGATCCCATAGCTACGCTCCAAGCAGGGATGCTTCTGCTGACTACAGAACTCGCACCAATCGTGCAACCTTTCCCGATCTCCACACCAGGCAGAATGACGGAATGTCCACCGATCCAGCAATCGTCGCCGATCACCACTGGCTTGGTGTATTCGATGTTATCTCGTCGGCTTTGGATCTCAGTCTCGTGGGTGGCGGCATAGATTGACACGTTAGGGCCCATCATGACCCTGTCGCCGATAGTCACGAGCCCGCAATCGAGGAGAGTGAAGTTGAAATTGCTGTAGAAACGATCTCCGAGACTAAGATTGCAGCCATAGTCTACATAGAAGGGAGGTTCGATGAAGGCGTCCTCGCCTACATGACCGATGATCTTGGGAAGCTCTGCTTGGCAACGAGCAATCAGAGTGGCGAAGCTGTCCTTCGCTGGATCGGCCGGAAAGACGTTGTTGTATTGATGGCACCAATGTCTGGCCCTGAAGCGAGCAGCTTCCAGACCAGGAACAAGGGAGTCGTAGCTGGGATGTCGCTTTAGTCTTCGTTTCCGAGTGGAAGGTGCGACGACTTACAGCATGCCCGATATCATACGTTCGTACTGTTCACACCATGGAATATGGCTCAGGCTTCTTGCGAGCTGTAACTGAGCCTCGTCTTTGTGTTGAGCAGCCATGATGAAGGTACTTTTGACAGCTTTTTGGGCATATGTACTTGGATGGGTGGGATACCTGTATGCGATGACTTGTGATACCTGAAGAAGAATGTAAGACTGACGAAGAGCGGTAGTATCAGTCACTCCCTAGTTGGTAGTGTGTCTTGGTCTGGGTGGCAATATATCGTTAGACGTGGTACTCCGCCGAATGAAAGGTTTCCCGCTGGGATTTCTTGGCAGAATATGCAGTTGTGAACAAACTCAATTGAGCGGGATGCCTGTAATGGGACTTGCCGTAGCCTGACGTACTTGGCTCACAAACCCAAGTCCTTGGAGCAGTTGTCCTAGCTATTTGGCATGGTCGCAGACCAGAAGGACATCCTTGCAAGTGCAAATAAGCGGCAATACTCATCTACATCACAAGGCCATTGTGAAAGGGTCACACCAATGTCAATTCAGTGGTATGAAGCCTTCCAGCCTTGATGTTTTCACGAATTCCATCTCGAACACTCCGTCCATTGTGGACGCACCAGCCAGTGCTTCGATAGTGTCTTCGTACAGCATCGACGGCACGAACGATGATGTGTTGAGAGAGCGGGGCTCTCGCGCTCAGAGCCAAAAATAGTATCACCAGGATCAACTTCGCCGTGAACCTCATCGAGGGGGCCAGTGGTGCAGGCAGTAGTCGTGCACAAGGATGAGGTATGACGGTCGTCCGTTACTACTATAGATTGTCGCCATTGGCCAAAGCACAATGAGGTGGAATCGTATGGCGTTGCAACGGTCCTGCAAGCCAGCAGCCAGCAACTGTGAGTGTTCGATCATCGTTGATATGTGTGATCCCAGAAAACACACACCTGCCGAACATATATCGTCCCTCCGACATATAAGTGCCTCTGCTAGCGCTCTGATGAACGACGTACCGCCAGTCGGGAATTTATGAAGGTAGGGCGTCTCCTGACGTGCCGTTGACCCTAGGCACTGCTGGTGGAGATCGACCAGCAGCTTGCCAAAGAACGAGTGCTGTGCCCTCTTGGTACTCCAAGCAGGCCTTCGCAAAGTTGAAATATATATCATTGATGGGGATTGTGTAATCAGGTTCGATAATTCTCTCCCCAAAAAAGCTCAAGAGGCCGAAGATTCGATCTTTAGGATCTGAGCAGTGAAAGTCGTCGTACCTATACATTATGGAGCATGGTGCTCTGCAGATTGGTAAGCCATTGTTCATTCTTGGCCTCTCATCTGCAGTGGTTTTGGCAGCATGACCTGGATCGCCCGATGAAAGGGCCACTGCCACTCCAGATGAGATAGCATACTATGATACTCAAGAGCATCGCAAATGGCGTCGAGCGCACGCTCAAGAGTGCGGGCGTTGATCTCATTGGTACCACATCGTACCGTGACATTTCGTCCGAGCATCGCTCCTTGTAGTATCCAACGACGGCTGAACCAGCGGAGTTGCAAAAAGTCGAGTATGTGTTGAAGAAGTTGACGATACTCGGGCAGCTGATGACCATAATTCGCCACCAGAGGATCCAGATTGTACCACTCATCGGACTCTAGAAGCGCGAGAGCATGTGCGTAGTATGTGGAAGGTGGTTCTAACAGGCAGGAATGCAGACCCAAGAGCCGCCCTCGTCCCAAAAAATTCTGGGTAGAACGCACAATACCAAAGTAGCCGTTGATCAAGTTATCGTGATAGAACGTCACAAGCGGGTCTCGAACACGAGCCCAGCGGCCGCCGGGATAATCTTTAAAATCTCGTAACTTTTCCGAGAGCTCCTGCTCACTGCTGGAAAGGTCAGCCGTCATCTCCCATCTCCCAAAAAGCCAGCACCAGCGCATGTGCTGGTGGAACCCTTTAGGCTCACGGCCATGTCGAACACCATAGGGAGGATGTAGCCAGTGATTGGCAGATCCAGCACCTTGCAAGCAACACATTGCATGAAAGGCATCCTTAGCTTCCGAATCAGGTCCTAGCCAGATCAGAACGCCTGCTGCCGCACTGTAGATTTGAGCCATGATTGAGACCTGCTGTGTCCGCTCCACGTCGTCTTGCTGATTGATACATATTGCATCGATCCACAGGGCACGATCTCGGTCTGGCAGTCTAAAAGCTGTCATAGCATTATGCGCGCTCTTCGTAACTCGGATTTCTCGGCCATCGCAGACGATGCCGAGGTCGAAGAGCACCTGTCCATCCTCACGGTCACTCCAGATGTAAGATAGGGCTTCGTATGGGCGTGGCTTATGGATGTTGGTCTTGATCAGCGGGCAGCATATTGGCGCTGTCTCATCGGCCGTTGCTTCAATCAGCAGCAAACATATCTCCGTCTCTGCAAGACTATCAGAGTACGTGAACCCGTCAGTAGCCATAGGATCGAGTGTACATCAATATCGCAGTGTATTCTTGTATAAGAACGGGTTTGCCGATGTGGCGCCCTGCTGAGCGTTGGCTGTCATGCTACAGCTTGCAGCCGCCTGCATGGAGACTCTTTATCTCATCCATGCTTGTGCGTGCTTGATTCATCTGACAGCGCCACTCGCAGCCACCGTCACACCACCTCTGATTTTCTCGCGCATGATTTGATGTCGATGCGGCGCGGATGGAGTGACGGGCGGCGCAATGGATGTGTTTTTAGCCCAACCTGTCAGCCGAGGGTGGTGGCTTGCGTATGAAAAGTGGAGACTGGGGATCTCGAGTCTGGAGTGCAGATGACATTGCCAATTCGGATGTTCGCTAAGTTCGATCAAGCATATATTGTGCCGAGCTGCAGTGATTGGAAAGGACCTAGAATTTCCTGATCTCTCGTTAATCGACATGCCTACCGACTCTGCTTACGACAGCTTTGATCTACCCAATGTCGATCTATGGGAGTTCATGTTCGACTCGCCTCGTGATGGGCAGTTTCCGGAGGACAAAGGTGATAAGACTTAAACACCCATCATCTGCTGAGACGAGGCTAACCATATTATAGTTATATACCGAGCAGTCGATAACAGCCGACATTATACCTGGGCCGATGTGAGATCGACCGCCGCAGCCTTCGGTAGCGCTCTCGTGGAACGGTGGCAATGGCAAAAAGGTGACGTGATGTGCGTCTTCTCGCCCAACGATGTCGATTACGGCCCATGCATCTACGGAACTCTATGGGCGGGAGGCATCATTGCTCCGGCCAATCCGGGCTACAACGCAAAGGATCTAGCCTTTATGCTCAAGAACGCTGGTGCTAAGGCGATAGTGACTCAGAAGCCGCTGCTGAAGGTTGCTCTCGAAGCTGCGAAGCTTGCTGGCATCAAAGAGAGTAGCATCATCTTGATAGGCGACGATGGCGCTGGCAATACTGATGCTACTCACTTCAAGAACTTGCTAAAGCAGACGAAGCGAAGCAGGCCATATAAGCTGGATTCTGATAATGACCTGGCTTTCCTCGCGTATAGCTCTGGGACCACTGGCTTGCCCAAGGGTGTTATGCTAAGCCACCGTAACATCATTGCCGATGTTCTGGGTATCAAAAGTATTGTGGGCGAGAACTACAATTGGAGGAACGATAAGATTCTCGCCATCTTGCCATTCTTCCACATTTACGGTTGGTCTTACCCGATCCTGGCATAGAGCATTATACTGACACTGTCTAGGTCTCACTGGCTTGCTACATCAACCATTGCATCGTGGTCTCGAAATCGTCGTCATGCCCGCCTTCAACCTCGAAGCCTTTTGCGCTGCGATACAGCGATACAAGATCACCTTCACATACGTCGCACCACCTGTCATCGTACAGCTATCTCGAGGCGCGAACGTCCAGAAGTACGATCTGAGCTCCTTGAAGATGATCACCTCTGGTGCCGCTCCTCTGACCAAGGAGTTGGTGTCATTTGTGCATGGCAAGCTGAAGCTCAAGGTCAACCAGGCATATGGGCTGAGCGAGACGAGTCCTATGACACATACACAAGTACGATGATCACTTCCAACTAATAGACAGACCAAGCGCTAACAATGTAACAGCCATGGGAAGAATGGTGGACCTCAGTCGGCTCAGTAGGCAAGCTATTCCCAAACATGACAGCCATGTACGTGTCGGAGGAAGGCAAAGAAGTACCCGCAGGTGAGAAGGGCGAGCTCTGGCTCAAAGGCCCAAATGTCTTCAAAGGCTACTGGCGGAACGAAGAAGCGACGAAGAATGCCATTACCCCCGATGGATACTTCAAGACTGGCGACGTCGGCATGCAAGATGAGATCCACAACTTCTACATCAGCGATCGCGTCAAGGAGTTGATCAAGTGGAATGGGTTCCAGGTACCTCCTGCTGGTAAGCTAACGAGATCGTTGCACAGGTCAGTATCTGCACAGCTGACATATGTACTCAGAACTGGAGGGTATCCTGCTCGACTGCGACATGGTCGAGGACGTTGCAGTAATAGGTGTCTATCTTGAGAAAGACCACACCGAGGCACCACGGGCCTACATCGTCCCGGCCAAAGGCCAGAAACCTTCGGAAGAACTTGGTCGTAAGATCTCGGCCTGGTTGGATGAACGAGTGGCGTACTACAAGAAGCTCAGAGGTGGTGTGCGCTTCATTGATGAGGTACCGAAGAGTCCGGCTGGGAAGATCTTGCGGAGAGTGTTGAAGGGCATGGCGGAGGAGGAAGATAAGAAGATCAAGGCGAAGTTGTGAGGGAGGATGTGCTATGTATGATTTAGGTTTTGTATGCCGAGCTCGTAAGTATTTTTACATAAAGACTATCATTCCCTCTTCACTTCGGGGTCCTCACTGAGCCATCACCACAAGATTGATAGTCTCAAGGAACGCTCAGGCTTCGAAAGCAATCTCCCGTCTCTGCTTCTTGCTCGCCTGCTTCAAGATCCCCAAATTCGTCAACCAAGCACCGCTATCAAACTCGCCCCACACCTCAGCAATCTGGAACAAAACCGGGTTCTGCAGATTGAGCACGAAGCGCGTTTGCATCACGCTGATACCGATGACGGGCTTGGGCGACTGGTCGGACTCCCATCGTACAGTGATCGTGTTGCAGTTGAACCAGACGTTCTTGACCGCGAAGGGGACGGAAGGCTGGGCAGCGGAGGCCTTTTCGAAGGCGGCGCGCGAGGAGAAGGTTTGACTCAGGAGAGGGACTGGGGTGTCGCCGCCGTTGTCGATGAGGGTGTTTACTGATTCGGAGTAGTCTATGAAGTCTGGGGCGAGGGTTTTCTGGTTATTAGGTTAGTGCTGGGTCGCTGGGATAGCGGGCTACTCGATGGTGGGACTGACGTTTGCAAGCGCCTCGGAATAATTGGAGACCAGTTTGCCGAAGTTTGTGGCGAGTGTGTTTGCATCGGACTGGAGGAGGCATTGGGCGCTAGCGGTGGAGAGGACTGTCGTCGCAAGGACAGAGATGATGGAAACCTTCATGGCGTCGATTTAGGCGTTTCTGAGTATGTCTAGGGATGGTATGAAAAGATGTGAGGGAATGTGGACGGAGTAGAGAGAGACATGCTGAGGGGGCAGGGTGTACTTATACTACGTCCTCGATTCAACTCGCCATGAGAGACAAGAATAGAAATCTTGCGACGCCACACCATTGTGCAGTAGTCCAGACTGCTATCAGTGTTTCTTTTGAGCGTTACGCACGCCGTCGTCTCGTGGCATGCCCACTATAGGGAGATGTGAAACCCTTGCAGCAAGGCTGCGATGTGTTCTCCGGATGAGGTCGCTCATAGCAGATAACGGACTGAGAGAAATTGAGACTCCCTGGCAATTGAAGGCGGACTCCTCGAGGCCAATCCACGCTGGTTCCACCGACTATTGACTGCGTGAGGGGGTATCCAGAAGCATCGTTCAAAGGAAGTAGAAGCCGTGACAGACAGGTGAGGTCGTTCCACAACATATTCGGACACGGCAGGGACGCAGTGTGGTAGTAGTGCCATCCCATCTGATGATGCATCAAGCTTCGCGCCGCAAGCGGCGAAAGCGTGCCAAAACTTTGGCCCGCCTTGTTGCACCGCTTGAGGACGTGGTGCGTTGACGGCAATGCTGAACAAGCTTCGTACCAGCGTGTGACATATGTAGGATCAGCAGAAGCGTGTTTCTGGACGAGGCGCTAGTGTGAACTTTATAAGTGCGGGCTCAAGAATATGGTCAATTTTGGCTGTACAGTGCAATAGACGTGATAGATCTATCTATATACAGACTGGAACGACCAATGTATCGTGTACGTCCCAGCGTGCAAGGGCACTATAGGTGCTTGTGCACTTGATCCACGTTTCCACGGGTGGGCAGCCGTATGCTCGTCTGAAATGCTAGCTTTCGAGCCCGATACTCTTGCTATCATGCCGGGGCCGGCTAGCGAACTAGGCGTGTTTGACAAGACTACAAGCAAGCCTGGGTCGCTGCGATTGCTCGTTGAACAGGCAGGAGCTTTGTTTCTTGCCGAACCTATTCATGTGGTGGCGAAAGGTGCGAGAATTGCTCCAGTGAGGACCCCAGCGGCCTCTCACCACCATGAGTATACTTTGTCGACCCATTCGTGCCTGATGGTTGCGTTTTACATCGCGGATGATCTGAACTTCTCATCCTTCGACTTCCATCCGAGTAATATACCTCCCCGGTATCACAATCAACCCAACAAACCTCTTCTTCATATCCACCTTCACGTTCCCACTTGCGCCTCTTTCCTCATGTCTCAGCGCCGCCAAGTCAACATCCTGCTTGCTAGGCTGACGATACTCGTTCGTCATGGCCAGGATGATATTGCGCTCGTTGTCGGTGCACTTCAGCTGTCCGACAAACATTCGGCCGTCTGTGATGTGAATGTGTAGTGTGCTGTTCAAATACCCTACCAGGTATTCCTCTGCTGCAGCCACACCACCGGCAGTAGGAGCAGGGACACCGGCAGCTGCTACCGCCGCCATTGCAAGGCGTAATGTAGTGAGTCTTGAGGGACCTGATAGATGAATACAGATTTCAATGCCTTTCTCTAGTGCCTCGATGACATAAGAAACGTTGCTATTTAGCCGGCTGTCAGCAATTCATATGCCGACCTCCTCCTTCGCGCCGACAACTACTGCAGGTACCAAAAGTGTTATGGACCTCGTTATTCCGAGTGATGGAAGAATATACCAGGATCGCGGGACGGTAATGTATATGTCAACTACATCTCTATCACCTGTACACTTCTTCTCTCAATTGTCGACTCCCTCACGCAGACACAATGTCAACAGCACGAACAGCAGAACGCAATCAACCATTCGCCTCCCAATCTTTCTCCCAAAACCCACTGAAGACACGAGACGATGTTGCAGCAGCATGTGCATCACTACTCGATCCTCTGGAAGCAGGGTTCTCACCAGAATGTGCTCTAGTACGTGTCGGTGGCACGGGCACAAGATGTACGTCTGAAGTCTGACCTCTCACGACATCTTGAAGCTCACACCACATAGTCGACGAAACCGCCGCCCAAATCGAGGGCTTTGCCCGCCCACTATGGGGTCTCGCACCGCTTCTGGCTGGCGGCGTGGACTACCCAAAAGCACACCTCTGGACCAAAGGTTTCGCCTCCGGCACCGACCCCAACGGCCCCGAATTCTGGGGCAACATGCAAAACCTCGATCAGCGAATGGTAGAATCCTGTCCCATCGGTTACTGTCTCGCGATCGCCGGCAAACACTTCTGGGATCCAATGACCGAAGCTCAGAAAACGAATATCGCTGCCTGGATAGGTAGTATGAACGACAAGGAAATGCCTAATACCAACTGGCTCTGGTTCCGGGTTTTCGCTAATCTGGGGTTGAAGGCGAATAAGGCACCTCATAGTGCTGAGCAGATTGAGAAGGATATGGTGCACCTTGACACTTTTCATCGTGGAGACGGGTGGTCGAATGATGGGCCAGAAGGGTATACGCAGATGGATTATTATTCGGGGAGCTTCGCTATTCAGTATTTGCAGTTGCTTTATGCCCAGCTGAATGGAAAGCAGGATCCGAAAAGAGCGGAGGAGTACAGGAAGCGTGCCCAGACTTATGCGCTGGATTTCGTGCACTATCAGGATCCGGATGGCCATAGTATTCCTTTCGGACGATCATTGACTTACCGTTTCGCCACCATATCTTTCTGGTCTTCTTTCGCTTTCGCCTCGGTCGAACCACCTGGTCCCTTGACATGGGGTATGATCAAAGGTCTTGTCCTTCGGAACTTGAGATGGTGGAGCAAGCATCACCATATCTTCCAACCAAATGGTATGCTCAACATTGGCTACACATATCCCAACTACTATCTCGCAGAGAACTACAACAGCCCGGGAAGTCCATACTGGTGTATGCTCGCCTTCGCCTGCCTGGCACAACCAGCTGATCATCCGTTCTGGAGTAGCAAGGAGGAAGCACATCCTTTCGCTCAGTCTCCGAGTCCACTTCCGACGATCAAGGCGCTGAAGTACCCGATGCATATCATGGTCCACCGTGGCGGCCACACTTTCTTGCTTTCGTCGGGACAGAAATGCCACTATCCTCTAAAAGCCACGCAAGCGAAGTACGGCCATTTCGCGTATAGCGCCGCGTTCGGGTACTCGGTCCCCACAGGCTCATATTCACTCGAGCAATTCGTTCCAGAGTCCGCACTCGCGCTTAGCGATGACGGAGGTGAGTTATGGAAATTGAGGAGGGAAGTTGAGGATGCACAGATATTGGAGAAAGATGGCGTGCCGGTGTTGTATTCGACCATGCATCCTTGGAAAGATGTCGAGGTCAAGACGTGGCTCGTTGCGCCGAGCGAGGCTACGCCAAACTGGCATTTGAGGGTGCATTGTGTCTCTACTGGAAGGGATCTGGAGAGTGCTGAGGGCGGATTCGCTATTCTTGGGACGGAGCAGAAGACTGGAAGGATGTTGCTGCTGGCGAAGGAGGTTGAGGGTGATGAGGGGATGGTTGCCACGTCTGACTCCGCTCTAGTTGTTTCGAGGGCTGGTGCTTCGGGTGTCGCTGAGCTGCACAGCTCCACCAGCGAGGCAGGGAGGAAAGGAGGTGTTTGTAATGTCGATGCTAACAGTAACCTCATCGAGTCTCGGACACAATTGCCGACACTGTACGCAGATCTTAAAGCGGGAAGCACGACGTGGTTCGTCTCTGCGGTCTTTGCTATGCCGGCTAGCGGTGTAGATAGATGGCAGGGAAACTGGAGGAAGGAGTGGGAGAAGAGGCCTGAGGTCCCGGGATGGGTGAAAGAGATGATGAATCGAAACGGCCTCGAGTATACAGATATGTGTGCGGATTGTTGACTTGATTATGGATAGTAGACACAGCCCAGGAATCTTACGACATAGAATTCGGCCTTGATAGCTAGTGAGATTCGTCATCATAGAACTTACGCAGTAGTTGAGAAGCTACTTCTTCGGCCTTTGCTCAAATAACATATTGTAAGTGTCCTGCAGTGGCTGAACAACATTGTCAAGAAACTCACGCCGCCAAGCGTCGTCGTCAGCTTCGATGGAGCTGTGATGAAGTGCCCAACCAATAGCGGTAGTATACGCATCGCCGACTTGCTGCCGTACCTCATCACCGTTGCGAAGCCATCGGCCAGCGATGACGTCGTTTACATTGGCACTGCCAGGCTTCTCCAGGAAGGTCGCATATTGCTCCCGCGTGATTTCAGGAGTTTGAGAGCGTTCTCGCAGAGCGTGGACCTTGATGCCATGTCTATTGAAGGACGAGCAGGCTTGTGCGGTCGCTCAGTGCCAGAAACTTCTCCAGTCTGGCGAGACCATCGTCCATCTCCAGTAACAGGTCATCTCTACACTCGCTGGGTAAGGTGTGCTTCTCGAAATGCAAGACTGTTCCGATGGTGCATTTGCGCTGACCGGTAGAGGCCGTAGCAGCAGCCTTGGATTTGACGGTCTTAGTATCATCAGAAAATAAACTAATAAGCAAGGACTGCACGAAAATCGCACGATACCTCAGTTCCTCGATGCAGGAGGACGGTGGCAAGGAGGAAGGAGATGTCGAACTCAGGCAGAATATTATGTAAGCCTGGCTGTAAGGCACACATGCAGGACGCCAGCTCAGAAGCTCGGGCCGCACTTTCACTTTCACGAGATCGCGTCCGAGGCGCGAAGTGCATCATCTCGAGCCATCACGAACTCTATCTCCCGTATCACTGCAATAACTTCGCAACAAATAGCAGACCCGGAGAGATCCGATCTTGGAGATTGTGACGGAAATCGCGATCGACACCAGGCACCTGCCATCTGCGTGCGATCAACGTACCTACCAGACCATCACTTCGACCACCAAATACGACACTTCACCGCACGGCGAACATCACGTCGGCATACGCTTGACCGCGCGATTGCCACAACATGTAAGCTATATGTACCCAACCCACCACACCGACTGCGAACATTGTACGACGTCTGCAGGGCGCATGCAGGCTGGACGGACGTAGGTCGTTGACGTTAGGCTGACACGACGACAGGGAGTCCTTCGACGACATCTATCTCGACCTCTCGAAACAGTCGGGGAAATGCAGGCTGGCCGAGTCGGGATTAGGATGGAAGGTTTCCGGCGGACAGACGTTCACCCTCGACAAGGCAGAGATAATTAGTGCACAGTGGAGCAGGGCGGCGAGAGGACACGAGCTGAAGGTTATCGCACGGAATGCGGGTGTGGTGCAGTTGGACGGGTTCAGGCAAGACGTGAGTGGGAAGCGAACACGTGATTGAACGATAGGACTGACATGCGATGCAGGACTTTGACACGATACAGAAATGCTTCAAGGTGTGGTATGGCGTCGAGCTGATCCAGAAGGAGCATGCGCTCAACGGCTGGAACTGGGGCAAGAGCGAGATGGGCCGAAACGAGTTCTCCTTCGCCGTGCGCAACAGACCTGCTTTCGAGATCCCCTACACCGAAATTTCCAACACCAACTTGGCTGGCAAGAACGAGGTGGCCGTAGAGTTCTCTCTACCCGCAGATGGCGAGGAGACAGGCACAAATGGTCATCTGGGCGGCGCGAGGTCAAAAGGTCGCAAGACGGGTGGCGCAACCGACCAGCTTACCGAGATGCGCTTCTACATCCCGGGCACAGAGACACGAAAAGGCAAAAAAAAGGACGATGAGGATGGCGAAGATGACGAGAACGCCGAGGAGGAAGGCCAGGAGCAGAACGCAGCTACTGTCTTCTATGAGACCCTCATGGACAAGGCAGAAATTGGCGAAGTGGCAGGTGACACATTCGCCACCTTCCTCGACATTCTCCATCTCACACCCCGTGGCCGCTTCGACATCGACCTCTATGAGAAGTCCTTCCGTCTCCGCGGCAAAACGTACGACTACAAAGTGGCCTATGAAAACGCCAAGCGCTTCTTTGTGCTACCAAAACCAGACGACATGCACCAGCTCCTCTGTATCGGTCTAGACCCGCCACTCCGGCAGGGCCAAACACGCTACCCATTCATCGTTATGCAATTCAAGCGTGATGAGGAAGTCAACATCGAACTTAACATGACTGAAGACGACTTGAAGAGCAAATACAACGGCAAACTCCAACCACGCTACGAAGCACCCATCGGCAACGTCATCGCCAAAATCTTCCACGGTCTAACAGGCAAGAAGCTCTTCCAACCATCGCACGACTTCACCTCCCACCACGGCCAAAGCGGCGTCAAATGTAGCATCAAAGCCAACGAAGGCCACCTCTACTGCCTCGACCGCGCCTTCCTCTTCGTCCCAAAACCTGCCACGTACATCTCCTTCGACAACGTCGCCGTGATCACGATGAGTCGTGTCGGAGGGGCTATTAGTGCGAGCCGGACCTTCGACATCACCGTCTCGCTCAAAAACGGCGCCGGCGAGCATCAATTCTCCAACATCAACCGCGAGGAGCAAGCACCCTTGGAATCCTTCTTCAAGGCCAAGAATCTCAAGACGAAGAATGAAATGGATCTGGATTCGGGGATGATGGCGGCGGCGTTGGTCGACGATCCGGATCTGGCTAGTAGTGAGGATGAGGTCGTGGCTAATGATCGGGGTTCGGCGGATGAGGACGATGAGAGCGTGGATGAGGATTTCCAGGCTGATGATGAGAGTGATGTTGCGGAGGAGTTTGATTCGGATGCGGCGAGTAGTGGTGGGGGTAGTGATGCGGGGAGTGATGCTGAGATGGAGGATGTGGACGCGGGGGGAGATGATGATGAGGAGGATTCGGCGGATAAGGTTGAGAGGCCGAAGAAGAAGGCGAAGACGGGGAAGTAGACTGCTTCGTCCAATGAGTTGGCTTTTTTCGTGGTCGGGACTGCTTTTTGGGCATAGCTTTGGCGTTAGTGTGCAAAGAAATGTGCAAAGAAACGGGAACTTTGGGATTGGAGAGATTATGGGATGTGAGCCACCCGAGAGAACGCCCGCATTCGGTTGTCGATGTGTCTGATAGCGGCGGCGATGATGTTCAGTCTGAGCAATGAAAACATCCGACTACAAATCACTCCGCCAACAACATTGTTTCCTCCAAAGGTGATCGATCACCAGTCCCCATCGTACTACCAGCTCCGGCACCTGCTGTCAGTGCCGCGTTTAGCATGTCGTCGTGGTCACAGTGATTTTCGCTCTGCTGTTCGCCTACGAGAGCCTTCGGTATCGGGCCCAACGCAGCGTGCCTGAGCTCAAGAGCGACTAGGCGTGAACGGCACACTGGCTATGGGACGTCAGGGTCGGCTGTCTAAGCAAGCTGTTCAGCAATGGGACGACAGTGAGGTCGAACACGACTTCATGACAGCTGCGGAATGGTATGAGCGCTGGTGTCTACATGTAGCTGAGTTACCTTGAAGCCTACCGTGGTCTAATCGAGAACAGTCGCTACCATGCACCAGAGTCTGGGAAACAGACCCGGCGTCTGGGAAACAGACCCGGCAGCGTGGTCAGACGACTGTCCTCGGAGATCTTTCCAGACTGCGTGCCTAGCGGGTCTGGCAGGTGATCACATCCCGAGCACAAGAATCGCAACGACTCAACCTTCCTCGTCATGCGCGGATGGCGAGTGCAGAGACGCACGTGTACCGGTAGCGTAGCAGACGAGATGGATTCATGCGAAGCTTTTTCCCTCCTCACGCCATGGCGCGCTAGCCCAAGAAAAGCAGGCAGGGCTCTTGGCGAAACAGATGTCCCACTTCCACCACGTGGATGCTGTTTGCAGTGGACATGCATGTCGTAGAGCCTGTGAGAATGTCACTTCTACATGCACATACGCCTGCTGGATGAAGCCACCGACACATATCAAAAGCATGGGCTTCTGGAAACCGGCGCACGTCTTACGCAGGAACGAAGTCAATGCCCTGGCTGGGATGTCTATAAGAGTGCCAAACATGCCAGGTACTTGGTAAGGAAGTTCACCTTTCATTTACAATCTCCACGCCATGCCTCAATTATCTTTTATCTTGCCAGCACTGCTGCCCGTAGTCTATGCCCAGTGGGGCGCTCCAGCACAAGGAGGACGGCCATCCTGGGGCCCACCCGGTGGCCAAGGCTGGCAGCCAGATCAAGGTCCAGGCGGCTATGACTGCAAGGAGCAGCCTTTCAAGCATGTCATTACGATCTCGGTGGATGGTCTGCACTCCAGCGATGTAGGCAAGTGGGTTGCATTGAGCCCCAATGGCAACATTTCGCAGCTCCTCCAGCATGGATACGAGTAAGTACGAATTGATACTCAGGCAGCCTGACACTTTTGACATATATTGCGCACTAGATACACGAATGCCTGGACAACAGCGCCATCCGACTCTTTCCCAGGTTCCATGGCTCAGTACACCGGAGCCACGCCACCCACAACTGGCGTCTGGTACGATGATACCTGGGATCATAGCTACTACGCTCCCAGCAGCGGCTGCGCAGGTGCACCTGGAGCCGAAGTTGTCTACGATGAGAGCATCGACTACAACTCTACGCAGCTCTTCTCGGGTGGGATTGACCCAGCCAATCTGCCAGAAGCCATCATCAATGGCAAGTGTACTCCCATCTACCCACACAATCGTCTGCGTGTCGGTACAACATTCGAGGTTGTCACAGCGGCTGGTTTCCAGACTGCGTACACCGACAAGCATCCGGCGTACGATATCGTCCGTGGGCCAAGCGGCACAGGTCTCACAGTAGTAAGTCGATTTTGGAGGTGCGATGCAGGGCGTCAAGCTAACTTCTGCAGGGCTACTTCCCGGAGATCGCGGCTGTCGGACCCACCGTGGCGGATACCATCGCCTACGATCAACTCCATGTCAATGCCTGGCTGGACTGGCTAGACGTCACAACACCCGTGAACACAACTGTATACAACGGCTCTTTGACCCAGATCCCGACTCTCTTCGGTGGCAACTTCCAGGCCATGTCCGTCGCACAGAAGACCGTGGGCTATGCCAACGACAGCACCTCCTCTTTCTCTGCCGCTGAAGTCCAGGCCATGACCTTCATCGATGCCTCAATTGGTGCCGTGGTCAACAAGCTGAAGGCCAAGAACATCTATGATGATACCCTCATTGTGGTCGCCTCAAAGCACGGCCAGGCTCCCATCAACCGCACGCTCTTCAACGAGGTCAACCCGAAGTGCATCTCAGGTGCCGTCGGAGTACCAACTCAATTTATCACCTTCGATGACATCGCCTTGGTCTTCCTGAACAACTCCGCAGACACCAACACCGCTGCTGCAAACCTCCAAGCCGCTGCATCCAAGTGCAAGATTCGCAGCGTGATCTACGGCCAGAACCTGACCGCATCTGGTTTCGGAAACCCTGCTACTGATCCGGCCGTACCCAATGTCATCGTCCAGCCCGAGCTCGGCGTCATCTACACCACCAGCACCGCGAAGGTGGCAGAGCATGGTGGTATCAGTACCGATGATCGCGTCGTGGCGTGCTTTGCAAGCAGTCCCAAGCTCCAGAAGACCGTGTTCAGCCAACGTGTGAACACTACACAAGTGGCTGCGACGTCTTTGCATGCACTTGGCTTGCAGCCACAGGCATTGGCTGGTATTAGGGATGAGCAGACCCAGGTCCTGCCGGGCTTCTCGTGAATGTTACGTGACGAGCTCAACGGCTAAACTAAGCCATGAAAGTAATGAGTTTGAAACTGACACGGTGGAGTGATCAGCCGCTAATGAGTCGGTTGTTGTAATTATTAGTATCAGCTAGAAAGTTGTTCAATCAGGACTTAAAAGGACCTCTCATCCTCTCGAGGGTGGGCTGTACAAGTCCGTAAAAGGCTTCTGCAGTGCCGGCTCCATGTAATACGTCGACTCTTCGGACGCCCTGCTCTTTGTTTTCAGATGATACGGTGGTCGATTCCGCTGTAAATTCTTCAAAGCATATGCCTCGAAATCTTCCGGCGTCCTGACGGGCAGCGACTCACTACCATTCCGGGGGGTCGTGTCTGTCAACGAGATCGTTTCCAGATCTGTCTCACCCACGGTCTCGAGTAGAGGCTCACTCCTATGTTGAACCAGCTTCTTCTCTGCACCAAACTCACTAGATCCGACCGACGATCTGAGTCCAGGTGAGGAGAACGAGACAGCTCCTAGCTCAACTTGAGCTGAGCCACGATTTGTTCCTCGTCCGCTGCTAGCTGAGCGTGTGGCATTTACAGCACGGGTGAAAGGATCACTGAGGTATTCTCTGAAGAAGACTCGTAGAGCTGGCGCCGAGGCACAGATCAATGCGAGCTGTAATTCCAGTACCGAGTAGACGAAGAGGTGGTAGCCGACCCAAGTGATATCGTAATCCGTGCCGAGCTTATAGATGTAGTATGTCCGTACGCAGCCCGCAGCTACCACGAGGAAGCCCAGCGAGAAGACAGCGTAGAGTGCTGTCTTTTGGCGGTGTGGGATGTCGAAGTGGCGGAGCATTAGCATCGGTAGCAACACTGAATAGAAATCGCTAAAGACACTGAGTGCGCCGGAGAGCGGATTCACACTTCTCGTGTCCACGCAATGATATGGTTTTTCGTATGTTGGGGAGTAAGACAGCCAATAAGAGTTGGTGGGCTGGCATGTCAAGATCAAGGCTAGTATCAGTGAGAGGCAGTAGCCGACCGTGAAGATGATTGCGCCGATCGTGGCCGCCTTCCAACGCGTGCTAATGGTGCCTTTGGTCAGGCGACGGTAGAAGAGTAGGACAGAGATCTTGGTACTGCAGCTGCTGACCAGGAAAGCGATTTCCGACAACCAGGCTATAAGAATTCCTGGTGAGAACCATTGTGGTGGTACATCCCTGTGTCGTTGTCAGCCTCAAGATGGACATTGATCGTCGATGGTCTTTCGCATACCACACATGCCTATCGATACCATAATGCTCATTCGCGACGACGACCAATGTAGTGAACATCGTCGCTGCTAAGAAGGCTGGCACGAGGAAGATATCGTCCAGACCTAACGCGCCAGCTTGCTTTCGTGATCGTAGCCAGAGACGTGTGAGGACCATCAACGTCATGATCCCTTGCAAAGTGCACGCGTATGGAACGATCCATGTTAGTCGTGGATTTGGGTGCTCGTAATTAGGTACTGGCCATGTCGCGATCACCGAAGCTGGTATTCCTGGAAGATTGCCAGGCATCCTGAATCGAAGTCTCTTGTACCTGCTCGCGACTGCGTCCGATGTTGTTTGGTCCTCCAGACAAAGTCCTTAGGGTGAAGAGCGATTGTGTACTGCTATCGCTGCAGCGCGCCACAAATGTACGAGATGCTTGTCGATGATGGCATAAGTAAGGACACTGCTCTGAGACCTAACGGCTGTCAAATGTAACGACATCCAGAAGAGGGAGGAACAAGAAAAGCACTCGGCTCACTGCTACCACGAAAACGCACAAACCTCAAAGTGTGAAGTCACAAATGGGCACATCGTAGTGCTTATGCCCCTGGTCAAGGTTCAAGCTGACAATAGTCGAACGAAACCCAACACGCCATCAACATTGGAGAGACCAAAGCTACCGAGGCGCAACAACATTACCAGTCAGAACTCAGAAGCACCGGAGCGAAAGCTTCCAAGTAACGAAGGTGGCGGGCCGTCTATAGGACTGCAAGGTACGAGCGACGTTATTGGTTTTCGTGGTGGCGGCGTGTGGTAGCACACCATTGGTGCGCGAGTTAATGCGTGACTGCCGATCATGGTGATGGGTCCGGGGTCGAGCAGCCAGGTGGGTACAAGGCGTCGGCTTTGAGGAAGCCGAAGGGCGAAACCACTGCGCGCAAGAGATGGATCCCTGGATGATTTGGTAGGATTGCAAGATTCGTATTGCGGGGCGAGATGACGAAGACCTGCTCGAGCGTATGAAACCAGGAGATCTCACCGAAGAGGTGCTTTGTTGCTTGATTCGTCGTCTGGTCAGACGAATGAGCATCGGCCAACATCTGACAGCAGCATGCGGCAACGAGACTCGGTTGGGAGCGCAAGTGTGCCATGCCAGGACAGAAGCCTTCAAAGAGAGTTGCATCTAGCACGAAAGTCGACCGGAAAGTGATGTTCTTGTGAGCACATGAACAGATACAAGTCACAAGATCAACCGCTAAAAATGTACGATAGTTTGCGCGATCGACGTCCCGACCAGCTGGCGACTGCCGCTTTGAGACAGCGACGTCGATCTCAAGGCTATCGAAGCATATATTTGCACTGAATTACCGACAGGCCATTTCTGCTGCGATCACGATGACGGCCACATGTAGAATCAAGTCTACCAGAGCAACAACGTTGTTATCGAAGGAAACCGACTCCTCTCCGTCAGAAGATATCACATCTATCGATCAAGATCCTGCCTCGAAAACAGTAACTCGGGATCAGGTCCACCATCCTCACTACTGTCAGATCTGGCTTGCCGTTGTGAAGGACGTCGCGCCGTTTCGAAGCTCTTATCGAGCTCATGAATAGCGTTGCCATCTTCACCATCCTTGACACTGACAGGACTCCCAGTGTCCACTAACTCATCACCTTCCCCTTCCACTCCATGCGAAGATGCGACGTGCAAAATATTCTGTAAAAGATCTCGACCTCGTCGTAAAGCATCTACTTCGGCTCCGATCGCAGCTATCAACAATTTCCAGTCTCGCTCCTCAGCCAGGCTGTACTTTGCTTCGATATGGGCCAAGACGCTTTCCAGATTTCCAAGCAGATCTTTCGTCGACTGGTCGTTGTTCGGAGGCTGCGATGTTGGTTCATCCCATGCTGACTGCGAGTTGGAGAACTCAGTCAGACTCGCTCGCAAGCGCTTCTCGAAGTCTGTAACGTGCGCGACAACGTCTTGCCAGACTGCAGCGCCCCCATTCAGCGCCGATTTCTCGTTCTCGATATCCTGATGGTGCTGCAACGCGACCTTCCGGTCGGCTTGACACTGCTCGCGCGCTGCGTGAAGGTTTGTTTGCTTAGCCACGCGGTCAGGTCTCGAATGTTCGTCACTGTGAGACCGATCACCCGTAGAATGCAAGGAGAGAAACCTCTGCACATCGGCTTCTAGCATACTCCGAGAGGAGGTATAGGAAGCCATCCTCGCCTGCACAGCGTTCTCAGCTGCGGCTGCTTGTCGCAGAAGCTTTCTTTGTCGGCTTTGTAGATCTGCAAGTTGCAATTCCACTGCATTGATCTGTTCCTGCATAGCATCTGCCTCGCGCCTCAGCCGTTGCGCACGAAACGTCTCTTCGCCATCATTGACATTCCTCATCGCTTCCTGTAACCCCTGCCGTTTCTGCTCCCAATCATCGATCTGCACAAGTGTCCTCTGCTGTTCCGCGGCCTCTTCGTCGACTATTTGCAGCTCTTCATCCTTGACAGCAGACAGTGCTATTATGCTGTTGTAGATCCCTTTCCTAGCTTTCCGCAAACTCGGTGTCTTTGTGGCAGCTCGTGCCTTTCGTCTTGCAGAAGCACTCCGCATGCTCTGCGCAGTAGGAGTGGTGCTTCCAGTAGACGAAAGATCATCCGCTTCGCCGCCAAAGCCATTCACAAGTCCCTCGGCCTGAGCGTCGAGTAAGAATTGTAGGTCTGCTTCAACTTCGCCCTGTCGATCATCCGCAGGAGCTGGCCGGTCGACAATTACTGACTTCATTGGGAGTGGCCGCGACGAGGTGGCATATGTGCTTTGCACTATGGGCGGAGGGACGATCGAGGCCGCTAAACTTGGCGATGGGCTATGCCAGCGTGGTAGATCATGTTTGCTGGACTCGGAAAGGAGCCCATATTTGCTAGCCGTAGCTTTGGAGAACCATGATCTGGTGTCTGACATGTCAGATATAGGGTGTGAAAGATAAGAAAGCTCAATGTTGTGGCATACCGTTCCATGATCTAAGTATGCGCCTAGTCGCCTTGTATCATTGATCATGCGGCGGAATGTGTCCATCCACTCCACGTCGTCTGATCGCTCAATATCCTAAGATTCCCTCCTGCTGCCGACCTCCCTGCACCGTTCAATACCTGCGGCATAGATGTTTGCATGTCGAGGGAGAATCTCGAGTCGAGCTGCATGCCTGTCCACAACGGCGGCCCTGCGTCACTGCTGTACGGAGCACACCACTTCGAAGAACTCGGCTTTCACCATGCTGATCACCACATTGGTTACCTCGATCAACATGAACTATATATCGACAAAACCAATCGAGCCACCAATCCAGCCTCTATTGCAGACTCAAATGCCATCGAGAAGCTAGACATCTATCACACTGGTCCGTAAACGTTCACAACATAGACACCAAGGCACAGCCCCTCGTACCCACTTACTGGCCATTGTGGCAACCAGGACACTACCTTTATTGGACGAACCCGGACGAGGGCGGATAACCACATCATGGACGATGCGCCGCCCCGGTACGTACTCTTTCTACCGCCTATACCATCACCGCCTACCCTGTCATCGCTAAAGATCAGCTTCGGAGACACCATCAGCCAGGTATTGAATGAAGTCGCCAGCCACTCCTCAGATTCCTCAGAAGCAGCTATATTGGAAGTAGCTCTTGCATGTCCTTCCCTGGTTGGACGACAGAACGCTCCACGATCCTCCTTATATGGTGTCGTCCAATCGAGTTTCGCAGCTGTATACAAGCTAGTCTGTGTGATAGCAGCCAAGGATGGCGTCAACGTTGAGGACCGCAATGGAGTCGATGTTCGCATAATTCCGGTTGCATGGTCCGGAAATGGCTCCGCACAGTCTGCGACGCATGCAGGACCGATTGTAACGCTGGAGACTCTTGCACAGTCAGGTCGTCAATGGCAGTACGCATTTGGTGTGGAGACGGATGCTGGTGAGAGTATGGTCAAGGCCTTCGTAGCAGCAAAAAGTGGTCAAGCTTCTCCCGTCTCCGGGTCATCAACAAGCACATCGAACCAGAAGTCTCGGATGCAGAAGCACTGCCATGTTGCTGTTGGTGGAACATTCGACCACTTACACATCGGACACAAACTCCTTCTAACCATGACCGTCTTCGCCGTAGATGACAGGCCCTCAGGCGACCGAAGTGCAACGATAGGCATCACAGGCGACCAACTACTAGTCAACAAGAAGCACGCACAAGTCCTCGAAAGCTGGGCAGACCGGCAACGATCAGTCCAGAACTTCCTCGACTCTATCTTAAACTTCAGCTCATCACAGCCGAGAATCACTACCACAGACAACCCGGGACCCAACGGCAAATCAACACACATCCACTACCCCAACAACCTGGTCGTGAAGTGCACAGAGATCCAAGACCCTTTCGGCCCAACCATTACGGAGGAACAGATCTCAACCCTGATCATATCTGGTGAAACGAGATCAGGTGGTAAAGCCGTCAACGACAAGCGGAAGGAGAAAGGCTGGACTGAGCTGGAGGTATTCGAAGTTGACGTACTTGATGCGGAAGATGAAGGGGCGGAGGTCAAGGAGGGTTTTGGCAGTAAGTTGAGTAGTACTGCTATCCGGGAGAAGCTGGCGAGGCAGACGGAGAGCGTGAGTACTGCTGGAGGTAGAAGTAAAGTATGAACATCGTCACTCGGGCAACCACTGCGTTCTCCACGTTTACATCGGAGCGCCTTTGTCGTGACCTACAGTCATAAGCAAGGACTGCCAACAAAAATAAAGAGTTTGTCTCTGTCCGGCGTAAGTAAGTACAAAGCCTTCCTACGTAAGGGCGAGGTCTGTCTACTGTATATCGGCGACGCCTTCTACCTTGATGATTGCAAGACAAATTCTTCGCTTACACAGGTTGAGGAATATCCCCGTAAGACGAGCAACTCCATGCCTCAGGCTTTACCTCGCTGCAGAATCGTACCATGTGATCCGGCGACTGGTACTCGCCTAAGGCTACCTATGACTGGCCCAATCGATGCACGCGAAGCTTGATGCAGCTTCGGTAAGGCTTTATTACACATCCGAGAGGCGTGATGATGTGTAAACGCGGTCATTTGGTAAGTCGATTTGTTGCCATTCGCGTTGGCATCACTCTAGAACATACTTCTTCAAGGATGTATAGCGCGGTAATGCGAGTCAAAGAACACCTCACGAATTGATTTACTTAGAAATCTAGTGGATGATTGGTGCTCGACCGCAATAGCAGCCTTTTCAGACTGGTTTGGGAAAAGGCTTGATGTGTAGCCCCGGCTCCCTGATATGGACAGCAGTAGATACCCTCACCGGTGCAGGGTATTCCTCAGCGCTTATATGTATGTGTCGCTGCCTCGTCGCGCAACGTGACACGGTGGAGCCATCTAACGTAGATCTAGCTGCCGATAGGCCGTAATGAGCCCAACACCACAGTACATTCTCATTTACACGCGAGATCGTGTCATCTTCTACGCCAAAACATTATCGTGATTCATGGGCTATCACAATCTCCCAAATCAGCAGAGCTCGACAGGGCATAAGTCGACAGTGCTGTCCAGTCCAGAACTTCTGATGCTTGCTTTCATCACCTACACTGAAGGACACCACCAATGGTTGTGTTCTGTGAGCCAATAACCTTGTTTCCCCTGATGACCTGTCTTTTGAGCTTCGCTGATACAACTCCAATAGAAGTGTCCGCAGACTTCAGAACTTCGTTATCCTCCACAATCTGGTCCTCTAGAGCTTCACTGCGGACATCTTCGACATATCTGGCCTTCCAATCGTCCTTGTACTCATGCTCTGAGGATTCCTGTTTCATCACGTCCGGACTACCGACTATGTCTTTCGTGGAAAGAATCGCCTGTGCCGTAACAGTCACCACCGCCATCCCCGCATTCATCTTCGCTTGCCCACTGTTCTTGGTATGGTCTACGCGCTCGATGGTGCGCGCACTCACAGCACTTTTATCTGGCTGTTGCCTGCTCGGCACAGGCTTCCTTTGCATCGACATGGTTTCCGCGGCGCTGACCTGTAAATGTCTTCGAGATGGTCAGATGATAAACCGCGACCTTTTCGGACTACTTACAGGCTGGTGATGGACACCGCCAACAAGATGGCACCCCTGGCAGAAGCGATACTTTGTATGGCGTCCTCGATCTGCGCCTTGTTGAAGCGGACCCGCAGTCTGGAGGCCAAAGTGTCTGGTCCACCTTCTGTCCACTTTCTCAGGCTTGTTTCGAGATCAGCACAGATATCACCGCATCTGATGACAACCGCTGATAAGTCGAGGCGTCTGACGACGGCTTGCGCGGGTGTAGTGTACAGGTGCAAAGTAGAGAGTTCTGCTAGGCAGCTGTCCAGCTGACACAGCTCCGTACGCAGTCTTTCCACAGACTCCGGCACATTCTTCAGATATACGACAAACTCGTGAATGCGAGAGATACTCCGGAGCGCCAGTTCTGCGAGACCGATAGCGGCAGCAACGTCTTGGAAGCCTGACATCACAGGCCGTACGGCGTGTAGACGATTGCTGACCAAATAGAGACGGTGGGTATATGTTTGAGAAGCTCGGATAGTTTCCTCTCTTTTCAAGACCCGAAAATTTATCACACAACCAGCCGTGACAGCACATTGTCTATTCTACAGACTTTGACTGGTGCGGCCGCATCATCGAAGCGATCATGCGATAGAACACCCGATGGTCCAATCACTTCTATCTTACTATGTCTGCCTTTTGCAAGCAGCGGCAAGGCAATCGATATAAGACCGCTGCACGGCGGCGCTTAATGGAGGTCTGCAGTTGGTCCAGCACGCCTGAGCAGCTCAACGGTCGCTCCGCTCAGCCGGGTACCTCATTATTTACCATATGACGTGACACCTAAGCTGCCTGAGGCTATTTCGCCCAACAAATGTACCCAGTCGGTTATTCAAAAGCGTGGCAGAGGGACATGAAGGCAGCGAAGTGGGTGGAGGAGAAGGCAACGCTGAGATAACCCCGCAGGGAAATCACACGGTATAGTTCGCCCCAAAAAATCCTACAGGATCGTCTCGAGCAAGTGCAATTGATAGCAGTTCGCAGCCTGTATCACTTCCTTCTAAAAGACCATAGAGAGTCCTATGAGCAGCAGATGTTGCCCGTGAGGCATACCACGCTGCTGAAAGCTCGCGATGCAAGATGTCTGAGGTGGCGAGCTACCGCATTTCAGACAACCACGTCACTAATTCCAGCAACACCAACATAACCCATCATGTGTATAACGGAGCCGGTGCTGATGAGCTGCAAGTATGGCTTTCCTCGAAGGCGCGCAAGGTTCACTCAAGACACATCTCCCTACCAGAAGTGTTCGTACCCGGATTCACACGCCACATAGCACGACAACCGGATTTCCAAGCATGTCTGTCACAAAAGGCCGCAAGTTTGATGCTAAGAGGGAGCATGGGAGCAGGCAAGACGACCACGATACGTGGGCTAGTTAGAGATCTACGAGAAGTCCAGGAAGTGGCCGTCGCTTATGTTCTGTTCGATTTCCATCTACCTACTGGACATGAGTCACAAAAAGTTCTGATGCGCTTCGTAGACCAGTTGGCGGACTTGAAGGACGAGGAACAGCGCAGCCATGTATTGGACTTGCATGACAGGTACTCCAAAGAATGGCCGTCAGCAGACGAAATAGCAGAGATGCTCATTGCTGTCATCCAACACCTAGCACATACGCGATCAAAGGCCATCTGCATCTTCTTAGATGGATTGGACGAGTTCATTGATCAAAGCAAGTTGTCTAATCTGCTCCGACATCTGGCCAAGGTTCAAGCGCAAACGAATTGTGGACTCGTCATGACTAGTCGTCTCAGAGAGGTGTCCGTCACTTCGATGTTCGGACAGTGTCCTGAACTGATCATTTCAGCGTATCCTGCCGATGTCAAAACCTTCGTCCGAGGTTTCGCTCCTGGCAATACTGTTGCCCGTCTAAAGGCCGAACGTGGTTCTGAATTCATTGAAGACATCGCCAACGTGGTCACCGCAGGAGCTCGTGGTTTGTACGATCGCCATCTTCACGAAATGCTCGTCATTCGTGGCATGCTGATTCAGCTGTAGGTTCTTGCTGGCAACTCTCAACACTGCGTACATTATGAACGCGGACACAGAAGATGAATTTCGCGCTGCCCTGAAGCAAGTGTCCCTTGACAGCACAAATAGCACTGATCTGGACGAAGCTGCATTGGAACACAAGGTCCTGCGAAAGGCATTTGACCGACACATTGATCGACTCTTCGTGTCGGATCGCCACACAGAACATCGCAGACGACAAGCCCGAGATGCTCGCGACATTCTTGCTTTCATGCGTGATGCAATCCGGCCGCTCAATTTTCAAGAACTACTGCACCTCTTAGCACTCCGCGACCACAGAGGAGAATTCGGCGCTGGTGCACTTCGGGATCCTAACGACTTGGCCGCAATCACTCAAGGGCTGATGTATATCGGGAAGAGTGGCTCGGTTCACTTCATTCACCCATGGCTCAAGACTTATCTGCAGATTCCGCGTCGTCGAATAGTCATGGACTCCAATGCAATCATCACGCAGTCTTGCCTGAGATATCTACTTTGGCATCGTTTCACGCTTGGCCCGTGCGGCGACAACGTCGAACTGGATAAGCGACTACTTGACTCGCCACTTCTTTCATATGCTGCTAAGTCCTGGACCGTACATTATGCCGCTGCTATGGAAACACTAAATGAAGACTGCGCCCAGTCGCTGCGAGCCATAGCTCTGGTCTTTCTTCGATGTGATGCATCTGTTAGCACGGCACGGCAGGTCATGCTGCTTTCGGACCACGCCACAGAGGTTCACAGCGATTCCTTGGAGAATGTGGTCGGTGGCAGGACCAATTCAAGAACCAGTGTGCTGGTGTCTCTTGCAACGGCTGCAGCACGGCCAGGTTCGGTCGACCCGTTTCGGATTGGAAGAACTACCGGCCTCCATCTAGCCGCTGCGCTTAGTCTCAACGATCTTGCGACAAATCTCACGGCTGATGCAAATAAAGAAGTGCTGTCGCATAGGAATGGACTTGGTCAAACGCCTCTGCACGAAGCAGTCATCGCTCGCAATCGATTCTTAGTTGAGCTACTCGTACGTCAAGGAGCGATTCTTGACGCATGCAACGATGAGGGACTATCTCCATGGCATATTGCCGCAGCTCTCGGCAGTGTTGACGTGATGGAAATAATGATGGGCCATGCAAACCGTGACTTTAGCATCAACGGTCGTGTACGGCCGCGAGCTTCCCGGTGGCATGGGCAGGCTTATGAGACGACCAGTCTCCAGCCTCAGGCCATATCGATCAAGACTGAGCGGGCTCTATCCGGATGTACGGCTTTGCACCTCGCTGCGCGCAATGGCCATGTCGACGTAGTAAAGCTCATCATGTCGGACGAGCGGGTGGAGACTTCGATTGAGGACGACGATGGCATGACAACATTTCATAAGGCATGCAAGTATGGCCATATCGATGTCGTGAAGCTCCTCATTTCCTTCGATTCATCGTGGCCTGAACGTCGTTCAAACGTTGACGGCCGTACTGGCCTGCATCTGGCCTGCAAGTACAAAGCTGGCTTTGAAGTGGCAAAGTGGCTACTCCAGCACCACACAGGCTGCTGTGATATTCGCGACAGACATTCTGAAAGTGCTCTTCACCACGCTGCAGCGGGAGAGGATTCCAGAAGTGTCCAATTACTGCTGGACCATTCCATGACCGATGTCCATGCATTGAATGACAGACGAAAAAATGCACTCGTACTTGCGGCCTTCAACCCAAATGAAGGGTTCGATATGTTCTTGCGTAGTGCGAAGGTAGATCGAAAAGTGAGGATCGGGACCATATCTGTTGCAGAGTTTGTGGTGGAGCGCAAGAAGGCGCTGCACCGGCAGGCGTTCTCTCAAGCGGGCGCAGGAACTGCACGTCGCCGCAGCGATGAGGCATTTGAGCTGAGCAGACTTGCAGACAGGCTATCAGAGACTGTCCTGCGGCCATTTACGCCAGAAACGTGGGATATGCTCGGCGATGCATAAGCATACTGGGTCTAAGCAAAGTTTTGTGGGGCCTGAGGAAGCCCGCATGATCCTGTCGAGAGAAACGCGGCAAGATGATCTCGTCATATGGCTGACAAGGCTACCGTAACGTCGTTTCTTTTGGTCTACTGCGGTTATTGACCGTGACTTGCTGCACAGTAGTGTCAATGGCGTCCGGCTGAGCGGGGTTCGAGGGCGTAACCCGCCACAAGATGTGCCTTGATAGCCTTACTGGACAGGATCCAACCAGAACCCTTCCCTTGATGTTGGGTCGGCGATTGTGCGCGTGGCATTAAATGTCTCGTCGCTCTCCTCATGCCTCCCTGCTTGTGTCCTATACATGTACGCTGAATGCGATATGTTACACCTATCCACCATCGTGCGGCCCGATGTCTAGTGGTACGCCCAAGAACACGTGGCCCATCCTCATCGTCAAGCACAAGCAACGATTGGAGGCTTGCGAGCAAAAAGCCATCGCCGACGAAGACGACTTTCGAGCCACTCTGAGCGAATTCTGGAAAAAGTACCGGGAACGTGATGGGCTACGGCTTCTGAACCGCATACGAAAGCAGCACAACTCTATACTCGAGCTTGCAGCCGCTGTAGACGCGGCTCTGGGCATCAAAGCACCGGATAGTCTCACCGCCTTGGTCTTTTCCGTTGCTACAGCAGCCGTGCAGGTGAGTCCACAATACCGCCAATGCAATTCCGTGAGCTCCGGCATTGATGTGGCATAGGCAGCTTTCGAGAGCAAAGCCGAGCTTGCGGCCCTTACGCAGGAGACAAAACGATTGAACGACATCGTACCATCTTTCAACGTCGAAAATTTACGCAGATTTCAGACCGAGAGCCGCGTACGACAGCCTTTGGAAAAGCTGTTTGAGAGCTATATGGAATCATATATGGCGATATTTTCAGAGAGCGCTCCTCTGGGTACGTGTCCCGAGGACAACGATAGGGCGTGCTGACATTGCTAGTTCTGTGCATTGAACGATTTAGAGAGTCATTGACTGGCAAGGATGACTTCTTCGCCGCACAACGAGCAGATTGGGAGCGAGCGTTTCGGGGCGCACAAGAGGAAGAGCAGCTCCGCATAGATCAGGCGGGCAAGACTGCACATGCCGGGGTGCCGGAGCCGATGGTCCTGCAAAGGACCAATGCTCAGTTCGATAGCGTCAGAGAGCTTGGAGCGGGCCAGTTCGGTCGAGTGCATTGCGTAAAGCAGTACTCTACCGGGGAATTCTTTGCTCAGAAATTCATACCCGCGCCCAAGGAGGCCGGAGGCAGGAGCGCTACGAAGAAGCGAGTGCTGAATGAGGTGGATGTCATGAAGAAACTCCAGCACCATCACATCGCATCTATGCTGTTCTACACGGAGCATGACGCTGGTTTCAACTTGATCATGCTACCGGTCGGCGACTGCAACCTGCGGGAGTTTCTCCTGCTAAGGTGTATCAACGCTGACTACCCAAGAAGTGAGATTCAGCTCCTCGACAACTGGTTTGGCTGCTTGATCACTGCCCTGGCGTTTGCACATTCCAACAAGATCAAGCACGAAGATATCAAGCCTTCGAACATCTTGATAAAGGGCACTCGAGTCTACTTGGCCGACTTTGGATGCGCTTGGGACTTCGAGGAATCGTCGACGAGCCTCTCTGCCGACCAATCGATTGCAGGGACGCCTGTATATTGGCCTCCCGAGCCACTGAAAGAGCGCGGTCGCGCGGCAGACGTCTTCGCGCTCGGCTGTGTCTTCTCTGAGATGTTGACAGTCCGCCAGGGCTGCACTCTAGACGAATATGGAGCAGCGAGGAGGGTCGACGAGCGGGACAACCCGTACGCCTTCAGCAAAAATCTTGTCGCAGTCGAGGCATGGCTGAGGAACTTGCCCGGCATGGAAGATGGGGCGACCAGAGCAGACGTACCCAAGCTCTTACTAAAGATCATTTTGAAAATGCTGGAGAGAGACAACGGTCTCCGAGAGAACGCGAGGCAACTGAAGAGGGAGTTGAAAGTAGAGGATGAGGTTTTGTTCTGCAGTAGCTGTTGGTGATGTGCCAATCTGCTAGAAACTACCAAAACAGCACGACAGTACAACACGGGACTTTGGAAGTACCAGCGCTCGACTCAAACCTCAGCCCCGGCTGTCACTGGTGCATCTACCAGCGCGGCGGCCATGAAGTCATCGATTTCATTGGCCCAGGGTATGCCAGTTTGACCACCAGCTTTGGTGACCGCGAGAGCACCGGCGGCATTGGCACGTTTCACGGCCTTGGCGATGTCCCAGAACTCTTGTGCTTTCTGCATGCGCACATACTCGGCCGCATAAGCGCCGACGAAGGTATCACTGGATCACTCCCGTCAGCTCTCATCCGACAGCATTGCAGCAATCGACTTACCCAGCTCCAGTTGGATCTACAGACTCTACCTCAAATGCTTTGATCAGGTCCGAACCTTCGCTATTCGCGTAAAATGCTCCGCCTTTACCAAGGGTCAAGATGAAATTCTCCACCCCGTACCCAAGGAACATCTTTGCGATTTCTTCAAAGTTCTCGGACTTGATATCCGCCAGGTCGAACCCCGAAAGTATCGCAGCCTCCGATTCGTTCACCACCAGGTGTGTCAGGTTGCGATACAGCTTCGTCAGGATGTTGTTGGCTGGCGCAGCGTTCAGTAGGACCTTGATGTTTGCTTTGCCCGCTGTCTCCAGGATCCGCTCGACCGCCTTCATATCGACCTCCAGCTGCGAAATGATCAGGTCGGGAGGTGCGCCCGCGTTACTCAGGGTATCGGCAGTTTTGAAGTCGTAAGGTGAGATAACCGAATTCGCACCCAACGTATAGATCAGGCGGTTGTCTCTTGATTCGTCAGTTTCTTCCACCATGATAAATGCTTTCCCTGTATTCTCCTCCTTCTCGACACGTATGCCGCTGGATTCCACCTGACTATCGCTTAACGCCTTGAGCATATACTTCCCCTCTCCATCATCCCCTATAGCTCCTATCATGCGGACCTTAACGTCGACGCCAGGTTCGCCAGTAGCGGTATCCGCTTTGTCTGGGTTGTTGTGACACGCACGTGAGGTTGCAATTGCTGCATTGGCGCCTTTTCCGCCGGGTCCAATTACATAGCGAGTGGCGGGGAAACTTTCACCAAGATCAGGTAAGCGATCGATGAAGAAGATGTGCTCGACAAGCAGACTGCCGACGACCACAATGTCTGCAGTGGTCATGATGCCGGCTAAGTGAACAGTACGTTCATGCCCTCAGATTATTAGGTGCGGACACGGCATATATGCAGCCTATCGAGGCTCTGTCGCCTTCATTTTCAGGCAAAACCCAGGCCCCAATCGGTGGCCATAGTCGTATCGGTGCTCGGCACAGTAGTGCTGGCAAGAGCGGGCACATCGAGGTGAGGCTTGCAAGTTGCAGCTCGAGACCGGTGAGAGAGCCTCTGAGCTGCCTTAGCCCCTCTTCCTGTACTGCATAGGCGTCGCACAGCGCCAACGTGGCGGTATTAGATCCCCGTACATTCTAAGAGCGGTGAAGCTCCTGGGAAGGACCTCATATTCCGCGGGTTTGTCCGTCTCAATGCTCAGAAGTATGTGTGCGGATGGCTAATGATGTGATCAAGCATGTTGATGAGGGCTGGAAACTTCCCTCTACCCGTAGCTGACGGCTGAGCTTGGCTACACCGAGAATATGAAAGTGTTGCGCGCTTGAAGTAGTCGCCAATGAGTCAATATATGGACTTGAGAAAGCGTCCACAATTCCTTCGATCGCTTCAATACTTCAAGTAACCTCGAAAGATCGGCTTCAAGCCTGCGTCAATGAAATCGAACAGCTCAGCGCAATGGTGCGAGGTCAAGATGCGTCGAAGTATGTACAGCGCTCACCATCTATGGTATGCTGCCCCTCGAACCGTCGCTGTCTCGGTCAGCCTGTGCTTCGCGTTCTTGACAATTGACAACTTCAAAAAATCCTGACCGAGCAGAGCGACCGGTGGTTGCCACTATCGCCTCTGATGGCGGCCCAGCCAATGAAATGTCCATAGTCGTGAGGTATGTGGCAACAGGATGTCCCCGATTTGACTGACATGGTGTGATTAGATCTGTGGGCTATAGTCGAACATGAGGCTTGACGCTGCTTGCATCCCACGATGACGCGGAAACTGCTGTCACTTGCGGCACCGCTGTCTACGCAAGAGGATCGATTTCATGGTAGGATTGATCTCGGCGCCAGGATGCATTAGCAGTGCCCTTAAAGGCCCACATCTCTTCATTACACGGATGCAATGCCTCCCGAAGCGGTCCACCAGCAGCCAGATCGACAACGAAATCGATGTTCTAGAAGCGTATCAAGCAAGGACACATATGGCCTAGCACTGTAGACGCGCCAGGTAGCAACTTGCGAAAAGAAGGGACTTGCGTAGTAGGCCTCTGTCGACCCTCATGTACTGCGTGTGAATCTCGTGGATGGCACAGCTGCTAGATGGTCAATGAATCGGTAGTATCGTCTTGCTGGCTCCGTGTAATAGAGGCCCGTCTCCTACAACGGAAGTACTAGTCGAAGTCGATGTACAAGTTGGCATGGCCAAGTAGGACCTTCTTGTGACAAGCCGCCTCGTTACCGATCCAGATGATAGTCGCCAGGTCGAGGAATTTTGCTTGCTGATATCTGGTTCGTTGTAAGAAGATTGCTCGTCATGATATGAACAAATTGTATCTGTCAAGCGTGGCTCAGCTTCAGCATATGTGTGGACTGGACGAGTCATTCATTTCATGCCAGGGTTGTGTCCACAGCTTCGTTCAGGCTCGACGGCTGTTGCGATTCCATCACGATCCATCCGGGATGAGATCCTGTACAATCATTAGAGGTATGTGAGCGCCTTCGTGGGACCGACGTGATCCAAAGGCAGAGGTATAGCGTTGTCAATGCCTTGTCCGAGCACTACTCGCATCGTTCAAGTTGTCAATCATTACTACACAACTCATAACCTGCTTCATGTAAAAGCAGACTTCATTAGCATACCAAGAATCTCAAGATCACACCTAGCATCCTGCGGAGTGGTCTTCGGGACCTTCCCTTCAACGATCCATCGATACACCTCCTTCCACTCGAGCATGAAAGGATCCTCGTATGTGCTCCGAGTAACCGACTCTTTATATGAGTCGTCCGGTAAAGTCTCCTTGACCACCATAGTCGTCGGCAAGCCTCTGATGAATGGTGTGTCGATGCACACTTTGACGGTCTTCGAGTCGCCGAAGACCTCGATTGAAGCATCGAATCTTGCGACCTGATCGACGCCGGACTCGTATGCGACTGCGAAGTTGGAGTATCGGAAGATTGCGCTGCAGTTGTCAGCCTTGGGCGAAAAAAGTGCATGGCAAGGAGCTTCCTCTACCTCCCAAATGGCGACCCCGTGGTAGCACAAGGTGAGAATCCTACGACACCATCCGGCATACCCACGATTTCTCGCATGGCACTCAGGTCGTGTGCCCCTAGGAAGGAGAGAACATCCCACATCATTGTCGTCTCCTTGGTCACAGCGATTCCAAGCTCATGTTGTAGCGCTTGCTTCATGTCGTCGCTCGTCTTCTCCCGCAGCGCATTGGAGTCTTCTTCGCGATAATCGTTGAATGTCCGGGGACATGTGCCGGACTGTCCCACGAAGACAGAGTTGGGTCCGATGATATCTCGGACACGAACGTAATGTATCGATTCAATGGTGCCAACCTCTCGAACTGCGTCGACGAACGCCGCAGCATACCTTCTCATAAAGCCGATGAAGGCTCTGCCGCCGCCTGCCGCCTTGTCCGCAGCGATGATACGGTCTGCGTCCTGCAACGACAACGCGATCGGCTTCTCGATGAAGACGTGCTTCTTGGCTCGCAGCGCAAGCTCTGCATGAGCCGCATGGAAAGTATGATGGCTTGCTACCAGTACCAGATCGACACTCGGAGCATTGCACAGCTCCTCTACGCTTCGGGTGGTCTTGGGACGCAGATTGCCGGCGACCTTGAGCTGGCTGCATTTCACGGCTTCCTCGGAGACATCGCTGAAGTATGTGATCTGGAATTGATGGGATAACGAGTTCAAGCAGGGAATGTGGACGACTTGAGTGACCAGACCACACCTGCGAGCAATGAGCATGCGCCTCGTTGGTAAAGATATGACGATCCCAATTCACCCTACGATGCCTACATTGATGACACGGCCACTTACTGTAGCTTCGGTGGGCCTCATGCCGAACATCGTGGAGTGTGATGTTTGCTAAAGGGTTGCCCGCAAGTGTTTCCTTTCTCAATTTCAGTGCGAGAATCAACGGAGGTGAATGCCGTGCTAGCAGTCAGTATAGACTTAGTGCAGTGGTACAAGGAAAGGCGATGGCATTTATGTCGGCGTGGCCAAATGGAGTCACGTGGACGCTTCAAGCACTCTCCGCAATTCCTCCCGCTCGCGGACAAGTTCGCAGTGGGGGCTGCTGCCTATGTTCTGATCGTCCAAAAGGTCGTCCTTTCTAGTCATACCCTCTTGCAATCGTACTCACGTTAGTCACGTTGAAGCAGTGTCTGGTCTGTAGACTTCTTCCCGAACCCTGGCGAAAACACAGCCGAGTCTTGCCATGTCAGCTGCGACAGCAGGATCTGCGCTGCTCACTCATGGCGGAGACCGAGAGAAACCTCGCCGCGCTGACACTAGGACCGCTTTATCACAAACTAGACCCAGGTCGACAAGAAATCCGCCTGCTGGTCTTAAAGCCTGCCGCTTCGTCTGAGGAAGAAGTGCGATGCATGGTTCAGCACACCTCCTTGAAGTCCAGGCCTCGAGCAAAGTACGAGACGATTTCTTACGTCTGGGGTGATCCTACAGTGCAATCTACCATCCTAATCCAAGATGAACGGGTTTTGATACCTGCTAACGCAGCAGTGGTACTTCGCCGCTTTCGCAAGAAGGCAGAAGATCGCGTACTGTGGATCGACGCGGTCTGTATCAACCAGCATGACATCGACGAGCGTAGTCAACAGGTCGCGTTGATGGCCGAAGTTTACTTCTACCCAACGCAAGGACTTATCCGGATTGGCGAATGCAGTGATCCTACCAAGAAATTGCGGCGGTCGGTCGAACTTGTGCTGGCTGATGCTGCGAACGAAACTGACAACTTCCGCTCGTTCGCGACTACTGTGCGTAGTACGACTGGTGGCCTCGTACCTATGGGCAATGGAAGTTTGCCGGCTGGAGCAGACATTGGTTTGTTGTTACGCATGTTGAACATGCCGTGGTTCGGACGCGTATGGGGTGAGTCACCATACCATTCCGTGTGATCATTAATGTCTTGAAGATAAAATTGGTGCTGAAGTAGCTAACGAAGATGTCCTCAGTGGTGCGAGAAGCTATCCTTCCTCCAAAGTCCACTTGCTACTACGGTGCTGCTCGATTCTCTCTCACAGACATACTTCGTGTGGCCATGTGGCTGCAGTACAAGCGCTTGCTCATGAAACCGGACGACATGTCTTTGCAAACAGAGATGAACCGTGCAAATGCGTTATGGGCTCTCAAATACGATTACAAAGAAGGCAAACCCACGGGACGGAAGATGAAGCTACCGCATGTGCTATACACTATCACTGACAGCTAAGCTAGCAAACCCAAAGACCGTGTTTTCGGTATGCTCGGTCTGTACCAACGATTGGTCAATGAGACCATTCCCCCTGGTCTGCGTCCCGACTACTCTCGCTCTTTGACAGACATACTGATTGACGTTGTGCGAGCGATGATTGACAATAGCTATACCCTGGACTTCTTCGATCGAGTGTCTTACCCGTGGCAAGCAGAATCTAGCTCACTGCATGATAGGCCTGTGCCGACATGGCTTCCACCATTCCATCGAAGACGAGATCGCATGCTTGATGCTCCGCTGCTGTCGACACGCTTCAACGCACATAACTACAAGCCGATCACGATCCCTCCCAGATTATGGATCAGCCCAGGAGTGCTTATCCTAGTTGGCTTCCAAGTCAGTCGTGTCGACCGGATATCGAGCGAATATCCCCTCAACGTCCTTGATGACGGGATTGACGATGTAGCATGGCGCTGGATGGCCGAGGCGCAGACTGAGCTGGACGCAACTTCCGAAGTCCGTAGGACTGCTTTAGCATCTAGCATCATCCTAGGCTCGAACCTATTTGACTGCACTATTCAACCCGATGCTGCTCTGCGTGCATACGATAAGCTCATTCGAGACTCTGCCCAAGGTCTCTCAATGCAGGCACAGCTTGCGAATGTGGACGACGACGATGTGATAATGCCTGGGATGTATCTCCAATCGTCGTCAAGGTGTCTTCACAGGCGGTGCTTCTCACTAGAAGACGGCCGCATAGGCGCTGGCCCTGCGGAAATGGATGTCGGAGATGTAGTGGTCATATTGTACGGGTGTCGATGGCCGCTTGTGCTGCTCGAGATGCCTATTCCTGGCCACTACCTCGTCCGTAGCGCCGCATACGTCCATGATATCATGGAGGGGACAGCGGTGATCCTCCACGAGATGAGGCACGGTCGTGACGAGGTGTTCTTCCTGCATTGATCGGAGATCTCTCTTTCGGATTTATGCTCGGGTCTTGATGACGAACAGATGAGAATAAAGTGAGAGCGAAAGGACAAAAGACAAGACATACAACAGCATCCACTTACTTGCCAATGTGTAAATGCATGGGATCAATGTTACTTAAGAAGTCGTCTCGCAGTCTCGAGCGTACTGTGGCGCTTCGTAAACGGCTTGTAGTGCCTCATACTCGCCCATGCACTTGCTTTCTGCGTGTCGGTCAAAGATCGCGTACTATGATTGCACTATCAGCAGCACCGCGTGAGAATCGCAGGATCTCTCTGGCACCTTCAAGGAGTGATATGCTACTTGCTCGCTCATCAATCGGACGGTGATTTTGGTCGTAGAGCTGCCTACGGACTATGCATAAGTGACAGCGCTGAGGAGCTTTGATCTAAGTTCGAGAAATGCTATAGTGGTTGCGTTAGTCTAGCACTCTCATCATGCACAATGGCAGGTGAGCTTCCGTGCACCATCTCCCACGTGCTGATCGGGGAGTGTAACTTGACGCTCGCAAGGTAGCTCAAACGACTTGCCGGGCGGCCCTTCGACAGTTTGCTGTATTGCACGAACCGGTATAAGATCTTCACACGCCGTACTCGTCCCTGAGCGTTAGCATTAGGAACACGATCGAACTCCGTTGTGCTAGCGAGCCCATCATATGGACGGCAGTGTTGTCTGCGAACGATAGTCCTAGGTGCGTTTTGACTTAAGGATATGGTACGGTATAAGCTGTTGTACCACAACGAAAGCTGAAAGGCTTGTATTTCGTGCCAGAAGCGTTCTGCGGGGTGATAGATTGACGTTTGACCATTTCTCGCACACCGTAGTTGAACCCAATGAGACGGTTATGCCAGCCGCTTGTTATCAAGCTTCGTCAGACACATTTATTGATGGGTTTCAATCAATTCCTGGCGGGGTCGTGTCCATGGCTTCGGTAAATCTTAAGGTTACCCCACATCATGCTGCATCTCGCCAGCAAGCTGTAATTAGCACACTTGTGATTTGATGTTTGTGCTGTCTTGCAACTAAGCACACGACCACGACCTGCGGAATAGTTGTGTGGTGCCCGCAGAAAAGGCGACTGGCGGTCCTCCCATACTCTTAGCACGTCTCTCGACTAGTTTGCTTCTCCACCGCCATCCGGTGCATCTCGAGCTCGACCACCACCATGGCGGACGAGGTAGCAGGCAAGGCGCAAGTCTCCTCGGAACTTCAACTGGCCAGTGATCTTGCGGACAAAGCACTGGACAATTCATCCAACACCAAAGAAGCGGCCGACTCACTTAGGAACGGAGCTCCTGAAGATGACGAGGTAGAGGCGGATGGCGAGGAGGAAGACGAGGATGATGAGCAGGCGGCAGAGGGAGGTGCAGAAGTCGGAGCAGATGGTATTGCCAAGCCCAAAAAGAAGAAGAAGTCGAAGAAGAAGAAGAAAAAGAAGGCAGTAGGCGATTCAGATGCGAAAGCGGCAAGCACCGGGACAATGCAGAAGCCCGTAGCTGTCAACGACATCCCAGCATTATTACAGCAATTGGCATTGTCGCAGCCGAAGAAGGAAGGCAAGGCACCAGAAGACTACAAGTTCTGGAACACACAGCCTGTACCCAAATTCAAGGAGCCGAATCTGCTTCAGACCACCAATGGATCTAGCGGTGAAGCTTTACCCGAAGGTGCTATCCTGCCAGACGAAGTGTGTCGCAAAGCTGCCAAGCCAGAACCCGAACAACTTCTCGGTGGCTTCGAGTGGTGTCTGGTAGATCTTGAAGACGAGGCCGAGCTGCAAGAGCTGTACGAGATCCTCTACAACCATTATGTGGAGGACACGGACGGCAATTTCCGCTTCGACTACAGCAAGAAATTCCTAGCATGGGCTTTGAAACCACCAGGATGGAAGAAGGACTGGCATATTGGTGTCCGCACCGCATCAACCGAAGATGGCAAAAAAGGCAAGCTTGTGGCCTTCATCGCCGGCACACCCGCCACCCTTAAAGTCCGCTCCAACACCATCAAGATCGTCGAAATCAACTTCCTAACCATCCACCACAAACTCCGCTCAGAGCGACTAGCACCCGTCCTGATCAAAGAAGTCACCCGCCGCTGTTATCTGAACGGAATCTACCAAGCCCTCTACACAGCCGGGACTCTCCTCCCCACACCCGTAACCACATCCCGCTACTACCACCGCAGTCTAGACTGGCAGCATCTCTACAAGAACGGTTTCAGCCACTTGCCTCAAGGCGGCTCGGAGATCAGACAGAAGTACAAGTATCGACTTGACTCACAAACGACGACTAAGGGTCTCCGGCCGATGAAGAAGAGCGATCTACCTGCCGTCAAGGACCTCCTAGCACGATATCTCGAACGCTTTTCCATCCGGCAATCGTTTGACGAAGCAGAGCTGGAGCACTGGCTCTGCTCGGACGCGAGTAAAGATGTAGTATGGGCATTTGTCGTGGAGCAGGACGGCAAGATCACGGACTTCATGTCATACTACGTGCTCGAGGTATGTCCATATCAATCACACACCCCTACATCCCCGTTTTGTCGCTGACATTGCAATCCAGTCCACCGTCCTAAAACAGGCCTCCACCATCCGCGCCGCCTACCTCTACTACTACGCCTCGGAATCCGCCTTCGCCACCCCCGGCCAACCCAAACCCAAAGCCGCAGTCCTGCAATCACAACTCCAAACTCGACTCCAAACCCTAATGCACGATATCCTCATCCTGGCCAAAAAGGATAATTTCCACGTCTTCAATGCTCTCACGATCCTGGATAACCCGTTATTTCTGGGCGAGAATAAGTTTGAGCCTGGGGATGGGAAGTTGCATTTCTATTTGTTTAATTGGAGAACGGCGGTTGTGCAGGGTGGGGTTAATGATAGGTTTGTTGTTGACGAGGGGAAGATGGGTGGGGTTGGGGTTGTTATGTTGTAAATCTTACCTTGGACAGCATGAGATGTGAAGAGCACATTTGACGCCATGGCAGGATATCAGGCCGTCGTGCGCAGCACAGAATGCAGCAGCCCTTCGTGCCGTGACTGTCGGTCTACGACGGCAGCAGAGGATGGGCTGATAGGTGTGGATGTCCGGCAGAGCTTCACTGCTCCGGCAAGTCAACGGAATATGCTGGGATAGCTTAGCAAGTGATTTGAATCTGTGAGGACAGTGTCTCCAGATCTGGTACCACATGTGTTTTCACGCCACACAAAGGTACCTCAATAGCACGACTAAAACACTGTGAAATACTCGAAGTTTTCGAGGGGAAGTAGTGCAAAGTTATCCGGCAGCCGTACAATTCATTTGCAGGGTATCTTGCGAGAACAAAAGCCCGCATAAATTCGTGATTCCGCCTTAAGTACAATGCAATCAAGCCAAAATCTTCCATAACCCCCATTTCTCATTTCCCACGAAATTTCTTGTCTCGTGGGCCTCGCGTGCCATTCACCGCCTTGGACATAGTCCTGCCTATCATCCAGAAGCCCACCCTTCACTAACGCCCTGCGCTCAATTGCGTAATTTCAACGAGAGATCAGTCCGCCCCATCGCACGGCTTCCAACCATATGTATGACACAGATACCTTGTTCTCATCACCGTATGAAGAAATCAGGAGCGCCCGGTGAGGAGTAAAGATCCTATCGGCTCTCGTCCCGGATCAAAGCGACAATCATGCTGTAGAGATAGAAGAAGAACATAAGGAGATGGAACCCCAGCTTGATGAAACTCTCCTTCTTGTGCGTGTTCAGCTTGCGGAAGATCTCGGTTGCGTCGAGGAGGTGCTGGTTTTCGAAGATCCTGCACACGTAAAATACATATTAGCAATTTCTCTATTCAAAAGCGAGTAACCCACAACCCTATCCCGCTCTAGGCACAGCTTTATGAAAGTGGACTGGTACATACTTCTTCCCGTTCCAAGCCAATAACGGCAAATTCAACAGGAACGGCAACCAATACCCGTTAATCAAGAACAGGATGGAGATGAAGGCGTGGACGCCGGCTTCAGGGACGATGTACATGTTCAGGCGGTTGCAGAGGTCGATGGGATTGATGTAGTCGCATTCGAGGTCCGAGTACATGATTGTGAAGAAGACTTGGAGGAAGAGGTTGACGGCGTTGAGGAGGACGCCGAGGAGGAAGAGCCTGTGTGCATTGTGGGTTTCGTGGTCAGTCGGTGTGGTGTGCTATATGGTGATATGATTGGGCTGTGGGGGTGGGTAGGGACTTCGGTGGTTGGTGTTCACTTACCATGCTTCCAACGACATCTTGGCGGTATTGTTCGCTTGTATATGTTTTTGCCAACCCAAACGCGCTCGCCTCTTTCTGTTGGGGACAAGAACTCGCCCACCTTTTCTTGATCTTGAGGTCGCGCTGGTCTTCTCCTTCCGTCTGATCGTCGGATGATACTGTCACGTGTGCATGTAAGAGGGTGAGGAGAATGGTTGAGGGAAGCACAAGATAGTGGCAGAGGCAGAGGCAGCTGTGCGGCAAGTTGTTCGCTCCCAGGCCAATCTGTCGTCACAAGCAGCCAAACAGCACGCGGCAATATCCTGCAGAATTGTCCCGACCGCCGTAGTGGTAGTGGGGCAGAATTAATCACGTGACAGTATACAAATTTCATATGCTTCTCGATGATATGCAGTTAAGAAGAGAGGTCATGTTGAGACGTGGGTTTGAGAACTACACAGGCCGTAGCTGTGATAAAACACTGCACTCCCCGCCTCAGCTCGTCCCATTAGCCTGCCCATTCGCCACCACCTCCCCAGGCATCTCCACCTTCCCACCCGGACTATCCGCCAACCTCGCCGTCAAAATCTCCACCCCATCCTCCGTAACAAGCAACGTATGCTCAAACTGCGCCGTCCTCGACCCATCAACCGTAACACTCGTCCAATCGTCCGGCCAAGTCTTATCCTTATAACTCCCCAACGTAATCATCGGCTCGATCGTAAAACACATGCCCGGTTTCGCCTCCCCGACCGCCTTGTTCTTCGCATAATGCGGGACGTTCGGCGCACAATGGAAGAGTTGATTGATCCCGTGCCCGCAGTAAGTTTTCACTATACCACATTGGCGGGACTTGGCGACTTTTTCTATCGTGTTACCATAGTCACGGAAGAGTGCGCCAGGTTTGACGAGTTTGATGGATTCGGAAAGGCAGTCGCGGGCGGCTTCTACTACGCGGACGTTGTCGGGGTTTTGGGAGGCGGAGGCGCCGATGTAGTAGGTTTCGTTGAGGTCGCCATGGAAGCCGCCGTGGTAGAGGGTGACGTCTATGTTGAGGATGTCGCCGTCTTGGAGGATGCGTTGGTCGGGGATGCCGTGGCAGATGACTTCGTTTGGTGATGTGCAGACGGATTTGGGGAAGTGGCAGTAGTTGAGTGGTGACGGGTAGGACTGCAGAATGTTAGTATGGCGCAGTGAAAGGTCGAGTGACATGTGCACATACATCTCTCTCCGTGCAAGCATCATGTACCACCTTATCGATGTGGTCGGTCGTGACTCCAGGCTTCGCTTCCCGTGCCGCAATATCAAGCACCTCTCTCGCCAACCGACAGACCTTCCTCATACCCTCCTGCTCCTCCTTATTAAGTACCTTGATCGTTCTCCTTCCAACAAAGGCCTGTGTAAGATCGATCAGCATGCTACCTCACAGACATGACAACTCATGCTCCAGCAAAACCCACCTGCTCACTCTTCGGGATGCCATGACTAGCATAATCCGGCTTCCGTATCCTCTCCGGCACCTCCCTCCTCTGACTCAGCGGATAATTCGGCCTCAAAGGTCCAGTAAAAGGGTAAGAGGGGAAAGGGTTGAAATGCCCATCTGCATCTGGTTCAGAAATGACTTTGGGGCGGGTGAGGTTGAGGTTGGAGAGCATACTGTTTTGGGCTTTGTGAAGGGTCTTATGTGTGCTCTGCTCATCACCATAACTACGTTAGCTGACTCTGTGTTTCTATGATTTGGCAGCCGTGTTATGGGCTTCCTGTTCTGGTAGGCCACTGACCCACCCAGTTCCTCTTGAAGCAGTCTTGACCGCAGAAGAAGGATTCTTTGCCTATCTTCTGGCAGGTCGGGCATTGGAGGTTGCCGGCATCGTTGGCGCAGTCTTCGCCGGAGCAGGAACGCTTGTTCTCGATTGTCACCTCTTTGGCTGGTGCTCTGTGTTGTGCGATTAGTGAGAGGCTGATATGTTAGTGTCGCATGACATACTGATCCATCCTGAAGGTGTCGCTGGAGACTATTGTAGCGAACACAACTTTAGGTGAGTGATCGAGTAGTCCACCGCTCTGGTTCTATGACCGTTGACAAAGCCGTGATAGCAAACAATAGCAAAGTCTCGTGCTACTTGCGCCTTGCTGACAACAGTCTGTCTCGCTCTCGGCAACCTGCATAAAGTGCCGCTACCGTTCGGCTGCAGCCGGGCCCTTCGGTTGCGTGGATTTGATTGATGACGCGATCAAATCTTGGTAATCGAGTCACATCTATACATACGTTGGATGTTGTTGCGCCGACTCATGGCTTGCCAAACTCGAGCAGTATATTCCCCACCCGATCATGGCTGAGACATCGAAACCAAGACTCTTGGTCGTTGGAGCTGGACCGGTAGGCGCTCTCGCTGCATTATACGGAGCCAAACGAGGATGGGAGGTGGAAGTATATGAGCTTCGAGGAGACCTGCGAGATGCCTCGACAACGCCGCTGAACTTCACGAAATCAATCAATCTGGCACTGTCAGAACGTGGTATCAATGCTCTCCGCCAGACTGGCGACCATAGACTTCTCAACATTATCTTGTCCGAGACAGTTCCAATGTATGGCCGTATGATCCACGGACAGGACAAACATGCGAAGCTGACCGAGGAGTCGCAACAATACGACGTTCATGGTCGCTACTTACGTGCCGTCGATCGAGCGAATCTCAACAAGACTCTTCTGGACGCTGTGGACGGCTTGCCGAATGTGAAGCTGCACTTCAATCACAAGCTGACTGGCACTGATTTCCGAAAACGAAAAGCATGGTTTGAGCAGAAAGCAAGCAGAAAGCCACAGACAGCCGATGGTGCTCAAACCCACCAAGTCCAGTCCGACGATCGAGCAAAGGAGATCGAAGCTGTATTCGATCTCATTCTCGGCTGTGATGGTGCTCACAGTAGTGTACGCTTCCACATGATGAAGTTCACTCGAATGGACTATCAGCAGAGCTATATCGATACGTTGTGGTGCGAGTTCACGATACCGCCTGCAAGCGACACCTCGTCGTCGACATCATCGGGCGAGGACGGGTTTGCCACCAGCCCAAACCACCTGCACATCTGGCCAAATGCAGACAAGATGTTCATCGCCATCCCGAGCATCGACAAAACGTTCACATGCACATTGTTCGCACCATCCGTTGACTTCACGAACCTCGAGAAATCATCCAGTGATGTTCTAAAATACTTCAATATCAACTTCCCCGGTGCCGCGGACCTCATAGGCGGAAAGGAACTTCACAAGCAGTTCAACGAAAACCCGCACCTTCCTCTGATAAGTGTGAAGTGCTCACCGCATCACTTTGGCGGGTCTGGCGTCATCCTCGGCGATGCGGCGCATGCCATGGTGCCTTTTTACGGCCAGGGCATGAACGCCGGTCTTGAGGATGTCCGAGTCCTGTTCGAGCACCTCGACACTCAGCACAGTACAGCTGATGGTAGAGCTCTAGCCCTCAACAGCTATACGAAGGAGAGAGTGCCCGACGCTCATGCGATCAATGATCTGGCACTAGCGAACTACTGGGAAATGCATGCTGGTGTTCGATCACCACTCTACCTGGTGCGCAAGAAGATCGAGGAGTTCCTAAACGATAAGCTGCCCTCGACGGGCTTCGCCACGCAGTATAGTCGTGTCTCCTTCAGTAACCAACGATACTCGGAAGTCATCTCCACTGTAGCACGACAAGGCAAGATCTTGTTCGGCGGCATGCTGGCTACCGTTCTGATTCCAGCCATGTCGTGGGCAGTGTGGTGGTTGTGGAGATGGAGACAAGCAGGCCACACCACAGAAACGGCGACGAAGTACTTCGCAGGTCTTGGTATACTAGGTGAGAGAATCGGGAGGATATCTGGCGGCGATCCGATCTTTGGGTCCTCGCGAAGGTAAGCAGAGGCGAGCTTGACAACCGAGTAAGAGTCGAGCTTGTGGTCAGCAAAGCTCATGTCAAATGTTCCAAACCTTCTGGCCACACACCCGGGAATGCGTCCCCGAAGGTATGAGAGGAAACCTGCTTCAAGTCCTCCTCAGCCACCACTATCCCGTCAACACAACCCTTGAACACGATAAGAATGGGCAACAAACCCAGTAAAGCTGTGGCATCACTAGACAGAGTACTTCCGTGGGTGGATTGGTCGACTCGGGTCTATCCGGAACGGCTGGATAACTCCTACTCATATACGACCAAGAAGGGATGGGGCGTCTTTGACAGCAAAAAGGATCGTGATGCATTCATCGTTATCAACAACACCCTTCACGCCGCCTTTCAAACACTTACTCACCCCTTATCGTAGATGCCGTGCGCACGGTCATGTCCAGCAATGGCGAGCGAGATATCGAAGGGCTGTCATTCACTCTGCAATACCCGCGCTCAAACGATTATCCTAATAAGATACGAGCGGCACTCATAGCAAGCGAGGATACGAGAATACGCTTATCGCTTGTTTGTTCCGAGCCGCAGAATTCGAAACAGGCAGCGTTCGTCCTGTTGAAGCTGGAGATAGAGCGCATGCTTGGGTCGCTCTTGGATGGGAAGGTGGAGGAGTTTAGCAAGTGTGTGGTGGAACACACGTCGTTGAAGGAGAAGAACGGGAGTGATAAGCCAGGGGTCCTGCCGCCACCTTATGCTTCTTGAAGGTGATCTCCGGCATCGTCTGATTGAGGAGGTTAGGAGCCGTGTTGTTGATCACGAAGACATGACGGATCACGAGGAGGCTTTTGAGTACGCTGCTTTGCCACCACCATATCTTCCGGCGAGCTGAGCCGGATATCTCGTCCGTTTTATGGACAGGAGTAGATGGGGATGGCGATGTCAGGCTGCGGTCTCTCCAGAGCGCCTTAGAGCCTTCCGCCCTCATGGCGGCTGCTGGGTACAAATTGTCCACGCATCACTTAGACTTCCCAACGACCAAAGCCACTCGATGCTGTGAGGCATTACTGCAAGATACAGTCAGCCGATTGGGTCCTAAAAGGTACGCCTGTGGTCTGCAACATTAGGAGTCGTTGCCCAAATAGCTGTCCTGGGTATAGATTCTTCTTTACATTTTCCTGATACCATACAGTTCCACGTATGATTCAGTACTGGCATCCAACATCATCTCCTCCCGCACTGCCAATCAGATACCTATACATCCCACAGTCCCAAACCAATCATCTTGATTATTGCGTTACCAGGGTACACCAGATCGCCAGAACACCATGCCCGCTACGCTTTCATAAAAATAATAAATAAGATGCTGTCGTTCATATCCATCATGCTACCCACGCTTCATGACGTGGCATCCAAGACCGCGATATCCATCCCGTCACTTTCCTTCAATGAACTGACTTGTAGTCCTCCAGTCGTGTATCCAATCCAACAATTGCTTGGTCTGTTGCCAGTAGGTTGGTAAGCTGCTACCGTGCAGTTCCCGCTGTTGGCGTAGTAGTTGTACCCTGCGCACACTTCCACGCAATCACTCAGGCTGTACGTGTATGCGACTGCCAAAGTCTGCGAGGTCGGTTTGAGGAGAGGGTTGGTGAGATTGCAGTAGACGGTGAAGTTCAGGCCGGCGTTGGCAGGTAGAGAACCAGAAGCGCCTTTTGAGTATGTCGAGGTATATGTCGTATTGTCTGCGCAAGTTGCTAGAGGAGAGAATGTGGGTGTTGGTGCTGCAAAGGTCGCTTGAGCTGGCGATGTTGCGCTCGCGGCTGTGGATGTTGTATTCGATAGTCTATTGTCTATTAGCTCACCAGGGAAGATAGACGTGCGCGCACGAGAGAGACATACCCGGCATAAGGTATTGTTCCATCCTGAGTCTGGCTCTCTCGCATACTTTTGCCGCCCACAGCACCACCCACGGCCGCACCAACGATGATCAAGACCATTACCAATGCCACCAGCAAGAACGTCCTCACTTTCATACCAAAGATAATCCGTGGGGGCTTGTTGTCGTTGACGAAGGCATGTTTGCCCTTGTAGTTGCTCGGATCGTACGACGGCGCTTCTCGTACTACTGGATATTTGTCTGAGGTCGGATAGATAGTATCGTCGTATTCAAGACCATGTGCTGGCGCGACTTCCGGTGCATTATGGTATTGGTATAGTGCGGACATCCGCTGGGGCTCGTGCTAGAAAGACGATAGTGTAAGTCGAATGTTGCATTCCTGTTCCACGTGCACACAAGCCATTGTGTTCCCTCGCCCTTCTCGTTGTCCAGACTGCTGGAACGCACGACCACCGCTTCGGGGCGCTCAAGACTGCCTTGTGCGTCGGGGCCGTTGACTCGTACGTACCTCGCGTTCATCCATTGGCGAGGATATACTTGTGCGTATAGACATGTGGTGTAATATTCGGAGCTGAAGGCGTAAGACGACGACGACGAACAATAATGACAGCTGAGCGAACGGATCGAAAAGGAACGACAGGAAGGCTAAACGAATGTCAATGCCACCAACCAACGGTTGAAGTGATCTGATGTGAGACAATCAGAGAATGGAAGACCGGTCGCTGCCCGTCCCCCGAGCGCGGTGCATGAGAGAACTGGAATCGACGGTTTGGACGCGCTTACGCCAGCAGGAGGTCTGCGACGTTAAACTTTACCACCATCTGCCGTTGCCCGCAGGAGCGTCCCTGGCTCCCCTGCGCTTGGCATCGGTCTATCCACTATCTTTCGCTGTATCGGGATGTTCTGGCTCGCCATCAGAAGACTCGAGTCCAGCGAGCCACAGACACAATCACTGCTGATCGTACCGTGGTAGGCTTGTACGACGAAACCTCACCATCGTGTAACCGAGGTCTGCAGGCATCGTTACACGAGACCTTGACAGAACTTCGTCGCTTGCAACACATCGCTTGCAGGAACCGTTAATCAATTGGCGGCGGAGGCTCGCGTGGCAGTGGCACCAACAACGCAGAGGCGCCGCCTAATCGGCGGTACCCGGCGACAAGCCCAGCAAACAGTAGAACGTCCTCAACCAGACTTCGTCCTCATCTGGCGCCAAACAACAGCATCAAATCACAGATGTGGTCAAGCGTGACACTCATGAGAAGAGTCTCGCTTATCCTGGTCGAAGCGAGCCCCATTCAGCTTTTGCGTGTGAAAGCCACAGAGTAGATCCCAGTGCTGATTGGGCCCAGACGTTCGGCTAGGATGCAAGGTACCGCGGAGTTTAATCTACTTGGTGACTCCTAGCGCTAGGGGGCACATCGCCCGTTTCAGACCTTGCACGCCCGTTTGCGCCTCGCCCGCTCTCCTCATCTCCACGATAGAGTGATGGCGTGTTCTGTTGGCCTGTCGAAGTGTGGTTGATAAGGATTGGGGTTTCTCGCCAACCTCGTGAATGTGCGGGATCGCCGTGCTTGTTATATGACTGACTCGCCTGGGCTGGCTGACACCGTTTGCGAGGAGCGAAGATCGCCCGAGGTCGCGGTCGACAAACGGCGACTCAACACCTGAAGAAGATGTAGTTTGTACGGCATGCAGAGTGTATGCACAGTGATGGGTGCAGGTCTTTTGTCCATCACTCCACCAGGTACCGAGCAATGCCGGATCGATGTTCTCACGAGAGTCAAGCTCGCCAATGTCGCCTCAAGTAGCTCGGCGCCTTGCGCAAGGAACTGACTGATGATGATGATGATGACGACGTTGTGGCACGTATGCCGCCTTGCTCATCGACAACGTACTCGAACCAAAGGGCATCCGAGCAACATCATGACCTGACATCCTCGCCATCGAGAAAGGCCCCTTGGTCGTTTGGGATACAGTCCTGAGCATAGAGCTTCACGGCTTCAACCTCTCTGGCATACTCATATGGCGGGAAGCGATCGCGTTATTGCTCTGCGTCACCCAAATCACCACCCGACGAGCGAATTGGCGACATTCGTGACCCATGAAGGTAGCTAACACCTCGCTCCGCATGCCGTACTCCGTGGCTATAAGGTATGATAACGGCATGCGAGACGAGAACTGACAAATTCATACTGGATACCAGCCGAAGACACCATGGCTCGGTCCATGACGCTCATACCGTTCTGCTCGTATCTACATTATACACAGATCATCTCAAATGCTCGTCTAACATTACTTGCTCACTCCACCCCTTTCCAAAGGAAAGAAGGCGCCACCAGGACGCCGCTCATCGCCTAGCCCTCGACGACGTCTCTTCCACCACCTGGTATCGCACACCTCGCATCTCGGAGATGTTCCTGTATATATGCTTTCCGTTGCCTCTTGCAGCAACAAAGCTGAAACTTCCTCTCAATCAAGAGTACATCCTGCCTCTCCCACCCCCTCCACCTATAACAACCCCGCTACAATTCTCCACCGAACTCGACGGACTAACAGCCATCTCCGCCTTCCTCACCCTCTCCCTCAATGCCTGCAAACCCCTCTCTCCAAAATCCTGCTTACAATACCGACACATCCTCAACGCACACCAAGCGCAGACAAAATGCTCTCCCTGATCATCGAGATGGCAAACAGCACACTCGACAGGCGCGTGCTTGTTCCGCGAAGCATGCAGCTTCGAATGGCCATGTAGACACTTCATCTGTACCACGCCGATTGGTCGACTGTAAGCTACGCCCGAAGATTTGAAGATCTTACCTTGCCGACGGCCGTGCATGTCTGTCATGCTTGTTGCTGACAAGTGTGCTGCCGAGGGCCGGCGGGTAGATTGTGGCCGTGAGGGTGCAAGGCGGGAATGAGGGCGAGAAGTAAGCCCGCTGTTGGTGGTTGACAGGCCTGTTGTCCAGGTATCCGTCGTTCTGTTCTGGCTTTCCGCTCTGCGACGTGAGGTCGAGAGGCCGTTGAGGAAGGATGATGCTGATTGGAGGGATTTGGCTTCCTGTGATGCTCAGTCAGTTATGTGAACGTAAGTAGGTAGTAAGTCATGTCGATTCACGTTGAAGATCTCGAGTCCACTACTTCGCCGTCTCGCCTTCTGCACATTAAGGTCCTCCGGCGGCTCGAGCATCTTCTCCGGCGTGTCCATATGATCCTTCAGCCCATATTTATGCGGACTATCCTCCGGCAGCGGTGAAGGCGTCGGCAAAGTAGGCGATAATGTTGACCTCGGGTTCAGAAGTACAGATGCTGGACGCTTCTCAGCTTCACTAACAGTCATGACACCAAAGTCGGTATAGCTCTTGCAACCGCGTGCCTCCTTGACGGTAGTTGACGCGCTTAGTGGTCGGCTCGCGAGCTCATCTGTCATGGTAGTCTCTGATGCTGATGGCAGCATAATTATCGAGTCGCGAGCGGCGTGTGCTGGGTCGATGAAGGGATCGACTGGACTCTCTGGACTTTCGGCGCCACCAGAAGCTGTCACAATGATGGATGTCGCAGTCAATGGCCGTGGTAAAGGAGATTTCGAATCGAACCGCTTGAAGAGATTGGTCGAGCTCTTGCGCCACACTCGCGCCGGATTATGAACGACACTACTGAGAGACGCATCGTCGGCTGCGGGCGTCGGAGAGCCATTGAGGCTACTGGGCTTGTTCCCCATCTGAGGAGGTGGCGGAGCCGGAGTCTTTGGTCTTCGTCCTGACGACTTGTGCTTGGGACGTGCTTCTTGTGATCGTGAGTCGCAGACGTCGTTCTGACCGTCGAAGATCCGTTGTCGTAAGTTAGTGGAGGTGATGGTAGTAAGGCCGTTGGAGTTCTTCAGTCTCAGGCCGGCGGGCCGGTTGTCTCGCGATAGGCACAGGCTTGGGGAACGTGGCGAGCATGCTTGTGTTGTTGACTGTGAGGGCGTGGCTTCTGCATTGATATTTGACTCTTGTGCAGGGGGGGAGGTGAAGTGAGGTTCCTGCTTTGTTTGTACGTGTACTGCATGCGAACCTGCATCTGCTGTAGCACATGTCAGCTGATGCTACCCAGTACTACGTTGTCAGACTTGTGGCAATTGCTACTCACGTTTGGATGTATCTTGCTTGCGATATGGCTTCTTGTCGTTTCGATCGTTATCGCTAAAGTCCGGATTCAACGGCGAAAGAGAGTCACATGGTGAATCAGTTGCAACGCGCGATGAGGTCTCAAACACCACGGACAGCACATCAATACGTATATTCGCGTTGGCGAGTGGCCTTCGCCGTACTGATGTACAAGAAGCCATGACAGTCGAGACAGGTGAAAGAGGTAAGTAGAGTAGAACTGCAATGGGAATGGGAATGGAAAGAAAGATCGAGCCGAATCCACTCACCTCGCGGACGCCTCCAGCTATATCACTTCTGACACCACGCCACGCCACGACCATGCACGACCTCAGACTTCGTGCTTACGGGTGAAGCCTGTCAAGTGTCTCGTGCATAGTATAGCACCAGGTATACCCGGTTGTGAGAGCATCCTTTGGCTTGCGACTTGCTTAAACTCGAGATGATGTTTCACGCTCCTCCAAGCCCCCTGTCAGCAAGATGATGTGCCGGCCGTTTCGCACCCGGCGGAAGGAACGTATCCGGAACATTATTAACTGACAGTCTACAAAGAGGGAAGATGATAATCTCGGAATATGCTGGTGGCTGCAAAGTATGCATGCCGCGAGATAGTGTACTATTGTTGGTGCTGATATTGCAGACATACAAGAGCAATGCCAGCGCACCACGAATCTGGTGGTTGGGAAGAGGCGACGGGACGCAAGTGGCGCGCCTCAGTCAGCGTCAAGAGGTATAGTCGCTTTCCCAATGAAGCGCTGTATAGCACAAGCTATGATAGCAGAAGTCATATCAGGCCGTATCGCTCGTGTTATCGGGAACATGCGTGTTCAGAACGAGCGATCAGAAACCAACCAATGCAGGTACGACTCGCTAGCGATGAGTCTAACCTCGTTGATTCAGCAGAGTGACGACATCCGGAAACCTTCTTTCGCTTTGGCTGTCGAACATATTCGTCCAGTATGCAACACCACCCTCATTATGGGAGTGCTTTCTGATGCCGTTAATGCGCATACCCTACACCGCGCCTCTACCCAGTCCTACAATCATACCAGCATCGGCATCGACTCTCTCGGGCGCCCTAACAGCACTATCTGACTTCCTCACAGCTGCACCGTCAACCAACAGACAGAGTAATGGCAAGACGGTGATACTATCCGGCGCTGGAATCTCAGTGGCCTCAGGCCTCGCGGACTATCGCGGGAGCAATGGCACTTACACTTTGAACAAGACATATCGACCCATCTACTTTCACGAATTTTGTGCGAATCACGAGGCCAGGAAACGGTATTGGGCGAGGAGTTATCTCGGCTGGACAAATCTGCATAAGAGCCGACCAAACAAGGCACATTATGCTGTTGGTCAGCTAGGAGATCTAGGCAGGATCTCGACTGTGGTGACACAGAATGTGGACTCTTTCCACCCAATGGCGCATCCCACGCTTAGGACTCTAGAACTGCATGGATATCTACGGAGTACTGTCTGCTTGAGCTGCAGGACCGAGTATAGTCGTGAGAACTTTCAGAAGGATCTTTCAGATCTCAACCCTGCATGGTCGGCTTTCCTGGCAGAGATGCTGGAGTCCGGAGCCTTGAGCACAGAGAACCCGGAGGAGAGGCGAAGGAGAGGCCTGAAGACCAATCCAGATGGTGATGTCGATGTCCCTGGGGTCGAGTACGGTACCTTTCGCTACCCTGCTTGCCCTGTGTGCCTGAACAGTCCTCCAGACGGGACCAGAGTCGAGCAGGATACGGACGGTGCTTGGCTGCCTTCCTCTACTGCTGGGATCCTCAAGCCGGCCGTGATAATGTTCGGCGAGTCCATCCCCAACCCTGTCAAAGTCGCTGTCGAGGAGGCGGTGGATGAGGCGAGCAGGATTCTGGTCCTCGGATCGTCGTTAGCGACGTACTCCGCTTGGAGGCTGGTGAAGAGGGCCAAGGAGCAAGGTATGCCGATTGGTGTTTTGAACATTGGTGGTGTTAGGGGCGAAGAGCAATTCTTCTCTTCTTTGCCGTCAGATGGCTCGGGCAAAGAAGGCGTGAGGTGCTCGCAGCCACTCGAGGAGGCTTTGCCAGCCCTTGTGGAAAGGTTGATGCAGGGCACGAGCTTGCCTGTGAGCAACGATAGATCATTTCAGCCTGCACCATGGCGATGATATCGGGGAATTACAACATGTTTGCCTCCCATTCAATGTCGGCCAGGTGACATAATACGGGAACCGCTGACATGCGTCTCAAGACCAAACTTTTGCAAGCCCACGATATCGGAGACAGCCACAGCCAATCCTGTACAACTATCACTAGGATCCTAAAGCTGGCTGAGGTGAAGATGCAGGTCCGTGGTCAAAGACATGCTCAACGGCCTTCGCAAGCTCTTGTATCACCTCCAGCATCTGCAAATGACAGGTCTCCATCCCACACCGATTGTCGAGCTCCAGACAATTTGGCCGTGGGCTAGATAGTGTACGAGAGGACATGAGCCACGTCGACGACGCACGAGGTTAAGGGTGGCATGCTGCACAATGTGAGCGCTCAAGTGTATTGGCTATTCAATGTCATGAATACATTGGCATGTACATCTAAAGTACCGATCGGATTCTATATAGTGTGCGCAGACGAGGCTTCATTTAGCTCATGTATATCGTCCAACACCGTCGCCATTGCCATAGTGATTTATTACGGCTTGACGACGGCTGTCGGGACAGAAGAGTTCCACGACTGTTGATGTGCTTCGCAAGAAACACCTATCTGGCCTGGCTGACCCCTTCCAGCGCTTGTCGCTAGGTAGACTTGTTGAGGTTCAGCCATGACATGAGATTACTGGACTGCATGATGGTCTGCAACACTGCCGGTAGGATTTCCTGCCGAGTATCTCGTGAGCCTCGTGTGGGTGTCCGGGGTAGTAGCCGACTGTCGTCGCCCGATGGGCTGGAACCAAAGAACAGCCATTGAGCGCCCTTGCCTCCCTTGGCTGCTTGGCTTATGGCGCACTCTCCCAGGGAGACATCACTCTCGCGTGCTCACAGCTTCGAGCTCGTCTCAACGTCCGCCACCTTCACTACGATTTTACCGTACACTCTCCTCTCCGCGAGATCTCCCAATGCCCTACCCATATCATCCAGACCTTCATACTTGCGGAAAAGCATCGGCTTGAGCTTCCCACTCTCCAGCAACCCCAGATAGCCATCCCAGATCTTCTGTAATTCATCTGGATACCTCCTTCCGCTCTCACCAAACCTATAGCCCACCACTGTAGCCGACTTGAGCAAAAGCTTATTCATCTTGACCTCCTCCATAACACCCTTCCGTGCCGCAAAGCCCAAGATCACGATCCTACCAAAGTACGCCAGGCAGCGAATAGCATCGTTGACCATACCCGTATTATCCAGCACAACATCCACACCTTGTCCACCAGTGATATCCAGCACCTGCTCGATCCACCCATCGTTCTCAACGACTACATGATCCACACCCATATCCCTCCTCATATGCCCAGCCTTCGTCTCATCACCAGCAAGTGCAATGACCTTTGCCCCCAGAACTTTGGCAACCATACAACAGACACTTCCTAACCCACCACTAGCCCCACTAACCAGTACCGTATCCTCCTTCCGGACCTTAGCGATATTCACCACAGCAGCATAACTCACAGCCTGTCCGGACATCGCACAAGCCGTCTCATTGCTCAGTCGATCCGGTATCCTCCTTATCGCGCTCTCGCTAACGCAGATACACTCGGCAAAGGCTCCAATAGCTGCACCAAAGACTCTATCACCTTTCTTTAGCCTACTGCTCGAGCCATTGGAAGGCGTCGTCTGTACGACACCTGCAAAGTCATATCCAAGGATGAAAGGTGGGAAACACCATCCTTTCTTGCGGTTATTGTTTTGATGTTTGCCTTGGGCATGGAGGATGTCTGCGTGCTGTGGGCTGCAGTGGATTATGCGTATGATATATTGATCTGGGTTGGGGGCGGGGGTGGGCACGTTTGAGGGTTTGATGGTGGAAGGGTTGGAGACGAACTCTTGGATGAGAAAGGCTTTCATGATGAAGAGACGATGAACTGTGAGAGATCAGCTATTTCTCCGTAGAATGTTATGCCTACATAAGAATTGTGGTCGTTTTCATAACCTATATATCTTGCCGAGTTGGTTGTGGAAGGTAGCGGGTGAAGTCGACCAGCAACCGAGGTCGAGAGAAAACTTGAAGAATGCGATCAGCTAAAATTATTTTCACGATTAATTAAAAGCTATACAATAATAATCGAATATGCCAAATGACCAGACGCCTCGCTAAGCCAATATCCAGCAAGGGTATCTCAAACACACGACGGCTCGCGATATAAAGCAGTCTAGAACCAAAGCAACCACCTGACCAGCGCAAAGCTCGCCAGCACAATCCTCTTGCCAGTATTGAATAAAACAACCAAGAACCAAACCCACCACATAATACCCAGCACCAACCACTCCAGAAGCTTAAAGCCCGTCTTCCTGAGCAAGCGGAACTGTCGTCGGCGCTGCCGTAATATATCGTCCACTGCATCATCTACACGTTTGACGTCCTGCGGTGCCTTGGTAGTAAGTTCGATGATGAAAGCATCTGCATCGTCCGAGGTATCGTGCACGACTGTGGCGAGCTCGTCGCCCGCTTTCCGGCCGAGTGCATTGATTTGTTCGCCCAGGCGTTTAGTCGGGTCCTGCTGGAAGAGACCCAGAGCGTTCTCGATGTCTGCCAAGCTGCTTGTGAGGTGATCGGCCAGCATACGTGAGACAACGAGATGCTCTTCTCGTCTCGACACAGGGCCGATTTCCTTGCCGACTAACTTCTGGATGTCGGTATAGAGCGACAACGACTCGTCACGCGGCAGGTCCGCGCGGCGCTGTATCTCCCTTGCTTTGACGCCGGAAGACAATAACAGAGCTTTCGCGCGAGCCACGTCCCGCATCGTGACTTTCGTAGACAGCTTCTCCGGCATGCGTTGATCAGAGATACTCCAGTGTCGCCCACGTTGCGTGTGTAATCTGTGCTGGCCGGGCGTAGAATGCCCGGACGCATTTTCCTCAACAGGCCCAAACGTGATACGTGACGACGGGCCCGAGCCCTGGCCAAGGAAGCCATAGCTCTTCCGGCGATCATTTTCCAGGTCTTGCACGGAGAGATTTATAGCAGAGCCGTCGTCAGCAGGCAGGTTGATTCGTGGCAGGTGGTTGAACCTCGATGGCTTTGCAGCATCTCGTTGCGCTTGCTGTTGACGAGTAATCGGGTCACTATCGTTTGAGATCGAACCCGCTATACTACCTCGAGCAGCCGGGGACTTGAAGGATGGCAAGTTCGGTAAGTGGTACTTTCCCTTCGCTCTTGACACATCCAGTGAAGTACGCGGACTCGGGTCACCAGTATAGTTCGCCGGCAATTCCGCCTCTTCGTCCGTGCCACTGTCTGAACGTTCGGAGTGTGGTGACAAGTCATCAACACGGTCTTTGCTACGAAAGCGGTCACTGATGCGCGAGCTCTCCGTGCGCATCAAATCGCCCACCCGCCCTCCTTTCAGTAGACGACCCATCACGGAACCGCTGTCCTTGGCCGAGCCCGCAGACTCGCCCGTGCCTTGACGCTTGAAGCTGCCAGTCGTGCTATCAGCAGTCCGCTGTCGCTGCACGAAAGATGGCCGAGCCGAGTCTTGACTCAACCTCGACTCATTGACAGTGCCCTCATTCGCGAGCGTGGCTCTGTCAGCAAAGTCGGTACGTTCAGTACCACTACGTTCTTTACTGTGCGAGCGCATAAAAGGCAGCCGATGCAAGCGTGACTTCTGCCTCGCTATAAGACTCTGCCGATCTTCTGGTAATGAGCGATCGATGTCTAAAGAGTTTCGAAACCCTGCTATGGTTGGTGATCGGGCCTCGTATGAATTACCACGGTCAATAGACGGTCTACCATCACTGGCCCCTACACGACCATCGGCAGACTTTGCACGCTTGTGCTCGCGCGCCGTGTCGACAGACAGTCGGCTGATCTGTGTGGGTGCTATTTCCTGTTCGTGCGAGCGAGTATCCCTGCGTGATCGCTGATTCGGGAAGGGAGTATGCTCCGAGTTCCAATGATCTGGCGACAATAGCTCAGGCGATGTGGGACTAGTCGCCTGCGCCTTAGCCTCTTGTGCAATCAACTTTTGCATCTGCTTCTCTAGGGGTCCGATATTATCGAAATCGTCCTCTAGAGAGCCGTTGAGGTTCGGTACATGCCGTCCTTCCGCACTGCTGACTGACGAGACGCTACCAGATCTTGGCAGTACTTTGTGCTTTCTAGGCAGGAAGTGCGGTCCTCTGTGTGCTCGCTTGTAGAAAGGTATCTCGTCTGCTTGCGCGAGATCTAGAGTCTGTCGCTCACTCGAGACTCTGCCGCTCTCTCTACTTGCTCGTGCTTGATCCATGCTTCTTCTGACCAGAGCTGGGAAGAGCTTGATGCCACGACGATTCTCGACCAAAGCCTTGTTGTCGCCTTTCTCGGTCCAGTACGTATCTGCAAGCAATTCACATGGTTCGATACTCCAGCCATTCTCGGGTCGGGTGATCACAGAGCTAACAGTATCGGTCCTGCGATGACCTCGAGAAGTAACACGCTGGTCAGCCTCGCCACCATCGTCACCATCATAATCTGGCAGCTGGACTTGGTCGGGAGTACTCCGATACTCGGGATGCTCTACAGCTGTCTCAACATCATCGACCCATGCTCTAATTATGTCGGTGTCTTGCCACGTCTCGATAGGTGCAGGTAAAGGTTGTCTCTCCCTGTTTCGTAGCCTACGGTTGCGCAAAGCTTGCAGAGGGTTGTACTGACGACCAAGCTCATGCTTGTTGTTGGCGCGCGAAACTGTCCGAGAGATTTCCGGAAAAGTGCTACCAGGGCTGTTCTTGGCCGTATATGTGTGATTGCCAGGTGCATCGCCATCTGGCTTAAGTGGAGGTAATGTTAGTAAAAGTCGTCGATGCTCGCTCGCCAGCTCAAAGTACTTGCGAGCACGTTCAGCACGAGACAAGGTAGCTGGAGTGAAGTTCCGTGGTTCCTCGTCCCCAGCAACTCCATCGTAGCCCAATGAAGGCCCTCCTTGACCGGATGCGACCCTGCTCGAGCTGTACGGAATAGATGTACCTTTCACTCCGTTACTGTTGTCATGGCTGGTCCGATCTTGCGGTGAGACGGGTACTCGCACAGTGCCAGATGGTCGAAGGGTCGACACGCGTCTCCGATCCCGAGGTGAAGGTAGAGGTATCTGCAGACCTCCACTGACCTGCCTCCGCCGACTCTCGCTCAATTCTAATGCCATCTGCACTAGCTGTGCAGGATCCATGCTCGGAGGCCGAGAGCTTCCTTGCGAACTGCCACCATGCTCGTGAGATATCTGACGTGACAGTGGCGAGCTGCCGATCGAGCTATCGCCCGATAATCTCGAGCTCTTCTGCCCTCTCTTCTCCACATGCAAGAAGCCATTCTGTGCTTTCCTCTTACCATCTCGATGCGGTAAAGCATTGCCCTTCGGACTACCATTGACTGCTGCCGAGTCCAGGAGAAAACCACCAGACGTCCTATGTCGATGTGCGCTACCGACACTTTTCTGCAGCTTCGCAGGACTTCGACTCGGCGGCGTCTCCTGAGATCGTCTCGGCTCCTCCTTACTCCTCCTCTGATCTTCGACCTCCCTACTCCTCCTCTGCTCCTCGACCTCCCTACTCCTCCTCTGCTCCTCAGCCTCCCTACTCCGACTCCTCTGCCTCGACCTCAAAGACCCATGTGAGCTCGACTCACCATTATGGTGGTCGGCCAGTCGTTGAAAGCTCACGTCAGCAGCAGCCGTCGTGGGAACTTGACTCGGGGTCGAGGACAATCCGCCAATCGTGGACATGGCCAAGGCGTTCTATGCCTCTCGTACAGCAACGCGCTCATCATCCACCTGCATAAGAAGGCGCATTATTGTTATGATGACATGTCGCAGCTGTCACATGTGAGGGAGGAGCAAGGACATGTGCACACCCGGCCCGTTCGTTCACCAATTAAAGTCGGGAGTGATCAAAGTTCAACGAAATGAAACGCGGGATGCTTCCGCCGGGTACAACCTAATGATGAAATATCGTGTCGAGGCGAGGCTAATGCATTGATACGATGCCGACAGCAAAGACACCTTCCAGTCCAAATCAATTAGCGGCAGCCTGCACAGGAAGCAACTTGTGTAGCATAAATCGTCAGACTTGTACGTACTATACGCTACCGTGACCAGCGAGCCAGCAACGCCTTGGGAGACCCATAGGCGATGCTTCGATGAGTACGCACAGACCTAACAAACCTTCGCAACGCCAATCAAAGCAAGACAGGACCCAGCCAGCAGCTTCCGCTCGCTCACCCATCCACACCCTATCTGCGCCCAGGAGGCCTGTAAGCACCACCCGTGCTTCCACCAGCGCCTGGAGTACCACCAGTGCGCGAAGGAGGCTGATACCTCCCACCCGCCGGAGGCGCCGCCGGGCTCTCCGACCTCTCACCACCCTCTTCCTGCTGCGTCCTCGATCTCGGCGCCCACCTCTCCCTCGGCGCCTCAGGCTTAGCCGAACTATCCCTCTCCCTATTCTCCCTAGGCTCACGCGGCTGAGGAGGTGGAGGCAAGGAATCGGCACTAGGTGTTCGGGCACCAGCACCGGCACCACGCATATGAGGAGGGACGTAGCCACTCTTCTTGGGCAAGGCGGTCTCCTCGGTGGCCACACGCTCATCAGCGGGCGGCGCGGCTGGCGGGGCAGGGCTGCTACTGCTCGTGGGAGCTGCTTCTTGCTGTGGAAGCTCGCCACGTGCCTTCATGGCTTCACGCTCACGCCAGCTGGGCTTGCTGCCTGCAAGAGCGATCTTAGGAGGACCACGGGACTCGGCAGCTGGGTCATCGGGTGGTGGTGCGCGGCTTGCGAGAGATGGTCTGTCGAATGTGCGGCTGGGTGGTGCAGCACCAGCGCCACCTTGCTTCCTCTCCAGACGTCTCTGCTCAGCCTCTTGCTCAGGCTCCATTTGCTTGCGAGCAGCCTCTTGGCGCTCTTGCCTGCGCGCCTCAGCCTCCGCCTTTGCTTCAGCGTCCTTGCGCTTCTTCTCTTCTGCCTCACGCTCAGCCTCCTCAGCCTCACGTGCTTGTCTCTCCTCTTCTTCTTTGCGCTGGCGCTCGTCTTCTTGCACGCGACGACGCTCGGCAGCTCTCTGCTCGCGAACTTCTTGTCGGCGTTGGTCCATCTTCCTGTTGAGTTCCTTCTGTGCCTCGCGGTCACGCTTCTCGAAGTCGGCGTGGCGTTGCTTGGTGATGTCCTTCTTGAAAGTCTCGTATGCTGGCAGGAGCTTGCTGAGACGGTGCTTGAGTGAGACGTCCTCCTTATGCTTTTGTTCAGCATTGCGAGATGTCTCTTCCTTGGTCTTCGTGTACGCCTCGAGGTCGTGGTCTCGCTGTTGCTGATAGTCCTGCTCGAGATGCTTGAGCTCCTCCTTACGGTAAGCACGCTCAAGATGATCGATACGCTTGCCAGTAATCCTCAGCTTTTCACCCATCTCATTCTTCTCACGTTCCAAAGCCTGAAGCTTAAGCAGACGAATGCGTCCACTGTCAAGGTCGTCAAGATCTAGACCAGAGACATCTACACCCTTGACACCCTTCTGCAACTCCTTGAGCTGCTTCTCTGCCTCCTCACGCTGCACCTTCTTGCGCTCGGCCTGGAGCCTACGCTCGTCACGATCCTTGGCCTCCTGTGTAAGACGCTCTGTCTCGGCCGCCTGAAGCTCTTGTTGCTTAGTCTTGCGGCGTTGCTCCTCCTCGCGCTGGCGGGCAGCTTGTGCACTGGCAGCGGATTCCTTCTTCTGCTGAATGATGTCACGTCTCGCCAATAGATCTTGGTGCTCCTGCTCAGCGCCAGCCTCAGCACGCCTCAACGCAGCAAGCTTGGACTTGTATCGATCCTCGTTGAAAGATGGGTCGACATATTGCACAGCCGTGTACAATGCTTTAGAAAGGCGGGACAGTTGTGTGCGGACAATCTCGGAGGGAGTGCTCTGCAAACGCTGCACAGAGCCAGCGTCGGCCTCTGCCGAGCCAGCAGCAGCACCTGTGTGAAGGGCCTTGGAAGAAGAGAAGACATCCTGGTCGAAGGTGAGAATTCCGGTAGAGTGGTCAATGCGAATCGACAAGTCGCCCTTCTTGCAGCCGTTCATGATGAATTTCTCGATAGTGGCTGGGGTGACCTTGAATGGGTCAGGGAACTCGGCAAGGGCCAGGACGTCATCCAGCTTAACGTCGGTATATACTTGAGACAGCTGCTGAAACAGACGTGTCAAGATGACCTGCTGCAGAGGCAGAACGTACTTCTGCAATTCCTCGTCGGCGCCGATCTGCGAAAGGACAGGCGAGACCTTGGCACAGATAACCTTGGGGTGGAAGTCGGTCTCGAGAATGCTGTAGAGCTGACGGATCTCTGGCCTTGCGCGAGCCAAGATATCCTTGTTGAGCATGTCCTTGAACAAGATCGCACGAGTCGGGGCGGAGTTCATGCCCAGAAGATTGGTCAGACGAGCATTCTTGTTGTTACGAGCAGCGTCGGCATCGATGAGAGCGCCTCGGGAACGGGTAGTGCTGATGACCGGAATGGCCAAGGCCGACAACAACACATATGTGGCAGACCTGGAAAGGTCGGCATCGGTGATGTTGGTTGGGTTATCCTTTTTCGACGCACCAGCTCCGACAGCACGAGCTGACATGTTGAGGAGACTGTAGTATCGGCTCCAGGCAGCGGCGTGGAAGAGGTAGTTCTCGCTGACCAAGAAGATCCTAGTCAGGCGCTCGAAGTAGGTGGCCATCATCGAATTCTTGGGCTGCCTCTTCGACAAACTGAGAAGGGTGTGAATGTCCTCGACACTCTTGAAAGCCTCCTGCCACAACTCAAGGTCAACAGCGACGTTGAGCTGCTCGAAGCGAGTATCCAGATGGCGCTGGAGAGTCTCCGGATCGCTGAGGTTGATCGCGTGGACCTGCTGGGAGTACTTGGCAGCGTTCTGCAGGTGGTTGCGCAGCAATTCACACAAGCGGCGGAATTCAGTCTTGCGGGTGTAGCGCTTGCAGAAGTCAAAGGCCTGATGGGCGGTGGTCTGGTACATGACCTCGAGGCGCGCGTTGTTCTTGAAGATGTCGAGGACAGTCCGGTAGGCCTCCCACAAGAACTTCAACCATGGTGTCACGATCGCGCGGTCGGTTCGGTCCTTAGACTGCTCGCCAGATACAGTGGAAAGCAGGATGGACTCCGGAGTCTCCATGGCCTCGAGATCACCAACATCGCCAATCGATGTGGTAGCCCCTTCTTCTGAGGACTCATTCTGACCCGTCATCTCATCCGCCTTCGCTTGTGCCTCCTTGACTTTCTGCTCCGCCAGGTCAATGAATTTGCGGAAGACCAGCTCAATGGTGGCCACGTTCGTGTTCTGGCTCGTGTTCTTGTAGTTGTAAAGCCCATCCTTGGCGGACTTCCCTTTCTTCAGATCTACGCAAAGCTCCACAAACAACAGCATGACCGGCTCCAGAGCAGCGATCGTGCTGTTACGCGTCCTCTTTGACGTGACATGTTCGTGTAGAATAGATAGGGCGGCCTGTTGCTGGCCAACCCCGATCAGTTCTTGGGCCCTCTTGAGAACATTCTCAGGGCGTGTGTGGGGTGGAGGAGGCATATTGGGCTGCCTCCTCGGTCAGCAAGCGCGTTGACGGCTTGCTGTAGTTGTGATGCTTGTGATTATGTGGTGTTGTATCGCTTATGATGGCGTTGTGGTATTCCTTTCGAAGCTGATGATCAAGTGATGCCTCGCACGCAAAGAAATGACAGGTTTGGCTTGGCGCGGCCCCACTGAATATTAGTCAGAGCTCAAGCCACTTTCGAGCTGCGTCCTTGAAGGTTGGAGAAACGTCGTCGACAGACTCACGCAAACCCTCTCTGCAAAGCGATGACTTCTATGCGAGTATCGCACAACACGGAAATGGCTGCAGGTAAATGATACAGCATCTCAGTAATCTTCGCCAGCCGTCACGTTGCAGAGAGTCGGTCTGGCTCTACCCGTCCACTTGTCCGCTTCGAGACCCGCATCTGTTTTCGCTCTAGCCTCTTGAGACAAGACAACCCAATCTCTCCCCCATTCCGCATCTCTGTGTCGCACTGCCCGCCAACTAGAAACGAGGTCTGGCCCAGCTCGTGCTCTGCGATCTGATTCACTGCCTCGCGACCCGTGCCCGCATCATCTTCACGTGCTCTGCGCCGCACAAGCTGCTAGTGGGAGACGGACAGGGCAGAAGTCACTCCTTTACGCCACGAGCTAGAGCGACAGGCGCGGTGAGCCGAGAGCTCCAAAGAGAGGTAGACAGTACGGGAGGCAGGATCAAGCACCATCACTCGTCCATCACATAATCAAATACGGACGACGTTCATGTGCTGAGCCGCGGGTGAGAGCTGCAGAAGGCAGGTCGCACGAACCAAACTTGAGTAAATGATCGTCCCTTGAACTGACTGTGCCGCCAACCAGTGTCTGATCGCATAGCGCCGCTTCACAACATCCACGAGCATTCAATCGCCGACACTCTCACCTCACACATACGAGAACACCAACACCTCCTTGCCAGCGCACCACATCCCGAACACTTTACCAAAGTGGACATAAATCGGCATCGACCCTAACCAAAGTGTCTATCGTGGTTCACCCGAGAGCGCCGGCTACCCCTCGTATCCATATCACACTTGCGCCTTCACCGGAGAAGCATAAATTGCCGAAAATGAACAACGCGGCCATGTCTTCACCTTTTGAGCTACGCACAAACGACAATGGCAAGAGCAAGAAGCAATCCATGGCAGAGCTGAAGCTTAGGCGGCTTACAGAGCTGAACCAGCGCTTACAAGATGACCTGAATCGGAGGAGAATACCTGTATCAGAGGCATCCATCGAGTATGTTATGCGCGGGCGAAGAGTGGTGTGGTGACAAATTTATGCTGACCGATGCCTACCAGCTTGATCGCCTTTACGGACAAGGAGCCGAAAGACTTTATGGTGCCCAGCAGATGGGGTCAGGTGAGTTCACAATCGCCACCACATGTCATGAATTCAACTTCGTATGTCAATACTGAGCTCTTATCCAGGTCGACAAACGAGATGATCCTTACGCGCCGCAGCAACAAGGAGGATGCTGCACAGTCATGTAGGACTGAGCCTGCGCCGACTTCTTATCCTTTTCAGCAATCATGCGACCTGTCCATAGCATCGGCGTTCGAGTGGGGTGGATTTTGCGTAGTAGGAAGTCTCCATCCGACTTCTGATTTTCCTGGTGGCGGTTTTCGGTGGATCAGCATGGTTTATGGGATTCTTATTCGGTGGACTTCGAGCAGAATGAAGTGGGGAGAAGGAGCAAAGAAGTGCACACGACGAGAGCAAGAACAGGGTCCAAGCACAAGACAGACTGCGGAGAATGATCAGTGTTTGTGCCGCAGTGGCGAAATCAGTAAGATGAGGTAGCAAGTGGGACGAGTATAGCGATGTACGATTATCATATTTTTTTTGCAACAAATGCATCCTCGCCACCAGGGCTATATGGTAGCCTTGGCGGCATTACGTTGCCGGTTCAGACCAGGCTGCTCCATGGTGTGCCTGGCAAATCGGCCATTGCGTAGGGCTATGCATGAGGCTCTGACCGTGGTATTTCTCATTACCCAATCACGCGCTGAGCGCGGCTCGACGCCATTGGGGAGGAGATTGGCGAGATTATCATGTTCATGGTCTTGTTGCCTGTTGTTCGTGTATATTATTGAGACAATGGTGGATTATAAGTTGAGAGCACATTCCAGGTCATGGACTTCAGCCAAGATATTCCATTATTCCCAAGACCATTGCCTGATGAGTGAGGACTGTGATCAAATCCTGGAGGGCCTAACGCTGCAAGGGACGTTGCGTACAGCGGCTGCAACGACGATTCGGGAAGATGGAGACACCCAATGCATCGGTCACCTTGCAGCAATGAAGTTACTTTTGCCCACGTCGATCCCGCCGTGAGGTCCTGCTTCTTTGCAATACAATTCGTCATGTGCATGCGCCACGAGGAACATGCGTCGGCTTGCTTACACCCGACTGCAATGTCCCTCGCCTGGTGCAGAAGCTGATGGCGTAAGAGGGATAACGAACAGTCTGGGGATGGAGATTGGACGTGCATTATTATTGACAGGTAGGTTTGTCTTATCGTGCGACCTAGACTGCGCTCCGCATAAACTTTTAGATTATCGCGAAGGCAAGGTAGGTCTCCATTATTGAGAGTGTTCTTCCAGCTGCGAGAACTTCGGGAGAGGTACCCAGCACGCCGGTACCGCAAAGCTCACAGGCTCGCAGCCCATGAAATTGAGCGTAATGGACGTGGGGTGAACTTTGTCAGAGTGCCAGAAAACTCTCGAGGCTCGCCGGACTCAAGCGCGCAGTTCTGCATGCATCCCACTCAATGATCTGCGGCTTCGCTTCTGTCTCACTCTCTTCCTGGAGATGCAGGCGGCCTCTTGACCTGCGCAGGCATCATCGCCGCCACGCCACCACCGGGCAATACCACTGCTAACACGGCGAACGCGTTGCTGCTAGTGCCGTTTGCGCTTTAACCTAGGTTGTTGCCGTCGCCTTTCTTAGTGCGGAGGGTGGATAGTGGGCACCAACTACTGGCGCTGGAAGAAATCTGCTTCTGTGCAGCTGGCTAGCATTGCCATTTGGTCCCGCTTTTCATTCGTCTCTGCACGTCGATTTGCTCGAGGGGCACTTCATCTACATCTTGGCCTGTCGCTACAGTATGCCCGAGTCCGACATCCGACTACGACAGTGAATACAGTGTCTGCAGCATCCTGGAATCCTCACCTTGTCGCGGCCTCACTTCAGTAACGAGCGCAGTACATACGGGCCGACGGGATAATTAGGAAAAGAACGGAGTACAGAGTTCACAGTGGGACTCGACGCAGGTAATACCGAGACGGATCTTCACCGCGACCTCACTACACGACCACGACGGTATAACACTTCACGGCGGGTTGCTGGTTGACAGGCGAAAGGTGCTGCGGCTCCGCCAACGCCAATCGTCACGCTCAGACGCCTGCTGTAACATGAATACGGCAGCCAATCAGCCATGGTCGCAAGCAGAGCAGCTTGACCCAATGGCTTCCATGACCAACAGCGACCTCAACGACCTGGAGAGTCTCTTCGAGTTCGGCGACCTAGATCTACAACCCATACCCGACGTAAGCACTGGGCAGTATGGCGACCACATGGCCCCGCCACAGAACCTATCCCACCCTTCAACGCCATTCGCCGATATCAGTTCGATAGCACCACCACCGGGCACGTCGGCGCAGGACTTTGGAGGGCAAGAGCAGTATGGGATGCAGCAGGACATGGATCAGCAGCAAGCGCAATTCCTGTCGCGGGCTGGCAGCACAGTACCCGTGTCACATCCTTTCACAACCCAGTCCATGTACCAGCCATCTCTACAACAGCAGTACCACATGCAACCACCACAATATGCATACACACAACCCCAGGTCTTCCCAGGCGGCCATGTCCCACCTACGCCGAATAGCTTCGACATGCATGGAGAGGCAGGCCGATTTATGCAACAACAAATCGATGCGCAGCAACGTGCTATGCTCGAACAACAGCGCTACCAATTACGAAAGGACGACGCGATAGCGTTCACGCCGATGGTATCGCCGGCTGGGACACCACAGTACCACGTGCAACCAGAATTCGCCGTTCCTGGAGCATACTTTTCACCCCTTACTTCGCCAATGCTGCACGCCCAAAATGTGCCCCAGCAGCAAGCACACCACCAAGGATACTACACCAATCCTAGTACTGCGCCTAGCTCGAATGCAGCCTCTCCTATCGATCCGAGCGCGGATGTTGATATGATGGGGGACATCATGACGTTGCCGGAGTCTGCGACGTCGAAGCTTAAGAAGCCGAGGAGGAAAGTGGCGACGCCGAGAAGTATTGCGACGAACTCGAGATTGCGACAGAGTCCTGCGACGAAGCCGCAGAAGCGAAAATCTGGAACTATGTTATCTTCTGTGGTGCCGGCATCGGAATTAGACACAATCATGGCCGAGAGTCAAAGATCGGCAAAGTCACAGCCGAGTTCAGCGGGTCTCCAAATGCCATCAGTTTTCAATGGCAGCTCGGAGGATGGCAGTATCAGCCCGGAGCCGCTCAGCGAGTCGCTTATGGGCCCGCCCCCTAGGCCTGGCTCGAGTGTTACACAATCACCGGCCTTGTCTGCACAACAGCAAGAAGCCAAGGCTGCGGCCGCTGGTGCTGCAGCTACACCCAAATCACTCCTCTCCGGCAATGCGGCGAACCAGCAGATTAATGGCAGCGCTTCGACTGTGCAGAACAATGGCGAAGCCGCTGGACTGGATGATCTGCAGCTTCCAGAGGCCGCATCTGGCCAAGCTTCTCAGCGACCAGCGCTTACTCAGATAGACACGCAGCTTGTGCCTGAGACTATGGAGGACCAAACACCACGTATCACAGCACGCAAGACGCCGAAACTTGGCCCGCTGAGCACGCCATCCTCGGCCCGACCATTGTCTGCTGTGGCAAGTCCGTCCGGGATGATGTCGCCTATGTCCGCCACTACGCCCGGCGGACTGCTGAAGGATAAGAAAGGAGACGCCAAGGGTGTCAGAAGTAACAAGAAGCGAGGCAGTGTCAGTACGATTGGTGCAGGTTTACCTTCGCCTGCTTTACGGCCACGGATAAGTCCGAGCATCAAGCCTTTACTCCCGGAAGGCAGTAAGTGTATGTATAAGTCTATCTTTCCGAATGAGAGCTAATCTTTCCGCAGCTGCTCTGCACTCCCCAACCCACGCACTCCTTTTGGCTTCAAAGTCCAACTATCAGAACATCCTTGAAGGCAACCACCTCCCAGGAATCTCATACCCCGACTCCCTATCTTCCGGCCTGACCTCCAAACGCACCTCACACAAAGTAGCCGAGCAAGGCCGTCGAAACCGCATCAACGACGCATTGAAAGAAATGCAAGCCCTTGTGCCGCGAGAATACCTTCTAGGCAGCAAGAAAGGCGGCAGCAACTCGGAAGACAGTCCCGAGGCGATATGCGCTGCTGACCTGGAGATTAAAGATGGCAAGGACGATGCGAAGAGCCATAGTAGTAAGGCTTCGACGGTCGAGTCGGCTAATGTGTATATCCGGAATATGCAGAAGAAGCAAGCAGAGGAAGCGGCGGAGAATGACCTGCTGAGACAACGACTCGAGGAGTTAGAGAGGCGGCTGGGGAATGAAGGTGGGAGTGGCGTTGACGGTACTGCTGCTGCTGTGGGCAGCGCGAAGGATAGTGCAAGTCCCGACGACGTCAAGGCCTAGCTCAAATCGACCGAGACTGGTTCGTTATGAGCAACGTCATTATAGATGCAATGAGTACACAGAGACGACGGGTGCGGAAGGACCTTCTTATTATTTGTCTTCGACGACTACGATACCCATTCTTGCTTGGCTAGCCTAATGTCTGATGATCCGCGCGACGATAGACTACGCGCTACAGATACGGAAGGCGCAGAGGAGATGTGTTATTCAACCTCTTTCGTGGGTGGGAGGATGGGTGGGTGGATCGGAGGTCTGTAACTCTACCCCCGTGGAATGGGACGGGAATTGGAAGGAGATGGCTGCCCCCGGCTACAGACCTACAGCGCCGCCTGACTTGGAGGGCGGAGAGGACTCGAATGGTTCTTGACGGCGTTTGTTCACGGATTGCGAAATTCAGCCTCGAGGACGAATGGACTCGGTTGTGGTCCATGGGCGTTCCTTACTGGCTACTTAGGCGGTTGCAACTGTTTTCGCTGCTTGTTACGCTTGCGTCTTATCTCGGCATTGGTCCGCGGTCTCGCAGTGGGCTCGTGATGTGACATTGCGGTATGAAATGCATGGGACCTTGTATGTATATATGCGTGTAATGAATGCTGCGGCTTAGTGAATCATCCATGAGCATCTCCTGTGATCAACTATGCTTGTGGGACAAAAGCGCTCTGCATATCACTCGCTGTCTGCAGATTTGCTCTAAGACATTTGTCTTGGCCAGGGAATAATGTGGTTGTCTGCGCACGTGCTCCATGTTTCATTTGGCTGCAGGGCGGAAGGAGCCGAAGACGAGGACTTTCGAAGCTCTGCCGGTCGACAGATTCGTTCACGGGGATTTCTGACATCGTCGTCCACACCAGACCTCACCTTCGTATATAACACATCGCCTTCCTTGTCAGTAGTCCGACTTCGATTAACACTTTAATCCTCTACAGTTACACCAACACCACCACCGCCTCGCAACCACCAGCACAAGTCACTGTATGTTCGATGGAGGAAAACAATGGTCGTGTGCGTATGAAACACTGACTCGTGCCTACAGCAAAACACTTCTCAACTTCGCTCACTTCTAATCGACGACGATGGCGGCGGAAGTGGCATCGATGACCAACGGCTACGCGCCGCACAACGGCTTCGGTGGGACGGACAACCAGAGCAACGCGTATACCTCGACTCCTGCATCTCAGCAATCAATGTACCAGCAGCCGCCAGCACAAGAGATGGCAAGCGGTACAAGCACCCAGTCAGACATCCCCAAGGACGAGGTGGGCTGGTACTTCGTCGAGCAGTACTACACCACCCTCTCCCGATCGCCCGAGAAGCTCTACCTTTTCTACAACAAGCGATCGCAATTCGTGTCTGGCCAGGAGACTGACAAGGTGCCTGTCTGTGTCGGGCAACGTGCCATCAATGACCGCATCAAGGAACTCGACTTCCAGGACTGCAAGGTCCGCGTCACGAATGTTGACTCGCAGGCTTCAGACAAGAACATCGTGATCCAAGTCATTGGCGAGATCTCCAACAAGAGCCAGCCTCACAAAAAGTTCACGCAGACCTTTGTGCTTGCCACCCAGACAAACGGCTACTTCGTCCTCAACGACATCTTCCGATATTTGGTCGAGGAGGAGGATGAGGAGACTGAGCAGCCCCAGCAGCCAGCACCTCAGGCTGAAGAGGAGATCCAGCAGCAGCCTGCGGCCGAGAGTGGTTCTCAGGAGCCACCTCCTACAGCTGCGGACAGTGGTCGCGAGACTCTGACGAGCTCGGACAACCCTGCTGCGATTGAGCGCGATGCGCAGGAGGTTGCTGGGAAGCTCGAGGAGACTTTGGCCAAGCCAGAGGAGGCATCAGCACCTACTACCAACGGTGAGTCTCACGAGGAGGAGGTTGAGGAGGAGCAGGAGGCTGCGCCAGAGGCTACTACCGAGTCCAGCGGTGCCGAGCCAGAAGTCAATGGCGAGTCGGCTACACCTGCTGCAACCGAGGAAGTTGTGCAAGAAGAGAAGCCACAAGCTCCGACACCGTCACCAGCACCCACACCAGCCTCTCAAGCACCTGCACAACCCGCCGCGCCACCAAAGCCAGCCGTGCCAAAGACCTGGGCAAGCTTAGCCGCTTCTGCGGCTCGAACCGCGCCTGCACCTGTTGTCCCTCAAGCACCCAGCCAGCCTCGTCAAGCAGCCCCAAAGTCGCAAACTCAGGCGCCAGCCCAAGCACAGACACAAGCTCCCGCATCAACACCGGCGGCTGCGCCTGCTTCGACACCCTCCGCGCCGGCTCGTGAGGAGACCTCGACTCCTACTTCTCAGGACGAGTGGACAGCAGTCGGCAGCAGCCACAACCGATCTCAGTCCCGCCATGTCGACCAGCAGCAGCAACAACAAGGTCCTCAAAGCCGAGGTTACATCAAGAACGTTCAGGAGCATGTAAAGCCAGAAGAGCTGCGAGCGCATCTGGAACAATTTGGCGAGTTGATCTACTTTGACATCTCGCGTCCCAAGGTCAGCCTCGACACATTCTCTCCGGATATGACGTATTTGAGCTAATATGGCAATCCAGACATCCGCCTTCGTCGACTTCAAAACCCCACAAGGTTACCAAGCAGCCGTAGCCGCCAACCCCCACAACATCTGCGACTCCACCCTCTTCGTCGAGGAGCGCCGCGTTCGCCCAACCAATATGCAATTCGGACCCCGTGGAGCACACAACGGCCAGATGCAGCGCGGCGGTCGCGGTGGACCAGGTCAAGGCGGCCCACCACGCGGCGGCTTCAACGGTCGTGGTGGACGTGGTGATTTCGCTCCGAGAGGCCGGGGCGGTGCACCGCGAGGACGTGGTGCGCCGGCGCCAGCACAATAGCCTATTCACGTCACGACCTGTGGCTCGTGCTACTTGTCCTATGCGATGGGACGCCTTTATATTGTAAAACACCACTTTCGACACGGGATTTGCACTCCCAAGCACCAGACAATTCTCTTACGCGCGAACAGGACCCACTCGATTTCCGAAACAAAAAGCGATGCGATCTGCTTGCATAGCGTGGACTGTCCAGATCACGTTTTGATTTGAAAAGGGCTTTCTTCTTGGCTTGTATTGCTGCTTCTTTAGCATGTTCGTTGCTTGGCTGACTTGCTACTCAGAGCGTTCATCTTCGTGCAGTGGTTGACTTTGCTCATTTAGGCGGAAAGTGTATGTACCTTTACAGTCCGAATTTACATTCACAAGTGACATCAAAATCTTGTCCCTTCCTCTCTGCACTCATCAGTCTACAGCGGGCTTTCATTGCACTGAACGGTCTACTTGCTCATCTACGTCGAAATCAGTCGGAGGATGTTTTGTCTCCTCCACTTCACCCCGCATGAGGAGAACCCGCAGAATGCTGATCTTCTCGAACTCACCCGCCGGAGCAGCGTCGTCAACATCATCTCTGCCGGCATTTCGATGGGAACATCCTTACGAGACTGCAATGGGAGAATTTCTCCGCATCGTCATCGAGTATAATGATGCTAGGCGGTGATACGAAAGGCGTTGTTGAAGAAGAGCGTAAGTGTCTGATTTCTTTGCACTCCCTATCTTCATTGTCACCAGATGGTCTTGAGTGAAGTCGGAAGAAGATGAGGTCTACATCCACGGTGGTAGCTTTAATAGCTCTGGGAACTGGTGTCACGAATGCAACAGTATCGAGGCCATATCCGCCAGCAGACTCCTACCTCCAGACCACGAATTTCTTGAACCACTCTTCGTACGTTCAGGATCTGGACGATCCGCAATGGTACCTCGACAACATCCCCTTCATCGATGTCCCGGATCAGTCCATGTCAGATGTATATTACTACCGCACCAGTGTGATCAAGCGGCATTTGAAATGGGTGGCGGAAGGTCAAGGATGGGTATCTACTGAGTTCGTGAGTACAGCTGTGACATGCCACCAAAATTCGACGATGCTGATGTTTGTGATTGACAGATCCATCCCGTATCGTGGTCAAGCAAATTCCAAAGCACTCCAGACAGTGCGCCACACCATGTCGTGGAGCTCCGCTGGCTTCGAGACCTCAACTATGTCAAGAATCACATCCAGCAGTACACCCGTGGCGGAGTGGAGAAGCTCAGTGGTGTCACGTTCACGCATTACATGCATCAAGCCATCTACGAGCATGCGCAATCGACTGGCGATATCGACTTTCTGACCTCTCAACTAGACGGCATGATAGCCATGTACGAACTATGGGATAAACTTCGAGATAACACGACTGGACTCTATCATCGTACCCCTTTGCAAGATGCACAGGAATACAGTCTCCCCGGCTTCCTTGTCGGTGGGCCCAGTGGCGGAGCAATGCATGAGTGGGATGACTTTGGCCTTAGTGCCAGCCAGGGCGGTGGCAACAACTATGGTCTCATCTGGTCCGGACCCGAGACCTACCGACCTAGTATGAATGCTTATATGGTGGCGGGTGCTAGGGTTATTGGCCAGATTGCTGCTATGGTGGGCAATAATTCACTATCGCATACCTGGTCGCAGTATGCTGGTGATTTGCAGACGAAGATGGAGAATATGCTCTATAGCCAAGAGCTGAATTTCTGGATTGATGTTGTGGAGCACACGAATCTTCGATGTGAGGGTCGGGAGCTGATTGGAACCTATCCGTATCGATTCGGTATTGGAATGAACGAGACATATATTCGTGGGTTGGAAGCTAGTTTGACGCAAGAAGGCTTCTTAAGCGAGTTTGGACCTACGACATTAGAGCAGACCAACTCATACTTCACTGCGCTGAAGAACACAACGTATTGTTGCGTCTGGAACGGGCAGAGCTGGCCATTCTCAACTTCCGTCTACCTCGACACCTTGGCTCGGATCGCTCGCAATGGCCTGAGCAGTATCATCACACCGGCTTTCTTCAACCAGGAGATGACGAAGTACACGCTCACAAACTACAAAGACGGTGTACCATACACAGCAGAATCGCACTACCCATCCGTCGACGGCTGGAGTGGAGATACTGGAAACCATAGCGAGCACTACTTGCACTCAACATATCTCAACAACATCTTCACGGACTTCTTCGGCATCGTACCCGACTTTGGCGATACGTTAGTCCTTCAGCCGCTGGTTCCGAGCAACTGGTCGCACTTCGCCATCGAGAATCTTCCATACCATGGATCCCTGCTGTCCTTTGTATGGGACCAAGATGGTTCGCACTACAAGACGGGCACCTACGGCAACTCCTCTGCAGGATTCAGTATCTTCTCGAACGGCACACTCTTCCACCACCAACCCACTCTTTGCGCCGTAAACGTCACACTACCCTTCAACACAACCCAAGCCGCTGCAACACTTGCCTCGCAACCAGAATGGCAGAACATCGTTGCGAATCCCAATTGTAAGTTGTCCTTAGCGGCAATGATATACTCAACTGATTGACTGAATACAGCTCCCTACAACCTCCCCCGAATCACAGCAACCGACTGCCTCAACCTCAACGGCGACTTCTGCGCCTTCCCAGCCTGGAAAATGAACGATGGTCTGCTGTGGTACGATACCACACCAGATAACCGCTGGACAAACAACCAGTCGCAATACCCGTACGGCACAATCAACATTACTCTCCCACGACCGCGGAAAATGAACGCCATCAGCTTGGCCATCTTCGACGATACTGACCGTGGGGGTGTCGCAGCGTGTCCTGCAGGGGTGAAAGTGGTGAATGGGAAAGGAGAAGTGGTGGCGTATAAGAACCCTTGGACAGATTGTGTGGGAAATGCATTGAATACCATCTCCTTTGCTGCACCGATGGCCAACGGCACGAATACGACTACGCCGGATACGGGTTACACTGTTGAGACGGGATTCTTACAGGTCGTGCTGAGTGATAAGTTGCGGTATACGACCGCCGTGACAGAGATACAGATCTGGGTCCCGCCGAACACGGGTCCGAGGTACGAGGCCGAGGATGGTGTGATAGGGACGTTCATCGGGTCTTACGAGGGCAAGGCGACGGGTCTGAATGGCACGATTGAGAATGGCGGTGTTACTTTGCATGCGGGGGCTTGGGTGGAGTTGTCTGATGTTCGGCGGGCGGATGGTGGGGCTGGGAAGGCACAGTTGACTATCATTGGGGGTGGGAATGGGACGGTGGAGGTCCAGATGAATTGGTTAACGAACACGACTGTTTCGTTTCAAGGGCCGGCGAACAAGACGATTGAGGTTGAGATGTGGCGGGGTGGGAACTGGGTGGATCTTTTGCAGACGAGTGGGACGCCGTTCGTTGATGCTGTTGTTGTGTCTGATGGGTAGAGAGCCGACAGTCGTACGGTCACAACTTCCGTCAATTGCCCACCTCGAGCATGATACGTCGGTACGTAACACCATGCACGCTTGGCGTCCACTGGTTCATCATCTCGCATACGTAAGCTGGAGTCACGCATCCAATCCCCCACGGTGACCAGTTCGCTACCCCCCCTCTTCACTCCTCCTCTAGCAGCTAGCCTGGCGCACGATCCTCCATCGCATGGCGCCATTGCTTGTCCGAGTAGCCAGAGCCATGTTCGGCCTCGAAACGCCGGAGCCTTTGTGCCCTCGTTACGGCGCCGGAAAACGCCTGCCGATCGAGTCGAGGGTCCCATTTCCCTTCCAAAGCTATATCCTTGACTTGGGCGGCAATCGTTGCATATAGTGTCCGGAGGTCGCCACAAACCCGATGTACAGTCATCTCCATCGCTGTATCCTGGAGTGGTACGGTAAGCATATCGATCTGGAGCTCGCTCACACTACCGTGCCTGATCGCGCCACCTATCTCCGGCCAATCCTGTGCCCACCAGCGGTCATGGTGGAGGTCGCTCGACTCCTCTTCGCAAAGAGCCCGGAGCGGGTTGGGCCACTGGTCCATGTATTGGCAACTCGGGTGGATGCCGCGCTGGTCCCCTATGAAGGAAAGACCATCTCGTTTCACTGCCTCGACCAGATCGTACCACTCGGCGTGCAAATCGCCGCACCACAGTTCCGTGGCGGACTGGAAGCAAAGCATAGTATGGAAGCAAGCCTGGAGGTTCCGATACCTGGCCGGTGCCCTTTCCACGTTGAGTTTGAACCGGTGAAGGCTGGGCACGTCGTCGAAGTAAAGCATCAGCGACCCCAGGTAGTGCGATTCGAAATGCCCCTTCGCTTCAAATCGTATCTCTTTGCACAGAAGCAATAACGCAGTCAAGGCCGAGGAATCATTGGTAGGCCAATCGCATGGTAGAACGTAGACATCGAAGTTTTTCGGTCGACGAATCAATGGTTGGAAGAGCTCATCGTAGATCATGAGCCGTAGCTCCTTTGGCAGTGTGGGCAAAGTTGGTGCCATCCCCGATTGATGAGGTAGATGTTTATGCGTTTTGTCACGATCCAAATTTGTATGCGCGTCTACGGGGCCGTCCGGCGCTAGTCAAAGCCAACGCTGGGAAGGAAGGAACGAGCTGCTGTTCACATGCTGGCAGGCCCGCGATGCTGACCCTGTACGTACAGGTAACGATTGTGACCATACCTAGATAGGTGAAAGATATGTTTCTGTTCCCAAATCATAGCAGAAAAGCCAGAACCCTCATCCGCAACTCGTCGCAACCATTCCAAAAAAGCCGCGCACATCAAGTCCGTGCAACCCCCACGATCTGCTCAATTCCGCACCGTGTGAGCCTCCAAGTCATACCCTCCCCAGCCCTCCGCCCCCTCGCCTCCACCACTCCTCCAATGCGCATCCCCCTCTCCCTCAAGAAGCCGGACAATTCGGACTCCCCACCACCGGTCCCCCAGCCGCAACACAACACTTAAACTCAATCTTCGCGTCGGAGCCCTGATCCGCGCCAGCCTCGGTGGCGGGCACATTCGCCTGGAAGGCATTTGGGCCGGCCTTGACGCATCCGCCTGCTGGTCCCTGATCCCAGTGGGTGACCGTGCCACTCTGCGAATATCCTGCATGTCAGTCTTTTCATCCTGTCCTTTCGTTCGTTTGTTCGGTTGTGTATGTATGTATGTATTTGTGGGAGGAGGAAGAAGCTTGATCGGGGCGCTACTCACGAGAGCGTACATCCTCGGCTTGGCCTGCAGACCCCAGGTCACAACGCCGGGGCTGCTGTTGTTGGGGCAATTGGACGTGCCAGGGGTGCCTTTGGTGGCGGTCTGGCTGTAGGAGTAGCTGGGGGCGAAGCTAAGGGCTGCTTGGGCGATGGCGCCTTCGACGCTACTAGTACTGTCGCTGCATTAGTTTGGGTAACGAGATCTCGGGGCCGTGGTCACGGGTACGAGTCATATTACGTACGCGCCGATGCTGCCGCCGATGGTGTAGCCGGCCGTGACGGCAAAGGAGAAGGACTCGGTGAAGGAGACGGAGCCTTCGATGGCCCAGTCAGCGGGCAGCAGGGAGGTGGAGAGATTGCAGGGACTCACCGCCTGGGTTGGCATCGTAGGTTGCGCCTTGCACGAGATGAGGGATGTCCTGGAATGGGGTCATGGACGAGACGGTCGACTGGTCAGCGTGGTTGCAGGTAGGAGGTGGGGGACGGTCTCGAGAGTCCAAAGCTTGCTCAATCATGGGGGAGTTGCCCAGGGGAGCTGCTAGGACGGAGATGCAGGCCATTGGTGCCAATAGGAGGGCTTGGAGATGCATGTTGCGGGAGTGTGGATGGGGTGTTGTGATGGTATGGGTTGTGTCGTTGGCTGACTGCAGGTTGAACGTCCAGGGATGACGCGTGGGGGACACCTTCTTAAATAGCACATTGACAATCCGTTTGCTTGCTCCGCATGGTAGACGATCTCGAGGCTGATGGTACTACAGTAGGACTGCCAGACGTCATATTGTCCGTCTGGCCATGCGAGGCTGTGAAGCAGCGTACCACAAGCCATCTTTCAGCGACACCAACGTCGAGGTCAACTGGCCGAAGTAGCTTCAGCTGAGTGCTCCGGGTGGTGATACTCAAAGCCTTGCCGTTGTACAGGAATGACTGCGCCACGGAAATGGATTATGCGATCAACGCGGGCTTCATCCCTTAGCAATGAAGGATGTGTACTGTGACACATGATGACCGTCTTCGGTGCACCAGTGACGGGGATTGAGTGTACATGTTGGTGCACGCAAGCACCCATCCGGCGACGTTCATGTCAGTGAGTAGGTCGAGACGGGATTGCACTGGCAGTTCGTTAGTGGTGAGATGACGCGTCGCATGTTAGAACCTCCAGATTTGTCTGAGATGGTAAAGTGAAGATGGTGGCGGCTGTGGTGAATACTGTACTGCATCTCGAGGCCGGTCAAGGTTCGGCAGCTTCCCGCACTTCCGCGACGCGTCTTCCAAGTCGCGTCTTCCATGGTAGGAAAGTGTGCACGGCAATGATAGAGCAGAATAGCATACAACATGCTCGCCGCTACATCTGCTCCTCGTATTGCCCCGAACAAGAGGACGGTACTCGATGCTCGGAAACGACAATTTGCCAAATCCACACATGGACCAGAGGAATACCCGCATCGCCTCAACTTCTATGTCGTCCCACCGTCCGGCGATATCGCCCTCGAGCAGTTTGAAGAGTGGGCGATAGCACGACTGAAGGTGCTGGCCGAGCTGGAATCATGTCAGTTCCGCAATCGGACCCCAGCCGAGACGGAGGAATATATGAAGCCGGTATTGGACAAATACATGCGATTGAGCAGTAATGCGAGCCGAAGCAGCGATATTGAGGGCGAACGGAAACGAGACCACTACAGCCACTGGACCCTCCGCCTCGCCTTCTCCAGCACCGCCGACCTCCGACAACGCTTTGCAAGACTAGAAGCACAACTCTTCAAACTACGCATGCAGAGCGACGACACGCGGGAAAGACAGGAATTCATCAAGACCTTACCCATGAGCTGGGAGACGCTCAGCGAGGAAGAGAAAGCCACCTGGCTCGATCAACTCAAAGCAGCCACCAACGTCAAACGCGACGAAGAAGAAAGCTGGTTCAAAGTCGACTGGGAAAAAGTGCCCGGACTAGTCGAACGTCGACAATGCCTCCTCAAAAAGGGCACCGCCTACGTCCACGTCCGCGAACAACAAACAATGGTCCTCAACGAATTCGCCCGCCAACTGGAAACCGGCCTGGAACTCTCCGCCCGCTTCCTGCCCCGCATGGACGAGGACAACCGCCTCTCCCCGATCCTGCACCACCTCTCCCAGTCCTTCGTGGCCCCCGATGCAGGCTACACCGAAAGCAGCAGTATCGGCGACATCACCATCCCCACCGCCGCCGCCATCGACGGTCTAGCCCAGCATTTCCCCCTCTGCATGCAGAACCTCCACCGCGAACTCCGCAACAACAGCCATCTGAAGCACTTTGGCCGCCTGCAATATACCCTCTTCCTCAAAGGCATCGGCTTGAATCTGCAAGAATGCATCCTCTTCTGGCGCAAGTCCTTTAAGCTCATCGCAGACGGTAAGCCTCACCCCCAATCTCCAGCTCCTCCCAAACCCCCCTCCCCAAACCCCCAACTAACTAACATGAAATGGGAACAGACAAATTCAAATCCGACTACCTCTACAACATCCGCCACGCCTACGGCGACGTGGGCGGGGACTCCAACCGCCGCGGCAAAGGCTACACCCCCTACTCCTGCCAAAAACTCCTGACCGAACCCGCCCCCTCCGCCGGCCAGACCCACGGCTGCCCCTACCGAACCTACAGCCCAGATAACCTCCTCACCCTCCTCCAAGCCGTCGGCGTGACCGATCGAGCTCTGCTGCAAGGGGTGCGGGAGGATGTGGGCAAGCAGAGATTTCATATTGCTTGTAATCGGGTTTTTGAGCATGGGCACAAGGGGCAGTTGAGGAAGGTTAAGGAGGAGGGACTTTGGGCGGCCGGGGACCTGGATACCATCCTGCATCCTAATACATACTTTAAGCGGTCTTTCCTGCTCAAGAATCTGGGCAAGATTAAAGCTGGGGATTTGGGGGTCGATGGGCCGGAGTCGAGTAGTGGTGGCGGTCGGGAGAAGATGGAGGAGTAGGCCGCGGTTGTGAGATGATGTTGTTATTATGTGCATTGTATATGAAGGATTTCGGGGCACGGCGTTGGCGTTTCCTCTTGGGGAAGGAAGGGGAGGGATCAACGACCTCTTGGGAAGGTGTGCGGGTGCGGGAATGCTTAAGATGTTTTTTGAGGAAGTTGATTGGGGTTTGTCTTATCGAGGTCAACCTCTCAAAGAAAGCGAGCAGATAGGAGTACGAACCAAGCCCCCGCAATCCAAGGTCCAAAGCTGTGAGGAAAAGCCAGCAAAGATGCAAACGCCACCCCTACCTACTCCCCCAAACCCAGAAAGCACTGAAATCAATCACGGGACATCTTCATCATGCCTCCCCAACTTCCCCATCTCGCATCACATTCCGCCCGTCATCCCGACCAACGTCCTCATTCCCAGGAATCCTCGCCCGGAAGACCGTCGGGCCCACTAAGCTCGCACTTCCCAACCCAACCAACCAACCAAGCTAGATCAGCCCGCGCCACCCTCCACCCCCCCCAAAGAACCCCCTCCAATCCACTCCACCATCATCCGCGTGTCCCAGCCCCACTCCCCACTGCACCGGCGCAATCCCAACCCCAAACCCATTGATGACCGTCCCCCCGTACCACCACCCCTGCACCTCGACCCAATTCCTCACAACCCACCAAATCCCCGCCCCGACCAGACCCCCCAAACCCGCTACCCGCAGCATAAACCATCCTCGTCGTCGCATGCTCTGGCCCAAAGCCAACAGTCCCAAAGGATCCCGGGGATCAATAACGGCTATAGCACCTCCCAGTCTCCCTCGAGCAGGGCGCTGCTCCACTCGCTGCTGCTGGTAATGGTGCGAAACGAGCGCCTTCTCATTGTCTGAGCTCTCGTCCGCACCGGCGACCCCATCACCCTTCCACAACAAAGACTTGTGATTCCCACCGAGATAGATCTCCCGGTAGCGTTTGCGTTCATTGTCGAGACTCCGCTGCAGATCTTGCGCCCATTTCGCCAGGCGGACTTGGCGGAAGGGTAGGGTGGTGTTGTTATTGTTCTGCTCGTTATATTGGGCTAGAGCGCGGGTGGAGGTACTTGTGGCCGTCAGGGGGAGATTTGAAGATCGGTCTGATAGTGAAGGAGAGGGGGAGCGGTCGTGACTTGTCGAGCTCCTAGGCGGTGGCAGGGGGAGTTTATTGGAGTCCTCGTCTTGGAGGAGGAGGAGGAGGCTGCCGCTAGTGCTGCTTGGGATGTCGGAGGGGAGGGTATGGCCAAATTGTAGGGAGGAGTGGAGTGGATTCTGAAGTTGATGTTGGTGTTCTTGGTTGGCGTGGCGAGCTTGTTGATGCCAGAGCAGAACTTTGGTGGCGGAGAGGTGGCGCAGTCGTGCTATGTTGTCTGGGGTTAGGAGGTTCGTGACGAGGTGGTCGAGTTCGCTGGGGACGAGAGGGGGGAGGTATTGGGAGGACATGAGGATGCTGGCGTCGAGGGTTTCGGTGTCGTCGCTTAGTGCGGAGGAGATGGTGAAGGGGGATGTTGGCGTATTTGTTGCTTTTCCTGACTCGAGCTGTGGTTGCGCATGAGTGGCGAACGAGTATGTCTCGACGCCAAGACTCCGGATGGTAGTCTGTATCCGTTGCTTGCAAGCTTGAACACTCTCCGTGTCGAGTTCGTCTACCCGCGCAAGCAGTGGTACGACATTGGTGCATTTGCACAGTGCTTCAAAGAGCGACTTCTGCTTGCCCTCGAGGAGAAGCGCGTCTAGATTGCTCGTGGTGGAGTTGTCGAAGAGCCATAATGCCGCATCGATCTGTACACCACCATCTCCACTCAAAACATCAATCACTTCGCTATCATGCATCCTGTCCAAATTCATGGTACGCTCGACCGTCTTGTTGACATATTCCAGCACGTTCGTAGCCGCACCCTCATAATCCAGTCCCGGCGTGTCAATAAAGCACAAGTTCCGTTCCAGCACACCATCGCCTGAGCTCTTCCGCCGTGCTGAGGATCGTCTGCTCTCAAGCTCGGTCCACCAGGAAGGGTATGTTCGGGTCGAAGCATGCGTCTCGGTGATTCCCACACTCTCACCTTGTCGTCGTGAGCTGTCCAGCGAGCCTCGTACCACTGGATCGACATGCACGATATCCTCGCACACCCGACAGAAGCTCTGGATCAAGCTTGTCTTCCCCGTCCCATTCGATCCCACAACCATCACTTTCAGCCTCCCCATCCGCCTGCCTCGTTCCGTGAATGGTCTTCGCGTTGGCATCGCTATACTCGGCATGACTAATTGCGGCATAGAGCTCTCATGACTCATCTCAAGCTCTACATCCTCATCATCGTCACCACTTGAAGACTGCACGGCCTGACTTCCCGTTTCGTCTGCAACACTACACTCTTCATCGCTCAGCCGGAATGATTTCGGCGAAGCTGAGCGTGGCGTGCTCGGCATAGCAGAGTTGGGCTGTGGGCTCATCTTCAAAGGGGTAAGAGGCTGGCTGTTGAGGTTGATGGACGATGCTTCTGAGCCTCTCCTAAGATGTGAACGCGATCGGAAGGGTGATTCAGCGGATCGTAGCGATCTTGGCGAGGCAGAGGTGGAAGGCTGGTATTCAGAAGAGATGATGCGCTGGCCTGTCGCCACGATCTTGGGATGAACCGGATTGCCAGCTTTGCGTTTGCGGCCTATGAAAACATTGCCATCGCCACCGGTATCGGGCCCGGCTGACTCTACGCTGTTCGTCCTCGATGAGCTACTCCGCTCGGAGGAGAAGGCCGAGTTGATAGTATCGGCCAAGCTCTCCACACCAAAACTGCTATCGGCCATACTGCTCCCTGGCGGCGTCTTCACGCTCTCCTCTTGACTGTCCATAGTGCCTCGTGAGGCTGTCCGTCCGCGCTGTGTACCCTTCTCCAAGTCCTTCTCGCTTCGGAGGAAGAAGGTCGAGGGCTGAGAAGGGCCCGGATGGAATGGAGGCTGTCCCCTTGCAGCACCCTTCTTTCCTCTGATCGTGCGCGAATCGAAGTCGTGCGTCGTACTCATCGCGCCCAGCTATCGTGTGGTTGATATCATGGATGACGCTGGCGTGTAGATATGTGCCTCGATGTTGATGAGCAGCTTGCTTATTGATGTCGACACGGCTCGTACAAAATCAGCACATCTCCAAGCCTCAACTCGTAGTAACCACTATCGACCGCTGTTCACTCTCAATGCCGATGTCGATGTCGATGTCGATGCTCGGACTGGGAGAGTGGTATCAGCGTTAACGATGCACCCCTCTGTGGGGACACCGGCCACGAAGTGGAGATCCCTGTCCGCTGACGCTTCACGAGATCTCGGTACAATGTCTATCTTCGCTTGGAGCAGACGAACAGCGTCGGCGCATTGTAGATAATTAATCAATCACTCATCGGGATAATGAAGACCTCGACGTAAAACAGTCGACGACGAGACCTCGATACAGCTCGAGCATGCGTACTACAACGCATCCCTGCCTTGGTCTCGGCCCAGGAACGCATGACCACGGCCAATCACACGGCAGCTACCTTGTTCGGTCACGAGTGTGTGATATTGAGACCAGGAATCGATGACAGTATGGTACAGTATTTGCTGCATGAAGAGGCATATGTGGTAGATGCTATACTGTGGATCTAGCTAGACAATCATAATGGCATTGATCTCGTGGCGCAGAAACCATAACACGTCGGATATTTTGCACTCGCCATATACACCCATAACGATGGCATGGACTTGCAAACACTTCCCGTCCACCCGGACGACCATTCATCTCTTCTTCTCATTCCTCAAAAGCAAAATACAACCCCATGAACCTCCTCGAACCCGGTCCGTCTCGCCTGCGTCCCCTTCTCCTCCCCATCATTAGAAACAGCCTGCACACCAACCCTCGTCGGCGACTTTTCCCCCCGCAAAACCACCTTCCCGATCTCCAAATTCGCAAGCCCAGTATCAATCGCCTCGATCTGGTCATCCGGCCTCTCGAGCGCGGACCGGGAAGAAAGCGGCGAATCATTAGCAGCGGCCTCAGAAGGCGTCCGCGAGGAGTGCGAAGTCGTGCGCTGCATTTCGAGGCCGTCGGTAGTCTGCGCAGTCTCGATATCGCTGGTAGTAGCAGTCGTGACTTCGAAGTGGTGGGAACGGTAAGATGGGGGACTTAATTCCCATTCCTCCAGCATCTCCATCCGCCAGTTGATCTTCACGCGTCGACCATGGCACATCAGGACGTCGCTTGCGCGGACAGCTTCGGAGAGGAGGATGGGCATACACCGTCGCGTGTATCGCTGGATCTGAGCTGCTGTGCGTGGGTGAGGAGGCTGCCATTTCCCTGCTTCGGTGAAGTTACTTGGTGATGTGGCGTAGACCATGTCTGTGGAGAAGGTGGAGGCTAAGGAGGATGCGGTTGTTTGGCGGAACATGCCAGGTCTTCGAGAAGTATCCGATGGTTGTGTTGGGGCTGGAGTGTTCGGGTTGGCAAAGTCCTCGCGCATGACTGCTAGATCGAGATCGTCTTCCTCCCGTACCGGTGTGGCGAGAGGCTCCGCAGTCGAGTCTGTAGTCGTGGTGCGTTCAAGTTCTGGGCGATTGGTGGTGGTGGTCGCAGGTATCTCTTGAGCAAATGCCGGATACATATCTCGCAAGATCCGTTCTTGTTCCGCAAGCAAAGCAGGGTCAGTGAGATTGCCACTGATCATGGGCTGCGGCTGCCGTCTTCGTCGTCGTGGAACCGTGCATTGTCGTGGGATGTTGCGCTCGTCGATGGAGAAGGAGATGTCGATGCTTGCGCTGATCGCATTGATCAGATCGTGAATGGCCTCCTCGTTCGAGTCCGCCAAGAGCATCTGGTCTGTTTCGATGCGAAGTCGTAGAATGCTCTGGCGCACTGGCTTGTAAAGATCCGGATCCTTGGTCCATGCCTTTCGTCTCGCTGATACAGGGATGAGATGAGCTAGCCGACTTTGTGGTACTAATAGTGTATGTTGTGTATCCGACGCCAGCCCAACTTCAGCGTGTTGTAAAGTGTAGCTCCGCAGCAACTTCCCAGGCCCGCCATCCTTGACTCGATGCACACTGAAAAGTGTCCCTCGAAGCACCACATACACCTCTCGCCAATCGCTCTCGGACACTCCATGTAATGGGTTCATAGATTCCAGCATAAGCAGCATCTTCGCCTCATAGTTGACCGTACTAGTATACTTCGGCAAGATCTCCTTGCCTTCCTGCGGCCGCCGCGAGACCTGCTTCTGCCGACTCGCGATCGCATACGAAGGCGGCGAGTCCTGAGCGCTCGAACATATGGTTTGGAAAGAATTGTAATGGCTCGTAGCTCGTCGAGACTGTCGCATGCGAGGCATGACTTCTAGGCCGGGTGTTGCTTGTGTATCTTGATCTTCCAGTCTTCTCCTGGGTGGTGTTGGTTCCATACCCATAATTGTGAGAGCGAAGGGCGACATCGCCATTGCTGTAAATTGTTTACGAGACACGCAAGAGCGCGCCTGACCTTGATCTTATGACCTGCTTCCGCCCCTTCCGCCTTTACTGAACCAGCTCTTGTGCTCTCTTGGTCGCCAAGATTTGTCACTTCCACTCAGATCCGGTTGATTAGATCAACAGCTCTCATTCACTACTCTCGCAAGAGTGAATGGCAAAGCTGCGGTGCGTCGAGACTGATAGGCCGCTTCTCTCTTTTGCTGACGTCTAGGTGGATGTGTCTTGATATCAAAGCCTTCGATCACACGAGACCTTGCTCAAGAGCGGATCACTCTACCAAGTAATTGATACGCGATTCTAGCCCTTGCAAGACCTCCCCGGCCCCTGGTAGCCTCGTGGCCAATGGTGGGGAACAGCCTGCAGATCCGGACGAACCCTCGTGGAGCCCCAACCAGATTATTATTTACCGATAGTAACGAAACAACTGATACAGACACAATGTAGATGGCGAGAACTATGATCAAGACAGGGAGACCTCCTTCAAATGCAAAAAGCCATCCACACAATGTCCCAGCTCCCACCACGCATCTCACCCATCTTTCATCAGCCAGAGACAATAATATGTACCGCATGCACCGCGCACCACGACAGGCCTAGAAAACGCCACACCTCAGCCAAGAATCTCCAGCTCCGCACCGACACGCAGCTGCGTATCCATTTCGGGTCCGACAACAGTCACGCACCAGCGTGGCACGTCGAATCGGAGGTAGTTGTCTACATGATGCACACGAGTGCCAACGATGCAGGGTCTGCTGACGGCCTGACACCACGCTGCTTTGGCTCAGGAACTCGCTCCGTCGGTAAAGCGAAGCGATGGACTCTGCTATGCATGTGGGCTGGTCTCGGTAGTAGCTGAGAGGCATTTCTAGGCTGAGAGTTCTTGCATGAGAGCTATGCGAGAATCACTCGATCATTTTGCCGTGTAAGCTTCATGATCAACTCATGCGATGGTAGGATCCGGTTCGTGTCAGGCGTGAGAACCCTGTCATACGCTTTTGAACGAGAGTCTCGGCCTTTGTGAACTGAGACGCCCAATAAGTTGTCAAGTCTCACGTGCGGGTCACCTCACGACACATGTAAGTTTCGATGAGGTGATGGCCGGCGCAAGTTATCGGTCGTACAAGACGGTAATGTGGAATCATGGCGTACTCGACGACCGCCAACGCCGTGGCGATCTTATCCGCTCGACGCAACAACAAAGCCGTCACCTCTGACGTGCCTTTCGTATTACACAATGAGTGCCAGTTCCCGGGTAACGCCGTATAACGCCAGGACATGACTTCCGCCCAGCATAGCAGAACACATCTACATCGTGGCGGCGCTCCCGTTCGCTAGCCATGGGTATCTTGAACTGCAACAGTAAGCGAGCCGTCAACATTCAGCGAACTGGATGGCTTACCTACAGTATAGAGTCGTTATGAGCTCGTAGAGCCGTGTGCGTTCGTTCTGCGTCGGCGCTGCTTGCCAGTGCCCTCAATGCGCTGCGCAAGCACATCGCGTAAATCGGGATCGTTCTGGTCTTTATCCATGTGGTGTACGCGAACGTGTCTTGTTCGCTCGTTAGCCACTTGCGTCAAGATTACACTTCTCATAGGATCACTGACCTTTGAAGGTTATCTGGCCGAGGATATCGGTGCTCGCGATCTGCGCAGAATGGGCAGATGTAGCCTGGGCTGTTATGGACCAGACCATGTCGTATCATTTCGTTCTTGCGCTTGAAGCCTTTGCCGCCATCGCTTCGAGGACATTCAGGCACGCTGCAAAAATAGGGTCGTGTGGAGCTGTGGACGTTCTTGTGCGAGCTAATGATAACAGTCAGCCTGGTGAACTCTAGAGATGAAGGAAATGTTTGCCAGCTCTACGAGCTGAGTAGAGACACATACCTCAGTAAGTACTGTGTCTGAAACGACTGCGCAGTACAACCCACATAATCGCACTTGAAGCTCATCATCATGGCAGGATTATGTGCCATGGCATTGGGTGGAGGGAGATGAATCGGCATTGTCCGCGTGTTGCCGCCATCTTGCATAGAAGCAGGGTCGATCGGTGTCGTGTGTGCAGTGCTGTAGCCCTCCGTGCCTGAGCTCGCGTGCCCATAGCTCTCTCCAGATGAAGACGCAGAAGGCAACGATGGCGGCATGCTGTATGGTGCTGGATCATCTGCGACACCTACCGAGCTTCGGCGGCCCGCAAAATACGCACGTGGCGAGTAGTGTGCTGCCGTTGGCGAGCCGTACACTGTCTGCGTCATGTCGCTGATTGTGCTCGTTGGAGACCTAGCAGCGCCAGCGTAGGCATATGGCGCAGCCGGTGAAGTCTGCATGTTGTTGGTGAAGGCGTGATAAGGCGCACTGGGCGAATGTACCGTTGTCGAGGCAAAGGAATGCGTTCGATGATGCGAAGCTGGTGGTGGCGGTCGAGGTGAATGGATAGCGGCAGCTTCCGCAAGCGAGCCAAGCTGTCCAGTGAGCTCATGTATGGAAGGCAGTGTAGTGATCGGAGACGTCGCTGACTCGGGTCCTTGGGTAGGCGACGTTGCCTGTACAGCAGGCAAGGTATCATGTGTGCCTTGGCCTGGATGGATGACATGTTTGCATAGCGTCGGAGATGCTGCTATGCTGTCGTCCTTCTCTGGCAGCGCAGGCGCAGTTTGAGAGCTATTGCCAGGAGTCTGCAGCCGCAATGGCGAGCGTGGTCTGGGCGCGGACTTGCTCACATCTCCGACTTGCGCCGTTGTGTTGCCACTATCCACGCGCACAGCTGTAGGTGCGTGCAAAGTATTCTCTAGCGCCTCTGTATCTGGCTCATCCGAGGGTGCACTTGCCCGCAGAGCTTCTGCCGCGAGCACAGCATGCGCACTGTTCTGTCGTTCTTGTTGAGACAGCGCTGAATTCGCAGTGATCGCATCGACTCTGTTCACAAGGGCTTCGACTTCTTGAGTAGTGTCCATGAAGCCGATGGTCACGCTAGATGTCTCCGAAGCAATGTCCGTGGGGCACTCGTCGTTTTGGCAATAGGTAGTGAGTTCAAACTGGTTGCTGCCCAAGTTGGAGATAAGAATGACACGTCCGGGATCCTGATAACGAATGTCACGATTGCCTTCCTGACGGATGGTGGGAGTATCAGATACTGGAGACTCGGAGGACATATACTCCTCACCAAAATTCACTCTCACTACCTGCAGACCCTCCTCGCTGAATACCGGTTCGTCTTCGGGCACAAAGCTCATCCAGAGAGTCCTGGATGTTCACACGCAGCCTGTCGTGGGAACGCCTGCCCGCACACCACTGGAGAATTAGATCGAGCCACCGAGGGTGCCTGGCAAACGAATGAGTCCGTCAAAGTCTTCGTCAGCTTAGCCAGAGGTTATCGCCACTGCGTCGCGCCTATCTCCGTCAGTATAGAAGTGCATGAACAGGCGCGAGTGTCTTTCAAGTAAGAGGAGATCATGGGCATAATGCAACAAGTGCCAGCCCGGACAGCCACCACCACCATACGCTAAAGGCATGAAATGCTAAGAAGATCGCTGTGCCGCCAAATGGCAACATTGTGCGCATAATCCACGGTGACAAGGTGCTTTGCACTTACCGAAGCATTTCCAGAGCCGCACGGCACTGCAGACTCAATCGTTCAGATGAGGCCTCGGCCTGGAGTCCGGCGCTGGTGTTACGCAAGCGTCAGAGAGCAGTACGGCGTTGAAGTCCACCAGGCCGCGGCAGGTGTATACTGTCGTGGGCTATAGAATATATGAAAAAATCCGAGGTGGGCGCAACCTGAACAGATTGAGGATGCGCGCTGATCGCGAGCTCGCATTTGCTGAGCCGCTGCCGATCGTGTTCAGAGTCCAAGAGCGTGGAGGTGGTGGAGTGCACTTGAGCACAACGACTGCGGGATCCCGGGTAAGCGATGCGATGCGCGGCTGCGTCGGCTGTCAATGTGTCGAGTGTAGGTGTGGAAGAGGTCCAGAAGAACCGTCGAAAGCGAGAAGCAGAGCCTCAAATCCAAAGCCGCTGACACAGAAAGCTACCGTACCGACCAGAAGCGATCTGCTATCGAGCTTGTTTTGACCGGCGGATTAGGCGTACGAAGAAAAGGCTAGGCCCGCAGGTGAGCAGATAAATCGTGTGGAGGAGGAGCAGCCCTGAGGCTGAACTAAAGCTACCGCTACGACTGATCAGGACTGGTGCTTTTTACTCGACTAGAGCTACTGTGATGAGATGACTTGGTCACGCTGCGATGTCTATAGTAGAGCTAGATAGCACGGCTCCCGAGAGTTACCGAATTCAACGCAGAGTAGGTCGTAGTTCACGATCAAGCCATCCTGAGGGTGAGCTAGATTGGCATTACCATTCTCTTTCTGTATGGTCCGTGCTTCGATCATACATACTGACGTAAAATGCGAGCGCATCTGCACTCACTTGGCCACTTTATCATCTCCGCTTGCGTGTTGCAGAGACAAAATCGAAAGCACCAATACGATACCACAGCGTCGATAAGAAGGCTAAAAGGGAGCTGATCTGAATTGATTTGAGATTCCACCTAGCAGGCGGGACGACGAGCCTGCGGTTACTCTGCATGCATCTGCGCCTGAGAAGCTATCTACCACTATCGAGTCGGACAAATATCAAACTCCTGCGCCGCTTCTGCACGGGAAGCTCTAGTATCTATACTGCACCAAGGGCAGCAAACACCCATGGTCTACTCTGGAGACCATTTTGCCACCTAGGTCCAAGGATGAAACGAAAGGAAGCACCCACAGCTGGCACCGGGCCAAAGTCAGCAAAGAAGCCTCGACCAGAAGTTCCGGAATATCATCTGACGCCGAGTGTTCGTGAGGAGGACGGGAGTATACAATGGCCAGCACCAGCTTCACAGATGGAACGAGTGCGGCAGACGATCCAGGAATGGTGAAGATCACAGTATTGATTAATGCAACCCTCACAGGACTGACAGGCCGATAGTGCAAAGGCTCAGCAGCGAGTCATCATTGCTCCGGACAAAGATGCTGACGGCCTGTCTGCGGGAGCTATCCTGCGGCATACGCTTATGCTTCTTGGTTTGCCTGCTGAGCTAATCAGTGTTCATCTGCTCAAGAAGGGCACCACCATTCACAGTGACGAAGAGCGGGAGAAGATGTCGGAACTAAAACCTGCCTACATATTCGTCATCGATCATGGCAGTCGATCTGGCCCACCACTGGTTGACGACGAAAACACCAAGACATTCGTAATCGATCATCATCATGCTACGGATGCAGATTTTCCGAAAGGGTCAGTTCATGTCTCAGCATGCTTCTCGCCTCCAGTCGCGACTTCTGCTCTCCTCACATACGAGATCTGCAAGCCTCTACACCCTGAGGTCCGTAGTCGCTGCGACTGGCTATGTATAGTTGGCACTCATGGCGACCTCGGAAACACGCTCAAGTGGGAGTCACCTTTCCCAGACATGCGAGACACTTTGAAGAAGTACACGAAGAAAGTGCTGAACGACGTCGTGTCTCTGGTGAATGCACCTCGGCGTACAGCGACGTACGATGTTCAGTCAGCATGGGATGCATTATGCGAGACTGCTGAGCCGTCCTCTGTCTTGAAGAACAAGAGACTACTGGCTGCGAGAGCAGAAGTCAATGATGAGGTCGAACGCTGTACTCACACTGCTCCAAAGTTCTCGCCCGACGGAAAGGTCGCGGTTTTCCGGATACGTAGCGAGGCGCAAGTACATCCGGTAGGTCGATCTCGTCCCAGGTCCTCTATGAATGACCACTGACTAAGTTGTCACTCCGCAGGTCATTGCCACACGCTGGGCTGGTCACCTCAACAGCAAAGCACTAGGAATTGTCATGGTGGCGAACGAAGGCTATCTGCCCAACAAAGTGAACTTCTCATGCCGTATACCTCGATGCGCGAGAGGTCGTGACCCGCCTATATCCATCATAGACGAGTTACGACATTATGCTAGCTTGACAGAAGATATTGGTGACGATCAAGATCAAGATATGAGGGCTGAAGCAAAGATTCCACTGCTGCGGCGCCTGGGCGACGACTTCGCCCGAGGTCATGTTCAAGCTTCAGGCGGCATCGTCAAAGTTGAAGAATTCGAGGAGTTGATTCGACTTATGAAGATCGGTGAGAAGTCAGCTATCCAGAAGGACAACAGTAGTCCAGCGAAAAAGAAGAAACCCGGCATTGACCCTGGACAGAAGAATACATTGACAAGCTATTTTGGAAAGCCCAAGGCTGTAAATGATAGTGCCGGATAAACGGATCATGGTCACTGGGAGTGTCGAGATTTTGCGCCGGACTGCTTCTCCTCCTCGTCATCCTCTGTGGATGCCAAGTCGCCACTTTCTCGGCCTGTGTTCACGGCATGGAAGGTAAAGTCAATCTCACCAACTAGATTTGTGACATGCCTGCGACATCGTCAGTGAATGGTCATCCTATCTCATGAGGCCACGACTTACTTCTTAAGCTTCGCGATATCTTCAGTCACCGCCTGAGCACAGACCTGTAGTACAGCAAAAGCACTATACTCTGGTTCAGCAATATGTCGCACCGATAGCAGATCTGGATCGAGGGAATGCAGCTGCTTCATGAATTGAAATGGCTGCGGCATGTCCAGATACGGTGGGAGAGGTTGTCCGTAGGTTATGCTAGACGAAAGCAGGGCCAAAAGCGAGGTAATGCGGTGAGACGTCGGGTTTATCCCCGATGCGATCTTCCTGAAGTCTTTGGACCATTGAGAAGGCTCGGTCGAGTCATCTCGGTGAATTGAGAAGGTATTGGAGGCATAGCTCATGAGCGCGGAGTACTGGAGTACACGCTGCGAGCAGGCAATAAGGCTATGATAAGGTTGTTAGCACTGTTCCGACAAGTGTCAAGGGAGGTACATGCTCACCCATCATACTCCTCTCGAGGGAAACGGCCACCAACCCGAAGCTGAAATTTCGAGAACTGCGCATTCATGTTGAGGTTGTTGAGCAACAAGACAGACTTCGAAAACACTGCATCGCGAGCCTTCTCCAGGTTGTAAGCATGTGAGCCTTTGGTCTTGGAGTTGCCATCAGCTCCCGTGACACGAGCGCGGACCGTTTCGTGGACGATGGAGTAGAAGTTCGAAAGCAAGTAAAGCGAAGCACCAAGATCTTTGCGCAACTCTGTTGTTTCAGAGACCGGGTATGGGAAGATCGTCCAGATGAAAGCAACTCCTAGCCCGCCCGCCACCGTAGCTAAGCGGTATGGTGCGAGCAAGTATGTCGCGTATGCGGGCTGGCCGTTGGAAATAGAGGCCTGCACACCAATCTTCTTCACCTGCAACTCGTAGCCGATGATCAGCACCGCAGTTACCAAGCTGAGCAAGGCAACCACGAGCAGCTTGGGAAACTTGAGAACGAAGTAGAAGGCAAGGAAGATCCATAGCCATAAGAAGACAATAACTCCAGCGGGCTTGCCATCAACGATATACCTGGCGGGATCTTGTTAGTATAGCAGTGCTGCCGATTTGTGGAGATGGCATCGCGACTTACCAGATAATGTAGGCACCAATCATCGCAATGGCTGTACCCAGTACCCGAAGTACAAAATTGAAGGTGCTTTGACCGGCAGTCCGCGACATGGAGATCGCCACCATGATCATAGCCCACAAGAGACGCTGCTGCAAGAAGAAAGCTTGAGTGGCTTCGAGGTAGCAAATGATCGCGATAGTCATGGTAGCACAGACGACACGAAAGCCGAATGCCGATGCATCACTGCGAAAGAATTGGGGTATCTTCCTGATGGTATCCCCGACACGTTCGAGAGTATTACGTGGCGGAAGGTGCTCAGGATCCTTCCTACGACCGAAGTCCTGGCCAAGAAAGATGGCTTCTGACCCTCCCGAGTCTGCTTCGGCCATGTAGTGACCATCGTTGCTCAGGTCCTCTCGTCCAAAGACAGAAACCAACCACTTGTACAGTGTTCGAGAGCCAGGGAAGATGAGTTTGTTGCGCTTCAGAGCTCCTTCTGCCTTACGTCTGTCGGCCCATAGCACGATCTCCAACGCAGCTCCACCAGCTCGCCATAACAGATACTCCAGATAGAGGATGAAAAAGAGCTGCCGTTGATATTGTTCGCGTTTCTGCTCGTCTTTGGCTTTGAAGCTGTCTGGCCTGACAAACGTCGTCTCGAAGTAGTCCTCTGGTACATGGATATTGTGAGCCTTACACCACTCTCCCAACGTCGCTTTCTTCGAATTATAAAAGTCATCAAGTTTACGCTTGTAGGCTTCCGCGAATCCCGGCGATCCAGGTGCTATCTGGTCCCCGCCGCTCTCCTCATCAGCTTTCTTCTTTGGAGGTTTAATCAGTTCCAGTGTAATAAGCACGTGCTGTACGGCGCCATCGACTTCTGCTGTCATGTGTGCGAATGGCTGGTGAAGTTGTTTCATGACAAAGTGGATATTCTCGAGATGATGGTCCTTCTTTTCCTGGTCTTGGGGGCTGCTGCCCTTATGACCCAAGTCGGAGTCGATGGCAAATCGCTGTATGAGGTCCATACTGGCGCTCAGGCCTATGCACGGCACGAAGAAAGCTTTCGACAATTTCCAGAGTTCCGTGAGATCATGTGATTCAAGTTTACCAAATGCGAACTCTCTTTTCGCAGGTGTGATGTCGCCGTGGAGTTTGGTATGGAGTTCTATCGTCTTACCTAGCAGCTCCTTAAGCTTCAGTGACGCTGGTGTCGACAGCGGATTGGTTGGTGGTTCAGACTTCGTCTTTCCATGGCGGTGCTTGTCTTTTTCGTTGATACTCTTCTCTTCTTTCTGCTTCTGCGCCTCGACAGGGTCGATCGTCTCCATGCTCTGCATATAGGCAGCCTGTGCCTTTAGCGAGCCGGTCAAACACATCAGATACCCAGTCACCTCCTTGAAGACGACAGTCCGCGAGCTGACTGGTATGATGAACAGACTGACTGCGGTGGCGATTGCGAAACCAGATAAGAATGCCCCTAACAATCGCTGCATGAAGCTGATCGCGGATGTCATGGTCGGAAACTGGGTGCCGTATGTCAAAGAGACGTTGACGAAGATCGAGTAAATACTATAGCCCGATTATCAGTATAGGTCATGAGAGGGACCTCGTGTTCTTATACTGACATAGCTGGAAACTGAAACTGTGGGCGCGAAGCACGCACATAATTTATCAGGTAGAGTTGGAAGCATAGCCAGACGGCACATACTGCGCTAGCGGAGGAGTTGTAGCCCTGAAGTGGCTTGCCTAAAGAGTTCAAAGTCAACCAACGTGCCTAGGGGGTGAAGTGAAATGGGAAGCTTACCATAAGGAATTGTGGTGTGAAATCTTGCTTGTGTAACAGTATATAGAGCTAGCAGATTCATTGCAGCTGCGAAACAAACGGCCACGATGTTAAGTGACATGGTCTGAATGCAAATGGAAGTCAGCTTGGTCTCGTCACCAAGGGTGGCATTGTGCGTCTCAGTGTGCTTCTCCACCTGTGTTTGACGACGACGGCGACGACGCTTTCAGCGGGCTATGCCTGGAATCGTCACCTACTTGTATAAACATTCCACGAGGCATGATAGCGAATCCAAGAATGCTCGTGATAGCGACGAGGTAACCGAGTGTTGAGTACTCGTTCGCCACGGCAGTCGACTGGTACATAGCTATAGCAATAGTTGGAGGTAGCGAGCCTTTGAGCATAAGCAACAAAGTCATTCGATCCAGTCCTATCTTCGTCCAGAGCTGTTTGATCTTAGAGGGCTGCTTCGGCAGTGCAGGCTGCTCGGATGGCCCGGCCATGTCATCCTTCGCAGGACCGCCCGTGGACGATTCCATCGTGGGAGATTCCCTACGTTCTGCCTCGTTCTCCATGTTGTTACGTCGTAAGAACTGTTGGGTTCCTCCTTGTCGCAGCGAGCCAAGCTGAGGTTCGGAACGTGCGCAGAAAGAAGGTTTGCATTAGATCCAGCATAAATGTTTCATCGTTTTATGTGCTCCGGTGCGTCTTTGCAGTCGTAGATTAAATCGCAAGAGCACATTCATGTATCCTTCTATACTTCATAGGTATGTTGCTAACGAATGCGAGCCGAGCTAGGTCGCAACATGTTGATAGGCTGTGCTCACAAAGCATTGTTGAAGGAGAACTCAATAATGTGGTCAAGCTCGCGCCTCAAACTCAATGTTCGTCAGATTCGGGGCCGAAGCATGATCGACATTTTAGATTCTCCCTATGCTGTGGATCATGAAGATTTCGAGGAAGGAGGAAGGAGGAAGCTCAAGCTAATGTTTTGTGAGAGCTGCGACTATTATCGACCATATGCGGCGACTTTGTACAAACAAGAACCCAATCAAATCGTGTTGATCTACCAGAACGCCTTCGCTAAAGCAAGCCTCTAAACCTAGAAGCTCGCGCGATAGAGTTCCAGCACTTGGAACATCTATGCCAATGTACTGATTGCCAATCCAACCAAAGCCATCATTGCCACACCAATAGAGGGGCCAAAGGACAGCGTGCCAGCAGAAGAAGTGTGAGCCACAGAGGCTACGACGAATTGTGGGCCACACTGAATGTCGATTTGTTGAGCAGCAGGAGTATAGTCCATACTCAGCGGCAGGCTCTTGTTGCCTGCGGCGTTGCCGAAGATGGTCATAGTCTGCTGGAGGCACGTATTGCACGCCGGACTGGTGCCTGCAGGGAGCTGCACACCAAGAGGGAGGTAGTAGATGTAGCTGCTAGTTGGTGCGGTCTTGTTTTGCACAGCGTTGGCGAAGCAGTAGTTCCCGTCAGAATCTGTCAAGCAACCCGCGTGGAATACTGGTTGATAGGCCAGAAGCCCATTATATGCTTGCATGACCGTTGGGTTCTGCATCTGGAGATCGCGCCCGCAGTGTGAAGTCAATTGAATGCTCTGTGCGAGCGATGCCATGACGGAGGCACACATTGTATAGTTGACGCTGCAGCTTGCATCGAGTGTCTGAGCTAGTCGAACGGGAGAAGTCTCGGCGGTGAAGAAACCGTTGGATGTCTGCAACATGAATTAGTCCTTGAAATGCAGTCAGGAATTTCGTTGCCATACCTGAAGAAGTAAAGAAAGTGGCGAGCACTGCTTGAAAGTGTCGTCGGTCAAAAAGCTTTGGAAGAATGCCGGACAACTGGGTGAGGTGAAGTTGTTCCCTATACTAGAGTCGAACGTGGTGGGTAGAACGTCCTGTGAAGTCGGCGACGCAGTACTGATTCCTGTTGCGGACGAAGCCGTCGAACCACCGAAAGTGGAAGATGCTTCCGTTATGCTTGGTGGTAACGTGCTGGTCGCTTGTGCTCGCTTGTGTAAGATCATAGGTGCGGGCGGCGCTTCGCTTCGATCGTAGACAAGCTCACTCCAATCCGCCATGTACTGTACATCGTTTTCCAAGATACTCGCATCAACAGCTCGACAGCAGCAGAAGATACTGATGATGAAGGCATAGAGTAGACCTTGGAATGTCATCCAGGAACGGGTTCCGGCATGCTTCTGATGATGCCCTCCACAGGCCCGACGCCACTTGCCACAATGAGGTCTGGAAGGGTTACACGATGGTCTGCACGACGAACTCCAACCAGGTTGCTGTTCTTCTTCACGCAACACAACATCCGCGGGAGGGGGGTACGCTAAGCTGCATGACGAGAACGAGCGCCGCCCGGGTGTCATCGCATCTCGTGTCAATAGAAGTGCAGCCGTTGCATGACAGGTTGCGCTGCGTCTAGTGGGCGTCGACTGCCACAACGCAGTGACAGTCGTTGCAGTGGCAATGATCTCAAGTCGTGGACGCCTTGTTGCCAGGTCGCAGAAATGTGTGTCGATCACCAGATTCTAGAACGTTTGTCCACAAGTATCCCTTGCGTGGTGGCGGCAGCAACGGGCCGAGTGCTGATCTCCTGGATGTCTTGGTATTTTGGTACGTCGATGGTTGGGACTTTCGCAAGTAAAGATAAGAACGGAGGATGCGCGATCAGCTCCATATATGAGCCGGTGTGCGAGAAGTCAAGAAGTCAACATGTGCATGTGCATGTGCCTACTTTCGCTATAGCCAGAACGGGTATCCGTGCCTTCATTATTATCGATTTTACTAGCGCAGAATCTTGGCCGCGTGTATGGCTGAATGTGGTGTGGTTGAGAGGGGCGGTGGCTTGCACACCATCAAAGAATGCCTGCAGCTCTGGGAATTGGAGATTGCGGTATTCGTCGACCGACATGGCGGCTGACCAACACGTTCATGCTGTCGGTACGGCTTGGTTCGCGTTCATGCTACGGAAGAGTAGGAAGCTTCATCTTGAAGCGTCAAAGACTATTTCCAGGTTGCGAGGATGGTCTTCCCGTCACAAGAAGATGGCGGCTTGCGCCAAGGGAAGAAGAACCTTCGATCCGGGTGAGGCTTCGGCCTACAGAAGCTACAGATCCGATATAGAACAGTGATTCGTGCAAAATTATTCCTCAAATCTCAGCCCACCTCTGCTTGAAAGTCCAATGACACTGGAATCTCCGAACACAACTCTCGAGCATCCAGAGCCCAGTCCGCATCCTCAAGTACAGGCTTACAGCAATATCGAGATGGCATCTCGTTGGTCCACTAGATGGAGGAGATCTCGCCAAGCTGTCCAGCTGAGAAGCAGCCAATAAAGCCACTCCCGCATTATATTGAGGCTAGTCATGCACGACATTGGAGACCATCGGCGATTTTGCTTAGATTGTCCGTTATGCTTACCTAGACAATATGGCAATCGCAGTCTGCCTCTCTTTCAGCCGGCGGGATTTTGATGGACGGACATGCGCTTGTACTTAGTTACGAGGGGATATCAGGAGCCTTGACCTTGACAGCTTTAAGGTCAACCTCCCAAAACAGGTCACATGCTCAGTATAGTGTTGAACGATCATCAGATGTCTTGTGGTACGTATTTGCCTGCGAGACCAGCGTCCGATACCCTTGCTATTGCTGCGACTAGCCCTGAGGGGAAACACCCCCTCCAGCTTGCGACGGCTGCCAAGGAGAGCAGTGGCGAGCTCACTCCGCTTACACTCTCTGCAAATGACCACAGGAATAGCCAGGCCAGATATTCATGCCTTGATCAAGCAGTGCACTACGAGATAAACCTACATCTGCAACACCTCCTTGACACCTAGCACTCGACGAGAAACACACATTGACTACCTGACAACGCCCCTCGTGAACCTCCCCGGTTGTCTCTCCTACCAATTCCATCGCACCCAATTCCGGTGCCGCCTCATTACACGCTACCTTCGCTCTGTATTTCCGCACAGCCCGTACACACCTATAGACCAAAGCGAGCGGGAGCAAAGCCACCGTCCCCATCACGAATAGTGTGGTAGCCAGCGCGCTGCTGGATGCGACATTCAGGTTGGAGTTATTCCAGATTGTGACGTTGTGAAGGAGCAAGGTGAGGGCGAGATGTCTGGCCGCATACAGGAAGGAGACCAGCCACGTGAGACGTGTGACTGACTTATGCTTCGGAGAGGATGGCTCCTTGATCGCAGGCTCTGCGAGGCTCGAGAGTTCGTCGTCCCGGGCTGGCGTGGTATTTGGCTTGTCGTGCAGGTCGGATCCCTCCCTATCGCTCTCGCTGGCCGAGGTGTCTATTACAGGCACCAAATCGTCGTTCGCCTCAATCGAAGCATTGTTCTCCTTCTTCCTCTTCCTCCTCTTCCTGAGAAGGTCCTGAAACTGCCTCTCCTCGCATGCCTTATCCGAGATATCGAAGTGCTCGCTCCACGACTGGCTGGAGAGAAGACAGCGCAGCAATAATGCCATGAGAGTAAACAGGAAGGCCAACCATACGATCTCGGGAAGAAGATAGAATGCTAGAATCCGACCGATGCCACCAACGATGTTGTACATGAGCTCAGCCCATTCTTGTAATGGTGTTGTAAAGGTGGTACTGATGTTACTGTCGCTACCGGGAGGGGCGCAGAGATGTTGGTTGGTGTGGTGAAGGGATCTATGGTCATCGTAGCTAAGGCCATCGGGTCCATCGTGGCGGGGTCCAGTGGCACGCCGTTGATTGTTATCGCGTCCATGCTTACTGTCCGCTAAAGATTCTGCCGTCGCTCAGAGGTGGAAAGCATTCTACTTATATGTTGTGCAAGCCTGGTATGCGCAGGTGTGGCACAGCCCGGACCCCTTGCTTGTCAGAACAGACTATTCCATCAACATATGAGACCAGAGGCATCATGGAATGGTAAGGGCACATTGTTCCTCCGTGGTTGTACCAATCTCGGATACACCGACAATTCTCATGTCAAGTGTTCTTCTACGTGCCTACTGACAGCAATCTCATCGCCCTCAAATGTGCCGCAGATTGGACACTTGGCAGTGGCTGAAGAGACATTCTCTGGTATTGGAGCTGTAGGAGTGCTCAGCTCAGCAGGAAAGTAATCTGCGAAAGAACGAGCAGGAGGTGCAGAAGGAAATTCTTCCTCATACAACCTAACATCGGTCTCCATCCTGAGGATCCTGTTGGTACGAGCAGCAGGCTGCTGAGAAGTAGTACCAGCAGGTGGAACGTCAGTCGTAGATGGTGCTGTACCAGCTGCGGCCATACGCTGCACTCTACCCACCCTCCCATCCTGTAGCCGCACTTTGATGCCTCGCGGATGATTGCCACGGGTAAGCAGGTCTTGAACGACACCTTGGACTTCGCGGCCAGTAGGCTGATCTGCCTTGAGAACTATCGAGACGCCTGCTCCAGGGATGACCTGCTGGATATTCGGCACATTGCCGCTCGGCCCTTGTGGTCGTGGTCGTGGTGCTCGTGCGGGACGGTCGTCATTCGTACGAGGTGGCCGAAGTTGATGGTTTCGCGGTCTGTTCATCTTGCTCATGGAGCGTATCGCTGTACGCATCAGTGATGTCTTCCTACACAACGTGGCAGTATTTCTGGAGTTGCGACTGCGAAAAGTGAAGGGTGGCGTTTCTGATGTGGCTGAGGGGTTTGCATGACTCAGGCTAACACGACGCTGCCGCATCACGAGACACTTTTTTATCGTCCTTGACTTACTTCATAACCTGTTCGCTCTACCACCACCATATCAACATGGCGCAAGTCATGCAATCGGCTGTGAGGCTGCCGTCGCCTGAGCCTGGTGATGCTACGTTACCAGCAGAAGTCTCTGGGAGTTCAGCACGCAAACGACCATCCACATCCCGCTCACCTTCACCACGCCGTGATGCTCCAGCGCTGCGACGGAGATCATACTCTCGCTCGCCACCACCACCTCCTCGAAATGGTCCTCTGCCGCGTGATGTCGACCGCTCACGAGCCATGGAACGAGCACGCCAACTCGAAATGCGACAGCGCGACGACGTGGAACCCGCCAAACCACTCACGGATGCTGAGAAGCAGGCTGCGGCCAAAGTAGAGTACGACAAATTGCTCAATATGCGTTCGGGCGGTACCTATATCCCTCCGGCCCGACTGAAGGCTCTCCAGGCGCAAATCACCGATAAGACCTCGAAGGAGTACCAGAGGATGGCTTGGGAGGCGCTCAAGAAGAGCATCAACGGTCTTATCAACAAAGTGAACGTCAGCAACATCAAGGACATCGTGCCAGAACTGTTCAACCAGAACTTGGTTCGTGGTCGAGGCCTATTCTGCAGGAGCATCATGAAGGCACAGGCTACCAGCTTACCCTTCACACCCATCTTGGCTGCTATGGTGGCGATCGTGAATACGAAGCTGCCACAGGTGGGCGAGCTGCTTATCAATCGCCTGATCATCCAGTTTCGAAAGGCTTTCAAGAGGAATGACAAGAGTGTGTGCGGTTCTGCTACAGCATTTATCGCACACTTGATAAATCAGCAGGTTGCGCATGAGATGCTCGCGGCGCAGATCCTGCTTCTACTCCTGCACAAACCTACAGATGATGGTGTGGAGATTGCGGTCGGACTTATGAAGGAGGTGGGACAGCATATTGAGGAGATGAACAGTCAGATTGCACTGGCGGTGTATGATCAGTTCCGAAGCATTCTGCACGAGGCAGACATCGATAAGAGGGTGCAGTACATGATCGAGGTTTTGTTCCAGATTCGCAAAGACAAGTACAAGGATCACTTGGCTGTGAGGGAGGAGTTAGATCTAGTGGAAGAGGAGGATCAGATCACACACCGACCCGGGCTGGATAATCAGATGACGACGGAGGATGGGCTGAATGTCTTCAAATTTGACACCGAGTACGAGGCGAACGAAGAGGCGTACCTCAAGCTCAGGGCTGAAATATTGGGTGAAGCGTCTGGTAGTGAGGACGAGGACGAGGACGACGAGGATGCAGAGGATGAGAGCAGCGATGAGGAAGAGGATGAGAAGGAGAAGGCCGTGGAGATCAAGGACCAGTCGAATACTGATCTCGTGAACTTGCGAAGATCGATCTATCTCACAATCATGTCCTCTGGAGGGTTTGAGGAAGCATGTCATAAACTCATGCGCATCAACCTACCTGCCGGCAAGGAGGAAGAGCTCCCGAGCATGATCATCGAGTGCTGCTCGCAGGAACGAACTTACAACAAATTCTTTGGCCTAATCGGCGAGCGCTTCTCAAAGCTCAATCGCATGTGGAAGGATCTATTTGAGCAGATGTTCACCAAGTACTACGAGACCATCCACCGGTACGAAACAAATCGTCTGCGTATCATTGCGCAGTTCTTTGGACACCTCTTAGCTAGCGACGCACTCAGCTGGGAAGTACTACAGGTCGTCAAGCTCAACGAAGAGGACACCACATCCTCCTCCCGTATCTTCATCAAGATTCTAATCGAAGATCTTGCGCAAGGTGTAGGTATGAAGAAGCTCACCGATCGACTTAGAGCAGACGAACTTCAGCCTGCACTCGCCGGCATGTTCCCGACAGACAACCCGAAGAACACTCGCTTCAGCATCAACTTCTTCACGGCTATTGGGATGGGTCAGCTTACAGAGGGTATGCGTGAGTGGCTCAAGAACATGCCGAAGCCAGCACCTGTTGCTTTGCCACCGGCACGCAGTCCTACGCCTAGCAGTAGGGAGCGAAGTGAGAGCGTGTCGAGCTATAGTAGCTACAGCAGCTACTCGAGCAGAGATGCTTCTCGTAGTCGGTCACCGCCAGGGAGAGAGGCGAGGGGCCGGAGTCTTAGCAGGACACCACCGAGACGCGACAGGAGTGCGAGCTACGATTCGCGATCACGATCGCCACCGAGACGCAGTGCCAGGAGTGCGAGCTACGATTCGAGATCACCACCACCGAAGCGTGGGACACAGGATCGTGATGATTCTCGGTCTCCGCCTCGCCAGAAAAGGTACTCTTCCATCTCACGCTCACCACCACTAAGACGACCGACGAACGGCAAAGCTCGCGCATTATCGGCCTCACGCTCTCCTACCCAGACACGAGGCCGTGCCACAACAGACTCCCGCTCGCCTCTGCCCCGAAAACGAGGTCGCTCATACTCTGCCAGTTCCTACGACTCCCGCTCACTATCTCGATCACGCTCGCCTCCGCCACGAAATACGCCAGCTACGCGCGACGACGGCCCGGCAAGGAAGCGGAGGAAGAATTCTAGTTCGCCCGAAAGGTCGAGATCGCCACCGCGGAGACAAGTGGAGGCCAAGGCTGAGGTGGAGGCGAAGAAGGATGAGAGTGAGGATTTGAGTCATATTCATCCGAGTAGACGGGGATTGATGGGCGGCGGAGGCGCAGGAGGAAGGGCCAGGGCTAGTGATTTTATGTGAGGCTGTTGGTAGATCGAGATGGGACGAAACCGGGTCATAGTGGGTGGAGGCGAACCGAGGAGGGGCTCAAATGTGAGAATAGAAGGAAACCTGCCGTTCTTCCCACTTGCTTCCACAGGATGTAGCTGAACCGTCTGAACCCAGTGCGCAATCAACTGGGGGAACAGTCGTGCAGCCTGAGCATTCATGTCTTGACTGCCATCGCCGTCGACACTTCCTTTAGGATTGTTAAAGCAAGCACTTGCTCTGGGCAGACGTTTCTTGTACAGTGAGTGCGTCACAAATGGACCCACGCTGCAATTCCAATTGTCTAGCAACAAGTGCCCCACAAGGCATATGAATGTTCACCGAAGGCACAGGCGACGATGGCTACAACACGGCCGACAATATCACTCTTGCCCACGCTCGGGATCTCCTCTACAGTATGCTTACACTGCCGAAAAGCAAGTGCAAGACTTGTGGCCGGATCCCAATTCGCTACCCTAATGTTACCGACGGTAGCAGTGGCTCCGGCGGCATCCTCAAGATCGATGTTACTTCGACGGATGTATGCACTGGAGATTGTACGGGTCCAAATTCGTTCTCGAGGACCACTGCTACGCCTTCAGCTTCGGCCTCGCTTTCTACTTTGCAGTCTGCAGCGATGCGCTATACGCTTCTCGGTGAATCGACTGGTCTGGGCCCGATTGTGGTCCTGGTCGCGGCTTGGCTGTTTGGGCTGGCTGTGTTCGCTCATGATTTGCCTTGTTAGGGGACAAGATCACCTCTGCTTTGAGAGCATTTGCCATGGGGATTGCAGTTGCCCACCTCAAGTGATTCAGGAGTTTGGTCACATTGGCTTCTCTCCAGCCACAGTAACGTCGCTTTAGAATCGACAGACACGGGAGTGAATGGTCGAAAGCAGGACACACATGAACCAGCAAGCGTGGTCAGACACATGCGCAGCAGGCCGTTTAGTTGTTTGCGTAGATCAAGACCTGTTACAGATTCCGAACAAGCCCTTTGATTGAGCATCCTCGCTTTCCCAGTCAGATTGAGATTTTCGTCCACAATGGCCTGCCCTCTACTGAGTCTGCCCCTGGAGCTCCGCTACGTGATCTACGAGCACATCTTTCCTGCTCGACATATCATAGCGCCAAAGACGCACAGCGCACGCTGTAAGGACTTCTTCTCACTACTACAAGCATGCCGACAAGTACACGATGAAACCGCAGAAGCATACTACGGTGCTGACACTTTCCAAATCACCGTCTCTTGAGCGCTGGATCGAGACCTACATGCTCGTGGGACTGTGAAGATTCAGGGCATGGCGGTATCTTGCAAGCAGATTCCTTCGACCCAGATCCTCAAGACTTTGTGCCATGTGAAGCACTTACGCATCCGCGTGCAGGCGCTCAATCACGAAAGTGCCATCTGCGAGGCCCAGACTGTGCTGTTTGCCTTGGTCAAGCGACTCACGATCGGTCATGCTCTGCGTACCCGGAAGTCGGCATCGATACTGCAACACCACCTTCGGGGTGGGACGCAATCAAGCCGCAGCATTTACCGCCGCATCGAGTGTTGGGGTTTCTCGTAGAGCCTATTCGACACCTAGAAGTTCAGGATTCTGACCAGCTACTGAAGCTTTCGTTCACTGGTGAGGAATTCAACCACTCGACGAACTGACGTCTGATATCCTTCACGAGGTTCAGCAGCAGCACGCGGTAAGACTGCTCGATGCTTGGATACGATACTTCTTCGTTCTGAAGCAGCTTCTGCAAATGTTAATCTGTGTCATGCCCTTACGCTTGGCTGATAGATTCAGCTCGGCCGAGATTGAGAAGTTCCTTCAGCATCTGGGGAATGCAAGAATCTGTGGCGATGTGCTTATGCTTGAGGTATGGCATCTAGTGGTTGTCACACGAGCGCGTTCCATAGCTGAGTCCAAGGATAGGAGGGTCAGAGGGCCGAGTGACATCCGAGCGAGGAAGCAGAAGTTGCTGGAGCGGGTGGGTGCACTTGAGGCTGCGCTCAGGGACGTGGTGGAAGCTGCTTTAGTTGATCGGGAGGCGAATGTGCTTGCTGGAGATCTGGATGTGGGTTGTGAGGGAGGAGATGAAGAGAGCGATAGACTGAGGGAAGAGAATTCCTGGCCTCGCAGGCGCCCAGCTAGCTTCTGATATCCTGTAGCTAGGGCGTCAGAACCTACGAAGTCCGTCCAGAAGCTCATTCCTTAATATCCTGCCATCCAGTGATCAAGAGCTCAACAGGCCGTATGCTGGATGCAACTAACAAAAACATGCTGCCCGTCAAAGATGTCTGCTAGCACACGCGCCCAATGCAGATATCTGCAAGGTTGCCGTCCAAGATGGCATGGCGTCTGTTCTGCTCCACCTGCCTCTTGAGCTCCGTCACATCATCTCGCAAAGGAAATCTTCCACTGGCACTGTCTGACTGTGGATGTGGTGGTTGAGGGTAGGTAAAAAGGCGACGCCACTGGCCCTGTGAAACTTATATCGCTGTTCCTACCATATTCCCACAGACCAGACTACATTTTGTTCCAGGAGCCTCGGCGAATGAGGTGGAACGTGGGTATCATGCTATTGTCCCAGCAAACCATTCAAGTAGTGTGTACACCATGTGCACCCAGAATCTGCAGAAGAACTAGCAGATGTTGGGGATGAGATGATACCTTCTCGTGGAAGGCGGTCGTGTCATCTCACGTTGCAGTGGCGTGCATTACACGTGCTGGAGAAGAATGGTCGAGATAATGATTCGTTGGGCAGCTGCTTTAGCCTACTTGCGATGCAGCAAGGGGAAGCACAATTCTAGTCAGCAACGTGGTCACACTGCCGATGCCGATAGGAAGAAGAAACTAGCGAGCTAGACAAGTCGATTGCTCCCTCATCATCACATGTATCTCGAGCTCCCCACGCATGTGGTGGTGCAGAAGGCTTGACTTGCCATACATCTTCCACGGTATAGTGTTTTGTGTGTGCACGACTCGTACTTCGTTTCACATTCCACGCTAGGCTGTTGACTGCCGCTTTCAAGAGGTGATCGGCTTTCACTTGCACAAAACTCCACCTCCCCACGCATCGGCTTCTCGGCGACCAAGACTCGAGACTCGATCGACTACTGGTGGCAGGATTTGTACCTCCAGCACGCATCTGGTGACTACGGAGAAATGAGCTAAGGCGTCGCAGATCCCCATACCACCCTACGATATATACTTCCTGAGATCGACCTGCTGCCCACCTACAGGACGAATAGGCTTTGTCCCGACGTAATCCATCCTGCGAACAGACCGCGGTGCAATTCCATCGACTGCAACGTTGTGCACAGTGCGTGAGACGCCGTTACCTTGTGTCACGCTAAGAAGCACGTGAAACCGGGACGAGGAAGCACACACTGTCTTTCCACCATCAGATCCATCGCACGACTAAACATTGCAAAGACCAGAACAGCGCCTCGTGAGCACAGCGTGTCAGACAGGGCCTTTGTGGAAGGAGGAAGCACCTCGTCTGTGTAAGCTCCCAGTAAAACCACTGCTACAAACCTTTCCAGCGTGGCTGCCACGCGAGACACCGCAAGACCGAAAGCTTATTGCGATTCGCAGAGAGACGAAACACAAACCCCCAAGCCACGCCCTACCTAAAATCCCTCCCCTACAACCCTGTCCTCGTGACTCGCACGCAGCACAAGGAGGTCATCGGCATCATGGTGGTGAGTTTTCCACTACCCTTTCCTTTGTCCCACCTACCACACTGCGGTGCCCCTTTCGTCCACCTGCAGCATTCACGGCCCCTTCACTACTTATTAGTCGCTGTCATCACTACCGATCATAACAAAGCCGAAGCACACTAGCTAGTAGCTCGTCATCAGCACTGCCAACTTCTACACTTTATCTTCATACTTACACCTCCGGGCATGCAGGCATCTCGCACCGAAGCACGCTTCAGCACATACTCCGGCGCACCGTCTCTGCAACCCTCACTGGCCGCCACACTCGATACACAGACTACATCTGCTCGATCATCACGACAGCCAGGCTCCGTCCGAAACAGTCAGCAGACTCAGTACTCCACGATGGGCGAAAAGGACAGCATGACCTACACCCACAACGACCCAGCTGCCATGGCGTCAACATCCACACTCAACTCCTCAGACCCAAAGACTCAAGACATCAAGAGCTGGTCCGGCACCCTGGAGCGCATGCAAGACGAGCGACTCGATAAGCAGCGCTACGTCATGAGCGGCAACAAGAGCGAAGAAGTCAGCAAGATCGCCCTAGGCGCCAAAGTCGAGAGAGCGCTCGCACGACGGATGACGGGCCAGGACGCCACGTTCACGCGCAAGAAGATGGTGGATAGTGAGAAGAGGAGTCTTGAGGTCGAGGCGAACTAGGAGAGTCTCGTTGGGATCGTGGGTGGGTGGACCTGGGGTGGTCAGTGAGTGGGAGTTGTTTGGTCGGTGAGCAGGAAAGGATAACGGTCACAACCTGGATATGCATACTTGAGATGGCGAGTAGTGGTGGCGCAAGCAATTCGGTTGGGCGTTGTGTGGTTATGGAGAGGCTGTATGACCAGGCTTACGTCTTTGTCTCCCTTCACCTGGCTTAGTTGCTGTGGGGGTTATTTCTTGTTGCAATTTCTTCAGTACATTATACCCCTAAAATCTGATTTATCACTGAAGCCCATTGATGGCATGAAATGGTGCGTTTGTGCGTCTCGAGTGTGTGGTGACGAGATGCGATAGGTGTGAAGTGTGGTGAGAGAGGGTGGCGAAGAGGTGAAGTTGGATCTGAACGCCGGGTCTTGACCGCACACTGTGATTCATGTACTGATACGGGCATCTACGAGTCTAGATCATGCAGAGCTCATGGTTCCAGGTCTAAACCTGGTCGAACCGTACGAAGCACAAGCCAGACGGGCTACGCTTTGGACTTCTGCAGTAGTAAGATGCCACTTACAGCTGTACATCACCACGATTGGAAACCATCAATGATTTGAGGACAACCCAACAGCGATTTCGTAATCATCTGACATCTACGACCGGGCATGATATTTCCTGTGCTCACCACATGTCGGACGATAGCAACACGAGAGATCCGCTATATGACCACCAGAAGCCATCATAAGACGGTAGACGGGTACAGTATGTGAGGCCCAGCATCGTTCGATACGATATGTGCATCACCTCGGATGCTGCCGAGGGATACAATGGTTGAGGATATACACATTCCTTTGCTAAGATTGCTCGCAACGCACCCCTGGTCTTGTTTACACTCTCTTCTGCGCGTCGCAAACAATCGCTGATTCAACCTCTTATCGCCTTACGTACCGTAGCGTGATCATCTAGTTCACAGTCGGTAGGGCATTGCTACACGGTCATGGCGCCCAAAGCGAAGAAGGACGCGAACCCGATACGCCGCTCGCCACGGAAGGCATTGCCAAGTGCTATGAAGGGGGATGCTGATGATACTCCCGAGGAGAGCGTTCCGCCTGCAAAGGCCGTGAAGAAGACACCCGCCAAGAAACCGAACAAGAGCGCAACAGCAAAGAAGGCCACCAGCCCAACCAAAGAGGACGTTACGACTACAAGGTCAGCCAGATCGAGTCCTGCTAAATCACCAGCACTTGCAAAGCGCGCTACGAAGAGTTCAGCGAGCAAGACTACCCGCGCAACCAAATCGCCTTCGCCATCAAAGGTGGTCAACGCATTTGCCAGGACGCCTAGTCCACGCAAAGCTGCAGGTACCAAGACGAAATCCACTACAACACGAAAGCGTGCAGTCACCGACGCAGCTTATATCGAGCATGGTGACGAGGATCAGGATGAGCCAGCGCTCAAGGCAAGAAGGATTCAGCGTATTGCGACTGATCCAGCTTATGTCCAGCACGAGGATGAAGATGATATGCTGGCACCCAAGACGAAAGGACGGTCCAAGAAGACTGTCGACATCGCCGAGACTATTGCGACAGACGAAGCTCACTCGAAGCCTCGTGGTCGTGGTCGTCCGAAGAAGACTGATGCTTTCGAGGCCACAGCTCCTGAGCACGATGATAACGACGATGTCATGGAGTCCATCGAAGCTCCTGCTCTGCCGAGACCGAGGAGCAGAAGCAAGAGCCAGAGCCCAGCTCGCGCACGGTCCGCAAGTCCAGCCAAGAGCCTGGCAAGGGCTCGATCAAAGAGTCCTGCGAAACGCGGCATTCCTGCCTTACAAGCACGCTCCCGCTCAGCTAGTCCAGCCAAGAGTTTGAGACAAGCTCGAGCACAAAGTCCAGTTAAAAGTGGGAATGTCGCCTCAAGACCAACCTCTCGCAGTCGCTCGGCAAGTCCAGCAAAGCTGAGTCGGAACCCGATACTCCACCAGGAATTTTTCGAATCTCTCGATCATGACCAGGACGAAGAAGGCACTGATCAAAGTGCTCCATACCTTGATGAGCATGACTTTGGCTCGCGCAATCATGCGAGTTCAGCCAGTCCTACAAAGTCTCGTGGCAGTGGTACCGAAGGCAGCATATCCGGCCGTGCGAGCTCGCCACGCAAGGGATCAGCGGCTTCAAATGCCAGTGGCGGTAAAGGAAGCCTTTCAGCTCGCGGTGGCTCATTACGCAAGAGTTCAGCGACCTCAAATGCCAGTATCGCAAGAGGAAGCGTCTCCAGGAGCGCGGGCTCTTCACGCAAAGGCTCTGCAGCTTCACAGTCGGGCAGTGCTAAAGGCCAATCATTGACAAAGAAGTCCAGGATCATTCAGCTCAAATCAGCTGTTGGCCTGGGCATCACTTCGCTCTTCGGTGATGGTGGGCCTGGCAGCGCTGGTCCTGGTCGTCGTAGTCCGGAGAAGAGCCCAGCAAGCTCGAGACGCCACAGCGCAGGCTCAGTGGCCAGTAGTCGTAGAGGATTGAAGTCCCCTACTGGGTCACCTTCCCGTATTAGGAGCGTACCAAATAGTAGTGCTGCTGATCTCGAGCGTGCCATGAGACTCATCGCCACTAGCGAAGAGCAAAGGACGAAAGACAACATTGGCGATGATCACCTTGTCCAGTTGCCAGGTGGGAAGCGGAAGAGGTCAATTTCACCTGCAAATGGAGCTCAGAAGCCTAAAAAGGCCGCTCAGCTCGGTCGTGAGAATGAGGAGTTTGACGATGGTGAAGCAGCAGGCAATGATGCTCTGGCCGCGGATGGCATCGATCTGGAGGATACGGATCGTGATTTTGAGGATTCGGATTGGGACTGGGACGCCCGTGATGCTATTGGGATGTCAGCTTGTAAGTTCACCACACCTGCTTCACTTTTTATATCCAAAGCTGCCCAGAAGGCAGCTGAGATCAGAGTGAAGGGTAAAATTAAGACCACACGGCGCTCAGACGAAGAGTATGCCCGAGGAGATATCCTGCAGTTCAACAACCAAAAGTATATCCGGAATATAGACGGCAGTGGCTTCCTTCCGAAGAAGAACCCTTTCCATGAGCTGATGCCAGCACCTGAGGTGTGGCACAGGCGTATGCCGAACGTCTTTCCATTTGGCGAGACGCCGTTTATGGAGAGGGAGAAGAGCAGACAGATCAACGAGGATCTTACGCGGAGTGAGTTCGACCTTCTTCGCGTTTAAACGTGCACCACCTAACAAACAATGTCGCAGGTCACGAACTAGAACCAGTACAAGCCGAATCAGCTCAACCTGAAGCAAGACCTGATACTCTGACCAGGCGGGTAAGTTCTTACCTAGGCACCATCTTCGGCAGTCGTGATCCAACACCATCTGCACCTACACCTGCTGCTCCTAGTGCAACGGAGAGACGCTTGCGTCCACTACCAGCACAACCGCCTTATAGGTCTCCTTGGACATTGGACCCTATTTCAGATGAGGATCTGAGGCTGGAGCTTGCGAAGATCAGGCGAGAGCGGAAGCAGAAGGACGATAGGCAGTTGGCGGAGCAGCTTGGGACAAAGCGTAAGTCGTCAGATGGTAGTGGAAGTGGACGTGGATCGAAGAGAGAGAGTTATACCATGAGTGGTGGGCTCGGACCTCGTGGCTGAGAAGATATAGGTGTCGTGATGGTGAATTCAATATTGAACGTAGTCTAGCACATGCAAGATATTTCGTAATACTTCATCATAATGCTCTTCCATTGTTCGACTGCTATCCTGACGTGTCACTAGCATCCGTACCAGGTTGGTATACATGTATTACTCACGCCAAACTCCAGGCTCTTTGCTGCAATGTAGCATATCCACCACACCTCGTAGACAGATGCGTCCCTGCTGCACGGAGTTGGACGACAAGAGGGGATCATCTGCTCGCTCCTCCGCTCGAGAACGACTGCCTGGGTAGCGCAGCTGCAGTGGTCCATACAGAAGGATCGTATGTGGGTCCAAGTGACACTACAACTGCAGTCGAACTCTCCTCGGGAATCATATCGATCGAAAAGTATGATCATATGCCCGGGAGTGGAAACGCGATGGTACACACCCCGGGGCGGTTATTGGTACAACAGCCAGACAGATCGCCGATGAGATCTTCAAAAAGATAACGCCGTTATCTTCCGAACGCACCACTCATGGCTTCTCCATAATCTGGCTTGCAATCTTACTCCTCGCCCTAATCTTCGGACCAAAGAACACAAGTACCCAGGGCACGACCGTGAGCAATGCAGCCAGACCACCAAGCAGACTACCCGCGCCCTCGAACGTCATGGCCCGGAACATCTGCGGCGTGAAGAGTGGAAAAGCACCAGCAAGCATATTTCGACAAAAGCTCTGAGCTGCTAAGGCCGAGCTAGCATAAATGTGGTAGCAATCCGCCAAATAGTTGAAGACGGCAAGATAAATGGAGAAGATACCCATTGTCGCACATCCAACGCCGATCGCAGGTACAATCCACGAAATAGACGAGAAAGATGTCCAGCCGAACCAAAAGCAGCCGATAGGTAATAGTGCAGACCAGATGCAAGCGAAGTAAAGACGGCCTTCAGGCGTATTGAGCACAGTGAGACGCTTCTCACTTAGGAACATGCGGGCCCACTTTTCCTGGTAGACACTTATGGCCGAGCTCAGTATGCCAGCCACGGCAGTAGCAGTGAAAACAGCGTTCGCTTGCTGCAGGTCGAATCCGTGATTGGTCTGGAAGACTAGCGGCACAGCGGAGAAGAGCAAGTAGAGCACGCCCCATGCAAAGCTCGCCCATAGACTGAAGAAGAAGACCACAGGTTCTGTCACCAGTAGATGGAAGGGCCGGTACAAGCTTACGCTGATCATCTTGCCGATGCTCGCACGCTCTTCATCAGACTTCACTTTCCAACGAATCCTTTGCGGCGCTGTGTGCTGCGAGCTCTTGGAAGTAGGCATCATCATACCGTAGTAGCCCTGCTCTTCAAGCTGAGTGTACCACTTATTAAGCACTTTTGCCTTGCGGGACAGTAACACGGAGCCACGAGTCTCCTTGAAGAATGCAGCGATGAGGATGATCATCAAACCATTCGTAATGACCTGGACCCAGAAGACCCATCGATACTCGAGATTCTGTGCGATGAAACCAGAGACGAGAGGTCCCAGGCCTGTACCAAGGATGGCACCCCCAGCAAATAGCGCCATAGCAGTGTTGCGGTCCTTGGCCGCGTAGATGTCGCTGACAACACCGCCAACCATAGTGCTGAAAGTACTACTGCAGCAGCCAACTAGGAATCGTGCCACGATCATGCCGGCGTAGGTTGGTGTCACGGCGCAGACCATTTGGAAGATCACCCATAGAACGCCTGTGATGACAAAGACTGGGCGGCGTCCTTGGATCTCGCTGAACGGTGCAAGAAACATGGGGGCTATTCCAAATCCCCAGGTAACTGACTATGGTCAGAGAGACTAACATAGATGATACACGTGGTTCGTCATCTCACTTACAGGTACCTATGCCCACCGAGATAGCAGTCTCGGATATATGCCATTTCTGCATCATCTGGCCCTCAGCGGGTGCATAAGCACCAGCTCCATACGCACACAGACACGTCGCGAGTACAGAAAGCCAAGTCAAGATCTGCTTCTGCCTTGCAGCCCACATGAAAGGTGACATGTACTTCTTTACATCCGGACATTCTGGCGGTGGTGATCGTGTGTCGTCATAGCTGCTTCGTGATAGATATGCTGGTGACGGCAGGTCCGTCTCGTGTGTCAGGTAATGCCATACTATCTCATCGTTGTCGCATCGTTGAATATCAAAAGCCAGACTGCTCGCAGAATCGACGTGGTGAGGTCGCTTCTCCTGCTCCTCCTTCTCAATGTCGGGATTCGAGGAGTCATTCTCCAGGTCCACTGGGTCAAGCGGCAGTTTCACTTCTGGATCTGCCATGTTGCGTAGGTGCTCACTGCATTACAGTCTAGGTTGTAGACCAGTAAATGTGGTCCAAGTTCGAGCAAGCGCGTATGATGACTCAAGGAAGGAGCGACCTGCACCCTTTAAGACTTCCCGCATCATGCTTGTGTCGTCAAGGGCGTGTTCTGCACGATTGCCGATCGCATTGAAGAGTGGATACCCGGTTAGCACCGCCAGTGTCCGAAAGCTTGACAGCAGTATTCCAGTGCTATTGCCGTGATGGTCATTGCTATTGATCGATCTTGATGTAGAGTCTTTGCGAGAATGCCGCGAACACGTCTTCCGGGCACATCAACTGTACAGTGTACCATGGTCACATGGCCTTTTCGTTTTGGGGTTTGAGGCTAGAATTGGGGCTATGGTCTGCTCGTCGTGATGGTGGTCGATATCATAAGCGGCGACATGCGGTTGATCGGCACAGAGTCGGCCGAGGATCGGACAAACATGCAGTCAGCACTCAAACAGAAGCCAGCATTGTTATAGCCAATTGGGTGGACGACATCCTTTTGCGCCACGCTTTGAATCCAAAGGCAATGATACCGTACGGTCTATGTTGGCATGACAGTCAAGTCCTGAGTCGACCCGCAGCGCAAGCAAAATCTGGTCCAACCGGTATACCATGCGGCTTGTAGATTATGGTCTTGCACCATCTTCCAGCATGCGACACGTACGACTCGTTCTTTCGCATTGCCGTATTGATATATGTGATTACGGCTGCCACCTAGTCGCTACAGCATCCATTCACCAACATGAAAGCACGACAAAACCCCGGCACGCACGTGACGGCGGGTAGGCAGGGATCATAGCGGGGCAACCGATGTCGCCATCGCAGCTTGGAAAAACATTATTGAAGTTTGGGTCGTTCACTGCTGAAAGAGGACTGAAGGATTACAAATTGTGCCACTTCTGCGGTTTCTGATTACAATACAAGTCTAAGAACAATACAACGGTGGAACCTCGAATCTCTGTCGCAGCACACAACATTCCTCACTCCCACAACCCACGCATCTACCATCACAATGTCTGGCGAACAAGCACCACGCCTGCGCCTGGGTAGCAAGGCTCCCAACTTCAAGGCCGAGACCACCGCTGGCCCCATCGACTTCCACGAGTTCATTGGCGACAAATGGGTCGTCCTCTTCTCTCACCCAGAGGACTACACACCAGTGTGCACCACTGAGCTCGGCGCCTTCGCCAAGCTCGAGCCTGAATTCACCAAGCGCAATGTCAAGCTCATTGGCCTGAGTGCCAACACTATCGACAGTCATGGTGGATGGATCAAGGACATCGATGAGATTTCTGGTAGCACTCTTCGTTTCCCGATCATTGGCGACAAGGAGAGGAAGGTTGCGTTTTCGTACGACATGTGAGTGCTACGGTACGATGGCGAGGTGGAAGCGTATACTGACGAAGGACAACAGGCTCGATCACCAGGACATCCAGAACGTCGACTCAAAAGGCATTGCTTTCACGATTCGCTCTGTCTTCATCATCGACCCCAATAAGACCATCCGCTTGATCCTTTCCTACCCTGCTTCCACTGGCCGCAACACCGCTGAGGTTCTCCGCGTGGTCGACTCTCTGCAGACTGGCGACAAGCACAAGATCACCACTCCTATCAACTGGGTAAGCAAGAGCTATACACATCAGTTACAGCTAGTCACGATTGCTGACATCTTCGTCCAATAGGTTCCAGGTGATGATGTGATCGTGCACCCCTCTGTCAAGACTGCCGACGCCGAGAAGATCTTCCCCAAGATGACCGTCGTCAAGCCCTACCTTCGCTTCACCCCTCTACCTCGCGAACAGACCAGCGCTGCCGTTTGACTGAATAATGGTGATAGAGCCCAAAGCTGGAGGGCCATGGCATTCCGAGAAGCATGGGAGAGCGAGTGGGGTCGATCAGTGACGGACACTGGGTATTAGAAAAGCATCCAGCAACGTATGATGAATTTATAATACCCTACATACTATGAATATCATATGGTATGGGTGGCGGCCCCTGGTAGTGTGTCAGGTTTCACTAGATCTCAAGCGCTACATCGCTGAATCCATGATCATCTAAGGCTGCCTGCTAGAGGAGCTGTTGTATGCTTCATCCGTTTGTGCCTGCGCCACCACAATCATGCACTGTGTCTTCGCTGGCCTGTGCATACTACCAGCAACGGCACAGAGTTTGTCATCGCCGTGCGTCTGCGAACCTCTGCAGCGTCCAAAGAACCGCTGCATTGTACCGGCGAACGATCAGGGGAATCAAGAGGGCCACTAGACGATGCGCGACTGCCGCGATTATTATGTCGGCGACTTAGATTCTGATTGGTCGCCAGGTCATGCACGGTGCGGTTGGACTAGGGCGGATATGCCCGCTGGCGATCACCGCACGCGTGGAAAACGACAACATGGACAGAAGAGGGGCGAGGTGTCTCTGCGATTGTGGTACTCATAGTATTACTGGGCTGAAGTTGACCAAGGTGAGTCGAAGTGCTTGCCAGAGCGGTCGGTGCTATTGCTATGCTCGGGATCCATGATGGCTGGCGAGTCGAGAAGGCACCCTGGTGAGGATCGGAAGCTCGTTCATGACCCGGCAGGCTGCATGTGATGCCGAAGCAGTTCCAGCTTTTGCTTGCGTTGCGCATGGCTTGGTCGAGCATGTCGTCCGAGCATGTTCTTCGGGCCGGATGGTCAATGGTATCGGGATCTTGGCAGCGGGTTGCCACCCATGAACGAGGCAGGAGCGAAGCAGGAGCTGGTTCCGCGTCCCTTGCAATACACTTCCTCACCTTCTTTGGCATCAATGATGAGATGTCGAGTTAGCCAGTGCAGAATCTATGCTAACATGTTCTCCTTCGGTGCAGGAGATACTGGCCAGGCGGCAAGGAGTTCTTTCAAGGCGGATAAAAAGTCGTTCAGCAAGTCCACGACCAGCTCAAGCAAGACTTCGCCACAGAAGGCCGATTCCGTGAAGACTGAAGTCGTCAAAGCAGCATCAACCCAATCATCTCCAACCAAGAAGTGGAGGCCTAGCAAGAAACACAAAAAGTCGCTTTCAGCCAAGGCCCTCGACGCTAACAAGCGGACACGGCTGAACTCCCTCCCGCATACCTCCCCAACTTCGCCAGTAGAGTCAAGCCCATACCACACTTCACTATCTGGAACTGAGGTGCGGAATACATCGCCACCTCCAGGAGTTTTCGAGCTCGCCGAGACTTCGCCAAGGGGCAAGAGTGCGACACGGCCTAAGCACATTCCAATCGTCATTCCTCAGTATGCTAGCGTAAATCCCGAGTCATTCGAGGCCAGATCTGGATCGATAAGCACTTTCCTATCCAGCGCGAGTAGCGACTCGCCTCTCACCACTGACTGGTCCTCCGCACCACCAGGATTCAGCTTGAGGTTCAACACTGCAGATAAGAACAAGCCGCGGCATGTTGAGATACAGATTCCGGACTGGGCACAACCTGTCTTGAAGCACTCCAGCACAGCGCCACGTCTGGCTTTCCGCCAATCCACCTTCACGGACCCATTCTCGGACGTAACCAGTCTGTCCTCCCCCGATATGTCTCGACCAACACCAGATACCAGTCGGACCAGCACCATGGATTCCAACTCTGCTCCTCCAAACCAGCTCTATGCTAACCAGCAAGGCCATGGCTCCAGGCAGCATTTGATTAGCGCGAACAGTAGCCACTCCAGTCTTGTAGGCTTGCGTGCTGAGTACGAATCTGCCTCTGAAGCAGAGTCAGGGCACGAAGACCAGAAGTCACATACACCCTCGCAGTCCGCGGGACCATCGCCTGCACCTGATCAGGCTTCGACACAGACGACGCCGAGTGGTAGTAATACTGCACATCTATCTGGTCTGGTGTGCAACGTTCATAGGACTACCGGTAAGGAGCCACATCCGCTCGTGGGGGCTACGACTACTATTCTCGGCGACAGACTGTACGTCTTTGGAGGACGAAGATTATCTCGAACGAAGCCACAGTTGACTGCGAGTCTCTACGAGCTTGACCTTGTTCGCCGCCACTGGACGAAACTAGACGTCCGAGGTGATATACCTCCTCCCCGCTACTTCCACAGCGTCTGTGCCCTTGGGGACACGAAGCTAGTATGCTATGGTGGTATGTCGCCTGCACCTCCTACAGAGCTCACGCCCGAGGGCCAGTCCGAAGTCATCGTAATGTCCGACATCCATCTCTATGATGTTAATACAAGAACATGGACCAAACTGAACACCGTGGAGTCACCCCAAGGCCGATATGCTCACTGTGCCGCTATACTGCCATCTTCGGCCGTATTCGCATCCTCAAACGCACCGTTGTCTGCTGTCCATCACAACCCAGCTGGAAGCGAGCCTAACCAAGGCACGATTGGCGTGAACATTGACAGTGCTGGTGGTGCTGAGATGATCGTGGTTGGGGGGCAGGACAGTGCAAACCATTACATCGAGCAAGTCAGTATATTCAATCTTCGCAGCTTAAAGTGGACTGGCACCACAGGCATGGGCCGTAGCTGTGGCGCATATAGAAGTGTCGTCACTCCGCTTACGACTATGAGTGCATCTCAGATAGGTGCAGGACCACATGCCATTGCTGATGAAGACGACGAGGATGAGCCAGATACTATTGGCTCTGGCGCACCTATGCTCATCTACTCGAATTACAACTTTCTGGACGTGAAGCTGGAGCTGCAAGTCCGATTGACGGATGGCACCTTGACGGAGAAACCAATGCAGACTGGTGTATCGCCACCAGGCTTGCGCTTTCCGAACGGAGGCATCATTGACAATCATTTCGTGGTGTCTGGCACTTTTCTCACTTCCTCGAAGCAAGAGTATGCACTGTGGGCACTAGACCTGCGAACTTTATCATGGAGTCGGATTGATGCTGGTGGTAGCGTCTTCAGCCAAGGAAGCTGGAATAGAGGTATCTTATGGAACAGACGAAACTCTTTCGTCATCTTGGGTAATCGTAAGAGGAGCCTGGTAGACGACTATAACAACCGGCGCATTAACTTCTCTAATATATGTATTGTCGAGCTTGAGGCTTTCGGGCTGTACGACAATGCCCGTAACGTTGAGCCGACCTCGGACTTCATGTCAGCTTCCGCCACACTACCTACTCCCAATACTGAGCCTTCTACATCTGGCAGACAGCTCTTTGTGGCTGCTGAGGAGCTTGGTACTTTGTCAATGAATTTGCGTGAGTTGGCTGATATGGACTTCCTCGCGATCGATGGCACTCGCATACCAGTCAGCAGCAGGCTCATGGCACGCCGATGGGGCCAGCACTTTACAACTCTGCTCAGAGAATCTCTTGTGTCAGCATCCGAGACTGACACTGCCACTTTGCGACCAACCATCGGAAGTCATCCTTCACGCAACTCGAGTATCACGATCACACCCTCTGTGACGTCTGGTATGTCCGGAGCCACGACGTTGACGAACAACACTGTACCCGAGATACCTGATACACGCTCCGCGCCACCCTCTACCAGACCCAGATTGTTCTATCTCCCGCATACCGCGCCAACATTACATGCTTTGCTTCACTATCTATACACATCTACACTACCATCACCGCCTTCAGCCTTGGCTACACCTCAAATTCTGTGCTCTCTACTGCAGCTAGCTCGACCATATAGGATTGACGGCTTGCTTGAAGCTGTTGTGCAGCGTCTACACGAATGCCTTGATGGCCGCAACGCTGCCGCTATCTTCAATGCCGCAGCGATGGCAGCGGGGGGTGGTGAAGGTGTACAATTTGCTTCTGGTCTTCCTGCAGCAAGAGACAGCGTAGTACCACTGCGCGGTGCTAGCCTAGCGAATCTCGATAGTTCTGGAATCAATGGACTATCCCGTCATGCGGCAAGCCTGCGGATCGATACTGATATGGCGAATGGACGAAGCACACGAAGCACCTTGCGTGCCGCTGACGAGCATGATGAGGACCAAGATGTACCGGACAGTGCTACGACAGACGCGAGCATGAGCGAAAGTGAAGCTAGCTTGAGTGCGAGAAGCTTGACTGCTGGGGCCGGTAGGGATGGTGACTTATGGACTGGCGCACTTAGCTCAGTTGTAGGACTTCAGAAACGAGGTCTGAGAGGGCTTATGGAGGGTAGGAGAATAAGAGAACGTGGTAGGAATGATGGTCTGCCTGAGGGTAGCAGGGTGGGTCTAGGGATTGCATAAGGTCATGAGATTCGATGGAGTGGGCGGTTGGAAGCTTTTAAGCTCTGAGCATCTATCTTGTGGCTTACTCTAGAATATGCATAGTGCATTTGCTGGCGACGCGACACCGCCGGGAATGTTCAGGGGCGCTGAAGTAAAGAAGAATGACTAGCGTCTCTGCTCTTCACAGACCACTGCTAGGCGTTCCAGGTCCCATATCTCGCCAATTGGTGATCCCAACATGGCGAGTTGATATTGGTGGATTTCCCAGTCGGGGTTGAAAGGCCATTGCTGGACCTGGTCAGTGTCTTGTTGCTCCCGGTTCAGGCGTCGACTTACCTCCCATGAGATTGAGTCACCAGCGACAGCAGCGAAATGATGATTCCACAACCACTCTACCGTCTTCGGACTTCCCTCCACGCCAGTCCATTCAAGCTTCCAAAAGTCGGCATTCGCAATCTTGCTATCTCGCTCCTCCTGGCTGGCTGCCTCACACCACTTCGTGAAACCTGAACGAACGATGAGGATATCAGCGGGTTTGAGCTCGACTCCCTGGTCCTCGGCCATCTCGTCCAGCGCATCGACGCTGATCTCATGACGGGGTCATGACATCGTATCTGATGCCTTGTTTCTCTGCATACCTGACGTAGTCGAGAAGGACGCCACGACCGACTACCCCGCCTCGGTCATTCCAATGGTGAATGCCATTGTCCAGGGACGTCGGAACATCAGCATGTTTGAGGCCGTTGTAGTAGCAGCCTGAAGCACTGTGGCCATAGTGCTTGTAGCCATCGAATTGAGACTACTCTGGGTGTTGATGTGGATCTCATCATTGCGGACACAGTTAGTGTCGGAGCTCAGGTCGATGAAACTGTGGATAGTCTTCCTGCGATTGAATCCAGGATTGTATGGCTTGTTCAGATCCCAGTTCACTGATACGCTGATCCCGGACTTAATTTCTTCCTTGGCAGCTACCACAACCTCTGGTTCCAGCAGGTTGAGCGTTCCGAGGCTATCACGTTGACCGCCTTGATCAAATAATCCCCAAGCGCACCCTGGGAAATTTGCTCACTGGTGCAGGTGTATCAGAAGTGAAGTGCCTTACCATGTGGCATGCACTTGACAGTCGGCATGGACTTGAGGTCCGGGAGAGCGGAGGCTTTCATATTGCACAGCGGCTGTCGAGAAGACGCCTCGGTTTGATTATGTTTTTAGCCTTTGTGGTGAACAAAAACCATCATCTGTGCCCAAAGTACGTACTACACCTGAGATACTGTGCGTCAAGCAGACCCCGCCATATTGATTGATGGACCCACTCATAATTGCCGAGTTCCGGACGACCAAGTCGACTGTATGAGTGCTTCTGTGGTGAGCGCACAGCATTCGAGTCGGAGCCGCGCGACGACAGTCAAAGGGTATAATCGATATCAGATCATGGACTCCTCATGACCGAAGTCTTCACCCGGGATAATTGGGCCGCCTTGACGCTTGAGACCGCTGTTGAGAATGGAGAGAAATGCCGCAGCAAGGGAAATGTTGGAGGAGTTTGTTGTCTTTGCACATAGATTGACGTATTGAAGCTGTGCGGCCAGCTAGTCCCTAGCATGCTTTCTTGAGACAGCATTGACATATCGAGACATACTCCGAGGCGGACGTAGAGGACGAAGCGTTCCTGCGCCATCGTCAACTCATGACGACTGGTTTGTGTCAGAAAGTGAAAAGATAAGCTGCTTTGGCTGGAGGCAGCGAAACCGCGGGAATAATGGCGGAGCAACACAAGTTGTGGCCTCGGGGATTGCTGGGCGACCGCACCATCTCTGACAGACGCTTGTGGTGGCGACTACAAGGTTTGTGTTGTCTTCCTCTCTTGTATCGACTCGTAGTCGATCGACGCCCGTTTGGATCATGACTGATGTAGAACACTTCCAGTGCTTGGCATACGGTACGTCGTGAATCATGACATTCACAGCTGTCCGATCGAGTCAGGAATTGATTGCGGCACCATCGAGTCACGGTCAATGCGATGCAATTTTGAACGTAGTCGCCGCGTGGGGGTCAAAGTATGGTTTTGTATACCTTACCACTGCCTGGTTCGGAGGAGTTGCACGGCTGTACAAGACCTCCGACCAGTGGTGGTTGTAGTGTTCGTATGCAGAAGCGCTCTGACCACCAGATCTAGATATGACCTTGTAGGCAGACATCTGTAAATGCTTCAAGCTCCAGTATTGCACTCCTCGAGTGGACAGTGGTGACGTTCCTGAGTCCAAGTAAAGGCTGCTGGTCCTATGAAGGCTTGCCATGTGGCTCGTGGTCGTCGCTGCAATCGTAGTGGACGCCAGCAGGTTCCGAAGCTTCCACGCTTGTGAGATCTACCTTGATCTTCATATCTTCAGACCTCGCGTCTCCCCGACAGTGTGTGCCCCACAGCGTCTCGCACAGACATACAGTATATTTGTTCAGATTACGCGCTCATGATGGAGCACTCATTGGTGGCGAATGCCAGCGAGTTAATGGCCACGAGATGTCTCGGCAGGCTATGATGTGGGAGTAAAGTGTACAAAGCCCCGTAGGTTGTCAGTCTCTCTCGGCGAGTCCGGGAGGTGGATCCATAGCCGGTCGGCAAGTCCACGAAGTCGAATGTACAGACATTCCGAACTGCCATTGACGCAAGATTTGCAGCAGCGGGCGTCTGTCCGGTAGCCATTCCACGTGGCGAGCTTCGAACACGGAGAACGGTCCGCCTCCAACGGAGACCGGACCCGTCTTGCTGTTTAATACAGTAAATACCTACATTCACTGTACATAGATATTCAGATTAACACATGGATTGTCAAGTTCTACACCTACCTTGGTCGTATACTTCCCTGCTGCGCCACTCCCCTGCTGCAGGCATGTTGAATTGATAGTCACCAAGTCTTACCTATAGGATACGTCTGATCATCTTCGCTCGGAGTCGATGCTCTCATTTCTAGGCTTCCTCTAGACGGTTCACAGGCACGAATTGACACCGTACGATGCTGAGGCCATCACTCTTGGCCACCATTCTTGCACCTGTTCCCACGCTCTCTAGCATGGCAAAAGCTGGCTCGCCAGTGCGTGGCGGCCATCGAGGTCGATGATGTAGAGCAGCACAGAGGCAACAGTGAGTGTGATGTGAAGTGACAGCGTGAAGGCCTTGTGCGCAAGCCAGCGGGGGTGGTGAGTGGTCCGAGGGGTGCCGGCGAGTGCTCCGAAGCCGCGTAGCCTGAGTTCTAGGCTAGGAGGGGCGGTATACCGTATATGGAGTGGCTTGACCATCAGCATCAGCAGCACCAACCGAGCGCCACGCAAGACCCAATATTAATTCTAAAGCATGCCCCTGCATGTCATGCATTGCTCGGAGTAACGTCCGACGCATCAGACTACCTTAGACACCTCCTCCGAGTCTCCAGACCGAGAGCGTACGAGCTTTGAGTTCTTCAGCACTGCAGACCTGTCCATTCCCGTAACCGAATGCGGCAAGCGAAGATCGATGTAAGCTGGCACTCGCACTGTCATTGACAGAGCGCCCGTACTGGCTCGTGGTCAATTGAAGTCCGCACTACTCCCACGTACAAGCCAGACGGCGAAGGTGCCCACTACCGCCATGTCTGCTACGATGGCAATCCGGACCTTGCAGTATGTATGCATAGCCTCACGATACGACGGAAGGCGTTACGTAGCTTCGGCAAAGTATGCAGAACCCTAGCGCTCGCCACTCTGGTAGGTTGTCTTGCGGCCTGGTTAGGTGTGGGTCGCAGTATCTGCGTGCTCAGGCACTGATATATTTCTTATTTCGTCCACCTGGCGCATTGCATAGCGCTTGGATCACGTCTCTTCAACCACTACAGTACCTGACATCATCGCGATCCTTCCTCGCCTTCCCCAGCCTCTGCCCAACGCTATCCTCACTTCAGACTTTACCGGGCACCAATCCTGATTCTGAACACGTCTGCTTTCTGGCAATGCAGTCGAGTGACAGGACATACCAATTCATATCAGATCCAACGCACAAGGAGAATCTATCCGGACGGGTGACTGCAGCATGCGTAAGTGCGAGAGACTGAAACCCTCTGTGACATCTCCTCGGATTCGCACTAACACCTTCGCCAGCTGAATTGCCGCAAGAAGAAGATCAAATGTAGCGGCGAGGAGAGCTGCAAGCAATGCAACGAGAAAGGGCTCGTGTGCGAGGTGAGAAGTTGCGTCTCGAGCTCGGCCTGTACAAAGCTGATGAGATCGGATCTAGGGCCCGCCGTCACGTAAGAGACCCCGACGAGACAGTGGACCACCCAGCAACGTCTCGAGCTCGCTAGCCAGCACGAAGGCCCACAACCCATCATTCGAGATTTCTGCCCGTGAACAACGCAGGCCATCCATCCCTCTGCAGCATGAAGACTCCGGCTACTCAAGCCTCAGGCGATCCACTCCAACGAGCCACTCGCCTGACTTTCCAAACGCGCCTGAGCAAGAAGAGCCACCGCGTGCCTTTGAATCAGCCGCAACAATAACGCGGGGGACGCCGGGTTACCGTACAACACCGCCGAGCCGTTCCCACAGCGTTACTGCACCAACGGTCGCGCAATTCACATTCAGCGCCGACTACAATACACACTGGGATGGAACGAAGGCTTCCTCTGCCGGTGCAATGCCCACCGAGTGGGGTTTCGCTCAGCCACGGCTTGATTCGCGAGTACACGCCCACTCGCAGAGCAACGCTTTCACCTCAACCCGGTCGAATTCATCACGTGGCCATTCGATTTCGGACTCCAGGACAGGCATGCCAACAAGAACGACCGGAGCAACCCAAGGATCCGATTTATGGCCTGTTCAACAGCATGCTCATATGCCGCAGAGCGACTTGATCAATGCCGCAATGGCTCTGGAAGAAGAAGCGAGGATACTACGACACTTGGCGCTCCAAGAAAAGAACCATGTACCTGAACAACAAGCTGGCGATCAACAAAATCTTCTTGTTCAGTCACCACTCGTCGATCCCTCTCAGCAATTCGATCCCACAACTTTCTTCCGCGCAGACGGCACAATGCGAGACGATCTCACCCCAGTGATGGGCGGACAAGTCGCGAATTGGTGGAATCTATCAGGGCAGAATCAGCAGCCTTTGTATGATCATGCTCTGGATGGTACTATCCCAAACTTTGCGCTGTCCATCAACACAAATCAGTTGCCAGGGGAAATTCCGGGTGGCGTAGATGATAGCTCACCTTCAGCGACGTCTGGGAAAGCACCAGGTCGAATGCAGCGAGCTTTCCAGGGTCAGCTTGATCCGAGGACGGAGGGAGGCAGTTTGGGGTAGGAAGAGCGAATCACCATACGACTCAGAAGGCATTCAACGATGATTGTTAGAACGATGCGATTAAGGGCCAAGTTCATATCGGCCCTGCTATGAAGGCATGGGATGTTATCTGCCGTGTGCGTGCCTGGTGTCGGGCCGACCAGAAGCACACGATTGAGTGGCAAACCTAGTGGTGCGATAATCAGCTCAAGACCAGCCTTTGCACATAATACATTCGTTTTGGATGCTGTGTGTCTCACTTCTGACGCTTTTCGTGGCAATTACTTTCGACATGCTGCATGACGGATGATTTGAAGTGGTCGCAACGACTTGTAGCCATTTGCAAGGTGGCATGGCGTGAGCGAGTCACCAGCCAAAACGGCGGTTGAACGAGCGGTACAGATGTCTGCCGTACTGGCCGCCAATCGAGTCGGAACGAGTCTGATACTGCCGCTATGCAACTCTCTTCTCCCACTTGGCGTCAACTTAGAATCATCGCAATGCTAATGAGCAGGAGACGATAGTGAATCCGGAGTCAAAGACCGACCGTAAAGAACACCAAGATACGTGCAACGATCAGATGGAAGCGCCCTCCTTAGCGGGAGCAACGACCGGCTCCGATGAACCTAGATCAGATCTGAGAATGCACATCATGCAGGGCTGCAAGGGATCGTTCGTGCCGGAAGCTAGATCTGGGCTGCATGGCCAATTGAGCCTGTGTGCGTGTATACGGCCATAATGTGGTTGGGGCGGAGCCCTTGGAAGTTCCTTGTAGATGCGGATGTTGACTGCCGAGCCACGCATGGGTGTGGTGGGTTATTGCATGTCGTACATCGAACATCGAGTACTGGACATCGAGATGGGCTCTGGTAGGTCGCGGCTCCTCCGAAGGTTCTCATCCGCTCCCGAGTCCTAGAGTGACACTTGCTGCTGGGACTGCACCTCAAAAGTCGCCATCACGCCAAGATGATCAGTAATCCATGGCTTTTCGAAACCAAGCTTCACGATTGCCTCTCGTTCCCTCTCATCCTCAACCTCGACATCCTGGCCAAACCTACCGAATGACGTACATTTCACGCCTCCACAATAGAAGACCTTGTCCATTCGTGTCGTCCCGAACCGCATGCGTTGCGCTGTTGCGGCTTGCTGTCCCCAGGTATGGCCGTTCTCGGCATCGTCTTCAGAGCCTCCCATCTTAAGGTATGCGTCTTGAAGGTTGTTGTCTGTGTGAAGATGCTTGTCGAAGTCTTGGATTGCGTTCAGGTCGCCGGCAAGTATGGCCCCCTGGACGTCTGGAGAGTGCATATACTCTGCACACAAAGCAATTTGTGGTGGACGGAACGCTGGCTCGTTGGCAAGTGATTCGGCGTGAGTGTTGCAGAACCTGATCGGCTTTCCGGCTCCAAAGGCGACGTCGATGAAGAGGCCATCACGCTCCATGTTGGATTTTGAGTAGTGCACTCTGAAGCATGACTGTATGGGAAGGCGTCTGTCTATCAGTGTGGTCGTTCCATAATGGCCAGACTGCCAGTATGTGTTGTCTAGATCTGTGATCGCAAAGGTCTTCTGGACCCATGGATCGGTTGCCATAAGTCTGAGGTCTGATTCCACACACTCATTGAGATAGATGATTGTAACAGCAGACGATGGCTGCTTGGCTATTATGCTCTCCAGGTGACGAAGACCTGCTCGCATTCTTGAGTCCGGGTACGGTAGCATGAAGTCAACATTCCAGCTGTAAAGTGCGATCGATTCTGGTGCGTTTTGGTTGGTCTGCATCGGGTCCCGTGTTACTTGCTGCCACTTCGTTTCGTTCCAGCTATAGCATGGTTGAGCAGCTGGCTGGTCGAGCTCCCAGGGTACAGCGGACTTCGTGTTCTGGTTTACGATTCGAATGGAATCTTTCACCAACTCGTCCATGATTTCACTCCTACCAAGAATTCCTCGATTGTCTGACAGACGCTGAATCGACACAAGAGTTTCTAGAACCTAGATGCGTGGTTTCCCAACACCGCAGTTGAAGTGATGTGTCACAGAAGGCCCTTTGACTGTACAGTTGCCGCTCGGAGTTCACCTAGGCTTTCGTAGTGATCGCGGAAGTAGTCAGATGGCTGAAGTATAGCTGGAGTCGACGTCGGTAGCAGGCTGATTACAGATGATGGGCCGTGCTGAAGCTAAATTTAGTGCCCTCCTTCTGGCTACTGTACGAGCACTGCATTTTCCAACATCTCGCGGGAGGTCACTCCGATCCCACCGCATCGCACCCTCCATTGTATATCAGCGCATACAGCTCGGTGTTAGACGGAGGTCTTGTCGCTGTTCGCCACCATGCCAGCCACGGGATGCAGATCTGCGGGAGCATTACCGCAAACAGTAGATGAGGCCTTCGTAAAGGCACTGCCAAAAGCCGAACTCCATGCTCATCTTTCCGGCAGCGTCAGTATGAAGACACTGCATGGAATGTGGTCACGGAAGAGAGCGAGTGGCCGATGCCTGAAGCTCCTCGATCCACTACAAGCGATGCTATCAATCGCCGAATCTGTGGATATCATCTCCTTCTTTCCTCTCTTCGATCAGTATATCTATCAGCTTCTTGATGATATCGAGTCTGTGCAGGAAGCCACCAGGAGCGTGATCCGAGACTTCGCTACTGATGGCGTCAAGTATCTGGAGCTACGGACCACGCCAAGAGAGCATGCGCAAACTGGGATGACCAAGGCTTCATACGTTCACGCCGTGCATGAGGTAATCCAAACCCACAACAATTCTTACGATGTCGTTTGCGAACAGAGTCACGACATCAAGGTCTATCTGATTCTGTCTATCGACCGCAAGATGACACTGGAGCAAGCGAACGAAGTACTGGATCTAGCCATGACACTTCGAACAGGATGTGTGGTAGGCATTGACTTGTCCGGTAATCCTGCCCGAGGAGACGTAGAAACGTTCACGCCCGTCTTCCGTCGTGCCAAAACAGAGGGTCTCCATATCACTGTACACTTCGCAGAGGTACTTGCATCTGCCACTCAACGCGAGCTAGAAGTAATCCTCTCGTGGGAGCCTGATCGATTGGGACATGTTATCTGCACCTCGGAGGACGTGGAGAGGACTATAAAGGAGCGTAGGACCGGGCTTGAGCTTTGCCTCTCGTGTAATGTACTGGCTAAGATGACTGAAGGCAGCATCGCCGATCATCACTTCCGCAAGTGGCGCATGACTTCCTGCCCTATCGCTCTATCTGTATGTTCAATGATGCACATCATATTTCTCATGCTGATCTTGTATAGACGGACGACGTCGGCATCTTCCAGAGTCCTTTGTCGAACGAGTATTTGTAGGGTCTTCATCCCCAGACGAGTAAGCACTGCTGATCGCTCTCACCAGGCTTGCCGCTCAGCACTTTGAGCTTGGGCCGCAGGATCTTGTCGCTCTGAGTAAAAGTGCGGCCAGCATTGCCTTCGGCGACAGCCAGTCACTACGAGCAAGTCTGAAAACTTTTGAAACCTACTTCCAGGCCCAAGGATACGGTTGCTAGCACACATGTACAGGGAGACTTTGCCGCAGTCACTACGACTTATTGCTCGACCTTCACTATGGCGCTGTGGTGACCATAAGTCTTGACAACGGGCAGCATGCTGCACATACTTATGATTTGACAGGCTCTGAATTTATCATCATCAGCGAGCTTACCTGATGTAAGGTTCTTACCCACACCAGCATGACCTACACACCAACGCCATCGCCTGATAATCCTTTTCATCCATCAAAGGAATGGATATGTAAAGGGCTACCGCCACCGGAAGCTACTCATCAGACCTTCTGCTCTTTGCAGATCAACGAAAGGCCGAAGCTGAAGAAGCACAACCAATACATTTCCGATCAGCATTTCTCATATTGTGGTCCTATGCCCTCACATCTACCTCCAGAGCCACGCAAGGGCCGTGCTCGAGGCTCAACTATCCATCTGAAACCTCCTCTGCCACCAGGCAAGACTCTTGGCTATCATGGCCGTCCATTCGAGCCAGTACATGGAGACTTTGGGTGTGGGATATACAAGCCACGTGATCAATCGGAAGGAGAAGTGGATTTCTGGCCGATGGACGAGGAAGCATGGCATCGTGCTGTCAAGCAAGCACATACATTCAGGAAGGATGGGAGTGAAAAAGCACGTCATGCTTCGCTCGATCTTACGTTACCACCCGAGCCACTGAGTCGCCCCATGCTGAGCCGTGGTGCAAGCTCCGACGGTCGGCTGGAAACGCGACTCCAGAAGCCAGGCTTCGTGCCCTATCGACCCCCGCTTCCGAAAGCAACAGTTCCCGACACCATCGATCCAGCTTGGAAAAAGGAATTTGGAAAGGTCAAGGCTATGGATCTGAAATCGTTGTCCAAACAGGAGAAGTCCCACCTTTTCATGGAGGAGATCATCCCTATGCTTCAGTACTTAGTAGAGCTACCTGGCATGCCATTACAAGCACAGAAGTACCATAATGAGTTGGTACAGATTGCATTGGAATTGGGCATATATGAGTAAGGTCGAAGTTCATGGCTTAGCATCGGAGCAATGGTGCGAAAGAATGATTGGGCTGATGGTACTGCGTATGGCCTTTTGCCTGAGTTCTGTTCTGCTGGTCACAGTTCTCGTGGTGATGAAAAATGGCGCGAGAGAATCTGCATGATGGTCGTTGAGGCTGTAAGCATATGGCTATTCCTCGTCAAGTTCGACAGTGGCATTCTTCTTCCGTCGGCCTCTCGTCGCGCCGCCGCTCTTACCGCCAGTCGTACCTTTGCGCCTTGCCCTCTTTCGTGGTGCTTCGAACTCACTGTCATCGCCGGCGCCGGCTGATCCAGGTCGTTCCTGTGGCTGGGTAGCAGCACTTCTCTTGCCTTTACGCTTGCTGCCTGGGTTCTCGACCGTTTCGTCGCCGGCATTCGTCTCCGGAACACTCATGTCAACCCTCGGCGTCTCATCACTGCCTCCTATAGTCCTCTGCACCTTTGCTCTTTCCTTCATCCTCCCAAGAGCAGCACCCATCCTTTTACTGTCCACGTCTCTTTTCCTAGGTGCAAAAGCCTCACCTTTACTGTTCGTCGCGGCGGCACCAACACCTACGCCACCCTCGAAGAAGGCGGTGATATTTGCCTGCGTGCCTTCATCGGCTCGGCGATTCATGTCTCGAATGACAGGAACCAGCACTTCGTCGGTCCGCTCCTGGGTCCAGCCGATGGTAGCCATCAGGAAGCTTCTCAACGCATCCAAGTCAGGCACACCCCATTGAAAGGGTGCAGGATCTGAGTCAACCTCAGGTTCTTTATAGGCCATCTCCACTCTTGGATCAGGAAATGCAGGCGGCAAGAAGATCTTTGTGGCGTTCTTGCGAAACTTTTTTCGGAAGGAATTGTTCTTGTCGACATCCTTGGGTATGCTCTGCATCTGCACAGCAGACCACCAGTCCCTAAACTCCGGAAGACCACCTGGGAACTCCCCTAAGATCTCCAATGCAGTCACTGGACCGACACCAGTTAGGCCTTCAGTGTAGTCGCTCCCCAGCAACTGTGCGATGGCAATCATTTTCTCCCGAGTCAGGTCAAATTCCTTCTCCAGATCAGTTGCGAGGTAGCATTCGACAAATTTGGCTTGGTTGAACATATTCTTGTACACTCGAGTGCCACCGAATAGGAAGCAATCGCTGTCATCGGTCACGATGCCATCTACCAACCCCAGGTGCACGAGCTCGGCACATTGTGCTTCGGCTTCCATGGGTGCGGTGATATATGGTAGTCCAAACAGTCGAAGAAGCTGCTGACATTCCGTCACCATGATATGAGTGACCTCGTCAGCATCTCTCCGGTCTTTCTTTTGCTGATTTCGCAATTGCTTGAGTTCTTTTTCATACTCTGCAATGTTCTGCGCAGCACTTCTCTGGTTGAGGGTCGAGGCGAAACGTGCATGTTCTTCGGCTTCCAGAGTGAGCGCTTTGAGGAGTTCCTCCTCTTCTGGATCGGAAAAGTCATCGAACTCGCCGTCGTCTTCTGGCATGGTCTCTTGGCGAGCTAAACCTGTGGCTGGTATTGGGCCCTCTTGTTCATCGCCGGAGACGGGTAGACCTGGTGGGGGGCTATCGTGGTGTAGGAGAACACGTTTTGATAGGTCCACATCCTCAAACTCCGGTGAAGGAGATCTCACGGGTTCAGCAGGTGACTCAGTATCGACGGGTTGGCTAGCAAGGGGCTGTGCGCTTTCTTCAAAGTCCACAGGTAGGGAGTCTGTCGTGTCCGCCGCAATTCTCGCACCGCCAGCAGGATGGACATCTTTATTTGATTCCAATACAGCAAGCTCATGCTCATCTTCACTCTCACTCCATGCGATGTCCTCGTTGTCTTCAGCTTCTGGCTCAGACCTACGAGCTGGCACTGTATCTGACTTCGTAGCTTGCTGCTCATTCATGATCGTACCATCGTCATCATTACTATCAGCTGTTTCGAATGGCACCGATGCCCTTTTCATCTGTGTGGGTGCCTGAGCGGTATACTCGTCGCCCTCATCATCTGCGACAATTGGTGCTTGCGCCCTCGCCATAGGTCTACTTTGCTCTCGCTTGTCGGGCACAGGGGGCTCGACGCGGACCGCGTCGGCCATATCGCCCATTCGGATTTCGTTGTCTACAGGCTTACCTGTAAGCTCCGGCGCTATCATGATAGGCCCCTCGTCGTCATCCTCAAGCTCGATGACATCCTCGTGTCGGGAGCCATGGACGCGCTTGGCAGGGGTCGATTGATCAGCCACAACATCCTCATCATCAGCGTCAAGATCAATGACTTCTTTGACGTCGCCCTTGCCCATTAGACCCTCGCCATTCCTACCGTCAAACCGGAACTGCTTACTAAACTCTTTCGCTCTTTCTCTATCTGCTCGTTCGAGCGCGTTCTGTTTCGCCATACCCTCCTCAAGATCTCCGCTAAACCACGGCGGAAGAGGCTCCCTCTTTTTGGACGCTTGCTCGGCTGCTTCAGCGCGCTCGAAACCTCCTTCGCCCTCTTCTGTCCGCTGCTGAATCTTCTTCTTACCAAGGAGACTGCTGCCGAGATTGAGCTTCTCGAATGGAAGAGGTCCTCCGAAACCGTTGCTATTGCCAGATATTTCGGCTGGCTGAGTGGTTGAGACAGCAGCTTTCGGGGCTCGTCGTGGTGTTGTCGTCGTCGTGGGAGAGGTGGAAGCCCCTGGTGGTGACGGCGGCGTTATCTTCTTTCTCCCTTGCCTCGACTCTGCCAGCGCAGCTTGCAGATCTAGCATCCCATCATCGTCGTCATCTTTGACTGCGGCATCTACATCATCATCTGGCTTCGGCACTGGCACGCCGAAGGAAGTCACCTCCCGGCTCTCCGGAGCCATGGCATTAGCACGCTTGTTCAAGATGTTGGCGATAGCTCTCGCGCTACCTTTTGGCACCGGCCGCGCTTCCTCAGCTGCACGCTGATTGAATGACTGATACCAGTCGTCGCGCTCTTCTGAGTCGTCGTCATTCGCGACTGTCTCCTTCTGTGCCTCGCTAGCGCCATTTTGGACAAGCGACATGGCTATAGCGCGACGTAAGTCTTCGTCTTCTGCTTCCGAGCTAGGCTCCTCGGCCTCGCCAAATAGCTCACCATCTTCATCGACTAATTCCAACTCCTCATCGACTTCGATATCCTCGTTTGGCTCATCTGCTACAAAGAGCGAGTCCGGGTCGTCTTGAGGTGCAGAAGCTGGCATCGGTCGCTGCTTGACTCTTCGACTCATCCCGCCACCACGCCGTGACGCGTCGCCCGTCTTCCGCTGCCTGCCAATCGCAGTATCAATACCTCGTTCAATCTTCGGAAGCCGATTGAGACCCTCAACCGGCACATCCTCAAACCCATCATCTTCACTCTCGCTGCTCTCTTGCTTTGCGGCGACCTTAGGCTTATCCAGATCGATCGCCGTCTCTCGCTTGGTACCCTCATCACTAATAACACAGAGAGCATAACCACCTTCCACGCCATCATTCTTGACCAAGACATACTCGCGTGCCCTCTCGCCAGCCACTCGGTTACCGGCTCCAGTGTACTTAATGTCACCGTCATTGATGTTCATGAGGCGTGTAGTGAGCTCGTTACGTTCCCGGACTCGGTCGATCTGGAAGCGAGAGAAGGCCATGCGATCCGGGAACATGCTGTCTAGCTGCTCCTTGCTGTGACCCATACGCAGTCGTGAGCGGAGCCGAGCAGCATTCAAGATATTGTAACGGTCTGATGCAGGCAAAGACATGAAGAAAGCACTATCGTACTCAATCTTGCTGAAGTCGTAGACATTAATGTCCTCGCCTGTATCGAACTGCCGAGCATACGCCTCCAACTCTTCCAGACTCATGACACGAGGATCGTTAGGGCCGCCCATTTCGTGCATGCCAGTCTCCATACCCGGTAGATGATAGGCGTCTTTCTTCCGAAACTTGCGGTTCTCCTGTCTTTCCTGCTGCGTCATCTGGATTTCATCTACGTAGACCAAGCCCTCATCTGGTACGGCTTCTTCTTCTTCTTCAGCTCGTCGATCCCGAGCATCCTTGCGCCTCTGCTCGTCTTCTTCGGCTCGTCGCTGCATCTGCACCGCCAACATACGTCCAGCGGTACGCACTGCATCGTCTCGTCGGCCTTCTCGTCGGCGCTTGCGAGACGTGATGGTTTGCCGTTTCAAAGCAGGAGCTCCGCCATCGAACACAAACACCGGCTTGATCCCGAAGAACAGAAGCTTGCAGATACGGCGGAAGAAACCGACTACATGGCTGTTGCGCAGAGCGTTGCCTTCTTTGTCTCGGACAGCCTTGAGGAACTGATATATCCAAATGCTAGCATCAACAGCTAGGCGCTTACGATTCAGAGTCTGTCAATGAACGTTAGTGTTCTTCGCCAACGGTTATGAAGGGTTATGAAGCCGCCACCTCTAGTTTTGTTGGCCTGGCGCAAGGCTGGACTATGGTCCACAGACCTGTGACACCCATCGCGCGATGTGTCCCGGGATCTCACAACGCACATACTGATGACAGCCGCTAAGACTTTCATTGATGAGAAACTAAGGTCTGTAAGAGTGTGATCATGTTGCGCATGCAGGCGGCTCGGCGATAATTTATCCGATAGTGATTATATCAGCAGCCGCCGGAGCTAGATCCAGCTCGCTTCGATAGCTGTACCACACCATGTTCGCATGCTTTAAGCACGGGTAGTCGAGCGGCAAAGTGACAACCATCACCGATAGTTGGAGCATCGCACTTTGCTAGCCAAGATTTCGTCCGCCAGCCGCGAACAAAAGGAAGGGTCGTCGCACTACTGATTTTCGACGCACCGCCGATATGACCCACCCTCAAGTCAGTATTCTGGGTCTTCCCAAAGAACTCAGGCTCATCATCTATGATTTCCTCTTCGAAGATACTGTTACGGAAGACTGGCTGCCACTGTCCCTGCATCCTCGTATCTGGTCTCAAGAGAATCGATTTCTGTTCCGATACAGTTATCTGCTTCTTGTCTGCAAGACGTTCGCGTCCGAAGTCTCGTCTCACTTCCTGTCGTACAGTGCAGACAAGCGGCCAATCTGTTTCTCATCCATCGTAGAACTCTACGACTTCTGCGAGCCAGTACGGCTCGGCGCCCCCACGCCCCTTGACAGAACGTCCTTCACGCTGCGGACGCGGCCGTGGGACACGGGGCGTAAATATGGCCGTCGGGCCCAATACAAAGCAGCCTCCATAGCCAGCAAATTCATGACCACGCAAGCTGGACTGCCAGGTACTTACAGCAAATTGTGCTTTGGCCTAAGGGGCTACACTGGTGCGAAGGACTGGGAATCGACCCGTGAGATGGTTTGCATGTTGGAGACGAAGCCCCGACATCTGGTGGAAGTGACGATGCATGAAATTACTCTGCCAGTGACTGATAGCACGCTTCGGGTCATGTACTGCTCTGTCACGCAGAATTCGTGGCCGCACGTCTGGCTCGAGATGACAGGCCAATTCAAGGAGCTGGACTGGTCGAAATTTGACGATATCGACCGAGCGAGAGACATCGAAGAACGGGCGTATGCAAATTCGCAAGGCTCACAAGATGGTGTAGCTCTTTAGCCAACAAACATCACCGATACAAATACTATCTCCTGCCTTATTCTGGACCGCGTTTCGGCGATGTCTGAGCGGCCTGGGGCTCGACTTGATGAAGTCGACGAGGAAGTGAGCCTCGTGTTAAGCATCTTTAAGGTAAACCGAAAACGTCGTCTTCTCCGTTATTGAGTTGTGTTCACGCCACAGTGGTGGCAGAGGTCGTTGAACCTTGGCTTGTGGTTAGAGATGTATTTGTCACATAGTATGGCTCTGACTTGACGGGTGGTCTCGAGATCATGTCTTTTCTTCTGGATAGCTTGAATTGATGGATGAAACCAGATTGGCTCAGATAAGTTGTCCTAAGAACTGTGTAATGTATGTCTGTCTGTAACTTTCTGAATTACACTTGTGCCTCTATGCGAACTATTGGCTACCTACAAGGACTCACATTTGTCAAACACTATCCACGAAGACCCAACAAAGCCAGCGTAGCCACCAGGTGTGATCGGCAGAGAGTATACCATCCACTAACGACCATGCCACGAGGTCAACAAAAAAAGCGGGTCAGATAGCTGGAGGTCTGAAAACACGATACAACAAGAGCGACTTTGAAGATCTGTTCCAAGAATGAGTATGTACAGCATCTCTACAATGTATATACATTCGCGCGCAGCATTGAACAGGTCCACGCAGACAGAACAAAGGGACACAATCCTCCCCGAAAATTGCTTGTGGCCCAACCCGACGAGGATGCATGATATGCACAACCCAATGCTCGCTCCAAGTACCGCTGGAGGAAAGAAACAAAACCAGGCCAATGTATACGCCATGCTGAGGTTGCCAGAAAACCGGAAGGGAACAGATAGTAAATACGGATATAGTAGTAGCGAGCGCGAGCGACCAGACAAAAAGCAAAGCGTGTCCTTGCTTTGTCGAAAGTGCCGTGTAAGCCACAGCGGCGCTGTGCTCAAGCTTAGTTGAATTGAAGAAAGTGTTGGTGTAGTGGTGAGTCGCTGGGTTTGGGGCGTCGGGTTCTGGACTTGAAGCAAAGATGTAGTGCATTACCAGTCTCGATGTCGACCCGTCCACTTGCCGAGCTTGTTGCATCGTCGGCCGACCCGTTGATCTGTTGCTGTATCGCCCGCGGGCGAGGTCTGATGGAAATAGGTATTACCTACAAGGACAGGATATGCTGCGCCTTGCCCTGGTACTCCTGCAACTGCAACCCTACCTCACGCATCCTTTCGCAGCCCTTGCCGGGCTTGACCTTATGCGGCTTTTCGCCCTTAGCGGCAGCTCTAGCGCACATCTTTTGCCACATCTTCTCCTTGCGACGTTGGCGTTTCTTCTCAAGGCCTTTGACGATATCGATAGCGCCACGCCTTGGTACGTCGTTGGCAACACCGACAGTATCGGAGCCTTCGGCGTCTTCGTGGATGGTTGAGCCCATCCTACTAAGTAGGAAGCCACCGCGTGGTAGAGAGGCAGTATGCGTAAGTTGTGGTCGTTCGGCGAGTGCCTTGGATGACCTCATGAATGCCATGGCCCCAGATGGGGATGCATGACGGCTGTTGGGTGGCGAGGTCATGCGAGTGCCTGGTGCTGGAGATCTATTCCGCCGTGGCGAGTGACCAAATAGCTTCCTCGTTGGTGCCGGCGAGCGTGCACTGACACGCTTGGTGATGGGCGGTGGTGGCGAATGGTGCTTGACTGAAGGGCGCTTTGATGGTGGTGGCGAATGAAACTTGGACGGCGGAGGTGGCGAATGATGCACGTTGCTCCTACCGCGACGTACGGAAGGACGGCGCTTGAGTGTCAGCTGTTCGTCTCCCTCCTCATCAACTTCTTCCATGTCGCCATGCACCATGTTCTCGCGATCGCTTTCGGAGCCGTCGACAAGGTCATCGTCGTCCTCCTCGTCCATCTCAGGGTCTGAGGTAGGGAAGGTAGGGTCGATATCCTGTGGTCTGGCCTTGTGCTTGGCAGCTTCAAGATTCTTCTTTCGGTTGATGTACGCTTGCTCCGTCGGTCTGTCCTCGTCTAGCGTACCGCACACGAAATCCGTAGAGTCAGGTAGCTCCTGGTCGTCCTCAACCTGCAGTCGATTGCTGATAGGAATAGCATGCGAACGTGCATGCCCGTGAGATCTCCGATGCAGTCTTTTCTTGGCTTTAGGGGACATCTCGTGGGAACTGATCGAGTTGAGCGACGAGCCGAGCACATCGGCATCGACCTTGGTGTGAGCGTGCAGCCTGTCGAGGTGCTCGACGGACGTCGCGGCTGTTGATCCACCAGGCTTCCACCACTCATAATCACTCTCCTCGCCATCATCATCTGAAGCGGCAAAGCCTTCCTCATCGTCGGAGTGGAAGCCCGCGTCAGATTCGTCAGATTCTTCTTCAACAATCTCATCGGCATCGTCTTCATCCTCTTTCAAATCGGCAGCCTGTTCCTCAGCAGTCTCTGCCTCATCCACATCATCGTCATCTTCGTCCTCCTCCAGCACTTCCTCCTCAACTTCTTCACAAGCTTTGCGGATAACGGACTCCTTCTGAAGAGTATCGCCAATCGTCAATCTGCTTCGGTGGCAACTCGATTCATGCATCCACTCCTCTGATTCACCCTCGCTGCTAGCGAATTCGTGAAAGCGAAGAGCCTCTCCTGCACCAGCACCATCAGAGTCGTTCGACAGCTTACGAGGAATTGACGGACGGGATGCCTCTTCAATCTCTGTCGGCTCGACAGGCTCAGCTGTCGTTGGCGTGGGAACAGTAGTGATGATACTGGGACTCTTCCTTACACTCTTAGGTGAAGCATGAGTGACAGTGCTGTCCGATCCACGATGTGGCTTTTGACCGGAAGTTCGGCGTTGTGGCGGTGGAGGTGGACTCGAATGTCGCTTGGCGGGAGCAGGCTCAAGAGGCTTGGTCGCAGAAGTCGATTTGGATGGGCACGCGAATTTGATCATGCATTTCCGCTTAGGTGGAGATGATGCAAACAGTCCGACTACCGGAGCAGCAGCTACTGGTGCGGGAGCAGAGGTCGGAGGTGTGGTCTTGGGTTTTGCCTCGTCCTTGCCACGACATGCAAACATGATACATCTCTTACGTCCCAAGGTAGCCTCCACAGTCTTCTCGGCACCCGCAGAAGTCTCCTGGCCAGTGACACCCGCATCGTCCTGCCCAGCGATGTTCACCTTACGTTCCAATGGCTTCTCGTGTATTGGAAGTGTGGTGTAGACTTGTGTCGGTGCTAGTGGTGGGCTAACGGTTGGACTGGGCATACTACGTCCGTCGTCGCTCGTGAGCTCTGCCGTAGAGGCACTCTGGTTGCTCCAGGTAGATTGTGTACTTAAAGCGCGCATCGTTGGTAGCGCATGCTCTTCGTCGCTATGCTCGGTTTCGGAATGCAATTGTCGCGTCAGCAACGACTCGCGCCTTTGCGACATCTGTTGCCGTGTTGTCGTCTTCAAGTAAGGTTCGGGGATTCTACTCGATGCCCATGATATGCTCGACCGTCTTTCGTCTGGCGGCTCGTCCACCTCTGCCATCCTCTCCTCACTGTGATCCATTCCCGTGCTTGCCGCTGTATGCGGCTGTTGCGCAGGCGGCGCCGACTTCCAGAATACCATGGTGACTGCTGAGTGAGGTTGGGGTGGCGGAGGTTGTTTGTGAAGTGAAGTCACTTGCGTTACTGTGTGTGGCAAGTGCGACCCAGTCTTGGGCCTACCAGTGCTATAATTGAAGTGAAGACATATCGTTCGTGTTTGAGCGCGTAATGTTCACGGATGCGTTTGGCCGAGGTGGGTGTGTCTCGAGTCGGCTGGGGCGAATGTCAGTGTATGTGCGTGTGTGAAATTGCGTCGCAGGGCTGAGGGTGGTGATTGATGCAAGAATAGGTGCAAGGGCAATGCATACAAGAGAGTGAAGGATGACCGACGCTGGAGTGGCTCGGTAGTGGCGTTGTCGGACAATCGCAGCTTGGCAAGGGTGCGCTTGCTTAAAAATCGAGTCGAAGAGAAGAGATCCGGCTGTGACAGAAGGGAGCGCTGGGCTGTCTGAGGCGCAGTACCCGAATACCCGATCGAGCCCTGCTCGCGAAGAGCTTCTGCCCTTCACGACAGATACAGCAGCGATCAGAGGTGAAGGAAGCTGGGGCTGCTGTTGCAAATGAGTCGAAGCTGTTGTGGGTGGGACCTCGTTGGCTGTTGTACCAGATCGAGCACTAAAACTTAGCTGCTGACCTTTCCGCACAGAGTGCTGCCGGATATGGTTTAGGCGTGGAGGGAATAATGCTCTCAGTCAACGCTGCTCCACCTGCACTTTTCTCATGCAGACTTTGGTGCGTCGGTGAATGCTGTCAGGCCGTTAGTGCTCAATTCACCGTAAGTATTATTATCAACGTTGACGGCGAAAAGTTGACGGGCCCTACATTACAAGCCACTCAAAAGCAGGATGAAGGTAAGCCGGTTATGATTACAGATTACTCATCACGTGATGTGCTTGTCCGCGGCGTTTCAACGCAACGTCATCATGCCTGCTCATTTCACACCAACTTCAAACGTGAGAGCCAGTGACAAGTGACAAGCATTGGCAAGATTATTCGGGAGTGAAACGCTGTCAGACAGGATTCTCTTCGGCAGACAGCAGACCGCGTGTGCTTCACAATTGCCGTCGCGCTTCACGCGGCGCTGATGAGAATGCCCTGCATACCGCCGCACAAAGGCAGAAAATTACGACGGAAGGCCAAGTCACGTGTTGGATGAGGCATTTATTCTGCCTCGAAGCGATTGGCGGCACCAATTCGGCGATCGGGGCTTTCACATGCTGCGAATGCTGCTACGAGACTGGTTGGTCGACATGATTACTGTTGAAGCGGTATGTCGCAAGTGCAGTCGCGTCAGACGTCTCCATGTGCCACTCATGATCCCTTGAAGGTACTTCGTGGCACACCAAAAGGCACAACACGAACCGGATGCTCGAAAAGTGCGACGTAAGAAATATTCCTGACCGTCATCGGGAGTTCACTGCGCGAGCCTCCGACTGGAAGAGCTTCATCCCCTCCAGGTTCAGGAGCTTCGAGTACGCGATGACATACCGGGAATTTGGTGCACGATTGCGTGGTCCGTCTTTGACAAGCTCCAGTCCACGTATCCGAGATCTGACGTCGTAGCATTATGCGCCCGGCCACCAACAAGCTATCTAGTCTGACACAGTTGTGTATGAATCCTCAGCATCCTCATAGCGCTGGCCAGATGACGGGCTCCCTAGCGTTGCGCCTACAGTATATGCCTCATACTACTGCACTGCATGCGTGGTTAGTACAGGCGACTATGCTGCTTGCTCTAGTATTCGGACTGGTCGCGATCGTTGTGACTTGCTCTTGGTACTGTTGACCCACGTCTCCGTAGCCGGAGATGCCAGCCTTTCGTGGAGAGACTGGGGGTGGGCATTTACTGAGCCATGAGAGCGCGGTTGCGCAGGATCTAGGACCCCTGGGTTAGGCTGCCGAGGGCTATCTGCGATCTCCTACTGAATCATAGAAGCCTAGACAACGTAGCTGGTCACTACACAGACCATTCCGCCTCCTCTGATGTGAATTGGTCGCTACCTGCTATACAGCATGACGACCCTCGCCAAATGTCCCTTCCGGTCACTACGAAGTCGCTACTCGGCATCAATCAGCACGGGTACAACGGGGAAAACGTAAGCCTCTTGTGTCTCGTAATCGCAAAAAAACGTCGACAAGATCTTCCTGCCATAGCCGTGCTATGTCCGCGGCTCCGAGCCACGGTACTCGCGACTCGAATACGGCGTCATGGTGCTCTCCTAGCATTGTTCGGGTCCCGTTCGTCTGTATCCCGATCCTAATCCCGACACTATCGAACACTACATCATGTTGGCAGTCCCTCACCAGTGACGGTCAAGTCATCCGCGTTGAGATGTACCACCAGGCCGCCTTCTTCGTGGCCAACACAACTGATTAGACCGGACCAAGCTCGAACAACAGTGCGGGCGTGTAATATGATCTTCCTGGATTTGGGCTCCACGCTCTAATGCTCTTGATTGTCAAATATCCGAGTGCAGTTTTGTGTCTGACAGCAATTAGTTTAAGTATACGGGCAACGAAGCCGAAGACTTACTGGATTAGGAGCCAAGCAATACCATAGACGTTAGGCGCTCCCAATACCACGTGGAAATCCTCGGCTCCAGGTTTTAGCTCTAGTCCTGACCACCCGGGTACCTGCCACTCGCACTCTTTGGGATTTAGATGCTTCTTGACACAGTGCTTCTTGGGACCTCTTTTGCGAGCGATCGTTCCTAAGGTCGCCTTTTTTTCCCGCATTGGTGATGACACCTCTGTGAATCCACCGTAGACCTTTGCGCTGCTCGAATTTGTTCTTGGTCAGTTCCAACCACGTCAGCCCGACGACGTCACTCCATTTCTCCAGTGGGACATTGGGTAGTCGACGACCCTGAGCATCCTTCCATGATGCTCCCGACTTCTCCGCCTCTTGTACTTCGTGATGAGGGCCGTTGTTTTGCGTGGCGAAGATGATGCCTCCTTTGCCAGTGCTCGTGAAGAACGTGTTCTGGTAGTAACCATTCGTAGCCTTGACATAGGCTTCAGCACTCCGTTGCACCTTCGGATCTTGAGTCCCCTTACCGGATACCGGATTAGCTCGTTCCCTGATTTCGAGGCATGCTCAGTCATCTTTGTATGCTTCCACGAGATGTCAATGCCGTGTTGCAGATCGCCGAGATCGACCGCACCCCAACCCTAGCCTTCGGTATCAGTCGCGCAGACCTTCAGCGATATATACGGGAAAGCACTCACTTCGAAAGACCCTTTTAAGTCCATCGGCGGCGGACTTACGATCAGTCTCATCCTGGGACTTGATCCATCCCCACCGTTCCTGTTGCTGGTATGATGTCCACTGAGATCGACTCTTCTCGCCAGGATCTTCTGTACAGAGAAGATATCTTGACAACAGCTCGCCTCTGTTTTTGGTCTCTTGTATTCTGCGACTCCATCTCTGCCGTCGAAGATCGTATCGATTGTTGTACGGCTGGAGATGGCAGTTGAAGTATTCTGTGTTGGCGTTCTTGTCGCGCCTGCAGCGCACGTCTAGCAAGCACCAAGTCATGATGGTCACGCCATGGGCGACTGTCGTGGTAGGGAAGTATGCTCGTTATACCAAACAGTATCAGACTCACGACGGCTGCTATGAGAACACACCGATGGATAGGAACTGCCATGTTCTAAGAGGCCAATTACGACATGACGGAAGACTTAAAGATCAACCATACTGGTGTGTATGGGTTCATCAATATAGGAGCCACGTCAACCTTGAGGCTTGTGGTCTCAGCAGGCCTGTTGTATAACAGCCATGCAAGCATGCTGGCAGTGGCAGCTGTCTGCTGAAGTGCGATTTCCGCTCCTGCCAACAAGTCTACAACCTGCACATGTCTAGTATCACGAGTATGATACACGGCATGAGCTATTAGTACAACAACGACGACCCACGTGTCACTCATGGTGGATGAAGCACCTATATATGTCTTCGATGCACAGCAGGATATACTAGTGAAGGACACTGCATTGTGCCTCGCCGCAGTACCTAAGTACTGTGCAAGCTCGAAGGGCTGTAAGAATGGTATGCTTCTATAGCAGACGACGAAGTGCTGCATCTTTGGTCGTTCTATGTTGTGCATCGGTGATCTTCATAACAGCCGCAAGGACCACATCTCTATCAAGCCGAAATCTGGAGGTACAGAAGCGGCACGATAGTCTCCTCGAGACTTCCACCGATGGCAATCACAGCGATGCTTTCGGAAACCTATATAGGCGCCTCGAGAATACCGAGCAACGGTGGGATGCTCTACGACAGGAAGGCCAAAGGATGTTGAAGCTATGCGACCTCGACAACTCGCAGCTGGAAAGCAAGGACAGGACACCATGGTTGATTGTCAAGGACCCCTTCGATTACGGCTACGAACCAGTCCCTCCCAAAGATGATGGGCCGTTTTAGGGTAATGAGATAGGCGCTCTTCAGCCTCTGAAGTCGGAACACATCGACATCGACCGTCCTCAAGATTGGGTACCCCTCAATTGGATGCACGAGAAGCAGACCCAGCCTCTTGAAAACGGGCCCGTGTATCCACCAACAGGCGCTCAGTTCCGCGTACTCATCAACCAGGCAGCTTCGGTACTGGTCGCCACCATTAGTACCACTCCGGACAATTTGAAGCATCCGCTGCCCATAGAGCAGAGAGTTCCACTGAAGCGTTGGTCAGACATGGCCTACCTTAGCTGGGAGATCCTGATGTACCAAACAGATGCTAGGACGAAGCTGGCGCCTCCTGAGCGCATCATCAGACTTAACATCTACACCACCAAGACACGTCAGGCCATTGCGCACGTGCTTGGTGGCCAGATGAAGGAGTATCCAGGTCAAGTCTTCGATGCAAGATCCGAGGAAGGGATGATGTTAATGGGGACTCCACATGGCAAAGGTGTGGCATACTTCTTGTTCCAGCACAAGCACTTCATGGGCGTGTGGACAATCGATCAAATACAGGTCTGGGACAGTGTTGGACATGTCCCTGGCAGTGATGGAGTGGGCAGGTGGCCCTCCATGGCCTTCTACTTTAAGCCTGTGGTGAGTGACTTTAGGAGCATAGACGGGAAGATGTTGAAGAGTACTGGTCCAAAAGGTGAAGGTGATGTAGGCGAGGAAAGTGGAGGACAGGGTCGGGAACAAGAATCAAGTCGTGAGCAGCAAGGAATGGACGACGTACGGCCAGGCACTGAGGAGCTCCAGCGGGTGAGCAGTAGTATTGGAGCAGAGCAAGTCGGTGGGTCAGCGTACCAAGCAGGTCAGGAGAGCAGTACTCCCGAACCAGAACAAAGGAAGGGCGACGGGTCTCGTTGGCAGAAGCTCAAGTCCACATTCAGCAAGAAGAAAGACGGCTCCGGTATCTCCTAGTAGTAATGGTAAATCAAGTATAGACGATCTATGGAGTGTAGTCATGATGTGATACTGTTGACAAGACTCATATCCATGGTCGTGAAAGTGTTCTTGCCTCGGTATCGTACGTCAGTGGTGGTCCAAGCTTCACGTGCAGCTATGAGGCAGGTGACTGTCAGATTGAGCCTCATTTGCTCATGATCATTACAATAGTGAGATTATGCTGATGATTGAAAGGGCGTTCGGGATGGTAATGGTTGGTGACGTGTCACGAGCATAACTTAAGCCGATCTAAAGACTTCACGACACGATGGCTCGACGAGTGTTCCCGAAGCTCACAGCGACTGGTCTACAGGCAACGACATATCTGCTCGGGATTGCCCTTTTCAGCATCTCCTTCCTCGTCTTCCTCAATAGCAGCATCTCGTTCGTGGTGACGGAGGTCATTGGGCAAAAGGAACATGTGGGTGATGCAGTCGGCACACTGGGCTTCGCAGACGAGCTCTTGGCTTTGGTCGCATGTCCAGTATGGGGCCTGCTCAGCGACCGAATAGGCATCAGAACGGTGGCGGTCTTCGGCTACTGTATTATTGGGCTGAGCTTGATCGGCTTGGTACAGAGTGAAAGTGTCTACCCGGAGCTGTTGGTGGGAAGGCTGGGCTTCAGTATCGGAGGCGCCGCATGCTCTACTATGGTGACGGCATGTTTGCCAGCCATGGTAGCGAAGAGGGTGGAGAAAGAAGACAGGCAAAGTGGAGAAGAGCAAGGTGTAGCTAGTGGTCATGCTGCCCGCCTAAGAGACGAGGAAAGGCCTGGCAGGACTGGCCATGCCACAAGCCCGAGTGTGAGCAGCGAGCTCACGATCACCCAGAACAGATGGTCCTCCCGATCTCGATCGCGTCAGGAGGATGATCAGCTAGATGGCGATGCAGGACCTGAAGATGACGGTCCGGACACAGCAGCCGGAACATCACAACTTGCAGGCTTTGTGGGTTTGTTCACTGGAGCAGGCGCACTTTTGGCTCTAGGGCTGTTTCTACCGCTACCAGCTCGCTTCCAAGGCGTTGGACAGTCTCCAGCACAAGCGGTACAGACAAGCTTCTATATCGTCGGTGGTGTTGCATTCTGTGTAGCCATCTTCATTTTGGTCTGTCTACGACATCTACCAGGCGAGGAGGAAAAGAGCTTCTCCGCTTTGTGGAGGACCCCGTATGACGAAAGCACGCAGACTGATACTCATGGCCATCTGCATACGACCTTGACCCCAGCGCCATCATACTTCAGCCTTGTAGGACAAGCCGTCAAACTCGGCTTCACAGACTCGAATATTGCTCTCGGTTACCTCGGCGGATTTGTGGCCAGAGCTTCCTCCGTTGGCATAAGTCTCTTCATCCCACTGTTTGTGAACGCATATTTTGTGCGTAACGGACTATGTATTTCGAACCCAGACAACCTGACGGACATAAAGCGCAACTGTCAACGCGCCTACACTCTCGCGTCAGCACTCACAGGCATCGCAGAAACAGCTGCACTGATATGTGCACCTCTCTTTGGCTGGTTAGGAGGAAAAGTCGTCTCCGGGCGGAACGAGTGGCCACTGCTAGGAGCCTCAGCTGTCGGTGTCGGAGGATACGTAGCTTTCGGCTTCTTGCGAAACCCAGACGCCTTCCACGGAGATGGTGGACAATGGGCTTTACTAGCCGTTATACTGATCGGTATTAGTCAGATCGGTAGCATAGTCTGCTCACTCGGCATACTCGGCCGCGGCATTAATGGCCCATCCTCGCGAAAGAGAGCGACATCGAGCGATCAGAAACGACTATCCACTGCATCGACCATGAACGCTGGTGCAATAGGACCAGTAGGTGGTGATGAGATCGCGCCGCTGCTACCGCAAAGTATGCATGAACCACAAGTAAGGTCTGACAGATCGCACTTGAAGGGCAGTATTGCTGGCGTATATAGCTTCGCGGGTGGCGCAGGTATATTGCTACTCACGAAGCTAGGTGGTGCGTTGTTCGACAGCTGGACAGAGGGAGCACCATTCTTCTTGATGGCTATCTTTAATGCCATTTTGTTTATCGCTGTTCTGGCCATCGGTGGTGGCAAGGCACTGTTCCGAAGACAACAACAAGCACAGAAGCCTGTAGTGCAGGATTGAGCAAGCGAGTTGTTCAATGACATGCTCTTTTGCACACCAGCTGTATTATCTCCTCCACGCTCCTGTACGACCGTTCATCTGATTCAAAGCACGATGACCTTCTTGCGTGGTCGATATATGGTCATGAGTCCGCAGGCCGCCGTGTGATACACGCTTCCAACCGGGAACACCATGAGTCGAGGGTGTTTCCAATGTCCATAAGTCCATCAGAAGCACGGTAACCACAAGCGACCTGAACGCAAGTGCTCGTCCGGTCCTGTGGTAGCTGGACACCAGGCTCACGCCCAACAAGGCACTCTCCGATGGCATGGAGTCGGCTATGCATCGTTTCAGTCAGCTGCCCTGGATGAGAACAATGTGGCCATTGTTCAAAAGTTCTTGGCGGATCGGCTGGGGTGGTGTCGCTGCACGTTAGTATTGTTGAGCTGGTCGCTTTGTTCAAACTCCATAAATCGCCACGTACAGCCGAGCTATAAACAATGAGATATATCACCAGCTTAAGGATTGACCAACTATCGAGACGATCATCACCTTAGAAAACAAGCAGAGTCTCACACGAACATAACAAACTCTACCAAGATGAAACTCAACGACCTCCTCGCCCTCGCCACAGCTATCGTCCTCACCCAAGCAGATCCCTACGACATCGCCGACGACATGGCCAAATGCCGCTCCATGAAACACGGCGACAAGGCTGTGTCGGCCATAACCACCTTCTGCAACAACCCATCCATCCATGCTCCTTCCACCTACGCCCAGAACGGCATCACCAATGGCAACATCCACGTCATGATAAGCGGAAATTGCAGACCTCAGCAATGGATTCCCTGGTACTGGTGCGAAGCGCAATTCTTCAACATGTGTGCGAACTCGCAGATGAGTAGCGTTATGGCTTCTCACGAGTACGGGGATAATGGATGTCAGCATTTTAGTATCACAACGGGGAGTGAGTACTAGGCGAATGATGAGTCTTTAAAGAGGTCGGGGCCAGTACTATAGTCGGAGAGAATGATGAGAGTACTGCAATTCTATCGAAATCGAGTACAAACCATGTCCTGCTTCTCGTTCTTAGAGTATAGCTGGCAATGACGAGGGTCGACAGGGTTGTCACAGTGGCTTACGATTGCAGTTGAGAATGGTCGTCGGGTCACAACTCATCGTAGACACTAGCCACTATCTTGCCTGAGCGGTACCGGCGTTGTGGTACGCAGTGGCAGATGTTCTATAGCTTGCAACGTGCTCCGTTTCGTGTTAATCTCTGCCAGGAGACGACATCAAGTTTACCTTCCGTCGACTCTGTTGCTCGCGGCTTTATGGGAGGATTCAAGGAGCCCAACTCTGAAACAGATCTGATGAACGTATATTTATTGCCATACAGATACAGTGTGTAACAGAAGGTTTCGCCACTGGCATCAACAGGATCCACTCGGTGCATGTACGGCGGGCTGCCGCATCGGGCCGACCTCGTTTGTGGAGAGACGAGACGACATGTTCGTCTTACTCTTTCTTTTGCTTCACACCATGCAACGGAAGGTGCCAGATTGCGATAAACTTCGCGTTCATGGGATGCAGAGGGGCGATACGTTCGACAGTACTATGTACGAGATAGTGCTCGATGCAGCTGCCGTGTGGGAAAGGACCACTTTCCACCCGCAGAATGTTCAGGACCGACTGCCTTCCGCCTCTGTGGGGCCGCCGAACTATTGCATCAGCTGCAAGCATCCGCGGCTGTCATATCCGCTGCATAGCTGATAAAGGCTGGCCAGGACGTACTATTTATGAAGCTAGATGACCGGCCCCTCCATAAGCCTTGGCTGGCAAGCCTCTTCACCTCCAGAACAATCTGGCATGGCGTACCCTGGCAGTATGCACTGAGCGGCAGATCTGACAGAGCCCCTAGCCACTGCTCAAGCTCAGTCGACCTGTATAGAGCCAGCGATCGACACGTCATCAGGATCGTCGCGCTTCGGCAGCCTGCAGAATCTGTTGGTGACAGCTGCGCTTGCGCAAGGTACCGTCGGCATTCAAGTGGCGAACAGCCGGCTGCAGGGACAGCGTTCATTGCTGACAGGACGATCTTGCTAATCAGACTGCAGCTCCGGCTCGCTCCTTCCCATTGGGCCCGACAACCTGGACAGCCCACGCTTTGGTTCTGCGCAGCACAGACCTTGGTCGTGTGGTGCAGGGGTCAAGCCCTGACTACAGTACCGATCGGCCAGGACGACTACTACTTCCCCGTATTACCTCCCCACTGCCACAAACGACATTGTTGGCGATCTTTTACGGGTTGTCGGAAAGTGCTCAGGAGCCGCTCCTGCTGAGACGCAATACAAAGAAGATGTCCGTCCACACGTAAACATTCGTCCTGTTGCTGTTTGAGGTGGTAGACATTGCTTTTGGTGGTTCATCTGTTCTGTTTATTGATTTACAAGTTGTACAGTGTGTTGCTTCGTCTGACATTGGGCTCGTGACGTCCTTGTGATTTTTCTGCTTGCTTTTGTTGTGAGCGCTCACCCTGTTCGGCACAACAGAGATCTTTTCGAGGTGGGCCTGATCCCCAAGGTTACCAGGAAGCAATGTCGCTGACCAGAAGACAGAAATCGACACCTCCGAGCCTCAATCAACGTGGTCAACAGTCGATCGAGACGCTTGTGTATCCAAGACGGCTCCTCGAGCTTCAGCGCCGAGCACCTCAACATCACCGATTGTGACGTCTCCGTCGACAAAAGCACGGACTCACCGCTCGATATTTTCTGCAGAACGTCTGTCCGCTTCCGTTCCTGCAGTCTTCCTCTCCACGTGCACCACATTGCTGTGAACTGCCTCTGTGCACACCGACCCTCTCTATATACTGGCCTGCCATACACTTGCGCCAAGACACCTCGTGGCGGTGAGATAGGAAGGTGCGATGGACCCCACGGGTTTTCAGAGGTTTCTGCAGCAACGCATTTCACTTCCACTTCCCGCTTCGTGCCATTCGACCTTCAACCACAATCACAAGTTTGCTCGATCTCTTTATAATTTCGGCTACTCGGACCAACACCACCACAACAACAATTCATACAACTTTTTAAAGCACCACTGCCGACCGGACTGCATGGATCCCGATCACAGTTTCTTCGCGGATGAGACATATCATCTCCGTGACGAGCATGATGTTGCAAAGGACTTGTTCCACCAGCCCTTAGCTTACCAGGCGGCTCCCAACTTTGCGTTCCGTCCGCTGCTCGGTATAGGCTTGGGCTCGGCGAGCGGCGCCACCTCTGCTGAGCAGCCTCAGGGCCTGCACCTCAGCATTCCCGGCGCGCCTTTGGTGCGTGCAGACTCGGTGGACTCCAAACAGTACACCCCGATCAGCGAGTGTGACTGGGCGAGCGCGGAGCTGGACTCAGATGCAACATCTCCGGCCTCTGCGACTTACAGTGCGGACAGCCCGGCGACGCCAGAGTTTGGTGACCACGATGGCGGTTTTACGAATCACTACTTTCGTTCCGGCAGCCATATCAACAACGGGCTCGCTTTGGCCTGGGCCAAGTCTCAAGGTCGGGCGTTTGGTAACCTCACTTCGCAGCTCTCAGAAGCGCGCGAGTTGACCCCGATGTTCGAGATGCCCCAGCCATTGAGCAACATCGGCGGTGGTCACTACTCCCATGGCCGCAGTCTTCCAGCAGATGTCGCAATCTGCTGGCCTATCGATCATGGTAGGCATCGCTTCAACGTGGCTTGCGACAATTACGTGCCGGTCACTGCGCACTCATCAGCTCCTTCACCTGGTCAGAGCAGCTGTTTTATCCACGAAGATGTGCAGAGCAGCAGCAATTCGAGCTCATCTCGCAAAGACTCCACGAGTCTCAGCGAGCATGGCTCTCAGAAGCGTATCTCGATCAACTCCAGTGTGTACGCAATCCAGGAGCGTGATGCCAAGCTTGGCGCTGGTAAAGCCAAAGGGTGGTCGTACAAGAAGATCAAGCAGCACTACAAGCTCAAAGATGCCGAGTCCACCCTGCGCGGACGTTGGCGCACTCTCACTAAGAAAAGCGAGCAGCGTGTGCGCAAGCCATCGTGGGAGCCAATTGATGTAAGCTCACTTCATCGAGGTCATCATGTGCTCTCACCTGCTGATGATGAAATAGGACCAGCTGCTGGTCGAGGGCTATGACTACTATACCAACGGCGGCTCCACCAAGATTCCGTGGAAGAAAATCGGTGCCTACATCAAGGACAGCGGCGGCTTGTATCATTTCGGCGGCGCTACCTGCGCGAAGAGGTATCGCGAGCTTGACGAGGCTGGGAGGGTGTAGTGCTCCACTCACTCACTTCGACTTAGTTGGTTATCGTTTGGTTTGATGAGTGGAGCGTGGTCGATCTCCGGCTCAGTGCTTCACCGTTTGGTTGAGAGCCCTCATCAGGGTCTCGTTTTGAGATGGGTTTGGTTCACTTGCTCCAACAACTCAAAGGTATGGCGTGGCGACAGGCCATGGAAATGACAGCTTTCGGTACTGGTTTGGAGAGGGACAGGAGGAGGACAAGCCATTACGGCTATAATGGCAGAGACGCACGGCAGGAAGGATCGTTTGGTATGCATTTCACTGGCGCATCAACAAAGATAGGAAATGGCCTCACGGCTACATGGGCAGATACAATCACTGCTGCGCTCATCGCGTTTCTTACACACTTAATACATACACTCGCTCACCATACCGCTTTTCTCATCATATCACATGGTTCACGAACCTCATCAGCCTTTCATCAGTCAATAGGTGTGCCATCACCAACTGCGTCAGCGTCACCTGGACTTCCCAGAAGCCCTCCTCCCTGCTCACCGGCAGTACTAAGCAGCCAAAGGCTGAATGACTTCTCCCTATCTTCCTACCAAACTGTGGTGCTCCAAGATCCAATCCAAGCCCAGCTTCACTCTCGGAAGTGGGTAAATCAGCCCAGCTCGTGATGACAAGATTAGTATCGAGTTTCCTGCTCGAGATGGTGGCTTTCGATGGGTCATGTGCCCACTGTAGAGCATCAATCTTTGCTCTGACCACATGCTCGTCGACCTGATCGATCGCTGCTCGAATCTGCTGTGCGTGATGCGCCAGCGAGCTCAGATCATATGCTGTCGCCAGCCTCGCTATACCAAGGTGGACGTCGGCATGTACCACAGCATTGCCAAAATAGTCCTCTGGCAGCATGGGGGGCGAGATGTGTTTGCGGATATTTATATGTATCCTCAAGCTTAGAAGGCAGTTCGTGTTTTTGTCTAGTGGGCCTTGCGGCCACGAGGCTCTACCAACGGCTTTCCAGAGGATAGTGGCTAAGCAGTCGAAAGCGGAGATGTGCTTGGGGCCATTGTCCAAAATGCAATGCCAGCGCTCATTGATCTCGTTCTTCGCCTCTTCGATGCCTGTAAGGTCGAAGGCTAGGATGCGGCAACAACCATCCTCCGTATCAGATATCGCAGAGTTCAAAGCCACGCTTCTCATGCGACTTTGGATGTAATCGGGGTGCTCCGTATAGTCGCTGACAGTAGGTTTAGACCTGGTAAGCTCCTCGCGAGTCTCAGACTGTGCCTCCGCATGTGCTGCAAGATCGATCTCTTTGAGTTCTCTAGGTTGCGGACTACCTGACATCAGCCTCATAATATCGGCGAGGCCTTGCAAATCTGCAACAGAGTGGTGAAGGTACAGTGCCAAGAGCACTCCTCCACGAACGATGTTGGCAAGTACAGCGAATACTGGTACACCGCTGTCGGTGATATCTGGCGTATCGGGTAGCAGTCTTAAGGAGTCCGAGACAAGTAGGCCAGGAGGCATGTTCGATATTGCCAGCTCCTCGTAGCTGTGCTTGAATTCACTGAAAGGTACTTCCGCCACAACAGCCTGGAATTGCTGTACATCATCGAGATTGACCGAGACTTCGATTCGCCTAGGTAAAGTAAGAGTAATGGTGATGGGAACCCCTTTACGGTCGGACATCCTTGGAACTAGACTAAGGCGTAGGTTTTCACCTTCTTGCACATATGGGACATGACCCGCAAGAATTGGAAGATGTGCTAATGCGCGTTGAGCTGCTGATGAGAGCTTTTCTTGAGGGATGTTCGTGTCTTTCTGCTGGCGATGAAAGCAGACACAGTAGCGTATATATGTCCTGATAAGGCTTTGATCGATGTTGAAGAGTCGGTAGATGTGATCTTCTGCCATGATGTCGAGTAAAATTAGTAGCACGGCGACGTCTTTCTTCTGCTATCAATCTTGAGTATCATAGTAAAAGTGGAAGTGGAGGGAATAATAGAGCTTAGTTGCAAAGATGTTCCTTCCTTTCTTGATGTAATCTTATGGGTCATACTAGGCGGCAGGTAGTGAATGTCGAGGATGATACACATCTTCCGCGAGCCTAACAGTTAATACAGTGCTGATATAATCTTTACCACCTACGACACTGATCAGCTACATTCCGGTATCGATTGGGAAATTTGCTTCACTCACCACTTTTCGCATAGCACACGCTCAGGACCCATGCCACCCTGCTTTGCCAGAAACCCAACAAATTCATCAGTCATCTTCTGCGGCCCACAAACATAGCACACAGTCCTATGTCTCCCTTCACCACCCGGTAAACCCTCCTTCCAGCCATCTAGTGCGCCAACAAGATCCGTTTCCGCGATGCGGCGGCCAAAGGTTCGGTTGGGAAGCTTGCCATGCTCGAGCAAGCCTCGGGCGCTGTGGCCTAGATCTGTGAGGTAGAGTGATAGCGTGATGTTGATAGGCTGGTCAATGGCTGCTACCAAGTCCAAAAGACGAGGAAGAAACAGAATGGTCTGTGGGTCCGGATCTGACGACCCAGCTTTAGTGCCGTAAAGGAAGTGGATCTCCTTTGGTCTACTGCCTGAGCGTATGAGGTGTGAGAAGATTGATATCAGAGGACTGTGCTCGCCATTAGCGAATGAATTGACCTCAAGGATTTAGTTCACCCATACTTGATGCCCACGCCTCCAGCAACCAGCACCAGCCGTTCGATCTTCTCAGCATAAAGTCCTCGTGGTGGCCACGTAAAACTGCCACCGACTCTCACCATGAGCTGTGAGCCCAGTATATCAGCGTCAGGCCGCCAAAGCCACTGAGCTGGAGGATTTGATGACTTCTGGATTGCCAGCTCGAGGAATGGTGGCGAATCTCGTCTTGTTTGGGCTTCAAAGGGTGTCGATGTAATAGTGAAACCGCCAGCTCTTGGTAGTCCTGGGATGAATGTGTCGAGCCATTGGCCTGGCAGGAACTTTACTATGCTCACTTTAGTCCTTCATGAATAATGTAGTCTGTCAAGGGCGGGCGGACTTTGATGGTGTGCTGTGGATCACGAGCACTGAGGCGAAGCAGGCGGACCGCAGGATTGATCTCGCGGATATTCGAGAGCATGACGGGCTCGATCCCATCTGCGCGAGGCTGCGAAGCTGTTCTGTCCTCATGAGGCAGTGAGGCTCTAATCGTAGCCATGGTCCGTGCCTGATTGAGTGAAGGGGCAAAGTGTCGCCTGGCGGTACGAAAAGCTGTTGACAAGGTCGAGGGCGGCATGGTTTCTATTAATCGCGTGATCTCGATCTAACCATGCTCTACTGTATTGCCACGTTCTCATCCGAATTATGAGCAGATGTCGAAGTCATGGAGGAGCAGTAAGGCATCTAAGCATTCAGCTAATGCATGCGGTGGCGGGCCGGACGATCCACAAGGTGGGGACGCAGGCAGGCACGAGCAGCATTGTTTGGCCCGAAGTGACCTGTGACCTTGCAGTATATGAACGGCGAAACTACTCACATCTATATCGTGCTGCTCACCAAGTAAGTGGTGGGCAGCATGGCCGACACCAGAAAGAGGACGGATGGTCCGACAGTTGAAACCGATTCAGCATGGGACTTTACAGCACTCCCCGACTACGACGACGACTTTTACGATCCCGACGATATCCTAGCATTTGCCTCAGCACTATCGGCACCCGAGCCATCGCCGTCCGAGGAGGACTTACTCAATCCTAAGAAGAAACAGGAAACAGAATTCATTACAGCACTCAACGACTGGCGACCTATTCATCAGAAAGTCCGTGGCCAGCAGAAACCAAATGGAGCTACACATACCAGCACGAAAGCCAAGCGGAAACGAAAGCAGAAGCGTGGAAGAGATGAAACCCGGGAAGGATGGACATACAGTATTGTCAAGTATCCATTCCTGCTCGTGGTACTAGGCTGGATTATATGCTTGGGTGTCACATACTTCGCAACCAGGCTGTACATCTATTTCTATGAACAGAAAATTACATGGCGAGGGAGGAGAAATCGACTGCGGAAGCAACTAAGGCAGCAGACGAGCTATCAGGACTGGATTCAATCCGCCAAGGCGCTGGACAAGTACTTGGGTAGTGACAGGTGGAAGGAGGACGATGACTATGCCTACTATGACTCGAGAACTGTTCGCAGAGTGAAGGAGCAAATGACAGACTTACGGCACAAGGCCATGGGCGAGGAGGCAGGGGCGGGGAGTGATATGGAAGGGCACCGGCCTGTGGACGAGCTCCGAGTACTGGCTGAGGCTTGTGTAAAGAACAACTTTGCTGGTACCGAGAACACGAGATTGTACTCTGAGACGTATTATGGTACGAAGGACTTGGTACAAGACTATGTTGAAGAGGTCGCCACCAGCCTGAAGTTCTTGCTCAATAGCCAGCATCTGACACTGGAAGACAAGCGCGCACTCGCCAAGCACCTAAGCACAAACTTCGGTCGCACGGCGTTATGCCTCAGCGGTGGCGCATCATTCGCGTACTACCACTTCGGTCTTGCAAAAGCTTTGTTGGACGCCGACTTGCTGCCTAACATTATTACGGGCACATCTGGTGGAGCGCTGGTGGCAGCTTTGCTATGTACGCGGACTGACGAGGAGCTGAAGAAGCTGCTGGTACCAGCCCTGGCTGGTCGTATAAGTGCTTGCAGCGAACCTATAACCACATGGCTGCCACGGTGGTGGCGTACTGGTGCACGTTTCGACAGTGTGGACTGGGCAAGGCGTTGCTCGTGGTTCTGTCACGGCTCGCTAACATTCCTCGAAGCATATGAAAGGACGGGCAGGATCCTGAATGTCAGCTGCGTACCTTCCGATCCACACTCACCGACCATCCTCGCAAATTACTTGACAGCCCCAGACTGTGTCATCTGGTCGGCCGTTCTCGCATCTGCAGCTGTGCCTGGCATCCTCAACCCCGTCGTGCTCATGCGCAAGAACAGAGATGGTAGACTTGGACCTTACAGCTTCGGACACAAGTGGAAGGACGGCAGTCTACGCACAGACATCCCATTGAAGAGCCTCAATTTGCATTTCAACGTCAATTTCTCCATCGTCAGCCAAGTCAACCCACACATCAACCTCTTCTTTTTCTCGTCTCGAGGTACGGTCGGCCGACCTGTCACGCATCGCCGTGGCCGAGGTTGGCGAGGTGGCTTTCTTGGGAGCGCGATCGAACAGTACCTCAAGTTAGACCTCAACAAATGGCTAAAAGTGCTCCGCCATCTCGAGCTCCTTCCTCAACCACTTGGTCAGAATTGGTCAGAGATCTGGCTCCAGCGCTTCAGTGGCACCATCACCATCTGGCCTCGAACACGAGCAAGCGACTTCTGGTATATCCTTTCGGATCCTGCCATGAGTCGACTGGCTCATATGATACACTACGGCCAGCTGGCAGCGTGGCCGAAGCTGAAATTCATCAGTAACCGCATGGCTATCGAGAAAGTCATTGAGGACGCTAGGGAAAGCACGAGACCGGCTACTCAAGCTCTACCCACGCCTATGCCAGACGACCGCACTGTCCGGAACGTGCTTTCTGCGGAGGATATGCAGACTCTGTTTGCCCGGGCGAACGATACGCATGCAGCGGTGGAAGTGCCAACAGAGATGTATACCCCACGCAAGGAGCGATCGCAATCGCGCCACTTGCACCCTGATCGTGCAGAATCTCCTAGCTTACGTCACCGCTTTGGCATCTGGTTCCGGCAACCGAGTCCACGAAGCAGTCAAGAGACTGTGCGACCTTCGCTTGCTGAGCTCAGGCGTGCGCATAGTGAACATCGTCGCGAAAGCGTCATCGAAGAGCTACGCAGACAAAGCGGTGTCTTCTGGGATGATCCCGAGGCTGATGCGACGGCGAGTGATACTGATGCTGATGGTCACACAACGGATGAGGAAGCGCTGCAGGATGATGATGGTGACGAGCGCCATGTTGGTGGTTCGCAGGTCGACGGGAGTGGCTCATTGAGCGAGACTAGAGGTCGCGAGCAACGCGGTCCTGGGTACGTATGAACTCAGCTACAATGCGATGCATTCGAGCATGAGTGAAGCAGAGATTCTGCTGGCCGGCCTTGTTGACAGACTGGGATTCTTGCTGTAGCGTTCAAGCGATAATGCGTATGAAGGCCATCAGTACTTCTGCCATTGGTTCTTCCTGTATTGATAGACTAGTGGGAGTCTGATATTACAGAATGACTCGACGTTATGTATGTCTAACACCCACCACCGTAATTTCTTGGTTTTGTCTCGCTTATTAGCGATACGGAAGTCCCAAATCATGGTAGTCCATTCTTTCGCCACATCCTCGTCACGCGCCCACACCGGTCCGTGGACAGTAAATACAGCATTAGGGCTTCGGAACCTTGAGCCGGAACAGATTAAGCTGGAAACGAAGGATTCATCTCGCGGCGACGATGCCGGTAGTTTTCTCCCTACCTACCTACTCCACCCTAAGTAGTTCGAACGTACGAACACGTGCCTCGTGCGCTTCAAGCGAGCAACATCGTGCTTCGCGTGCAACTGGTGCCGTCAACCTTCGAGTCCGCTCAAGATCGCGGTCCCGATGGCGTGACCCTCGTCAGCTGCCGAGTCAAGGGTATCGTGAGTGCGAACGAAGCCGATTCGTGACCCGAACACGATGCTCTGCCAAGCGTTTTATGGAATAGATAGCGACATGGATGTGCTTACTATCGTGGCGCGTGATGCGGAGATGCTGATATGGAGAATGGGAGAGGTTTGATGATGATCTTTGATCGGCGGAGGAGAGCTTGTAAGTTGTCCCCTGCTTCGTGGAAACGCTGGCTTCGAACGAGGTGGAAGGTCAAGCCTTATTCGCCAAGCTGTGTAATAAGACATGAAGGATTTGCTGTCTTGGTCAGTACATTGAGGGTCGGGCAATTTGGCTCGATCGTGTGTTCAGCGACGGTGGTAAGCAGTAAGAAGACGAGCGACATCCCAGTCTCGCAAGCTGCGTCACGCGTCCGTCAGAGGGGACGATGCTGTACGTTGTCGATCTGATAGGTGCGGGAACAGGGTTATCCAATCAAAATCGAGCGGTCCATGCGCAGAAATTCCAGAAGGCTACCACTTCGGGCCAGTTTCGCAATACGCTCGACCGTCTCAATTGCCCATCTCGCCGATCGTCCAGCGAAGCCTTGCGCTTGATCGCCCACAAGTGCGCAGGTCTGACTGTTCGACACGGCAATTCCCTTTGCGCCTCCCCTCAATCACGCCCATGCCCACGAATTGAGTGTCGCAGCACGATAGTCTCGCCGGACAGCCTCTGCAAGCCACACGAAACCCTGAAACCGCCCCGTCCAATCCATACATTCCAGCGATTAAATTCCGGCTGCACTACCCAAGCTTTGCGAGTGAGACCCCAGCTTCTGCTTTGCGCAACCGTAGCAGCATACCTCGTCTGTCGCGGTTGCAGGGTGTGCAGATGTCTGCGCTCTTGCCTTGTGTCGCTGCCATTCTTCGATAACGCCTTCCCTTGTACGCCTTTCACCGAGGACAACTGCGAGAGACGACCTCACTTCACGAATGCGACAGGAGTTTTTGGGACTTTACTCGTGTACGATAAGACGATACTTAGGACCGCGGAAACAACACGAATCTAGAGATACTGCAGAGTGTGCAGGGCGAACAACGCACGGTCTGGCGCAAAGCCTTGCATCTCATGGAGGAGAACGTGGAGGGCAGATGTGGTGTGGTCTATTTCTGCGGCGGCTTGGGGGAGGAGATTATTCAATCATATCGCAACACAAGTCCACCGAGGGAGACAGGACACGCGCGACACATTGATGTGGTGTACCGCAATGTGCGAGCCTTGTTGGACGAGAACCAAGGAGGCTTCGACGAAGGTGGGATGTGACAACGCGGCAAAGTGTGGATACATGTGCTGACTTTTGCCCAGTCTTCGTCAGCTCGAGTGCCGCAGAGTGTCACGATCGGTTAGAAAGTCATGCGAACAAAGTGCCGACTGTTGTGCTAGTGGAGCTCCACGATGGTGCGGCCAAGGACGCGCGGTTATTGGCCGACAACAAGCAAGCCGCCACCTTCCCTTTCTTGCGCAACCTGTCCGCGGATATCAATGGCGCACGCTACCAGCGGCCGGTCATGCCTTTCGCTTTGGTATCACCATCTTTCCACGAAGAGGACGTGCCGGCCGACGCCACTTTCGCGGCATCTTGTCTGGAAGCTGGCGCACTCGACATTTTCCACAGCCCGTTGAATGACGAAGACTTACATCGTCTAGTTGGGCATGTAAAAGAGGCATTGCGGCCGGCCGCACGTCTGGTGGGATCGAGTATGGCGCAAAGTCTGGTCACAAGTATTCGCAGCACGACACCCAATTCCTCCGCCCGATATAGACCCGATGAATCACTTTCGCCAGCGCGGCGGAAAGTCGTCGAAGATAACGTGGGTAAATGGCACTTTCCAGCTCAGACATTCACCATGGACGAACTTACTTACGCTGCGATGTTCATGCTGGAGCATATGTTGCAGCTACCGGATCTGCGATTCTACAGCATACCTCGAGCGGAGCTCATGACTTTCCTCCTGGCCACGAGACGACAGTATAAGCACCAACGCGAAGTCCACTACCATAATTGGAGACATGCGGTCGATGTCACACAATCAATATACTGTTTCCTGCTCGATGTACGGTTATGTCCGCCACTTGCGAACGATACAAGAGAACCACGACAACTCAACGCCGTAGAGGGCCTACTGACCCCACTGGATGGCTTGATATTGCTAGTCTCTGCGATCGGCCACGATGTTGGCCACCCTGGTGTCAACAATGCTTTCTTAACCGCCTGCAATCATCCTTTGGCGCAAATGTACAACGACAAATCTGTGCTCGAGAACTATCACTGCGCTGCATACTCGCAATTGTTAAGGCGGCATTGGCCGGCTCTCGGCAATATCTCTGGTTTTAGGACGACCATGATCTCGACTATTCTTGCCACTGATATGCAGAGGCACTTCGAGTACATGTCTGGTCTCGGCGAACTCAAGCGCAAGATAGAGGGCAGTGAGAATGATCTAAGCAACTGGAATGACAAGGATCGGGAGCAAGCACGAGAACTTATGATGGCCCTACTTATGAAAGGCGCAGACATATCAAATGTAGCAAGACCATTCGACCTTTCGTCTGAGTGGGCGCGAACACTCATGAATGAGTTCGCAAGGCAAGGCGAACTGGAAGCCGAGCTCGGGATACCAACCTGTCTGTTTGGTGGCCCACCAAACAAGGAGGACATTTTGGCGGCCGCGCAGAGTCAAAAAGGCTTCATGAATCTGTTCGGCATACCTCTTTTCTCCGGCATGACAGATGTCATGCCAAGTCTCTCCTGCGCGATACGGGAGCTCGAACAGAACACTGCGATCTGGGAAGAGAAGATCACTAAGGAGAAGCAGAAGCGTAACTCTGGTGGTGAGAGCTCGCCATTGACGTTCTCATCTGTCTCGAAGAAAGAAGTGGACGAGGCGAAGCTCCAAAAGCGTCAATCGGAACCATTGGCTGTGCCGGAAGACGCACCTGGCCTGCCAACATCATCTACGAAACGCCAGACTGCGGTCGACTCGGCACTGTCGCCACGACAGCATCCTGCACATTCGCAGCGGCAACATCTCACTCTTGGACTTGCTACCCAAGATGGACACCGGTCGTCTTTGCCGCCAATGCCTCCTCCAGCTCTACCACTATCACCAAACGGTGGTGCCTCACGCAGATCCAGCAAAGACGTAGCGCTCGACTCAATACAGCAACTTTCCGCATATGCACAGAGCAGCATGAGCCCCACAATAAGTTCCGGGTCGAGGAGAGGGTCCGCCGACTGGCAGGTTCATCAGAACTACCCGGGATCGAGACGAGGGAGCAAAGATGAAAGCCTGACGACCATATTAGTCACAAGTCAGTCAGGATCACCAGGGCGAGGACCTGCTGGGTCGCCCATCAAGCAGAGTCGCAAACGACAAGGCACAGCACAGAGTCAGAAACCAGATGCTGTATCACGATACTCGGTCCCATCATCGACGTCAAGATCGCACACAACCAGCTCAGCGACCGCGAACACGACTCAGCCATCTTCTTTAGCGCCTACCGACGATGAACGGACCCCTCCAGCTTCAGAAGACCCATTCGTGGTACCTGGAAACTGGCCATCAGATCTCGACGGCGCACAACGATCTGCAGATCCTGTCAAACATCCGAGCACGCCAGACCTATCCACGAGTAGAGCCGCTAAGAGCGACTCGCCGCGTATCATAGCGCGTATGGCTAGTGGAGAAGGTGATGATGGGAGGGGGACGCCGAGGAAAGAACATGCGATTCGTGAATCGAGAAGTCGAAGTCGGCTACGGAATTTGAAGTTCTGGAAGAAGAAGCGGGATCCTTCTGGGGTTGAAGGTGGTGTGACGGATCCTGGGTCGCCTTAACGATTTGAGGACCTCACTTCTTCTCGGGATCTGGTTGCGCTGTCCACATGACCGTGACGATCGCGAGGGCCTTTGTGTGGTCGGCCGAGAGGTGCCCAATCGACTCACCAAGCAGGAATGAGAGATTTCTTGATACGAATACTCGAAATCATATGCATTTGCTTCCAGTGTGTAGGAGGAAGTGGTAGTTGTGTGAAGGAACTTCGAATTTAGCGATGAGAGAGGTTGTTGTAACGAGATAAGCACTTTTCTGCTCCTTCGAGACCCGTCCAGCTGCTCGCACATCCACTCGAGTCTGCACCTTGGTATTGAGTCACCAATGGACTCTGCTGCTCCATTGTCTCGTCATATATCATCATTTAACGCACAGACACCATACTCATACTCACCCCACCATTCACCCCACTATAAGCCCGAACACTTTCATATGAAATCTTTCCCGCCATTGCGACGATCCGTATCAATCTCCTACTGCAGTTCACGACCACTTCCGAACGTCGCGAAGATGCAAGCCGTTCGCAGCCTCGTCGGCGGCGCATCAGGTCCCCAATACCTGACCGGCGACAAGTCCGCCATCGACGCCTTCATAGACGAATTCGACGTCTTCCTCTTCGACTGCGATGGTACGATACAACCATCACTGTCCCCAAGCCCATCCCGAGCACCCCACTGATCGAAGGACCAAAAGAATAGGCGTCCTCTGGTCCGGCGACCACCTCTTCCCCTCCATCCCCGAAACCATCAGCATGCTCCGCGAGCGCAAAAAACAACTCGTCTTCGTCACAAACAACAGCACCAAGTCTCGCGCAGACTACAAGAAGAAATTTGATTCAATGGGGATCCAGGCGAGCGAGGAAGAAGTCTTCGGTTCGAGCTATAGTGCTGCCGTCTACATCTCTCGAATCCTGAAGTTGCCGGAGCCGAAGAATAAGGTCTATGTGCTTGGGGAGAGTGGCGTAGAGCAGGAACTTAAGAGTGAGGGTGTGCCGTTTTGTGGGGGGACGGATCCGTTGTTGAGGCGGGAGATGACGCCGGAGGATTTCAAGCATGTTTCAGATGGCTCTCTGCTCGACGATGACGTGGGTATTGTGCTCACGGGGCTGGATTATCATCCGAGTTACATCAAGTACGCACTCGGGCAAGCCTACCTGAGAAGAGGAGCCAAGTTTCTAGCCACGAACATCGATTCCACGTTGCCTTCGGCTGGGACACTATTTCCCGGTGCAGGCAGTATCAGCGCACCTCTTATACAAGCCTCCGGGCAAGAACCCCTGGCGTTGGGAAAGCCGAGTCAGGCCATGATGGACGCGATCGAGGGCAAGTTTCAGTTCGACAGGAAGAAGGCTTGTATGGTTGGTGATCGGATGAACACGGATATCGAATTTGGGATTAAAGGTGGTCTGGGAGGAACACTGTGTGTGCTGACAGGTGTGAGTAAGAAAGAAGAGTTCCTGGCGAGTGGAGCGAAGGTCGTACCGAGTGCTTATGTGGATGCGTTGGGAGATCTGCTCGGATAGAGATAGAGACATACATTGTGAAATGGTATCATGCAATAATGCTATTTGTGTGGGTATCTTAAGTCACGTCTCACTGCCCATGATGACACTTTGCATCCCTTCCCTACGCCAGACATGCGAAGTGCCGAACGCGCTCATCGCTTAGCCTGCTGAACAAAGTTCGCAAAGAACTTCCGGAACACCAGGATATCGTTTCCACTGATAGCTTCCATATACTGCGTCACACCATCATCACTAGCACCCATGGCTCGCAATTCATTGTCGAGCTGCGATTTGTATCCACCCCCGAGCTTGCGCAGCATAGTCCACTGCAACGAAGCAGCTTCCTGTAATATCTGGCGGATCTGTGCATCGTAGGGATTGAAGCCACCCACTGACAATAGGTTCCACGGCAGAGGTGCGAACTGCTGTTTGACAAAGTCGTCGAAGCCTGGTAAGACTGCTGCTGGAGTGCCGCCGAGATCGATGTCTGGACCACCCCATAGTAAGACGAGTTTGACCAGAGCGCTAAAAGCTAATCGTGCCGACTGAGGATCTGAAGGGTCTGTGGAAAAGCGGGTTAAGGTGCTGACGAAGGTGTCGAAGTTGCCTTGGTTCGCTGTGCTGATCAGCACCGACGCGAGATCGTTGTTGAGGATTACAAGAATGAAGTTGAGGTATTGCTGCTTCAGCTCTCGCATTTGTACCTCGTCGTCCGTTCCCGTGAGTGGTTGCGACAGACCAGACATGACCTGCTGCAATAGTGGAGAGAGCAGCTGGTCCAAGATACCCGAGATGTCAGCCTTGAATCCGTAGACGACTTGCCCGAGTGTTCGAAGAAACATGGCCATCTCATCGTTCGACGACGCAGACGAGAGCAAACCGTCGATCCACCTCGGAAGCTGGGTAAGTACACGAGCTCCAAGCACACCAAGAAAGCGGGAGAAAGCATTCCTGGCGGCATTCCTAATGTCGAAGTTCTGCTTCAGTGACTCGAGCGCCGTCAAGGTAGCTTCACTAGCCACCACGAACTCCTCAGACACTTCTGGCGGCGGTGGCGTTCCTTTCGTACCCGGCATCCAGTCCGAGAAGCCATAAGCTAGGCTACCTGATGCGATAATGGTATGATGGACTTGTAAGCACGCACGAGGATCGCCTGCCATGGCGGATGGGAGATGATGCTGCAGATCTCGAGCCAGTGGTTCTATCACCGACTTTGCGATGGCGATTTGAGTTTCGAGCGGTACTTCTCTCGTCCCAGCCACCGTACCCGCGGCTTCGAATAAGAAGAGCTGACTATTGAAGGCTGCGCTCGCTGATTGACCTTCGTCGTCGGACGAGATGTCCTCGTCATCTCGATTCTCGGGTAGTTCTGCTTTAATCACGAGTAGATCACTGATGGCTTGCACCACCATGCGCGCAACATTGCCTAGCTGCGAGCGCAGATGTCGAACGAATCGTTGAAACAAGTACCATGACCTAAGTCGCACCTTCCCATTCTCGCTGTGCACGAAGCGGACGAAGCTCTCTAGAACTCTCGGGATATTGGCGGCGTTATGTTCGAAGAATTGGACGTACCGGACACAGATCTCCATGTACTGCAATTGAACAGCTGAATGGGGATAGTTGGCCAGGTCAGCGTCTACCATGCGCGACAGCATCTCCTGTAATCGCTGCGAGGCCACGGAAGAAGGCACGCTCTTGGCATACATTCCTCCATTCCTGACAGCCAGCTCGCCGAAAAGGTACATCTCGTGCATAGCCAGATCAAGATCTCGCCATGTCAGAGTAGACTTTTCTGCTGAGTCCAGCCGAGAAAATGTGTTCGACACGACCTGTGTGAGCGTCCCGATGTACAAGTCTTCCGAGATGGCTGCCACAGTCTGTTGGAGAACATGCAATTTCTTACGTAGCTCCTGAAATTCAGCTTGATCTTCATCGTCCTCATCATCTTCCAAGTTAGCAGTCTCGTCGTACTTCATCTTCAGAATGATAGCGTCCAGTATTGGCTGCAGCATGACTGAATACGTCGATGGCGAGACTTTCTTCGTGTGCACATTCTTCCTCAGCATTGTGAGGAGATCTGTCAGGGAAGGGATAACGATCGAACATATCTCATCGTACTCATCAGAGAAGAGTCGAAGCATATGTGGCATGAAGACCTGCAGAAGTCGGTCCGCATTGTCTCGAGTATCACCCTGGACACTGTCGTTGTCCAATACCTTGACGATGTCAAACATGATGTTGTTGACCAGCTTCGCCACTGTCTCAGCCAAGTCCGTGTCGTAGTCTGGCGTGTTCCGCATTTGAGTAAGGGCAGGACTGGCAAGTAGTTGACCCACGATGGTTTCGAGGTTCAGATAGCGAATCAACTCCACCTTATCGTTCGACGGCATCTTCTTGCCCACAGTCTCCGTGAACGTATCAATCGCCGCATCCCGTGCCTTGGCCTCCTTACTCTCCGCATCAAAATTTCCCTGTTGGCCCGCCAGCTCCAGCAATGCACTCTGCACCGTCTGATTCAACACCAAATTGACATCAATCCAGCTCACCCACTTCGCAATTGTCCGCAAACACATCTCCGTGATACTGAGATCGATTTGCCGCCATCTCGACAGGATCTCTTGCCATGTGACTGATATCTTACTCACATCTCGCCCTCGTATCATGTCCTTCAGCTCATTATGCCTTTTCAGCTCATCAGGTGTACGTGGTATCATTTGGTCTGCTATTTCGTCGTGGATTGAGCCGATGATTCGAAGATAGATTACTGTTGCAGCTGGGTTCGTCGTGCCAATGCTCGAGGCATCACCTGCCAGGCTTCCGAAGTCGTCGAAGAAGCTGGGCCATTCTGAAGAGTACAGAGCGGTGAAGAGGTACGTGATGGTCTGCGTGAGCTTGTTTTGTATGCCCGGTGTGTCCAGATTGTCGGAGCCAGGTGTATACCATTGCCTTATGTATCCCACCAAGCTATCTCTCACGTACACCAAGCTCTGCGGGTTAAGCTGTTGTGTCTGTACCGCATTGTTCACGATCTCCAGGCAGACCAGCCTAACCACTTCTCCAGGCGCTGGTGTTCTTGTGAAAAGTGACAAGCACACTTGCCAAGCATCTCGGTCTCCTCTTAATCTATTGAGGAAATCGTATGCTTGGCCTTTGAGGTTCTGGTCGGTGCGAGGGTCGAAGGCGATCTGGATGGCTTGTTCTACCTGAGAATCCATAATTCCCAAGTGAGTTTGTGGATGGTGGAAGATCTGGTGTATGCTGACACGACATGGCGTGCCACTTTTGTAGAGGCCGCTATCGAGACATTTTCGATGTTGTGATGGGTGTCAGTGGGCGAGTCAGGGATATTTTAGACTCGCGTGAGAGTGGAAGTGACTGTGAATTATAGATTTGTCTCGTGCTCACATTCAAAATTCCGCCAAAGATCAAACATCAACCCCTCGTCACCCCACATCGACCCTTGCAGGTGAACTGAGACATGTGAAGAGCACGCAGAGTACCGTGGTCACAACGAGAAGTGGTATAAAGCCGTAATATTGACAGAGAAATTGTAAGTTCTCAAGTGACGCCTCCGCCAGAACGCTCCCAAGAAGACTTTACTATATCTCGTCTACCTTCCATCAGGTACTCCTGCTTCACCATACTGGTCCCTGAACTTGAGTCCTCCACTTGGCCCGGCTGTCGACGATTGACTAGGCGCCTGTCCACCATTGAGCTGCGTGAAAGCCACCGTCCTCGGCGTCATCGGATTCTGCCTTCCGAACCCTGGCGTGTTCGGTGTCTTCGGCAAATTTAAGAACATCTGTCGATTTCTCTCCCAGACTTCTTCTCGCGAGAGCTCAGAATCAGGGCTGTACTCGTTGACCTTCTTCATCTCGATGTCGGCCTCGTACTGCTGATCTCGCTCGGCTCGTTCAGATGGTGTTGGCCACATTGACATCACAGACCAGATGAAATAGACGGAAAAGAGCGCACTGTCATTGATGTTAGCAGATGAAACAATCAACGCCGTCTCCAGCAGAAACATACACCATAGCACAAGTCACCCCAAATACCGCCCTCGCCTGCATGCAAAACCCGTGATTGCCTGCCGCAGCATACATGCAGCCTTTGCTGAGGTACCACGGGAGTCCCGGAGAAGGATGAGCCGGATCTGTCATGTCTGGCGTCGACTGATGCTTGATGCTGACCGCATACAATGCGACCTCCAGAATGCTCACCAGCACACCAAGAATCGGCCAGAAGGAGTGCAAGACGAACATGGTGCTCTTGACCAGTAGCAAGAACATGGAAAGCACAGCAATCACAATATTAAATTGCACCAGTCTGTAACATAAATCAGTATGCATTGTCTTTCCACCAAATCCTTTCTACTCCGGTGTAGTACTTACGCAGAACTCCAAACCATCGGCACAGCAATCGGCTTATAGTTCGCATAGCTGTATATTATCTCATTCGGCGAGCTGTTGAAGCCTTGATCCGCGCCATTCTGCCATAACTTCGTTCGGTATGTATCTGGGTCTGCAATGCCGTACAGAGCCAGACATGCGATCGTGAGAGGGAATTCCAGGACGAGGAGCGCGAGGAAGACCTTGGGAAGGCGGTACTCGTGGGTGAAGAAGAAGCGGCGGACCATTGTTTCGTCTGTGGTTCGGGTGCTGGCTGCTTGTGTCTGCGCTGACCTGGTTGGTGTCGCAAGCTCTTATCTCTCCAGTACGTCGTGCTCCAGCTCCGAGTGCGCGGTCCAATATAGCTCCAGCCAAGTACTAGTATCGCCGTCCCATCTACAGTTCCCTTCTCATAATACCACGGGCAATGGATCAATGACCACAGGAGTCGTAGAAACAAGCAGATGACAGTAAGCAAAACTGAAAGGAATCCACAGACCTTGAAGCAAGCACTCTGCACCGTCCTCGTGCGCCGCGCCGCAGTGGCACATCACCGCTCACCACAAACGAGGCCAGATGCGGTATGTGAGCGCTAAGAGGTGCATATGAGCTGGCCAATCGAGGACGTGGAGTAGCCACCGAGACTAGTGATGAGCGGGAGGAGGCGGGAAGGAGATCCTGGCTCAAGCGTTGCCAAGATATGTCACATGACTAGAGCGACCAATTTGTAAATGACGTTGAGGTTTGCTTCCAATTAATGGGTACGAGGTCGGGAGTAGCTGTCGAGAGCGAGTATGTGAAGGCTGCAGTCTTGATAGAAATGTAGTCTTACACGACTACTGAACCATAGCCATTCCAATGTATCGTCTAGGCCATCACCCTCTGTACAAGCAAGAATAACAAGCAACGGGGGTATCATGTACGCAGTCCAAGCAGCCACTTTATTTTCTCACCAACTTCCATTTATGCAGCCCCAACAATATCATGCTCCAGGCTTGTCCTCAAAGCATCACAGACCTGCTCGAAGCCCGCTACAATCTCCTTACACTCACCCGCACAATGCCGTGCCTTCAGACGATCACCAACATTACCCTTAGCAAGTTCATGTCTCGCCAAATCAGCCCTCTCCCGCTCTAGCCTGAGATCAACGACCATCGTCTGTGTCGTTCGCAGGTGTCGAGCAGCGGTGTTCGTAATCTGCTTGCCCATTTGCAGCGTGTCGGTGAGTTGTGACAGCGTTTGTATAACGTTTGCGGTCTCGCGATCCAGTTTCTGTAGACCTTGTAGAGGTAGTGGATCCGGTAGTGGTAGCGAGTTAAGGAGTTCTTCGATCAGAGGAGTGGTCTCCTCTACGGTCTGCGAATCCAGTATAGCTGCGAAAGCCACAAAGGGCGAGTACAGGCTCGTCGATAATGACTGCAAAGTCTTGCCTTGCGCCGTCAGATGCGACGTCATGCTATTTGTCGAAGTGGTCAACCTCTGCACCCCTGCCTCGAGATTGCTCTGATTTCCCAGATCCTGCAGTAGCGCGACTGTTCTCCGCACTAATGGGTCCTCAGAGGAAGAAGTATACGATGTCATCCTCGCAATACTGCTCATCGCATCCTCCAAATCCGGCGACAGCTTCTCCTCTCGCTCCTCATCCGGTGGTTTCTTGGCCATGCCGAAAGGTTTCGAGAAGTTGGCTGCGCGCTGCTGTGAGCTAGGTCTAGGGCTGTATGTAACGTCAATGCCAGAATCTCTTGGCTCCCTTCCCTCAATCTCTGGTATGCTACTCCTTGTCGAATCAGGTAGATCCTCCTCGTAATCATCTTCGTCTAGCTGATCTAGTTCGTCTGCTAGATTGCCCAAGCCTCCTCCGCCTTCTTCGCCTGGTGTAGGTAGATCGTGAGAGAGTTGTGAAGCATTCGAGAAACGGTGTTTTCGTGGAGTGATTGGACTTCTGTCGTGGTTCGAGGAGAAGCTGCTTGTTCTTCGACGCAGACTCTCTCTGTATGAGCTCGTCGGAGAGGTGTCGAGAGGTGTCATGTACTGGCGTATAGGCGTCAGAGGAGGTGAGGAGGACTCCATTGTGCCGATCCTTGTTGCAGAAGTGCTTGGTTCTCGAATTGTGACCTGTTACACTCCTGGACTCATACACCAAAGGTATGGATTCGGCCACTTATGTCCTCCAGGCTAACAATCACGGACGGGATGGCATTGTCTGTAAGTATTACGTGTATTGGCAATTGTTTATACTTTTGCTCGTGCTTGCCGTCATATAAACTAGAACTTGCATCTGTCACCGCAGGGATCCCTTGCCTGTGTGGTGGCTGGGTAGCGTTGCCGCGCACGGAGCAGCTACACCTTTCTTCAATTCTACATCATCAACGTGATATCGTGGAGGCTACTTCATAAGCTGGCGGACACACTTTCAACTTGGAACAGAACTATGCACTATCAATGACGAACTCTAAGAAGAATCAAACCCGGGTATCTTCGAGCACCATGGCAACACCTAAAAGAACACTTACTCCAACAGATGCTCAAATTCTCCAAGTAAACCCTTTACCAAAACCATGACCAAGAATAAGGTACCGATGGAGAAAAGCACGCTTCAGACACGATCTCGGGGCCGGGGTCGAGCTCGCATATGCTGATCCCACGCGATCTGCCATATCGACTTGTAATCTGTCAATGCCTGCTCCTGCTGCGCTGCTGGCAGCGACTGCACCAACCGTTCATTTTCTTCGTAACGCGCGATAAGAAGGCGCCTCTCCCGCTAACATTGTAGAAGCTCCTCCTCTGCCTCGTCTGGTGGCTTCTTCGATATGCCCAGCCATTTGCGCATCTTGGTTATGGTGCATAGCGCCCAGTCCAATAATGTGGCGGTGTGAGATAAGCAATGACTATATTCCTGAAACGCATTGGTAGCCTCGAGAAAGTCGTAGGAAAGTAGCACGTCGCACTTCAGATTGGGAAGAACATAGAAATCGCAGAGTGTCTCTTCGGCACTCTCGCCGTAGGCCCAGGAAACCTCCCGAACGATACCGGTCGTCCAGCCGTACGAGCCATTTGCGAACTGCAATAGGATCCGGTGCCTCGGGCTGGCGTCAACCGTGTAGCAGTAATGGTGAGCGAAATCTTGACTCATCAACATCACATCTGATCCTGTATCAGGCATTGCTCGTATCTGGAGGTCATTGAGTTTGCCCAAAAAACGAGCGGACAAGTCCGAGAAACACACGCGTCTTGTAAGTCCGGTCGAGGTTCGTCAAACCTTATATCGGAACTGGGTGAAGGTTTCGATCGCCCTTAAGAAGTCGGATCCGAGAACAACGTTGTGTATACAGTCCTTCCAGACCTGGAACTTGACGATGTACGCCTTCTGAATCTCACCGTCGAAATGGAACGGTAGCCTTACGCTGCCCAGAGAGAACACTCGTTCACCATTGCCGACGGTACCCTCCTCTTTGTCATTCCTATTGATCGGAAGCTGTCTCTCCTTTGCGTAACGGAGAGACAGCACATTCCTGCCTGCACCATAGTCAGGGAAGCAGCTCACAGGTAAGCCATTAAGGCCACCTCGGACTTCTGGTCGGTAGCCAGTCTCGCAGCTCGGAGTCCACCTTTTGGTAGGCCCGAGTAAGAACCTGTCATATGCCGCGCGCCGCTCCTTGATGCTGTGTCGGAAAGCCTCCGTCCCATCAGCAAGCTCGTCGATCAACTTAGCGAGCCTCCAAGGATTCATCGCCTCGGTGAGGATCTCGTGCTTGGTCCGAGTGGACGACTCGTGCTGCGGATCGCAGACAGGGGTCCGTGAGGTAGCGTCCGCCGATCACCTCTTGTGTCCATACAGTGCTGCCTGGCTTGGGCCGGACGAGGATCAGATCATATGCCTCTGAACGTCCTGAGGGGTTGCGTGCGCTTGGACGCTGGTAGATCTATCAGCAATTAATATGCGTTCTCGTTGCGAGACACAGCACTCGTGCCTTTACCGCCGACTGAAAAGGTGCATAGCCGCTATAGAACAACGTGATGTAATCTTATGTCTCCTCGAGCAGGATGTAGAGCAGCAGAGAAGTGTAGCATGAGGTAGCCTGTATACAGATCCGACACGCACAGCCTTGCCACGTCAGAAGACGCCTCGCACGTCACGAGCTCGTCCTCAGGCCCACTTGCATTGTATCTCGTTCGCCGGGCGCTTGATTCCTGTAGTAGCATATCTGAGTATCATCGTGGCTTGCAATACTGCCTCACAAAAGCTTAGGCATGTCGCGCAAACCGTATGACCCGACCCACGACCAACGCGATGGGTGCCCAGCGATACGTACTTTCATTAACAGTGATCCAGACCATGAGTCGTTCGTGTTCCGGCGGTTCAGGAGTCTAACGGCACACACCCTGCTGCATGTGCAGAGCGAGTTGATTGAGCTTGAGCACCATCTACATACCATCGAACGGCGTGCAGCGGCAAGCCATGATCCCGAGCTACATTCATCTTTGAGATGCTGGGAGAGCTTCAGCGAGAATGCAAAGTCGAGCGACCTAGTTAGGGAAACGAAGGAATGTTCCGATGCAATAGAAGCAAAGCTCGAACATTATCGTAAGTCTGTACCTGTGCCTTTGTCCTGTAGACCGCTGACGTCCACCTGGTCAGATGAAGCCCTGCTTCGCCAAACAGAGATCGCAAAACTAGAGCGACCGCCACAGCGAGTCTTAGAAGCCTAAGAGAAGGTCCTACATCCTCCCGGAGAATCGGCTGCTCGGCTGGGGGGTAGAGCAGAATTCATGCTAGACAATCCGGGCGATCTTGCGGCATTGAGTACTGCTACCAACAATGATGCGCTTTCGAGATTCTTTCGCCGTTACTGGGTGTTCCAGAGCAAAGTGCGTATGTCCGACAGCAGAAGTAGTACGTTATACACTGACTTGATCTAGCCGCGAGCCGCGATAGCGGACGAGAGTACGGCATACTTCGAAGAGCGCTCGCTGACCTGGCTGGTAAACACCATAAGTACAACGATTGCTGCACTTCTGCTTGTCGGATCGATTCTCGCTCTTTACTTCGTGCAAGAAGGAGATGCCAGACTGGGCATCGTACTCGGGTTCATAGTGCTGTTCGCTCTGGGGTTGAGCATCACCACGAGCGTTAGCCGTGAAGGTATATTTGCGGCGACTGCTGCATATTCTGCCGTGCTGATTGTGTATATTTCCGGTGGTCCAGGCAGCTTATCAGGCGGTGTGGCGGGGAGTGGTTGTAACTGTACTGTAGCATAGTAGTCAACGTCGAATGTTAGCTCTGTCAGCAGAAACTTGTACTGTGAGCTTGGTCATGTTCAGTCTACTGATCTGTCAACTTCGTTACGAACGGCACCATCCATGCGAGCACTTCCGTCCAATACGGCCGGTGTGCCACTCCCTCATTCACCTGCCTGCCGCCACCTTGAACTTGGAGCTGCGTTCCTAGTCTGCACGCGGTATCTCAGCCCATCTTGGCATTCGAGAAGTCCATCTCTGGGTGCTGCTTCTGGAATTGCTTCAACATATCCATCTTCTTCTGATCGTCCGAGCTCGGCAGACCCATCTCCTTCTGCCTCTGATCAAACATCATCTTCTCCACCATTCCACGAGTATCTCCATCCAGATCGCTCAACTTCGAGTTCTCCGGCGTGATCTTGCTTGTGTCGATCTTTGGTGCCGAGATGACAACGTGAGCCCACCATTCCATCTTGTTGGACTTGTCGAGGTGGATGTTGAGTTCTTTGCCTTCTCTCGTGGTCTCCAGCGTCCAGGCAGACTCGTCTAGGACGACGGCGTGTGGTAGTGTGCCCTAGACGTTGTTAGTTCGGAATGTCCGATAACAGAAGCAGATGTCCATACATCAATGATCGCCTCCTGTCCTTTGATTCCAGCCTTCAAGCCTGTCCTCGTGATCTTCACATCCAGATCTTTGCCCTTGATATTGGCCGGTATGATCGCCGTAAGGTCGACATCACCGATTGTCTGTGTCCATTTGTAAGGCAGCTTACTCTGCTCCTCCTGTTCCTTCTGTTTTGCCTCTGCGTCACGCTTCTCACGCTCCTCTGGCGAAGGAGAGCTGGGCTTCTCGACGTCTGCCATGTTTGTGTTTGTGTGGGTTGTGTTCTCCGTGCGAGAAAATGGTGCGGAAGGTGTCCGCGATCATAGCTTCACTTTCGATGAAACATGATTTGTTCGAGGAAGCACTTTAGGCCAAGGCACACGGATCGTGCCTGCCTGTTACAGAATAATATGCCAAATCTGTCTCCCCCTATTTGCAATGCACGCATTAAGACAAGATTATCGGATGGCCAACGGAGTGATCGATGCGACGGAGAGTTCCTGACCTCTGAACGATCTTCGGCGACGGCTGCTGGTACGGCGACTCTCAACGCTAAATCTCAGCAGCGGCTAGCTGGGAGCCCTTCAAGTTGACTGTCTGATCCCGTCCACCATCAAAAAACAATCGGACTTGCCGGTCAGTAGAATTCGCAACTGTCCTAACATCACGCCAGCTTATGCTGGAGGCTGCCGTGCTGACGTCTCTGCCGTACCCACGCCATCAATGTGTGCAACGTTCAGCCTATCGTAAACATCGCTTAGACCACAGCAGCACACGACGTTCCGTCGCGGCTTGCATCCACGTTCGGACATACGGGCCTGCAGAAAGATACCTCCATGCAAGTGGGGAAGCTACGAAGCTGTGCCCTGGGAATTGCTATGGATATAGCGGGGCATGGGATTGTGTACATTACGTCGCCGAGGTGATCGTATACTAGTTCGCTGCTTTGCAACCAGTCCAACAGACACAGCACAAAAGAGACCAGAAACGATACCAGATTACTTCTGACACACTACCTCGATCAAGAAAAAGCGAAGAAACACACCTACACAATGGCCACAACGACCGTCCTCTACCCCGAAGGAACAAAATTCAACATGGAGTACTACATGTCCTCCCACATGCCATTTGTCGGCAAGAAGCTCGGCCCTCACGGCCTCAAGAGCTGGAAAGTCCTCGAGTTTCCGGCCGGCTCGCCTTTCTGTGTGCAGGCAACTCTCGAGTGGGAGAGCCAGCAGAAGTTTGAGACCGCTGGTGCTTCGCCTGAGATGAAGGAGGTTTTGGATGATGTGAGTCTCGCTCTACTCGGGTCGGCTGCTGATGGAGCGGTCGCTGACTTGAGCTTGTAGGTGCCCAACTTCGCGGACAAGCAGCCTACCCTTATGCCAGGTACCATCAAGGGGACGAGCTAGATGGTGCAAGAAAGACAGGCGGAGTGCATGCGGTGGGTTGAGCGATGTAGATAGCTGAGACAGATATCGGGAGTAAAGCATGATGCTACAACTTTGACCTCCCACTCTCAGTCCCGTGACTCCCGTCTCCCGTCGACGCGAAGCTATCACCAACTTCCTGCCACAAAGTTGTACCTTTCCCAAGATCGCCGTTCAAAAGCTTGCTCAATTTCTTGCTATCGCTGAGAGTTAGTGAGGGCCGGCAAAGCGGTATTGAAGATACATACACAACTTCCACATGCTCAGGAGCATTGCTATGTGACTTCAAGCCCTTCGAATCAGCGTAGCGGACGAACAGTACCGCTTCGTTGGGTGCCTTAGGTCGTGAGAACAGGGCGTAAGTAAGTACGAAAGGCTCGCTCTTGTCCACCCACTCCGCAAAGTCACTATGCATCATTAGTCGCGAGTCGTGATAACAAGTCATGGTGGTGACCTACGTTATGGCCTCAACAACTTGTTGACGATCCTTACAATCCATCTTCGAAATACTGATCAAAACACCTTCACCTTCCTTGCCACCACCCGATCGAGCCTCGAAACCAGCAGCACGATACCAAGCTACCAACTCCTCGGGCTTCTCATACAGATCCTCGCGCTTGACGGCGTCATGGTACGACTGGAAGTAAATAGGGTCATCAACCTGAGACTGAAGGGCCTTTTTCGAGGTATATATCTCCATGCCGCCGATAGCTGGATTGGCAGGTTTGCCCGGTTTTGGCGGCGGGAAGGGTGTGAAGTAGGACCATGTCGTGCACTTGGCATCTGGTTGACGGTAGTACTCGCGAGCTGAGCGGCGAAGGAGTTCGAGACACTGCAGATGGTCAATAAGTAGACCGGAGGGGTATGGCGAAGTTGCGTGCTCTTTGCTGCTTCTCACAAGTCTTGGGGTGCAGCATGCACAGTAGCGCCATATTGTCGCCCATCCTGAATGCTAATACGTGAATAGTGTGATTGCCTGAGTGCTTCGAAGTCTCTGTCGACATCGAAAGCTCATTGCGCATCCGAGCGAAAATGGGTGCCTCGGCACGATTGTGCCCCGCCACGTTCGGAGGCTGCGTAAGATAAGACCACACCATAGCAATAATAAGAAATGATCACTCATCATATGTCCCATCCTTGCGCCGCTGTCGTGGTGGAGAGGGCTCGCCTGTGTACTTCATGAGTGCGTCGACGTCAACTCGTTGGTAGTATGAGATGTGACCGAAGCCCTCCCAGAACTGAGCAAGCCGATCGTGCGAGATCATGATGAGCTGCGAGGGAGTGTATTGATCTATGAGAAGTCAGTGAAAACCATCATCTCGTGTGCTCATGTCGTACGTACCATCACGGAAGTTGCGGCCAGCGATGTGCCCAGCACTACGCACTATTCTAGCGCCCTTGAATATCTCCTCGTCTGCTATACGCAAGAAGCCAGCTTCACCGATGTCAGGTGCGAGGAACGTGAGCTCTCCTCGTGGTATGTTCGGGTCGCCAGTCAACTTGATAGCTTCGAGCCTACCACTAGGAACATCTTGGTTCTCGACCTCCGGAATGACCTTGGACGAACTAGCCACGACCGTAGGCGACTCGACGGGTGGTTCGGTGAACCCTTCCAGGATCTGAGGGGCGATGTTTGGCTGTTGAGTATCTTCGTTGTGCATAGCCAGGAGTTGCATAAGCTGCTGTTGAGTGACAGCTTGTATAAGCTCTTGTTGGTTGCGTTCAGCATCGCGTTGCATTCGCGCCATTTGCTCCCTTGCCGCTTCCTCGTGATCGAACTCTTCTTGCGCACTAGCATAGCTAGCATCGCTGCCTGAGCTCTCCCGGCGCGTGACACCGCGAAACCATTGCCGCAGCCAGTCCATTCCCGGTGGCAAGGGCAGTTCGTCCTTCTTATCCGGCTGAAGTACGACGAGAAACTCGCAGCCATGTCCGCTGTAATCGCCACACCATAGACCTTGCCATGGCTTGGCGGGCGTGGGTGTGAAGGCCCACTCTGGGAGAGTCGCAAATGTCGTGATGTCCTCGGGCATTTTGATGCTAATACCTCCGCCGTTGTATGATCCGTTGCTGCCGTTCATGGGATTGTACATGCCATGCGACATCAAGGAGACAATAGTCGGGTTAGCACGACGACCGTTGAACTCGACCCACTTCCTGAGACGCCAATGATGCTCGCTAACTTCTTCTAGCCTTGATGGTCGATGACCAGCTGATTGGTAGCCGTCATTACTGTGGTTGCGGACATGACTTGGGGCCGGCAATGACAGTGGCGGCCACACAGCGGTTTGTGAAGTCACAGCCGTCTCGGGCAGTTTGCGACAAAGCATGAACGACGAAAACAATCCCGCTTCCGCAGCAGTGTCCATCACGATCTCTTTGCTGTATGGCGAAGGAGGTGCATATGCTCTATCGCTTAGGTCATTGAATAGCTGGTCGTGCGTCCGTGAACCACCGATGTCTAGCTTGAGTACAGGCTTGGCGAGGTCGAGCATGATCTTGGGGTTGAAGCTGTGTATGATGACCTCTCTGTCCTTCTCCCAGACTTCAAGCCTGTGCCTGCCTCTTTGCGCCACCACCGTGTATGCCTCGATGCATCCTTTTTGCTCATTGTAGCGTGCTGCCACGAGCTTTCCTTGATGCTCTGTATCGCCAAACCAGAGACGATACTTTGGCAAAAACCAATATGGGTGGTGCGCAATGTAGAGCTCACGGAAGGACTTCAGAGGTGCTGGGGTGCTGACGGGATTTGGCAGACTTTCGTTGACGAAGGGTTGCCAAAGTTGATCGTCATGGCTGTGGTGAGAAAGTGCTCGACAGGTCCGGTTGACCGCAGCAAGTTGTATTGGTTCCAAAAAGATAAAAATATGTAGAATCAGCTCCGCAGGTAGATTGACCAGGGCGGGCATCAAGGTGGTGGCCTCCATGGCAGGTTTGTCCTGGAACCAAAAGATGGAGAGAGGTAGAGATGTACTCGCGCGTCTGCTGGGGATACAAGTAGAGAGGTAGAGCTACTCCATAGCACGGGAATGCACCCGATGAGCACTCAAATAGCAAGGCTCAGACAGACAAACATCATCGAAGCCATCGCAGCTGCTTTTCTCGCTCTAGCCTTGCCGCGGTATCGGAGAAAGCATTGTTTGCCAAAGCTGACTGGCCGATATACTCGTCAAATCGAGCCGGAAGAGGCAGGTCGAGTCTCAAGTAGTGCTGTTTTCCAAGTCATACTTCGGCTGGTTGCTGATGCTGCAGTGTCCCGAGTCCTTTTTCATGATTTCAAGAGATGGTAGCAAGACTTCTATTGACTCTTGCAGATCGAGAAAGCAACGGAGATCTCAAATCGAGCCGAGATTCGGCCGGCCTCAGAACTACTTGCAGTGTCTTGTTTAATGTCGACATATGCATGAAAGCCTTCCACAGCACATCGACAGTTCATCAGAATGTACCCTCATGTGGTCACCGAGGCTGACGGGCAGTGGCAGATCTAGCGTATTCCGCATAGAGTCACAACCAGGATGCTGGGTCCTGCACTTGCGCGATAAGGAGGTTCACTTTATATCGACTACGAGATGAGGACAAAACGGTCAAGCGATGGGCTCATTCGTACCACGGGATATAAATGTTGTAGCAGCTCGACTGTCATAATCATGGGGCCATGGTGCAGAAGCCGAGTTTGCTAGCACTTTTCTACTGTTCAACATAGTAAACTTTCTGCAACACACCCGATCCATAAAAGGAGCTCGAGTACCGTTCGAACTCCTTTGCTAGCTGTACTCTTTGTGCGTTGACACGTTTTCATCTGGCACCCATACGTTGCAGCTCGATGAGTACGATCCTACCCTTCATAGCTGCCCTCAGGGCTTTGGCATCCCTCATGTCTACATCCACGTCGCTCTTGAAGCAACCCAAAGTCACGAGCTTATGGGGCTCACCGGGCTTGGTGTGATCCATCAAAGAGTTCCCCATCGTCATTGAGGCTTTCGTGTTGAGTGGACTTGCCAGATAGAGTTGGAGTCCCTTGTTCGTCCACTTCCAGGGTATCCGATCTTCGGGAGGCAAATGTAGAGATTTAACATCGCCCGAACCTGCAAATGCGGATGGCCAGGGTGCGAACATACCACACGGCTCGTTCGTGGGAGACGTCCAAGCAAAGATGCTCTCATCGTCAGACGCTTTTGCAATCTCGAGCTGGAGTCTGAAGAATGCTTGGTGGCCTCTTTCGCCATACAGCAAAGGCATGTTGATATTGAAGATGCCGAGCAGCGAGTACGCCACATCTTCGCTGCGAGTGGTTGTACGCCTCGCTGCCCAAGACATGCGCGATGCCACTGATGCGAAGCATATCTGGTCTGGTCTCTGCAGATACCACTCCGGGATTTTCGTGGCCTGATGAATCGCAGGAGACAGCTCCGACTTGGTTCCCATAGATTTCCAAGCAGAGTTCAGGAACAAGATGTGCTTCGGAACCAGAAGCTCCTGCAACGTCCAGCCACGAGAGAACCACTCACTTCGCTGAAAGGCGTTGTTCGTTTGTTCAGCCGTGAGCTCAGGCGGGACGTCGCGAAGGTAGACATAGTAGATTTGTGATCGCGCATACCACTCGAACCTAGCAACATTGTTGAGCTCTGCAAACACAGCGATGAATTGTCGAAAGGAATATCCAACATCGAGTTGATAGCCTCGGTGAGCTCTGCACTGCTTGTCTTGTCGATACATATAGTATCGATCCACATCCAGTCGTGACGGTTCGAGCTGGCGATACGGCAAGCATTGAGGACTTTAATGTGGCCGGCATGATCCTGCTTGCGACCTGCAAGGAAATCGGCGTAGGACACTTCTTGTTCACCCCAGCGGTGGGATAAGATAGCATAAGACGGTGTGTGCTCATCGAAGAACTCCTGGAAGACCAGAGATGAGGTATGGAGGAGACGCATGTTTTGGACGCTGTTTCCTCTAAGATAGGTTGCGCTCCATGTGATGGTGTCTTATAGCTTTGTTCCCATGTGTTATCGCGCTAGCTACAAGGGGTCCTCAATTATCCAGTATCGCGTGCTGCTCGAGGAGAATTTGTATGCACGGTAGAGATGGCCATCGACTAGCGTCCGCGGCGCCACTGAGAATGCACCCACCGTCTACATGGGGAACATCAGACTGCTCACACGCTTTCGATAGCCCGAGTCATCACGATACAGAGCATAGATACGATGCTCGGCCAAGGACACTAGGGGGCAAGCATGGCGACTTTCAATGCCATGGAACGTACGGATCTACATACTGGACCTTTCAGAGGATTTCCCTCCGCTCGATCGCACTCTTTTCTAGACCAGACGATTTCTCGAAATCACCATCTACGACAGTCTCTCCGAAGTGTGCTGCCAGCTCCTCCAAGCTCTTCTGGTTGGTCTCGGGGTAGACTATTTATTGTCAGCGACACACCTCGAGCTTATCACATCCAGCACAGGCAACTTACAGAAGTATATCACGACAATGGTGATGACTGTCAGACACGCAAAGACGATGAAGTAGCGCCAACCAATATTTGCGACTGCTGTGGCACCTGGGGTGACATATGTCTGAACGTGTTGTCAGCAGGTTATAGCTGCGTTTGGCATCAAGTCTGATACTAACAATACACGCAGCAAAGTACGTGAAGGTGGCCATGGCCATGCCTCTGGCTCGAATGTTGGTGGGATAGATCTCAGAGCTGTAGATGAAGGAAGCCGCATCGATGAAGAAGCCGTAAAAGAACACGAAGAACATGATGGCGAAGATGGCGACCTTTTCTCCTGCGATGTTGGGTACCGGCACCGCGACATATTTGCCCAGCATGGCAATTTCGATGACGAGTGCGAGCAGGCAGCCGGTGAAGCCAGTGAGCAGAGCCTGTACAACCAGTCAGTATTTCCAGTGGCATGTGCCTCTGCTGACTTACGAGACGCCTGCCAGTCTTGTCCACTGTTAGGAGGCCGCAGAGATTTCCAAGTGCACCAATCAAAGTGTATATACAATACATCAGCAGTGGCAGACTACCAGTCAGGCCCAGATCGCCGTATATGATCACACTATAGTAGTTGATGACCAGTCCGCCGGTATTGTTCGACGCAAGTTGCACGAAGCAAGACAAGAACGCTCGCTTTCGATAGCTCTTCGTCGTCAAGATAGCCCAGTAGCCTGAGGGCTGCGTGCGTTCGAAAGCAATCTGCGCTCGCATCGCCGCAAATTCCTCGTGCGCGGCTGTGTCATCTGGATCTGACGGATCTCGGTGCAGTCGCTGCACGTTCTGCCACGCCTCGTCCGAACGATCTTTCATCAGCAGATACCGAGGTGACTCTGGAACCCAGATACAGCCGATGAGTAAGGCGAGAGCGGGAATGCATGTGAACGCTATTGGGCCTCGCCAGCCAAACGTCAGATTCTTGGAGAAGTAGCATCCGTAGCCTACCCATGCGCTGGTGTTGTAGCCAAAAACGAGGAAGAAGCCGTGGAGACCTGTGAGCATGCCTCGCTTCTCCTTTGTGGACGACTCGGCGAGGTAGACGGGTGTCAGCGTCGCAAGTCCACCAAGCCCACAACCTTGGAGGATGCGAACCACGATCAACATGGCGATATGCACACTACCCGCGGTCAATGCTCCGCCTACCAGAGCGATAGCCGCGGCGCTGAAGATGGTCCATTTGCGACCGATGTGGTCTGACAGAGGGCCAGAGGTCAAGGCGCCGATACAGGCTCCAAGAAAGAAGAGAGCATTAACAGCGCCGAGGATGGAGTTGGTGTAGCTTGATTTGGGGTCGAGAGCGAAGTATTCGTAAAAGCCTGGTTGGCCGATTGACGTTGCGAAGGTTGCGAATCCTATCGTGACCACATGTCAGACCTGAACGACCAAACAATCATCGTCAAAATGATACTGACCAAAGCCATAATTGAAGCTCCCGAGGGCAACGATCATGCCAATACCGACATTGTACGCACTTGTCTTCGCCATCTTGGCGATGACTCTCTCGTGATGTTTCAGTGAAAGGAGAAGGGCAAGAAGACCAAAGGAACAGGTCAAGTCTCGTCCGATGTGAAGCAGCAGGTCTAATATTCATGGTCCTCTCCCTCATTCGCTCGAACTGCAACTGCAGATACCATTCCAGCCTAGTCACAGAGACGGGTCGTAGAACCTTTTCCACGTTTCACACAGACCAAGATCACTCCGAAACTGGGGTCCCTGCATGGAGAAGCTGGGGTCGATAAGCATAGTGGCGTTAGCATTGCACATGCAGGATCTCATCTAAGAAGAGGAGAAAGCCGTTCAGATTCGGCAGACGGGTTTCGTTTTCCGGGGTAGGCAGGCACGCAAGCTTACGTGAAAGCAGAACGGGACTATCGACCACTGTACATGAGCTATTGGCCTCTCTGTAGAATATGATATAAAATCAAAGGATAGGAAATAAGGAAAGCTTTCAAAGTCGCTCGACGGAACACTTCATGGCTTAGCTTGACATGACCCGCTATTCAGCAAACTGAGCAAGATAGTCTATCCCACACGATCTCAGCTCGCATCATCTAGGCCTGACAGCTAGTTTGGTCTGACCACTCCAACGAACATCTACATCCAGCCGGGCCATCCTGCAAGTCCTCCAGAGAGCCACAGATCCGCCACAATGGCCTCAACCGACTCCTCCTCATCCGCCCCAAAAGTCGCCCTAGTAACCGGCGGCGCAAGCGGCATGGGCTACGCCGTCGCCGCCGCCCTATCCACCTCCAAAACCTACAACTGGTCCATCCACATCCTCGACCTGAATCCCGACCGCGGCGCCATAGCAGCCAAAGAACTAGGACCGAAAATCACCTTCCACCCCGTAAACGTAACCTCCTACCCCTCCCTGGCCACCGCCTTCCAGCAAACATACCGGCAACACAAACGTCTCGATTTCGTCTTCGCCAATGCCGGGATCCTGGACGCTGCGGAATTCTACGATCGCCACGACGACGAGAACAATGCAAGCAGCGACGAACCACCCCCAGCCCCGAAAACGGGAGTAATAGATATCGACCTCACCTCCGTGATAACAACCACCCACCTAGCCCTCCACTACTTCCGCCTCACACCCCACTCCCCCTCAATTCACCCCCCAAGCCCCCGAAGTCTAATAATAACAGCCTCCTGCGGCGGCTTCTACGCCTGCCCCCTGCAACCCTTATACGGCGCCGCCAAACACGGCACCATAGGCTGGACCCGCAACATCGCCTCCCGCTTCTACCGCGACGACGGCATCCGCGTCAACGCCATCTGTCCCAGTGCCGTGAAGACGAATCTGTTGCCTGAGGCGGCGTGGAGGACCTTTCCGGAGGAGTTCTTCACGCCTTTGGGGAAAGTGGTTGAGGTGGTGGAGATGTTGCTCATTGGTCATGGGAGGGATGAGGAGGGGACGGAGAGGGAGAGGTTGGTTGGGGAGACGGTGGAGATTTCGGGGGGGAGACATTATTTTCGCGGGCAGCAGGGGTATTGTGATGAGGCGATGGGGGCGATGATGGGGGCGACGGGGAAGGATGAGTTTGCCAAGTAGATTTTCGTGGGGGGCGTGTTCTTCGTCTTGGGCTGGTCGTTGGGGTCCGGGAGGTGGTGCGCCGGGTGCGGGGGGGGGGGGGGGGG